AAAGAGAAGAAGACAAAGAAAAAAAACCAACGACGAGCTCCGCTAGTGGCCGAGCGAGATGGAAGCTTCCACCTGGCCATGTTCGTTGATCGCTCTGCCTGTGGTGCGGTCCTCGTTCCTTTAAAAAATGCCCTACTTCAAAAACAAAATGTACTATAGAAGAAATTATTAGTCGTGCTTGAAGAAGTCTATATTTCAACAAGATAAAATTGCTTGTTGAAGAGGAGAAATCGAAAAAAAATTCCGACCACCTTCAGCTCTAGGGGCAGCGGCAGAAGAGGCTTGGGAAGTACTTAATTGGGCATCTCGCCGAGCCAAAGAACCTGGTATGGGCATGGCAAGAGCGTCTCTGGTAGCCTCACATGAGCCAAAAGAACTGTCGGAAGGTGCAGCAAACTCCTCGGATGGCAGAACATGTCGTGACGCTGATACCCATAGCTACCTTGTTTCGTCTTTGGCATCGTGGAGGCTTGGGTTTGGGATTCCATGCCTTTACCTTTACACACAAGCACAACTGAGTACTAATACTACTATACTTTGCGTAGATTGATGATAGAGAAAGGCTCACTTTCAGCTGGAGACCTCGCAGGGAGGAACCCCAAACATCCAAAATGGAGTCGACCCCAATCAGAGGCCACAAACACAAAGCCTGAAGCATTCACCAGTCTCATATCACAACGCACAAGCTCACTAGAATCACACGAACCATTCGTCAGCCGTATTTGTAGTCTCTTCAAAGTTTCACTCCCACGCGTTCGCGGTGACATATTTCTACTTAAATGTAGCACTCACAGGTAAGAAAAGCAACACAGATGCAAAAACGCTTCGCGGTCTGTGCTTTCCCGCCGACCTACCCCGAAACAAAAGACAAGCAGACCCAAATGCCCACACTCACAATTTCCAAAGGGCACACGGGCAGCACACCTTTCAGCGACTGCCGTTTGTGTGCCTCCGCCGGGTGCCATTGCTCCCGGGCTCCCTAACTTTCACCAACAGAAACAGACACGCCCCCGCTGCTCGTTTGTAGAAACTTTAGGAGCTCCGCCTTCAGGTAATCGATCTGACCCAAGGTCAACCAGTTGCGGCGGGCTTCCCACGCGGTGGAGACCACAGCTTTGCCTGTCTTGCAAAAGGAAAAAAGGAGGCGGCCCCTCACATCTGGTGCCACCGTAGCCTAGCCGCACCACTCAGAGACTTCAGGGCGAAGCTCTTTAAGAAAAGTAGGAGCGAACACAGTGGCACCCTTAACGCGCAGTCGTTTCTTATATCACGGCAATAGCGTGACTAGGTTTCTGCTGTTTGCAATGGCCCAAATGGCCGGCCACTGACAAGAATGACGGATAAGGTTTTTGCTCCTTGTTGTGGTTGTTCCTTCTGGTCTGGTGTGCTTGTCTATGACCTTGCTGGCCCTTTAGTTACTTAGTGCAGTACTAGGCCGATCATGATGGTGATGGTACTCATCAAAATGGTCCCAGTGCTCTTAGTGGTCTACCTGGTTGCTGCTCTTGGTTCTTGGTGGTGATCGTTGTCCTGTTCGTTGTTGATGGTTATGGTCCTAGTGGTGGCGTGACTATGATCCTGATCATTTTCCTAGTGGTGGCCTTGGTCTTGACCACTATCCTCCTGGTGATCTAGTTACTTTGCTCTTACGTTTGCACTCGGGACCTGGGTATTGACGTCCCCGCATCCCCACAAAAAAACAAAGGAGAAAAAATCTACTCTACATGCTTGGCGGAAGTATGTCAGATTTGACCTGTTTAAGCTTTTGCCCTGAGTGCAAACCTACTCTAAGCGCTTCTGTTTTGCTTCTACTTTTTACTTTAGCCCTTTACTTCGTGCAAACTTCGCCACTCCCTTCAGAAGCTTCTACTCTTCCGAGCTTGACAGTAGGCCGCTGTCTGTTCGGATGCTTCTCGCCTCCTTTCGTGCGCTCGTCTTCTGTTGCTTTTCCTAGTGGTGGCCTTGATCTTGATCACCATCCTCCTGGTGATCTAGTTACTTTGCTCTTACGTTTGCACTCACGATCTGGGTATTGACACTTTTATCTACAGGCACCAACCAGCACCCAGACGGGCCATGACAATGTCGGAACGAGGTCTCTCCGCCGTCGCGTCCTCACGTCGAAACCGTGGCGCGTAGGCCTTGAGAAACTACAACACACGACGGGGCGAAGCCCGTGAAGATCATAAATCACCGCGGCCCACTCTTGACTGCTCAAACCACCCCACTCAGCAGAACTAGGAGACTTTCATCTGCAAGTATCAAACACTACCCAATCTCCCAAACCACATCCAGGCCAGATGGTCTCTCCACTGGTGTCACATGCCCATACCCAGCACGTCGAAGGCGAAGCTACAACATAACACAGCCTCAGCAATATCAATAAAGCCCTCAGGCTAGTCGAGCCCCCTGACCACTGCTCAAAAAAGAGACGCGATCACCAAGGAAGACCTCCAACAAGAAAAACTACCGCTACCCTGGGGACGCTCTCGGCGCTAATTTATAGCGTGATGGGGCGTGCCCCTCGAGTATAGCGCCTTGCAATGCCCGTGGCGTGGTCCCGAATCATGCTAGGTACGAAACCCAGCGCCGAGCCCTATGCAACGCTCATCTGGACAATCTGCCCATGGGGCGGCTTCTACTTATCCAAGCCATCTTGTTGTTCAGAAGTCGCCCCATCCACGTCGCCGCACTTGTGCCGATAAGAAATCCAAAGCATTGCCCCACACGAGAGCGACTAGCGCCCACGCCCAATTGGAATTGTCACGCGAGCTATGCTAGTCAAGGGGGACCTCGATCTCGTGCTACACCTACTAGGTCTACTAGGACAGAAGTTTAGCGACAACGGTGGAGAATTCCTCTTCAGACTGCTAAACTCCTTCTACTTCTCTTCTGGAGAATGCCTCTTCACACTGCTAAACTCCTTCTACTTCTCTTCTTGCAAAGCAAGAGCAGAAGCAGTAGTATTTTGTAGAAGCTGAATGCTGCACTGCAGCCAAGGCGCGGGGATCTCGCTGTCTTTTTTCTAATCGAAAACATCTCCATCACGATACGGCAAGCAAACACGCACGCTTCGTGGCACTCATCTTTTCGAAAAAAATACTTAGTTACACGGCGAGTGACGACCTGCTTGTAGAAGAAGCACGACCAAGGCGCCTACGATAGAGACGAGGCGCACGACTTGTGACGACAATAACGATCTGCGAAGGTTCGCCACTAGCACCTGCAATATTGCAACTGATGCTTCCCGTTCCTTATCTTACCAGCCGTTTCGGCAAGGGCGCAGAGTGCTTTGTGCGTGTGTCTGTGTGACACAAGCTGAAAGACCTCCGGGAAATTCAATCAACACACGCCGCAGTCCCTGGTGGCCCTAGCTTTTCTCATGACGAAAAAAGAACCCCTCACGGCCACCCCAGTTTGTCTCGTACACCCAAAGCAACCAAAACCAAAAACGCAACTAACCAGCTCCACACGCTCAGCCACTTCCGGTCGAAAAAGCCTCACGACCTTTGATGAACGGCGCATACCCGTCCACACGTTTCTGATGGCGTCGCCCTACCCTCCTACCGCGAGGGCCATCTTGTGCAGCTTGTAAATGTCATCAGGGCTTTTCGGCATGTGTGCCCAAGCCGCGTTTTCGCTGAGCTGATTGGCCGGGAGCGCACGCTTCAGCCGGTCGTGTGTCAGCGGATTACGCCAGGCCACAAAAGGCAGCACTTTCCCGGGGATCTCGACCGCATTAAGAGGGCCACGTCGCGCCACATATGTTCAGAGGTTCAGGGGAGCGCCCCCCGCGCATTATTTTTACGCGGGCTGCGCTATTAATTTGAGGAGGTCTTCGTGCTACCTTCAGGCGCGGGGCCTACCGGTGAAGAGCATGAGTGGGGCTGCGCCTGGCATAAGCCCGATACACACCATGGAGGGGGCGCTTCGCGTTTTCGAAAAATATGAATGGAGGCAAATGAGCAATGGGAATCTATCGCGTACGTCGCCCCACGCAGTACATGCTTACTTGCTTCTACGAGGTGCAAGTGAGCTGGCGCCAGCTCGACACCGACTAAGGCGCACAAAAATTGGCACAGAACAAGCATTCCCGAGTCGGCTAGTCCTCCCAGTTGAATAAGAACAGCCGACATTCGTCCACAGCTGCGTGCGTGGTGCTTCCCTGCTGGGGGTCGGGCGTGTCCATTCTGCCTCTTCTAGCTAGTGAACCCCTGGCGGCCCTAGTACAATAAAGAGCGAAACAGCCATTGATTGCGCACTCGTGAACAGATCAGGAGCGCCGGCGCCCATCAAAAGCCCCTGATTACTCGCTTCGAATCTATCCCGATCGCCAAATCAACACATAGCATCTAGAATGGACACGGGTGACTGCCTCAGTTATAGTGTTCTCGGATGAACGAATCCGAGTGTGCGCCTTAAATCAGCGCCATTTCGAAAGTCTGCTGCTCATTACTGCTCCACCCAATCAAAATTTTCAATATATATCAGTTTCTTCGGTAGCAGATCATCTACAAGAAACACCTAGCAGAACCTACCTTAGCCTTAAGCTTATATTTAACGTCTTAAGATAATAGATATTAGACTACACAGCACGAGGACTATGGAAAAATGTCTATGGTGTCACAACAAGTGAAATGCGCAGCATTATGGAAAAACGACAAAAATACGCACTATACTATACAGCACTATGGAAAGGCGACTGTGACACTATGGAACATGATAACCTCACAATGGCATGACGATGTATCAACAAAATTCAATCGCATCAACAAAATTCAATCGCATCAACAAAATTCAATCAGACTCCCGCCCTGACTTTAATAATCGTAGTGCTAGTGGGCTTCGCCAATTCTTATATATAGAAGGGCTACGGATCACGATCATGTCGTGATACTCTATGCGTCAGCAAAACTGCCATCACTGAAAGCCCTTTACTTTCTACAGCTAAATTTTTCTTCACGTTGTAACAAAAAAAAACTTCTTCGAAGGAAAAGGATCAGTACGAAAACATAATAAATTGTAGCAGTCTCATACTCTTGCTGCAGCAGCTCATTTACGATATGATGTCCTTGGAGGATGCAAAACAAATATATGCCGCGTCAACTAGCATTGCTTACCTTTCTTGTGTTTGGTAGTGGGACTTAATCCGATTTTTTACCTGTTCGTTTTCAGCGTCAGCATGCATGTACATACAAGAAACAAAGTGATTTAATGATGAAGGACTAGGCCGACAATTCCCGGCATATAACTCTACAACTTCGCTTGCACCATGCTGTCTCTTGGGTGGCGAAGGTCGTATCGGCCTTGCTCCTGCAGTCGATCCATTTCCTCTTGGCCAAGAATTAGAAAGCCAGCAGTCCTCTCAAGGTCTGATCGATGACCAGTGGACGCGCCGCTTACCCAGCATTCGAGACTGGCACTGTGGAAACTAAGCTATGAAACAATCTGCTAGGAAAAATTGAACCTACGGGAACTTTAAGCTTCTACGAAAAAATGAAACTAAGACATTCAGCTTCTAGGACAAAGGAAGTAGTAAAAGTAAATTGAAAATTCTCCAACATAATTTTCGAAGATCGAAAATCATCTGTGGATGTCGGCTCTCCTCAAGTGATAGAATCTCCAGCTCCTGGTCTTCCGCAGTGCCCAAATGGCGCCACTTTGCATGTAAAGCACGCAGAGCATCGAGTTCGTTAGAGTGTGCATCGTGATGATCTTATTGATTCTTAGTTTCTTTGTACAGACGAGAGCCTACTACTAGTAGTAGAGTGCTCTTGGTCTTACTAGTTTCTTTGTACAGACGAGAGCCTAGCACTAGTAGTAGAGTGCTCTTGGTCTTACTAGTTTGTTTATACAGACGAGAGCCTAGTACTAGCAGTAGAGTGCTCTTGGTCTTACTAGTTTGTTGTATGACTATGAGCCTAGCAGTACTAGTAGTAGATGAGTTAGAAATTGAAATGATACGAACTCATGTAAGGGAACACGGCAACACAAGGGAGGCACCAGCATAGGCGGGTATGGTGTCTCCACTACAAAACTCATCAGATGGACCGAGATGAAATACCAAAGTCCCCCCAAGTACATTGCCATTCTCTAAACAAACACTATCTGTCTGAGGCTAGAACTGACTCATCACGCAAAAAGAACATGGCTCATACTGTATCGCTTGTGTGCGTCGGCTACAGCGGCACGAAATCCCTCTGGGTTTTGCTTGCGGTCAACGCAGTGCATGAATGTGGTCTCTTTCTGAGAGAAGGCTCGTCTTTGTTTCTGTTGAGTCAGAGAGTGAGAAGTATATGATTCAGAGTAGACTAGGTGCGACAGCCACAGCTGGGGGGGAGGCCGGTGACCTGCGGAGGCAGCCTGATTGATTCACTGGCTGATTGACTGACTGACGCTGATTGTACTAAAAGAAGGCCTACAAGAACTATTTTCCAAGGTACATGTACATCATGATCCTCACTTAGCTACTAGGAGTAGGAGAGGAAAGACGAGATAAAAAACTTCTTGTCAGCGAAGAGGAGGAGTTACTAAGCTCTTACGTTAGATTCATTGCTTACTAGAGTTCTCAAGTAAGAGAGAAAGTACTTATCTCTAGGAGGCTCCTCAAGAACATAAGTTGGACCGGTACAGGTGAACCAAAGACAGAGTAAGTCGGTACGCGACGTGGACGTATCGGATTCCAGTGTTTTGAACTGCAATCGGTTTAGAACGATAGAAGAGGACATCAGTTGTGGAAACACACGGAGAGGAAAGCACTCTGCTAACAAGGGTACTTTATTGACGGGCGTCCGTCCATAATTGAAAGCCAGAGGAAGCGTGATCGGTAGCTTTTTGGCCTTGGGTTAGAGATATCATGATGGTCCCTCTCAATGAACAAGATATAGTCAGCCTCTCAATTGCCAAAAGATGTAAAGTTTGCTGCAGCTCTGGAGAGAAATAAATTCAGAAAGTGTAAAAATCTTGACGCATCATCATGATCATCATGTTTCCAAGTAAGTACTTAAGCTGAAGTGGAGCTTTTCACTTAGAAAAGCAAAAGTCAACAGTGCCGAAGAATAAAACTTGCATTTCTTAGATCATTTCAGAAAAGCAAATAAAGTCGTCAAAGTAATTAGGATTTGAAAGTTCGTAGTCTTAGATTTGATTCTGGACACGTCGCAACAACGGGTGGAAGACTTGACGGTAAAGCGCGGTCTCCCCAAAAGCTAGACATGGCACGAGGTCTGCGCCGCTTTCTACACACGTCTGCACGAAACCCATTCGGTCCTTCAGGATGACGTTAGAAAGACGAAGTCAAAGTTAGTTACCTATGTCTACTTCTAATTACTAAGAGATAGCAGAGCAATTTGCCAGGTTTCACAGCTCGCATGGCATGGAGTGCATGGATCACATGGAGGGGCATGGAGCTAAAGGGGGAGCTTCTTGCGCCCCTTAAAGCTCTGCGCTACATGCACACCATGCTACTCCATGCACTCCGTGCACCATGCGTGCTATAAACTACTCTGAGATAAGCACTAGAGTAAAGCTTCCATATTTTATTATGACTGGGCTTAGGGTAATGAGAAAGAGACGCGAGTAGGGAAATAACAAAGTTAAGCGAGGGGGGCAGAGCTTGCTACAGAAGTTCTGTGTATGGTGTGAAAACGCAATAATATCACAGAACAGCTAAAGCTGTTTGTGTGAAGTAGGGAAACTAGCAAAGGGCGAATCAGTCTCACTGTACTGGCTTGAAATACAACAACAGATGACAAACTCTTCCTAATACTTCCGGATACAACTAGAAGTACAATTAGAATTAGTACGACGCAGTATATCAACTCTTCCTAATCACTCGCATTTTTCCACCACCTGACACGAGAGCTTCATCTGCACCACCAACGTAATTCGCGATGGACTTGCCTTCCCGGAGGTTCTTGATCATGTTTTGTTTGTCGTTTGTGATCATACCACACAGCTTCGAAAGCTCACTCGCCTTTGATGAAAAATGCAAAGAAAGCGGACACCAGTCAAAGTTCAGGCTCAGTTGCCTTGTAAATAGAACACGAAATAAACAGGAACAAAAAGCAGGAAAAAATTAATAGTTAACTCTATTAACTTTAACATGATATCCATATCCAATGAGTAAGAACTTCGATAGCTGGAAGTCATCTCGGAAAGTTCCATCTTGCTTCATAAGTAAGGCATCAGAAATATCGCTGGCACTGTGCAAACTTGAATGCGCAGGCCCGGGAATAGTCTGGACTCCAATCCGCATCCTTCAGCAAACGTTGGCGGTAATATAAGAAAAGAAAGTCGTGGAGAAAGATCGCATAATGGATAAGGTCCTCGGTTAGTAAGTGGGTTAATAGGCGACTTCTTGCCCTCTTTAATATTGTATTTTCCCGCAGGTTGAGGCTCTCGTTGACTGACCCACGAATCCTAAGCCCAAGGACCCTGAGAACTACTAAAAAAACTATTAGTGTTACTATAACTATATATAAAGGAGCTACAATAGCCTCTCTAAAAATACTATAGTGTTAGTGACTACCCTTAACCAATGTGAGCGCCAACACGCCATGAGGGTGCATGCCGAAAAAGTAGGTCTTCTTCGGATCCAGTTCGCATGTCACCACGTTCCTGTGCGGATAGTAGTGACACAAAGCACGGAAGAGGGGAAGCCGTCTGGCGGTGTTGTTGCGCCAGTATCCAGTGTGCTTTGAAGTGCCAAAAGCGTTCGCCAGGAAATAAAGGGTAGCAACCAGAACAAACTGTGCGTTTGCACTGCTCGACAGACTCTTTTTGGCATTGTGCAAGAAAGAGACGACACCGCCTTGTTCGGAGAGGGTCGTCAGGTAGTGGAGTAGGCTGCTTCCCACGGAAGATGGGTTCATGTGATGTTGTGGAAAGAGCTCGCCAACATTGAAGTGGTTGTCCGCACCTCCGAAGTTGTGGCGTCCGCCAAATGCCCCTTTATGACTTTTGCCCTTTATGAAAGGAGGTCGGAGGAAGGATGTAGTAGATGTACCCAATGATCCTGCTTTGGGATGTTGTGTCACATACTAACACTGTCAGTACCTCCCCCATCAAAAAATGTCAACAATATTACTCAAAAATATCGGCGAAAGACTCTTGCTTTGGCAAGGCTGTGAGGCAGACGACTGTAGCTTTAGCCTTAGGCAAACTCCTCGTCGTGACTAAGGCTAGAGGCGTTCATCGAAAAAAATAGATATTGATTGGAACTAAAAGTATCGCAGCATGCGATAGTTCTGGAGTTGTCTGAATAATTCGAGTTCGAGTACTAGAGCTAGACGCATCTAACCTATTAAGCACGAAAATCAAGTAGCAGTGGTAGCAGAACTGCGCCTCGAACGGGAAGTAGAATGCATGTGCAAAAAGTTGGGTGGGTTAGCATGAGCATGGCGACCACGTAGTGCATCAGGGTCTAACAACAACTACAAGCGCAAATACAACCATAAAAGCCCACAAATCGACAGACTATGAGTCATCATTGTAAGTAAAGCCCACAAATCAATAGACTAAGAGTCATCATTTTCATTTTGTTAGTTATTCTAATCCCACTTATTTTCCTGCCATAGCTTTGCTAGTCTTTTCTGTCGCCAATAGAGTCGGCAAGGCACGTCCCATGTCAGCCCGACTTGATTAGACCGCTCACGCCAGACGACTAAAAAGAAAGCTTATGACGTTTAATTCACAGAGTCATGACCATGAGTCCTCTAAATTCTTACCAGATATCCTTGCCTTACGAAACCAAAGACTGCAGACTGCCCAGAAGCAATCGGAGTGAAGCGAGCGAGACAAGCGAGAGGCCTCCTGTCTGCGTGTTCACCCACCATATCGACGAAAGTTAGCGAGTCTCATTTTCGAAGATATTCGCAAAAGTTTGACTGATTAGCTGCAACAATTCGCGCAGCATTTGGAGCAGCGCTTGGCGAAACACCTCGCGCAAAACTTGACGCACTTCGCGCAGCACTTGGCTAAGCACATAGTGCCACAGTGACACTTGGTATCGAAAGCTAGTAAGCTTGTTCATTCTTAAGAGAGATACGAGAGCGGTGTTGTGCGGAGCAGAGTAAGTTCGAAGGGTGACAACTTCGGCTCCCCAACCTTGAAAGCCTTTGGCACTTGCGGAGGCGCATTGAGCAAGCCTTCTTTCGTCCGTCCCTCCTCGTTAGTGGAGATTTCGTATCTATTTACATGCCGACTGCTTGTAATCAACAGTAGGATTGGCTTACTCGCTACACGTCTCTAACTGGTTGACTCGGTACGATTTACGTACTTAATCTTCGTCACAGTGTCTTTTATAGCAGCGAGCTGCGTTAGTCTTGATCCTCATTAATACACGATTACAACGTGGTCGCCAAACACAAGAAAAAGCTTCCTCAGACAGCAGACAGGCGGCACTCATCCTCGACAAAATAACAGCGGTTATCCGGTATCAGATTCACGCTGATACAAATACCAAAACGGCCGAACAAGCGAAGAAATATTACTAGTGACAACGGATACTTACTTGAGCCAGTGGCTACTGCTAGTACTTGGATCGGGGCGCCAGTAGTAATTGTAATTGAGCAAAAAATAATATAAACTGCAGGTAATGGTAAATAAAATTGTATCGATTTCGGGAAGGATGTTGAAGTTGAAGCCCTGCTAGTCCTAACTTTGGGTGTACCGCGTTGAGCCCCGTCTTGCGACAGAGGGGGCCCTTCACACTCATCTCCCCGCCCCATCTCTTCTGAGCTGCGTTGCGGCGTGCCTCCACTAGCTCCTTCCAGAGCTGCTGCAGCGAAAGCAACTGCCAGCGGTAGCTACGGACAGCAAATACCAAAACCTTCCTAGATCTATTCAGCTTCAGCGCGCCTCCAGTGGTCGAGTGCTCTTTCTCTGGGCAATATCGCTTGGATCCTGGTAGCTGTTGTTCTCCTTGCAACTGTTCACCTGGTTCGCTGCGGTCCCGACCGGTCAGACGGCGACGCCGCAGAAGCAGTAGATCATACTAAGCACATCGCATTTTTAGTAAATTTGCGCTGACCACTCAATCGAAGGGTCGAGTTTGCGCAGGTCATGTGTTGCAATGTCATTCAAGTACGCAGCTCACACTCACTGCAGGGCTCTCTAGCACGGCTATTGAATGCCTTCAGATGTGCGTAAGCAAAAAAAAGAAGTCGCGGTTGGGCCTGCACATTCTAAAACCCTGCGACAAGAAGCCGAGCAGTCAAAGAAGTCCCCCAGATCCGACACCGCAGAAAAGTCAAGTGATGGGAAGCAGCACAACATGACGAGCGGCGCAGAGCATTGCTGTGGCAGCGCTGCCGAGTTCTGTCACTTTTTGGAAGGGCGACAAAACAACGGCAAAGGCCGTCAGGTAGAAACTACTCGGCGCGATACATACTACGGCGCACGCCCCTCATCTGGGTGGCCCAATGAAGTCAGCCCCCATGGTCTAATCGGCGCTCCTTCTTATCTTTGTCCCCTTGGGTACGGTTCCTTTCGTTTTGGCGTTCGCCTGGCCGCAACAGAGGGCGCACCGCCCTACCTGCGAAATTAATCATCGCGCGAAAGCAAAGCTACTATCCCACAGACCAAAACCACCTGCAGCTGACGACAAGTCCAAGTCAGCGGAAACCATAACAAAAGCGCGAGTAATTCACTCGCGAGCGGGGTGCCGTGCCTGTTCATGTTTGCGCATTGCGTCCAACAATCAGCGAGGGAACCTCTTTCAACAGGCCCAGGCGTCTCTTTCGCTAACCTCACACCCCTGCAAGAACACACACACACGATAAGAACCCCCGCGCTCGCCACGTACCTACAGCGCGCAGCAAGCATCGCAAACCACAGCGGACAGGGGTGCGGCGTGGGTGGCATGGCATGAGCATGAGTCTGACGAAGTCACACGCGCACGATAACGGAGGCGAGATATGTAACAGTAACATCCAAAGCGCCGATAAATATGCCCGGAAGCTCGAAGCTGCGGGCCCGTTGTACCTCCATGAAGGAGCTTGAGTACGTAGTTAACACTAAGCCAGATTCGCTAGTCTACCGACGAAGAAAAGGTGGAAGGCGCAAAACTGCCGGCAAGGTCGAAGGCTTCCCATGACCTCCCGGCGGTCCTTCTTTTGCAGAGGAATACTAAGAAGGCCTGCGCACAGATTCCGCACTATTCTAGCCTCGTCCGGTTCGTTAGTTTGGACGGAATAACGGACGCCAAGCACTCGCGAAGGCGCCTGAGTTCGGTCCTGGCTGTCTGGCCAAACATAAGGCCGCGGCCGGGTTCATTTCTACAAGTCTTCCACTGGGTTGCTTCACTCCGTGGGCCTCAAGCACTTTCAAAAGCTTTCTCTTCTTCGTGTATGCCGTTACCCCAATCCATGGCATGGAAAGCCTTTCGCCCTTCCTTTCAATAACCTTCAGGCCAAGGCCAGGAAGCCTCCCGCCCCTCAAGATAGATATCTAAGGCCGACCGCCCGCAGGCAGGTCACGCGTGCGAACCGTTACAGAGTTGTGCCCGAATTTGTTACCGACTTAATCGGTTTGGCGTCCTTTCTTAGTGAATTCCTTGCCTGGGTTCGCTCCTTTGGATGGGCGTCATCGTCAGCTAAGAACGAACTCGAGCAAAGAGCGCAGCCTGCCCTTCCTTGGGTGATCGTTTGCGCTTCTCCTGTGCCTGTTGCGCTTTTTGTCGGTTGATTTTTAGCGCATTAGCCTGAAACCAATTGCGCCAGGCTGGATTGCTTGAAGCGCATCGGCGTCTGGTGTCGTTTGGGGGTCATTTCTCCGGCGCATGTTTGTCACCCAGTGTGCAGCGATCACCACCGGCCAAGCCACTGCCCCATCTCTCTTCGAGTTTTTCTTTCGTATATCGCTTTTCGCCATCATGCCGTCTGGCACTCGGGCCGACTGCGCTCGCATTCGCGCCCGCGCGGCCAATTTCTCAAAGGGCTCCTTATTTTCTTGGGAAATTAAGGAGCGACTTTGGCCGCCACTCTTGGCAGGGGCACGCAGATGGGCGCGAGGGCTTACCGCACTGGCACTCATGCGGCCAAATTGGTTCCGTTTCAGCAGCCACTCTTTGCGCCAGACACTGGCGGAGCCGGTTTCTGGGCATCCGTCAGGCGGGGAGCACAGACCAGAGCCCACAAGACTGCTAGCACAAGTAACCACGAAGCCAGACACTGACGCTGCCAAGTCACCGGCGGAAACCGCTGCCCCCGCTGCGGCTCCGACATGGGCAAAGCCCCTAACCCATGACGAGACAAAGCCCAGGGCAAAGAACCTGAACCTCCCGCAGAAAAATCAGGCCTACTAAGTCGGTAACAAATTCAGGCGCAAAAAGGTACTTAACCACCCGCGCAGGGGCAGACACTTCGCTCGCGGACTTCCTAACTACCAATTTCAGAGGCTATTCATTCTCCTACTTCTACTGTCAATCTCGAACTCGAAGGCGAAGGGGGTAACCCGTCTAAAGCTGGTGTGATTAATTAGTTTGAAGCCGCTCCCAATGTCGTGGCGTCTTCATCGTGTTGCAGTTCACTATCTTGAAGGTGATGGAACTCACCCGCTTGAAGCAAGTTGGTGCAGCTGCTGCCTTTTTGGCGCCCGATCGTGTGGCGGATTAGCGTCCCCTTTTGAACTCCGGAAAAATGGCGTCCTCTTCCTCCTTTGACAAATGATACACCTGGGTCTGCGTATAAGCAGCAAACCGGGACACGGCGCGACCCAGTTCGCGGTCATCTTCGTCATAGTGGTTGAAGGACTGAAAGTACTTCGGTCGGGCCTCTACGGTACCGAGCACCTCCACGAGGGCGCGGGAGAGGTAAGTCGCAGGGCCGTACAGACCATACGCACCATGCTTCGCGGCGTCGTAGCTGCTCCCAAATTTCATGAGTTCACTAATGTCGTGACACATGTTGTGCGATTCGATGCGATGCCCGATGAATTGGTACTTGTGCCCCTTCGCAGTTATCTCTGCCAATTTGGGCACCACTCTGTGGAGGCCTTCGACTAGCTTGTCCGTGTCCACGCGTGCTATATGTGTCGCCGAAGGGAGAAGCTTCAGCATGTAGCTGCCATACGCGAAATACTTGGCAATGAGGACGTCATGCGAGCCCACTCTTGAATTAGCCCCATCCGCCACCGCCAGGCCAAGCACGTCTTCCTCTGCTGGGTCCATTCCCTCTTTCATCGTGGTATTCACGCCACGACCCACAAAGAAAAGGGCGACCACAGGACAAGCCCTCGGGTCTTTTAGAACCTTTTCTGGGGTCTCACCCAAACGGCACACGCCCGGCTGCGTCATCCACGTTTTTCGAATCGTGGCACGCGGCACCCTGTCCGCAGGGGTGCACGCCACACCGACGACAACCTGGACAGGATGCGGCAGGCCTTGTGTCCAGTTCTTCTCCTGGCTATTTTCCAGCGCTTCTCTAACTCTTTTCCACTGGTTCTCATAATTCGTCGCCCACTCCTCGATATTCTCAGGCAGCCCTCTGCCGTCCCGGCTTATTTGTGTCGCCTCTTCTTTGTAGGTGTTCGCTTCATCACCGACGGCCACACCTGCTGCACCCCCGAAGGCAGCGACGGTTTTACCATAGTTTGGCGAGGTCCCGCTGAGCTCAATTTTCATGACCCTCAGAAAGCACGCGAAAACGAGCGGAACAGTTTGCGTAGCTGCACTGAAGGAACCGGCACCAAGACAACCGAAAAGAGAGCACCGCCAACACGCTCCACAAGCCGCACGCAAGCCTCATCGGGCTTCAACGTGTTCGAGCTTGACCTTGAGGCCTTTTGTGAGTGACACCAATCAAAAGAAGTCGCAAAAGCTATTGGCTTTTGAGGCAGGCCTGAAAGCCTCGCGCTCAATTTGAGACTTTTTTTGAGTAGCGCCACGCAAGATAGACAAGCTTCAAAAACCAGTGGCTTTTGAAGCGTGGAAGCCTCAAGCTGAATCTTGACACTTTTTTTGGGTAGCTTTACTCAAAAAAACCCTCGAAAGCCACTGGCTTTTCTTTGAGGATTGAAAGTCTCAAATTATTTGCATCGCCTTGATGTTGGGTTGGTCGACTCCTCAAATTGAGTACGATCCTCAAAACCCAGCCGTTTTTGGCCACCTTTCCCTGTAGTGCTACTCGCTGAGTAGACCCACGCTACACAGTCCAGCGAGTAGAGCTACAAGAAAACCCACTCAAAAGTAGACCAGTGGCTTGTGAGGATGACACCCAATGAGTTTGACTTTGAGGGCCCGACGCAACAAGACAGCTCAACAATATGGTTGGGGCTTTCAGTCCTCAATAAGCCAGTTGCGTTTGATGAGGGTTGCTCAGAGTAGCGCTACTCAAAAAAAGTCACAGAATTTAGCTTGAGACTTTCAGCCCCCGCAGAAGGCGGTCGCTTTATTTTGCGGCCTGTTTTGGGTAGCGCTACGCACAAAGAGCCGTAGGGCTGCGCCTGTTACAACGAACAGGCCTCAGCGTGGGGCCTGCTCCTCGGCACAGAGGCCGGGGCCTTTTCTATCCCGGCCAGACACGTGAAGCAGCGCCGGGAGACATAGGCCAACTACCTGCGGGAGCCTGTGTCACAATAGGCACGCAAGGGCCAAACCCGGCCAGTGCTGCTACTAAATATATTCCGCTGCAATCTATCAAGTGTAGCCAAGAAGAGTCATAGCGCCAGTTTCCTTGTGGTCGCTGGCCCGTAAAAGGCGGCGGCTGGCTGTTGGTTCGTCCAAGAACGCCTCACAGACACAACCTCCCTGGAGCATACCAGCGAAGACGCCGAGCACCAGACTAACAACAACACGAAACCCGAAGTCGCCGCACGGCATACCTGTGAGAGGTTGGACTGTTCAGGACAGAGGCTGGCGGCGGCCTGGTCTACGTCTACCTAGGACAGAAATTGAACAGGGGCGCAGGGTATGTGACGCTGCCACACTCTTTCTCGTCTTTATCTTGCACAGCAAGAATCGCGCCTACTCTTCAGAAACAGCGGGGGCGCCACTGTCTCGCTTCGCGGAAAGGAGGCTCACTTTTAGGCGGAGGCCTCCAAGTGTCGATGTCGAACCTCAAGCAGCCAAAATCAACAGAGTTGACAGACCACAGAGGCCACAAGGCGTGACGCGATGGGTTTACCAGCTACCAACCCAACCCAGCCCACCACCCCATCCAACCCAAATCCACCCTCTCACTCAATCAAAATCCGCCTCCTCACCGAAGGAATCAAAGTCCACCGCCTCACCTAATCAAAATCCACCACGTCATCCAACCACAAGCCGCATCCCCACCCAACCACAGTCCGCCGCTTCACGCAGTCAAAGCCTATCCCCTCACCCAAAACTCTCGAAGAATTTTGATTGCAATTCATTGCTACAGATGCGCCCGCTTCTGTCCATCCTTGTCAAAGGTGAACATCCTCCTAAAGTCAGAGAAATCACCCAACACAACCCCGCTCACCTATCCTAGCTAGCCCATGTTGAAACCTGGAGAAGAGAGAGAAAAGCGGCGACCTACATAGGGGTAGGCGTTGAAAACGACGAACGACACACCAAAGCCAAAGACACACAAAGACACAAAACAGCCAGCGGCGACCATCTGATCATCAGCCCACGCGGACCGCGCAAGATTAAGATGGAAACAGAAAGAAGTCGCACGTGGCATAGCAAGCTAAGCTTGCACCGGATCAAGAAGATAGCCACGCAGAGCGCTATGTAAAGAAAACCTAGCCTCGATCCCAAAAAATTGAAGGCGGGTCTTTTTCCTAGTGTGTAGCAGAAGCAGGCGGCCACATGTGACGTTGCAGCGCTGTCAAGACAGGCCGGCTACACCAATACCGAAGAAGCAGTGGCGAGGGACCGACTCCGACACCAGACACCAACAGCCTAATCAACCGGAGAAAAACTCGGCGCGACCCTCAGCGAGGGCACGCAAGGCCCGGGGGCTTCGTCACTCGTCAGCGTCAGTCGTTGACCGGACCCTCCCAGCCCACGACTTCGGGCCAGGCTGTGCGCGCGGCTGGGCAACCACGGGCGGGGGGTCCAGCGCTGACAAGCTGGCCGCCAGGTGCCTGCGAGACCTTGGCCGGCGTTCGCGGGTCACGGTTGAGGGCGCGCGCACCGGTGCCAAAGAGTCGCCGCGTCCACTTTTTCGGGAGCGGCATGCGGAAGCTTTGCGCGCGGTTTTTCTCCACCAGGCATGATGGGCGTACTGCCTCCATTTCTGCGCTTTTCCGCTGAACAGAAAGAATCCGCGGGCCCAAGAGTAAGCTGCAACGGATCCAGAAAGTAAGAAGGAAACCAGAAAAAGCGGACGAAACGACCAGAAGCGAGGGGCCGCGGAAGGGGTCAGCGCCGGTCGGTGAATCCATGGCCTCTGCCTTGGACCAAAATTACTGCTGCACCCCTCTGCACTAGAGACGGGAGGGCCAGGGCCCTCCTTGCTTTCTGGACCACCTCCCTCAGCGACGGCCACCGACGCCCCATGCGCGTGGCCTTTCAGATTCTGGAGAGGCAGTCAGCACGCTCTCAACAAAAGGCCGCCAACCTTTCGGGCTTCCGCTAAGGAGCTCCGCAGACATGCGCGCACACACCTCACGAAAGTGGGCTGCCTGAGAGCCCTGCGGCGCTTGTGCTTGATACGCTCGCAAAAAGTTTCGACTTCAAACTATTGAAGCCGAGGCCAGTTCTCTGCTCAGCAGAGGCGTCAATCCCAACGCGCTTGCCATAGCTGCGCGCACACTGGGTGAAGATTGATAGCCGGAGAAGCTTCAGCCCCAACACATTTTCCATGCCTATGCTAACACCGGACCAAGCTAGCCAAATAAATGGTGAAGATTTCCCCTTCTGTTGATTCAGTTTTCACGCCGATTGCGTGAATTCATCCCCCTCAGCCAAGGTCTCCACCGTGGTGTGATAATCATTAGGCGGCGGAATAGCAAACAAGGTTACCCAGCTCGCTGAATCTGTCGCGGGCTCAGCTCCCTCATGCCTACGAGTGAGAACTTTTAATGATTAGCCCGCCTCGCTTTTCTTCGCGTTTCTGCAGCCGCGAAGGCGGCCTCTAACTAAACAGCGTGGCGGCAAAGTGCTCTGCGGGCGGCGGTAATCAGGGGGACAACACCGGCCACCCTATTCCTTTAAAATGCTACTAAAATTTTACTAATTCGACCAATCAGAGCGATCTCAGAAGACCCCCCGACGCTGCTAGCAACACCCCTGAGACACCTCCAGGAAAGACCCACTGACCACACCACCAAAGCCGCGACCGATAAGCAAACCCACCGCCCTCAGCTGCAGCTACCACCAGCGTACCTCTGTGCGCAGACTCTACAAAACCCGACGACACAGAAGAGCAGAACCACAGCACACGACAAATGGCCGACAGATCTTCCACGAAGCTGCGACCATTGGTCGCAAGTGCTCTAATTCGAGCGCTAAAAATTCTGCTAATTTAGGAAAAGCCGACGGAATGCACCGGGGGGAGCTCGCTCGACAAGTTGCTAATTCGTCACTCTAATTTGGTTTTGGGGCTTTTCGAAAACCTTCTAAAAATTCCTCTAATTGTGTGCTCTAATTCAGCACTCTAATTCGCAAACCCCCCGATAGCGCGAAATCGCGCAGGGTTTTGGGGTGCAAAATTAGAATACCGAATTAGAGTGCCTAATTAGAGGAATTTTAGAGGGCTTTCGAGAACCCCCCAAAACAATTAGAGTGACGAATTAGCATGATTTTTAGAGCAAAAAAATAAGGCACCCCGGCGAGAAATCCCGCCGAATTAGAGTGCTGAATTAGAGTGCTAAATTAGCACGATTTTTAGCGTGCTAAATTAGCGCGATTTTTAGTAAAAAAATTAGACCCCAAAAACCGACCCGAGCACAGCACCAGTCTGACAGCTGCCGCGTCAGCCGCGGACCTCCTGCGCGGGGACCCACCCCCCGACACGGCGGCAAGGCCACAGCGAGCACGCTACCCCCTGCCCCTGCGGCCACACGGCTAAGCACACCACACAAGACACACCCCGACCACCACAGGCAACCGACTAGCCTGCAACGATTTGCGACCCCTTCAAAATTAGAGGAATTTTAGCGGAAAATTAGGCGCGAAAGGTGCCCGGGCGTGTCCTCCTGACGGTAAAAATGGAAAAGGGGGAAACGAATCAAGGCGACAGAGTTACGCAGCAACCATGAACACCATGCGCGCACAAGGTGAGCAGAGAAGACGAAACCACGACGAAGAGCGGCAAGGCATGCCCTTGGAGCGACAAAGCTAAAGATGGCTGCTGCAGAGAACAGAGAACGCACGTGGCCACTTTTCGACTCTGTCGATTTGCTACTGTCAGAATCGTTGCCAGAATTCCTAATCCTATAACTTCAGGGCGTAATGATTATTACACGCCGGCAAATTTGCTGCAATAAAAAACCACAGCCCAGCGGATTGCGACAATTATTACGCCCCGAGCGTCTACGCTTTTCCATGCTCAGCATCAGAAGAGACCTGAGCCGACAAAAGCAAAAAACTGGAAGCACCGCAACACGAGTAGACTCCGCAAAAAATGGGATCCCACCTCCCAGGTTTCTTCTAGTGCTACTGTCGGAACATTGAAGCGATTTTTGACCAGCAAGGTGACGAGGTCCGACAGTGTTGTACTTCAGGGGTCGAAAAGTGGCCACATACAAAGAAACAACACGAGAGGCCGCTCCCGCTTTCAGGTTTGTTAGTAACGCCAGCGAAGGTAGCCGCGGGCGCTTTTTCGCGTGTAATAATTTTAAGCAGGCACCCAGCAAGGTGCGCAACCGGGCCCCGCGGGGAAACAGGTACGGCCTGGCTTCTGGTGCGTCAACGTGTAACAAGGCGAGTGCCAGTCTACGCAGAGAAGGCGTGGCGACTAGCCTACTACGTGCACTGCCCACCCTGCTGCGCCGCACGCTGTCGCGTGGTGTGGTAAATCGAGGCCACGCGCGACCTTCCTCTCTCTGGCAAAACCTTGGGCGCCGTTCGACATGAGGCGGCGGCGCGGTAGTTGATCCGGAGTAGGGCGAAGCCAGTGGCGATCAGTTCGAAAGTAAGAACCAAGGCAAAGCACGCGGCCGCCGGTCTGCAGCGATCGCGTGGCTTGTCGCTGAGCTCGAAACAGTCGCAGGCGTCTTAGATAGCCTGCTCTGAAGCTCAGAGCAGCGAAGCGCCAGGCGCTTTGCTGTGGTTAATGGCATGGCCCTGGGGCCTAATGCCCTGGAGATGGCGCCGCCTACTCTCCCGGCGCTTCGAACATGCGAAGCGTGCGCCCCCCTCTGCTTTGCTTTTTGATTGGAAGCTTTTGGACCCGGGCCCGAATGCCTCGCGCGAGGCTGGCGGCAGGTTGCAAAGGAGAGACACCGAACAAACGCCCGCAGCTTCTGGCCTCAGACTCTGGCGGGGCTCGCAAGGTTTGCGCGACTTCTGTACCTTCGCCCATCGGAGCAAAACACTGGCAGAAGCTTGCGAAGGTTTTGCAGCTACTTAAAACATCAGAAAGCCAGCGCCCGCGCCAGCTCTAGATGGATCGACAAAATGGAAAACGCCCGCCAAAATCTTGCACGAGCATGCCCCAGCTTTTTCGGACGCACAAGATTGACCGCCCGCCTCTCTCTAATTTTGTCGAGCTTTTTACTACACACAAAGACCAAAGCCAAACCAAATCGCTGGGCGCGGTGAGTTCTGGCCAGGTGCGGGCTGTCCAGGTGGATCAACCGCAAGAGGGTGGCTGGGGTTTTCCCCTGCGCCATCGGTTTCGAGGCTGGCCGTGCTGTTTGTATCCTTATGGTGGTGCTGTACTGAATAGCCGCCCACAATCATCACCGCGCGCCATCATCTTCAGGGGGTTCCTACTGGCAAACGGGTCCCAGTCGCTACGATCATCATCAAGAGGCCCAAGGCCTTGATCCTGGTCGGATTCACACCACTCAGCGAGAGCATTCAAAAGGGGAAAGACGATCGCAAGCGGAGGACCAACAGACCAAGAAAGAAGAGCCAAGCGACACAGCCCAAGGAATCAACGCGGAGCCCCGAACGACTTGGCCGGGCCTTGGTCTTCATGCACAGCATTTTTCTTAGTTCGAAAACTTTCCAAAAACGTCAAAAAATAAACAAAACGGGTCGACAAGTCTATCAAAGTGAAAGCGTCGACACCGTTTGAAAAATAAACCCACAAGGCTACACAAAAAACCGACTGCATTGCAAAAAAGGCCGACAACGTTATAACGGAGCAGCTTACTAGGGTCCCGGGTCCCGGTTGGCCTGGCACGAATGGAACGGTTGGAACGAATGGCGGGCATCCCATCCAGAGCCTCAATCTATTCCGCCACCCGTGCCATTCATGGACCCCTCAGACCTCCGAGAGCGGGGCGATTCTTGTCAAGCGATGGGTGTGCCTATCACGTCTTCCCCGAGGGGGCGGCTAGCTTGGTCTGCCGAAATCGCTCCAACCAGGTCGCGGTCTGGTTTGCGTCGATAGTGCAGGCACCGCCATCCACAGGAGGGGCCGACACTCACTATTTCCCCGTGAGCGAGGGGGCCTCAGTGCTACCTTCAGGCGCGGAGCCTTGTAGCGAATAACAGGGCCACCCCTGGCAGCACAAGTCCCATACACGCGAGACGGCGGGCGCCTCTTGGCCACGTCGTATGCACGGCAAACGCGCGCCGCAAATCATGTAGGCCGCGCTCGCGGCGTCGCGTTTTCATTTTCCCGCGCCTTACATGTGAAAGCCAGTATGCTGCGCGTGTGCAGTGGAAGACTTGACGCTCTGTTGCGTGGTGAAGCGGGGCCCCGAGAAATTTCCTGTTGCCCATTTCTCGCATGATCTACAAGAGCTTCTCAACGGAGAATTTGCTGACTAGAAGTGAAATTTCATCGCATTGAAGACTTTACTGTCTTCTTCTTCTTCGCTACATTTTGAAATTGATCGTAGGTAAGAGTCGCTTTCGTAGTGATCCATCGAAGGAAAGAAACGCAATTCGTGCAGAATACAATGGTAATTCCAATTCGTAATAGTTCGTTCTCGTTAATTTTCGCTAAATTTTCTCTATGAGGAATGGCGAGTTTCCCTGTCCATCATACTCGTCTTCGCTAATGTTTTCCATGAGAAATGGTGTACTATATCTCCGCACTTCTGCCTCTGCCATTTCCATAATTTAGTGATAAAAACTCCATGCCCCACGACGCGGGGGCACTATAATAGTACTCCGACTTCTCGAGGACCCACACTCTCGTCCATCACCAGCTCCAGCACTATACATTTACACATGTATGTATATCCACCATGCTGATGTAAATACTTACTAAGGCCTTGGGCCTCCAACACCTGGGCCCATCTTCTTCTCCGCTAGTATATTTCTCGTGAGCTGGGTGAAATGAGCGCCGCCAGCGTGAATAAAGACACCTCTCGAGCTCTCGAAGGAAATCCTCTCCGGGAGTTTTCCCTTCTAGCGTTAGAGGTAAAGCATAAAGAAGAAGTAAGACTTTTTCTAAAATTTTTTTTCACTTTAATCCCCCGTGTGACTTATGACGTAAGTAGACTTTGATTCGTTGCGTGGGAGGAGAAAGTCGCACCAGTCAACATCCCTTTCGCATTCTGCTTATGTACTATATGTTCCTCTGAGACTATGCATATGCCACATTCGTTCTAACTTGAGAAAACAATAGCCATAAAGAAAGGCGAGATACAAGCTCCGCACCTCGTCGTCCACAGCATCTTGCGGAAAAAGAAGCGCTCTTTTTAGAACGGTTTGTGCATAAATTACTCTCGTTAGTAGGCCCAGTAATTACAAGCTTGCTTACTCGTCTAGTGCAACGAGTACAAGACTGCTCATCCCTGCCGATGATGGTATTCGATAAACTGAAACAAGCACCCACGTTGCTATTTGAAATAAGCGAGTATGAAGTGGGGACTTTCCACCTTGCCTGGTTCTACCCCTGACCGAAAAAAGAAAATTTTTTTGGAGGAAAGTGGGATAGTGATCCCATTGGCGCAAGTTGCCCATGAGAGTGGCAGCGGCTGCTGGTGGATTTACAGGGCAGGCATGCGCGGCGGGCGACAGATGTGGGCTTTCAGCAGACAACCTCCGAGGCCATGGGGTGTTGGGTCGGGGGTTCGGGTCAGGTCGTCCACCCTCTCGCCCTGATCGGATCCAGCGAGACCTGAGGCCAGAAGTCGCGAGGCCTGGGCTTTTCTTGGCGTCACATTGGGGTGGTTGGTCCCGTTTTTGCCTTGTTCCACCCTGTCCAGCATTTTGGCAGGCCTCCTGGACTCAAATTGGAGAAATTCGGGACAGGGTGGAAGTGGGCAAAAACGTGACCAATCACCCCAATACGACGCCATCGGGATGTCGCGTTTTTGCCCTGGTCCACCCTGTCCCAAATTGAGGCACCTGACCAAGATCTGATCAGGCTTTTCTCGGGTAAGGGTGGAACTGGGCAAAATCGTGACCAATCGCCCCACTGCGACGGTTGCGGATTTGGTCTCCTTCGGGTTTCTAGCGATGGTTAGAAGCGTCGAGCAACTGCAGAAGGAAGGCCACCTTTTGCGCATCTCTTTGGCCCGCCTCTCTCTCCGTCGGGTGTCGCTTCCAACCGATGGCGCTGACGCCTGGAATGGGGTCTACATGCAGTAGTCGCAAGGTGTCGCGAAGTGCCAAAGCCTAGTCAGGCACCCAAGCAACCTCGCTCATCGTGAAAGTTTTTTTTTCTTTTCTGGCAAGGGTGGAAATGCGCAAGGTGGAAATTCCCCAATTCATAGCGAGATACTGATGAAAGATGAAGAAGAGGAATGTACTAGTAGCGTCTCTTTTATTTCAGTCCGTAACTCGCATATTTTCAGTTTTCGCGTACTCAGAATCATTCATCTAGGGCCCCTCTTTCTCTTGGAAGATATTAAACAACTACGAGACCATGACCTTTTGAACCAGAAATATTGTAATTAATATTACAAGGTAAGACTTAGGATTAGGTTTACAAATATTAGGTTTGCGCCCTTCCGTACAAGAGAAGACTTACAAGAGCTACAACAAGAGGAAAAAACTTACTTACAACAAGGCTGCTGCCGAAACTGAAAGTGATATAACCCCGACAAGGCGTGTCACAAAAGGTTCTAGAAGCAGCAAAGAGCTACTAAGAACTTCTAGAAGCAGCAAAGTTTAGAAGCCCTTTCGTTGGTTCTAGAAGCACAAAAACCATTTCTTCCAACGTCGAGAAGGCTTGTAACATTTAGCTTCTATCTAAAAAGTTGTCCCAAAAATGCAACAAAGACGAGTTCAAAAAAATTACAGTTTCAACTCTTTATACAGTACTTATATTTTTATAAACCCTTCTAGATGCTAGTGAATTTTACAACCTATTCTACTATATTTATATTATTATATTATACTAGTACCTAATAAACCCCTCATCCTCGTCTAGGTACTTCTCCTAGTAGTACAATTATTAGACTTACAAAACCAAGAGTCGAATAGAAGTTCTATAAGAAAAGTTCTAGTACTTGATGTTCTACCAAGACAAATTCCCCATTATAACTTCTCAGCCGCAGACCCTGCACCATGGGAACCCCGCATACCAACATGAGCCGCTCCGGAATGCTTTAGCACGCGCATCGGAATCCCTCTGGCTCTGCAACGCCGATACAGGTCCCAATCGTCGCCACTTGTGCGAGCCGCGGCCACAGATATTAGAAATGAAATAGGTACTCGAAAAACTGAAGCAAGCAAGTAATTCACTAGAATAAGTGAGATACTGAAAGACAAAGAAGAGCAGCGCACTAGTACTCGTCACTCTTTTACATCACTTAAAAACTACTGCCCGCGTATATATAAGTATTTCAAGACTCCGAATTATGGAAAAACAGCCAGCCCTGAAGGGATTGTCTTTGTCGTAGAGGATAAAGAAAGAGAAGAAAACAAAAAGACCTGGTCTGGGAGAGAGGAGTCAGAAGAATAGATAAGAATAGAATACTGGAATTCTTATCCTTTGGTATCCTTTTCTTCTTGAGTCAATGATAGAAGAGTCGTTTTCTTGAAATTTTCTTTCTTTGATATCCGTTTCTTTGAAGTAGAGTCGTTTTTTTCCTTTGAAGTAGAGTCGTTTTCTTTGATATCCTTTTCTTCTCGAAATATAGCTAGTAGTATAGGTCTATGTTACCTCAAGTAGAACAAACTGATATTAGATATTCATTTGAAAACTTTCTTAAATTGAGAAGAAAAGCTGGGCTGAATACAGATCCCGCGTAGCCCAGACTCTCCATCGCGCATGTCGCTGAGCTAGCAATTCCTCTCTTTAGAAGCAAATCAATACCACTAAGTAGACCTAGGGGGTAAAGTATTGCAGTCAGTCAATCAAACCATCAAGGTGCCTCCACAGGGCACAGACCTCCCCGCAGCTGCGACTTTTGATAGAAATTTTGTGGTAAATGTCAATTCATTCACCCTAAAATCGCCTCCCCGAATCCTTGATGTATTTAAGTGATTTGCGATACCCAAAAAATGAATGTACTTACCACAAAATTTCTATTAAAAGTCGCAGCTGCAGGGAGGTCTGTGCCCTGTGGAGGCACCTTAATCACTTAAATACATCAAGGATTCGGGGAGGCGATTCTAGGGTGAATGAATTGACGCGAGTACCGAATTGAAGCTTCAGCGATATTGATTTGTTCATAATCTCTCTTCCTCTTCTCTTTGTTCCACTCGAAGCAAGGAGTGCGCGGCGTCGAGAATGAACGACCACGACTTTAATGTTGCTGTTCGCAAGTTCTAGATCTACATCTAGATGCTGACGCAACAAGAGGATCTAACTCGAGAAGTGCTTAAAAATACAGTTTTTAATACATCATGATGGAAATAAGTACGCGTAGAAGTAGTCCTCAGATAGTGAAAGAGAGAAAAAATGTTTGCTAACGTAAAAAAGGACAAGGTATGCCTATACAACTAGAAGTACATGTCAGTACACAGGAGGAGGAGGTCGTGCTCCGTTACAAAAGCGATACCACATTTACGTCATGGCAGTGGAACAACCCGATCCCGAACTCGTAAATGTAAACGGAGTACTAATGTTAATATACCTATACCTGTTATAATACCTAGTACGTGTAAGCAGTTCTTATCTAAGCCCGAGAGGAAATTTGAATTCTGAGGAGATCGCGCTAATGCTAACGGTAACGACCTTGCTCTCAAAGAATATACTGTCGGAGAAAGTCAAATAAGTATGAATATTAATATTTATGATGAATTAACATGAGCAACAGATCGTGCTAAGGCTAACCACGTTCTTTCATACTGTCGGAGTCACAGCGCAGCGTGGGATGCAGGGCTGAGTGGTAAAGGGAGAACCACTCCATTTTACTCGGATCATGCGCGAGGCGGAGCCTTTTGAGCCAATTTCTTTCCACGACCATGTCTGAGTCTAGCAGAACAACCGTAGAGCCAAGAAATCGCGAGAGAAAAGACTTATCTACTCCGCCTCCTTGCGTCGAGGACTTGTTCTTGCTCAGCTGGAGGTCGTGTTGTTCAGGAGCATCCTCATGCTTTTCATTTTGGTTTCCCGAGGAACTGGATGTCGCGGCTGTTGAGCCTGCTCCTCTTCCTGATGGGGGAGGAGGTGCGACCAATGCCGCAAGGTATTTGATAACGGCTAGAGTCTGCGCTGTCGCGTCGCGGTGTGGCCAGCTGTGGACGTGAGGCGTCCCAAACCACTGCCGCAAGTCCTCGGCAGAGTACTCTGTATGAACGATGTTTATGCAAATCCTTTTCGTCCGACACTTTGCGGTAGAGCAGCCCTAACTTCGAGGGACGAAGTGAAAGAAAAACAATACTATGCTACCTCTACCTACTCCTTCTACTGTTTTCCGGGAACCGGAATAAACAAACTCCATATAATTTTTGTATATGTCATGATGTACTTGCACCTCTGGTGTCCAGATATCTTGCTTTTCTAATTATGTTTGTACTTCTCCTCCGGCTGTACTTCTTGCTGTGCCTACTTTGTATAGATACAGTTCTTCCTCCAGATATCACTATCAGAGTACGACATTATAGTACTCACTGATTACTGTCTTTTCCGGAGGAACTAGTACATCTTACTGTTTTCTGGGTATAGATACAATTCCTCCAAGGGGAAAGGCCTGATCGTGGTCCCTCCTAAGCTATAATCGTACTGCTCGGAGAAGCAGAAGTAGTAGTAGTTGTAGAAGGCGTAGGGGACCAACTAGAACTACAACAGGGCCAGGTTAGTACATGGTCTGACTTAGAGGGGAGAAAAAACGTCATCCATACTCTGTGCTGGCCGCATCAAAGACCCAAACATTCTCCGGAGAAATGGTCCCCCGCAGGGCGCGCGCGCAGAGCTGCACGTAGCCAATCCGATTGTAGGTGGCGATGGCCGCAATCACAGGGTACTCTGCTCTCCCAGCATGATCTCGCTTTTTCACACGGTGACGTCCCCCTTCTTCTTCCTCTTGTAGAAGACGTCGCCGTTCTGAAGAAGATGTCGCCTCAGAACTGTGGCGCTGCCGTCGTCCATGTTGTTGGTACAGCGTGGCAAGAGTGCCCGTGGAGGTGTGGAACAACCCCACAACGAAAAAAGACAAGGGCGCCAGTACGGTCTTTGCTGAAAGAAGCTCGAGTCTTCTGTGTCCTCGCCATTGTCCTTCCCCTCGGCTAATCATTTCACCTACAACTGACTAGCATCAAGTACTATAAACTTCCCACTCCTTCGGGACGCTGTCCTCGTTCTCGTCGCTACACACGACACTTCACACCCACCGTGGCCAGCGCCAGCATCTAATATTGCTGGCACTGCTGGCGCGTTCCGCTTCTACTCCTAGCACTCATTCACACAGCTTAGAGCCCTCACTGGCATCGCTAGCACTTGCTACAGCGGCCGGACATCAGCAGGGCCTGCGAGTCTAATCAGCCAAGACGATCTCGCAAGCCTAGCTAGTAGTGGGCGGGGCGGACAAGTCAGTCTGACACTGCTTCAGGAACGACGCTGCTTCAGACGCGATCGCTTCTATGTATCACCAAAACAAAAAAGCACTATAGGCCCAATGGATGTCCAGCTGTGGCTTGGCCGCCTACGCCGCCGGCAAAAGAGCAGGACGACGGCACAAGGATTTTCGTCCGACTCATGTATTTTAACTAACTTGATACTGGTGCCGAAGTAACCTGGTAGAGAGCAGTTCACTCACGACACCCGACTTCCCAGCGCCAGATGGGTATGGGTGGAGAAACTACAATTCGCGAGAGCGGAAATGGCATCAGATGGGCAGGGGTGCAGGCGCTACAATTCTTCAGAGCGGCAATGGCCCAAGAAGGGCATGGACGGGGCAAGACGCTACAACTCTTAAGAGCGGAAATGGCACCAGATTGGTGGGTATGGATGGGGGCGCTGCAATTCTTGAGAGCAGAAAAGGCGCACACGAGGAGCGAGACGACGACGAGGCCGAGTCCGAGGGGACTATGACCCATATGGACGAGGCCCCGAAGCTCGAAAACCTCGCTTTTTGCCACATATTGCATTTTTGTCCCGTTTGCCTTGGCAATTCATTGTCAAGGCCTTCAGCCGTTTTGGCAATTGTCAAGGCCATCGGCCGGTTTGCAATTGTCAAGGCCTTGGCCGGTCTGCCGGGGCAACTGTCAAAGCCTCCGGCCGTTTTGACAATTGTCAAAGCCTTGGCCGGTTTGCTCGCTGGTGCAACTGTCAAGGCCTTCGCCTGCTTGCCTTGGCAACTGCCAAAGCCTTGGCCGGTTTGCCGGGGCAACTGTCAAGGCCTTCGCCTGTTTGCCTTGGCAATTGCCAAAGCCTTCGCCCGTTTGCCTTGGCAATTGCCAAGGCCTTCGCCCGTCTGCCTTGACAATTGCCAAAGCCTGTGCCCGTTTGCCTTGGCAATTGTCAAAGCCTGTGCCTGTTTGCCTTGGCAATTGATTGCCACTCAAGGCCTTCAGCAGTTAGTTTTGGCAATTGTCAAAGCCTTGGCCGGTTTGCCTTGGCAATTGTCAAGGCCTTCGCCCGTTTGCCTTGGCAATTGTCAAGGCCTCAGCCTGTTTGCCTTGGATATTGCCAGGGGAGCCTTCGCCCGTTTGCCTTGGCAATTTTCAAGGCCTTCAGCCGTTTTAGCAATTGTCAAAGCCTTGGCCGGTTTGCCTTGGCAATTGTCACGGTTTTCGCCTGTTTGCCTTGGCACTTGTCACTCAAGGCCTTCACCCGTTTGCCCTGGCAATTGTCAAGGCCTTCGCCCGTTTTTGGAAATTGTCAAAGCCCTGGCCGGTTTGCCTTGGTAATTGTCAAGGCCTTCGCCTGTTTGCCTCGGCACTTGCCAAAGCCGTCACCCGTATGCCTTGGCAATTGCCAAAGCCTTGGCCCGTTTGCCTTGGCAATTGCCAAAGCCTTCACCCGTTTCTTTGCCTTGGCAATTGCCAATGCCTTCGCCCGTTTGCCTTGACAATTGCCAAAGCCTGAACCCGTTTGCCCTGGCAATTGTCAAGGCCTTCGCCCGTTTGCCTTGGCAATTGCAAAGGGCTTCACCCGTTTGCCTTGGCAATTGCCAAAGCCTGCGCCCGTTCGCCTTGGCAATTGCCAAGGCCTGCGCCTGTTTGCCTTGGCAATTGTCAAAGCCTTCGGCCGTTTTGGCAATTGTCAAAGCCTTGGCCAGTTTGCCTTGGCAATTGTCAAAGCATTCGCCTGCTTGCCTTGGCAATTGATAAAGGCAAAGCCGTCGCCCGTTTGCCTTGGCAATTGTCAAGGCCTTGGCCGGTTGCTTTGCCTTGGCAATTGTCAAGGCCTTCACCTGTTTGCCCTGGCAATTGCCAAGGCCTTCGCCCGCTTGCCTTGGCAATTGCCAAAGGCAAAGCGTCGGTCGTTTGCCTTGGCAATTGCCAAAGCCTGCGCCCGTTTGCCTTGGCAATTGTCAAAGCCCGCGCCTGTTTGCCTTGGTGATTATCAAGGCCTTCAGCCGGTTTGACATTTGTCAAGGCCTCCGCCTGTTTGCCTTGGAAATTGCCGGAGCCTTCACTCATTTGCCCTGGCAATTGTCAAAGCCTTGGCCGGTTTGACATTTGTCGGGGCCTCCGCCAGTTTGCCTTGGCAATTGTCAAAGCATTCACCCCCCTGCGTGCCTTGGCAATTGTCAAGGCCTTCACCAATTTGCCTAACTGGCAACTGTCGAGGCCTTGGCCGGTTTGACATTTGTCAAGGCCTTCGCCAGTTCGCCTTGGCAATTGTCAAAGCCTTGGCCCATTTACATTTGCCTACTTCTTGGCAACTGTCAAGGCCTTGGCCAGTTTGACACCTGCCAAAGCCGTCGCCTTGGCAATTGTCAAAGCTTTCACCCGTTTGCCTCGGCAATTGCCAAAGCCTTGGCCAGTTCGACATTTGTCAAGGCCTTCGCCTGTTTGCCTTGGCAATTGTCAAAGCCTTCACGCACCCGTTGGTTTGCCTTGGCAATTGCCGAGGCCTTCGCCTTGGCCGGTTTGACATTTGTCAAGGCCTTTCTTTGCCTGTTTGCCTTGGCAATTGCCAAGGCCTTCTCTCGCTTGCCTTGGTAATTGTCAAAGCCGCGGCGTGTTTGACATTTGCCAAAGCCTTCGCCCGTTTGCCTTGGCAATTGTCAAAGCCTCCGCGCGTTTGCCTTGGCAATTGTCAAAGCCTTGGCCGGTTTGGCATTCGTCAAGGCCTTCACCTGTTTGCTTCGGAAATTGTCAAGGCCTTCACCCGTTTGCCATGGCAATTGCCAAAGCTCTGACCCGTTTGACGTCTGTCAAGGCCAAAGCCTTGTTTGTCTTGGCAATTGGTGAGGCCTCCGCCCCTCCTTCGCCTGTTTGCCTTGGGACGAAATTGCCAAAGCCTTCGCCCGTTTGCCTTGGAGCGAAATTGTCAAAGCCTTCGCCCGTTTGCCTTGGCAATTGCCGAGGCCTTCTCTCGCTTGCGTTGGCAATTGTCAACGCCTTGGCCGGTTTGACATTTGCCAAGCCCAAGGCCTTCGCCTGTTTGCCTTGGCAATTGTCAAGGCGTTCGCCCGTTTGCCTTGGCAATTGTCAAAGCCTTGGCCGGTTTGGCATTCGTCAAAGCCTTCACCTGTTTGCTTTGGCAATTGTCAAAGCCCTCACCCGTTTGCCATGGCAATTCATTGCTAAAGCCTTGGCCGGTTTGACATTTGTCAGGGCCTTCGCCTGTTTGTCTTGGCAGTTGTTGAGGCCTTCGCCCGTCCTTCGCCTGTTTGCCTTGGCAAGCAATTGCCAAAGCCTTCGCCCGTTTGCCTTGGCAATGGCAACTGCCAAAGCCTTCTTTCACCCGTTTGCTTTGGCAATTGTGAAAGCCTTGGCCGGTTTGGCATTTGCCAAAGCCTTCGCCCCTTTGCCTTGGCAATTGCCAAGGCCTTCGCCCGTTTGCCTTGGCAATTGCTAAGGCCTTGGCCGGAGCCTCAGAACTTTCCCCTAGTGGTGGACGCCCTGGGCTTGCCCTGAGGTAATGGGAGAACCTCAGACCTTTCCCGCACTGGCGCACGTCCTGGGTTTCTGCTGAGGTAAGGGCGAACCTTAGACCCCCCCCGCTGGAAAACGCCCTGGGTTCTTTCCTGACGTAAGGGAGAACCCCTAGACCCTTGGGCCCCTTAAGCCCTTGGACCCCTTAGGCCCTTGGACCCCTCGAGCCCGAAGGCAATCCTAACCCTAAGCCCTAAGCCCACAAACGAAGCGTCGTAACGGTGGGGCCATGGCCTACGAGTGTGCTTGCAGTGGGGTTTTTTCTGATGCCGAGGCTTTCCTGCGTAGTTCTGCTTTTTTCCAGTGTTCCTCTTTTTGTAGCCATTTCTAGTTGGAGCACCCCCTTTACGCCACTAGTCGGAGTACCTGAAGACGCACCTTTTCGATCATGCTTCAAATACTAGACGAGATAACGACCACAACCCCCTCAGCATCTCAGCGCGCGAATATGCTGCAAAAGTCGACCAGCGCGCGAACATGCTGCAAAAGAGGCGCAACAGGTAACAAAGTGCGAAACTTACGCAGCACGCGAACGCGAACGGGCGGCGCAAAAGGTAAGGAGCGACCGGCCAAGCCCAGCAAAGTCTCCACCCAGCACCCAGGCGATGCACCTGGCGCCAGCCCCGAGGGGCAAACACTGAGTGACGCACCACCCGACGAGAGATTCTTTGACGACGAGGCAATGCCATACGGTGCTGCGGCGCCGTCCCTGCGCTAGCTCGCGAGTGGGAGTGTATAATACTAGAGGAGGCGTAACGGCTACAGCTAGCTACTCAGTTTGATAATGGAGCAAGTCTCTTGTCGACCCGTATCGCGTCGGCGTCTCAGGTTGCTCTAGTTGCCCGCCCTAATTTGTTGCGCGGCGCCCTTTGGGCGCAGCTTCGTGAGACTTCGAGAAACCTCAACAAGAGCGCACGGCGCTGCGAATCGTGTCGCTGCTCCATGCAATTTTCTCCGCTGCGCCCGGCCCTGCGGGCGCAGCCTTGGCAAGACGTTGACGCACTAGCAAACAAGAATGCTACAGCTCAGAAGAGTGGCAGAGTGTGCCAGCGGAAGACCGCCAAGGGGGCGGGAGTAAAATGCCCACAACAAGTCCAGCGCGCAGGCCCGGGGGGTGTGCGTAGCATGTACCACACCGGCCCAGTCCGCCAGCCGACTAAAGGAAAACCGCACTGACCGCGACCCGCCCAAACAGCCCCCGAGGCATGTTTATCAACTTCACAAGGGCACCCTTCGACCGCAAGCCCGCTACGCGCCCACCTTGGTGGGGACCCCTCCCACCGCGACGTCGAGGAACGAAAACCCAAGCCCAGCCTGGCACCCCCCAAGGAACCAAACCACAAGCACAGGGGGGCGAGGCACTTGCTCCTCCCGACCACCGCGACCGCGTGGGGAGGGGCGCGCCACTATCGATGCCAAACGCAAAGAAGCAACACCGCTCCAGCCTTCTCCTGTGAAGGAGCTCCAGCCCCCAAAGTAAGAGGGCGCCCCGCTTTCCAGGGTGGACTCTTGCACCCGCTCCGCCCTGCGTGCTTCGCTACCATTTTGACGCAGCTCGCTTCTGCTGGGAACTCATGTCAACTCGTTCCAGAGTTGGGGCCTTCGCTTCGGCAACTCGAGCGAGCCGAAGCCCGTTGCTGGCCTTACTCTTACTATTATAATTTCGCGCGCAGTAGATTACATGATAGACTTAATGAAGTCCGAGCAGATAATAGACTTATTGAAAGATTTCAGAGCCGAATTCCAATACTTCAGCAACGAGTTTCAATATTTCAGATTGTTCGTCGCGCGCGCAACCTAGTGCGGAATACGAGGCGCCGCAACTCCTCTCCGCTGGCGTTGCGGAGTGCTTCTATTTCAACACTAGGCAGGTTTGTCCGATTACGTCCGACCGGACTCCGGAAGCAATGCGCGGCGATGTGCATCGTGCACCAAGTGCAGCGCGCGCCGAGTGCAGCGCGCACCAAATGCAGCGTGCGCTAAGTGTAGCGCGCACCAAGTGCAAGGCGCACCAATTGGAGCACGCGCGCGTGCGTCCCCTGCGCGGCGCCCTTGTGCACCTGCAAGCGCGTACTCATTTGACTGCGCGGCGCCCTGCAAGTGCACCAAGTGCACCCTGCAAGCAGGCACGCCTGCACGTGCGGCCCGCACTTAGCGCGCCTGCACTGCACGCACTTGGCGCGTCCCCGCGCTAAGAATCACAGAGAAAGGGCGAGCTGTTGCCTTCTTCACGCACCGAGCGAAATGATTGAAATTCGGAACTTCAATGCATCTGCTCAAATCTATTACCTGCTTAATAAGTACCATACAGTGCCTCAACATCTCAGCGCGCGAACATGCTGCAAAAGTCGATAGAAAGCGTCAAACTGAACCAGCACGCGAACACGCTGCAAAAAAAGAGGCAATACAGTAAAAGTATGAAATATAGTCAGCACGCGAACGCGCTGCAAAAGTTAAGTAGCCATTGGCTAAGCCGAGCGAAGCCCGCACCCAGGCGAGGCACCTGGCGCCAACCCCGAGGAACAAACACTGACGCAGCACCCAAGTGAGGTTTTTTTACAAATAGGCAATAACGCACGAGGCCTCGCCGTCGTCCCTGCGCTAGCTCCTCGCGATTGTATAGAGCATATTTGTAGTCGGCTCGGCAGTGTTGCCTTCGGCTTTCCCTGTTCATGTAAGGACTAGCGGGGGCTTTGCAGAGCACGATGGAGCTCGCTCGCGACGATGTTCGAGGTCGAGCTGATTGCGAGAATTGCCTTCTTGCATTCTTGATCAGCTAATACTAGAGGGGATAACGACTAGGACTACAACTACTCCACCACCTAGGAGTGCTTGTTTCTTTTCATCTTCTTGCATGAAAGTAGCTTAGTAGAAGTACCTAGCTCCTCTAATCCAAGTTGCTGAAGTACTAGGAGCCGGAGTCCAGAATACCAGCTGAATGTGAATCGTCCTTCTACCTGTGCAGGCTTCATCTTCTTTTGCCTCTATTTTGGCATCGGCATGGTTCTCGTCGTGGCTTGATCGAAAAGCTTCCCTACGATGAAGCCTCCGAAACCCACAGCGAGGCCCAGATTCTCGTGCGCATGCAGCACCTTCCGGAGATTCGCTGCCGTGAAGGTCTCCGGGCTCCCTGCAACGCCCGCACTCGGGTTGAGCGACCCGTTGATTTGCTCTGCCAGCACGGTCAAGTGGACCTCAGATCCTGGAGCGAAAAAATCCTGTCTCTTGCCAACGCTCCACTCCGACTGCTGAAACGGCACAACTGCCGTGATCTCGAGATGACCAGCGCCAGAGAGCAGATTCCACTCGTATTCTGTAGGGTGCCCAGAGAAGAAGGTCACCGGGAGGGCAGGCGTCCGCTTGCTGTCGCTGATCAGTGCCCTTAGCGCCGCCTCTGGCGTCTCGGCAGCGGGCGTCTCCAGGGCTGTGAGTAGCACGAAATACGGGTCGCCTCGTGTCTGGGCTTCGGGGTGACGGTTGTGGCGGTTTTCTATTCCCTTGTAAATACTTGCAATTCTCGACGGGACTTTTTCGCTGTCGCTCCAGGAGTCTAATTTTAGGGAGCGAAAGATGAGAGGGCCCGCCCTGGGTTCGCTTGTAGTAGAAGTCATCGGCCAGAATAAGTATTTCACCTCCCCGGGGATGATTGTGTACAGTTGCGAATTGTTGTCGTCCTCGAGCTCAGATAGGTATGGCAGGCGGTGTTCTACAGGCCCGAACGCTCCGCCTGCTTGTTGTTCCTCTTCTTGTGTACTACGAGCGGACCGGCACGCACTTGCGTCGGAAAAAAAATTATGTTTCGGCACAAGTCCAGTTGTGCAGCTTTCTACATCGTCAACATCAGATGACTTTGTGCCCCGAAAGAACCACTTGTATGGATAGTATCCTGCCCGGTACAATGGCAACGCATACCGGCCTGCCAATCGAGGCGCAGCTCCTGTTGGATCTAGAAAGCCAAGCCCATCCAACTGTTGCGCGTCGGCTGCACGACTATCGTCGCCAAGTCGCACCATGCGTGTGACGGTTTCCCCCCAGTGGTCCAGGTTTTTTATTCCGTGCTCGGCAAAGAACGCCCCGAGCCCGCTCATCTTGAGAAACAACAGCGCGCGCTCCACTGCAAGCAGCCCGCGCACCCTCCCGGAGCAAGACGCTTCGTGTCCCGCTTGTTGTCCTTGTCCTCCAACTCGTTCTGCAGCACATCTCTGCGGAGTTTCATCTTCCACCTCCTGCGCAACCCGGTACAGAAAATAACAAAAATGGTCAGGTTCTTGGTCAGTGAAGCTCTTGATGGGCAGAGCGATGTTCACCGCGAGCCAGTCAACGAACGCCGCACCGAACTTGCCTTCCGGAGCGAGTACGGCTCGCCGCTCATCATTGTGCCCGCAGGAAGAATATTCGCGGCAGCCTTCCGCAAACCTCGGATAGACGGCTTCGCGCTCCGTGTTTCTAATTGCAGTTGGCATCATCTCCCCCATCTGCTCCCGTAGTTGTGACGTTGCCCGAGGATCGTCGTCGTTTCCGAAGGCGAACTGGTCTGTGGCTGGATCGTAGCTGATTCTTTTTATGTCAGACGGTTCTTCAAGTAGACAGAACTGGGCCACCATTTTCGCGGTTGCTTGTGCCGGTGCTGCGTGGACGGCTGCTCCCCAGGTCAATCTTGCTTTCCTCTGCGCGTCATCCACACGATAGCCCCAGTTGCTTTCGTGCTTAGCCGCGTTTTTTGTGGAACCACGCATAATAAAGTCCTCGTAGGCCGCGCGCATCTCCTGGTGCCCCGTAGCGCTCCAGTACCCAACGCCAGAAATGCGCTGGCTCTGTGCGATGTTTCGCCGCTGCTCCACCAACAGCTGGATGTAGCCCGGGGACGCGGAAGATCGGAAGGCGGCTGATAGTACATGACTCGCCCCCGTCGCAAACGCGGCCAGAAAGACCATAAAACTCTTCATGATAGATTTTGACCCAGATTCTTTTTTAATATACTGAGAAGTAAATTTGTAAAAGTATGCTATATGAAGATGCTACAGTCCTGTGGCAACTCGTTCATCTTCGGTCTTTATGCACTTTTTTTTTCACGAGCACTGCTGTTCACGAGGGAAGTTCTCGCTTTTTGTCGGAGAGAAGCTGGCTGTGCCACACGTGGGAGACCAAAGCTTCGATGAAGAAGCACTAGCACATAATTAAAAGGTCTTGACTTTGGGCTCTAAAGCCAAAACGCAGAAGATAAAGTCAGGAAGAGGTGAGACACCTTGATGCAGTTGCAGCTGTAGAATTACTACAGCTGCAGTTTCCTATCCAAAGAGTGAAATAAGCTGCCGCTGCGAGCCGGAGCCCCCTTCTATAACTACGAAGTAGGTAGGTTTGGAGTTGGGCGAGCAGTCACTTAATAGTCGACGTTTAAACCCTTGCAAAAGCAAAACTTAAGGTTGAGCTTACAAGTTGAGTAAACTACAAGCTATACTTCGTACGGAGCTACTAGTAAACCTATCTTCGCAGGAGGGCGAGGGGTAGACTGGGGCAGCTGTAGCCACGCGCGATGTTTTTTCACAAATGTATGATGTATTAATGACTACGGCTCGGCGGGCAGAAAGTAGGACGCTTCTAATCCCGTTGTAGCTGAGAATAGCGTGGGGAGCTTGGGCTTACCGAGTTTTTGCATTTTACGACGCTTCTGCTGACCAGGATCCAGCATCAGTGTTGCCGATGTATTGCTGGACTTTATCAAGACGCCAATCAAAACTCCCAGGATGGAACGGAGGCAAGGCGAAAGCCTCCACAACTTACATACGGACTGGGGGGGCGACCCAATGCATTCACACACAAAAACTTCGCACAATTTGGCTAGAAATTTGGCGAAAAGCCGAATACTTGCAAAAGTTTCTGATGATAGAACACGACAAGCCAGAATAGTTCTGAGCCTGTACTTCGTTCGCAGAGCCCTACCAAATCCCCCAAGCCCTTTAGGAAGACCAAACACCTACGAAAGCGCTGGGCCCTATTACTTCTAAGCTGTGGAAGTTGTGACGAGTTCGCTGCGCCCGAGTTGTGGGAGTTGTGGCAGCTACTGCGACCAGCCTGAAAATTACTGCGACGAGCCTCAGTGGTCCTACCGTGACTAGTTGCAAAATTAGCGCGACTAGCCGCAGAAGTGCTGTGACTAGTCGCAGAACTATTATGACTAGCCGCATAATTGCGGCGACTAGTCTCAAACCAACTTACTGCGACTAGCCTCCGGCGTTCTGTGGCTCGTCTCAGACTTGCCGGGACTAGTCTGCGACGCACTGTGGCCAGCCTCAGTCTCATACTTAGTTCAGCGACTGGTCTCACGCTCACCCTCACTGTGACTAGCCTCCAACTTGCTGCGCCTAGTCTCTAGCTGAGTTTGTCGGGCTATTCGAATCCTAACGCCATCAGAATACACAAGCGCCAGCTTCTGACGGTGTTAGCTGGGTTGTGCTTTGCTCAATTAAGTGGGGCAGTCGAAAACGACTGCGATTTGAAGACATTGAAGAGAGCTATAATACCCAAGAAATTGCACATGAATCCGAATGAAAAGCGGCCCAGTGAATTTCGCCGCACCTGCCACAGAAGCAGGTGAGGAGCTCGGCCCATGTGCGTGCCCAGTTCTGTGCCCAATATCTTGCAGCTGTGCACTGGGCAAGACTGGCTTGACGTTGGTCTGGGCTGGTTTTGGAGTGCCTGGACTGGGGTCGAATACCTAACGGACCTGGACTTCCTTGCCTTGCCTTCCTCCCTTGCCCTTCCCTCGTCACAGTCGTGCCCCCCTCACCTCGCGCCCACTTGGCGAACAGGCTCTATAATGCCCAGAATTCAGCCCACTCCAAGCCCAGCCGCGTCCAGCTCCAGCCCCTTGTCTTCTGTTCTCTTCTCGCGCTCGCTATCGGCTTTAGCTGAGGGGCCAGCCCTATGGCTTCCAGAGTTCAGCCCCCGCTCCAGTCCAGCCCTGTCCTGCACTGGTCTGGTGGTCTCGGCTGGGCCTGGAGTGTGGTGTCTGGACTGGGCTGGGGTGGACGACTGGAACCGAATGGGCTAGGCCTGGGCCTCACCTGGGTGCAGGCGCTCCCTTGTCGCATCTCTTACTCTTGCCGTAACTTTACTAACTTCACCGCTGCGCGGCGCCACTGACTCGGCCCGCGCTCTGCCTGAGGAGCAGGCCCTGAGAAATGGTGCCCAGAGTTCAGCCGCGACCCCGAACCCCATCCGTTTTCTTTTGCATTGCCTTCCCCTTGTCCCAGTCGTGTCGTGTCACTCTCCGAAGGACAGGCCTCATTTAATGCCCCGAGCTCGCTCAGCCTTCATCCAGTCCGTGCCTATATCCAGCCAAGTCTTGCACCGGACTGGCCTGCCCTGGTTCTTCTCTGGAATGGAGCGCCTGAAGAAGTGGAATCGAATAGAGCGGGGCCGGGTGCGGTTTTCTCCTGTCCTGTGTTTCCCCTGTCAAGTCACAAGACAGGACAAGAAAGCGACAGCCGCTTGAGCTTGTTGAGAGTCGAGCGAAAGGAACCACAGCGAACGAGTAACGGAAGTGGCGCCGCGTTTCCTTTCGCTCGCGTCGGCTCTCAAACTCAACCCACACGCACTAGACTACACCTGGCGAAAGGGCTTTAAAATGTCCAGAGCTCCGACCACATCAAGCCAGGCCAGCCCTACTCCAGTCCACGCCGATCCACATGCACATACACGACACCCGACGCCAGTTAAGTGCCTCTCTTGCAGTGCACTGGAAGGGACTGGTCTGCGCGAACTGCAAGCGCGACTGCCGCGCGGTCTCATGCGTAGTCTCAGAGCCAGAGTAGTCCCGAGCTCCTTCCTAGTCCTAGCCCCCGCCCTCCTCTTCACGTGTGTAGCCATAGCCTGCTCGCGGTCGCGCCTCGCTTTGGTTGCGACCTTAAGCTAAACTAAAACGCGACATCTTCAAGCGTTCTTAAAGTTGGACTTAGATGGACGCAGACTAGCGCCAACGCTGCTCCCTACTCCTCTCCCCTCTTCACTTCTCGGCTGCTCTGCTACTCCTGACACGTCGCCGCATCTCACTCAAGACAACCAGACCACTGCCAATCTGCCTCCGATTCGAGCCCCATGCGCTGCGACCGAATCCCAAGGGCGCCGCGATCCGATACTCTTAGAGCTATGCTACACCGCCCTGCGCTTTCTGTCTTTTCTTACCCTCAGGAAAGATCCGACCAACGCAGCGACAGCACAAGAAAAGAGAAGACAAGCCTGGCCAGGCTGAGCCCCAAGGGAATTGGAGGCGGCTCAGATCAACAGAGCAGACCACCCGAGGGCAATAATTGAAAATCAGGCACAGTTCAGAAGAGAACACCGCGACAGACCTGGGCGTGGGCGCAGTGCAGTCGGCAGCCCTTCAGCGGTCTGAATTGGTTCCGGTGCTCCTAAGTCCTACGCTTTGCGTTTTTTTCTGATATAGTTCAGCCTCATCTCTATGAATTTCGTCACCCTTGCAAACACACTCACAAGAGAAGACCAAGAGGGGGCCTAAGCCAGCGAGTGCAATGCGCTGCGGCTGCCTCGGCTCTTCTGCTCTCAACTCTAACTCATAAGACCGGTCGGGATTCAGGAAGGCTGGATAGCATAGCATAGCAGCGATAGCGAAGCGAGGCTGAAGCGCCCGCGCTGCGTAAGGCTGAAGCCGCGCGTAGCCAAATACTTGCGCCGTTTTAGATATTCAGCCCCAGCGTCTGCGCCGAACTTCAGACCACACACAAGAGCTGACCAGAGGACCGCACAGCCCGGCCCGGCACTGGAACAAGACAGCAAGAGCCCTGGCAGGTCCTCCACCGTAGCAGACCAGACCAGAGCACAGAGGGCGCCGGACTTGGATTGGGCGGCAGCGGGTGCTGGTCCGGTCTGATCTGATGCGCGTGCGGACAGGCACTGGAGTGGACTGGAGGCGAGCCGAGGCCAAGCGAGGCCAGGCGTCTCTCTGGTGGGCCAAGCGAGGCCAGGCGAGCCACGGCCCAGCAAGTGGCTAGGTCACTCTCTCGCCTCATATCATGCGGGGGCTTGCCGGTCACTTTAAAAAACACCACCAAGCCACCGACCGGCACCAGATTGATGGACCCCACAAGACGGCGGCGGCCTTCAGTTCGCCGCCACTCAATGGACAGGGAGCGGCGGCGGGAAACTCCCAGGGGAAGACGCTGCCAAGACCACGCACCATGCCCGCCACCCGCAGAAAAAAGCCACGCTTTTCCTGCAGCGCTTGCAGACGCGCCGGCAGCCAGCCAAAAGCGGCACCCCAAAGGCGGCAGAGCGGCTGCCCCAGCACTGTGGGAGCGCCCAGCCCCTCCGCTCCCGGGAGGGATCAAGGGGGGGCACGGGGAGAGGGGAGCACCCACGCACGCAGTTACGGGGGGGGAAGGACGGGCTTGAAAGAACCACCAAAGAGCACCCCGAGCCCCCGCCGGAGGCCCCGGCGGACAAAACCAAAAGCGCCACCATTGAAAAAGAGAAGCCGACGAGCACAAAGCAAGCCCCGCCATCAGCTTGAGCCTAGTGGCCAGAGCGCAGCCAGCAAAAAGGGGCCAAAAGGTGAAAAACTGGACCCAAAAGCGCAGAAAAGACCACCGCTGCGGCGGTTCTTGGGTTTCGCCCTCTTCCCTTCATTTGGAAGACAGAGTGTGCCCAGGCTTTGGAGGTTTTCGGTCATGGTTTCGCGCCTGCATAAAATTAAGAGGGGAACACCGACCACGCAGCGCTCTCGCTCCTGCGTTTTCAGTGGTCCAAGAACACCCCCAAGCCAATTTTTTTGAGGCGCAGCCAAAGGCTGACCCGCGTAACAACAAAAACAAACCGGAGCACGCGCCACGAGTTCCGTCCGAGTTAGGGCAGGGGCTAAAGCCTAAAACACAACCGCTAGGGGGGCTCTAGATCTTGCAGCTTACAACTTTGCGGCGCGGTGTGCTACGTTGTTTGATTGAATTAGAAGCGGCTTACGAGGTCAATGCCCGAACGCCTTTCATGCGTCAAGAGGTCAACGAAGCCAATTGCGTGCGCCTTTTTGCTCGTTTTGCATTTCAGAGCCCCACTAGGGTGGTTTGCGTGCCTGAATTCTTTTCAGAAAGAAACTGCGTGCATGTGTGGAGCTTTGCGAGTGGTCGAATGGGGCTTGGGGAGTGGGCGCGTGGGGCTTGGAGGGTGGACGAGTGCCCGCGTGTTCGTTGCAGGGTGCGCGGCCCCCTGCTAGGATGGTGGATAGTCCTCAACGACTCACTCGCTCAAACCTGCCTAGGCGACGCGCTTCACTTTCCTCGAAGGCCATAATTAGGCAGCAACGGCTCGACAGAAGAACCCGACTGCCACCCCTATGCACTATGGCGAGACGACTGACGACTCGACGCGCACAAGAGTAGACAAAACAACACACGAAGCAAAGCAAGGGGCGAGCAGCTAAAGACTGCACCACACCACAAGCACAGACGCGGGCTCTGTGTTTGTGACGAGCCAGAGAGGCCAAGCGAGGAAAGCCCAACCAACCAAGGAGAGCCCAACCAACTAAGGAAAGCCCAACCAACAAAGGTAAGGAAGGCCCGACCAACCAAGGCCCAACCAGCCAAGGCCCAGCCAACCATGGCCGAACCAACCAAGGCCCAACCAACCAGAGCCCAGCCAACCAAGGCCCAACCAAGACCAACCAAGGCCCAACCAACGAACCAAGGAACGACACCGAAAGCCCAACCAACCAAGGAAGGCCCAAACGACCAAGGAAGGCCCAAGCAACCAAGGAAGGCCCAACCAACCAAAGAAGGCCCAACCAAGCAAAGAAGGCCCAACCAACCAAGGGAGGCCCAACCAAGGAAGGCCCAACCAACCAAAGAAGGCCCAACCAACCAAGGCCCAACCAACCAAGGAAGGCCCAACCAAGCAAAGAAGGCCCAACCAACCAAGGGAGGCCCAACCAAGGAAGGCCCAACCAACCAAAGAAGGCCCAACCAACCAAGGAAGACTGACCCAGCCAAGGAAGGCCCAACCAACGCCAACCAAGGCCCAACCAAACAAGGCCCACTCAACCAAGGCCCAACCAACCAAGGCGAGGCCCAACCAACCAAGGCCCAACCAATCAGGGCTCAACCAATCAAAGAAAGCCCAACCGACCAAGGCCCAACCAAGCAAGGAAAGCCCAACCAAGCAAAGAAGGCCCAACCAAGCAAGGGAGGGAGGCCCAACCAACCAAGGCCCAGCCTGCCAACGAACCAAGGCCCAACCAACCAAGGGCAAGGAAGGCCCAGCCAGCCAATGCGTAGTAGCACGCGGCGGGAGAGCATTGCCCAGGGAAGAAGCCCGCAAGGGCTCGCGCCTCCTCTTTTGGTTGAGTTTCGACGGTGTAGCGTGCTCGCCGTGCCTCTGGTGCTTCCGCAGGTGGTTGACTAGGCTAGCACGGCGCTAAGCCAGCTAATAGCTGCACAATGTCGGCCACTATTGTCGCCGCCTAGTCCTGGAAGTGCTCCGCCTAGCGACTTCCGCAGCCTGCTCCCCCCTGGCTTTCCTGTCTTTTGGTTGCGTTTCATGCGATTCCCCGCGCCCCTCCAAAGTCCACCGCACCAGCCTGCGCCGAGGGACTTCGGAGGGGAGCGGGGGCCTGGAGGGTGCCCGAGGTTCTTTGCTCGCAATTTGGGGGCCATCCTGAAAGGAGCGCAGTAGGCGGCGAGTGTCCTTCAGATTCACATCATGCCCGGAGCCGGAGAGGCTGAATACTGTCCGGGCTTTTGCAGTCCTTGCTTGAATTTTCTCGAAAGTTTTTCCTAATAAAATATGAGAACGAGAGCGATCCTGAGTCCCTCTATCCTGTGCACGAGTAGAATTCTCTCGCTGAGGAGAGGGCGAGGTAGATATCTTCTCCTGTGGGCAGCATGATAACCGAACCCCGCGACGGTGCTAACCTCAAGCAAGGCACGCTTCTCCTCGAAGTGCCATATGGGGTATAGTACTCACAACTACCTTCAGGGCGATACAAATCCGTCTCCTTCCGCCAGCTATTGGAGAGTGTCAGAACAATTGGCGTGAAGCGTTTAAAACGAAGAGAGGGCCCAATGAACGTCGATCACCTGCTTCAGAGAAGATCCAGGTATGCTATTGCCACTCATGATAGACAGCTGCTGCTACTCCAAGAGCCAACGCACGACCGATCGTCCTCTGGACCACATGAGCAGCCGTGGGCGTCAAAAAAAACAAGGGCCCGCGAAGATTACAAGCTCAAACGATGCCGGATGCTGGAGGCGAGACGCCAGGCCCCAAGTCATACAACCCTGCCTCCCCAACACATGCACACTCATCCACACAGGCGCGAGCGAGCGGACGCGAAACAAAGTGACCGCCTGAAAGCACACCGCTGAAGGCAGAGCTCGCGCCGTGCACTGCCTTCGGCACGCACACATCACGCGGGCTTGGGCGTATCAGCCCCGGCCCCTCAACGGCGTGCCCCTGAGCGCGCTCGGGCTGTACCCTTCGGCGGGCGAATCAGCCCAGCCCTACCCCCACTCGCATGTCGCTGACCACGCTCAGGCCGTACTCTTCTGCAAATAAAGAAAATCACGCGCCAAGCCAAGGACCTCTACGCGGCATGTCGCTGACAGCGCTCGAGCCGTGCCCCTGGGCACATATCAAACACATGCGGACGAATCAGCACAGCCCCGGGGCAGCATGCCTCTGGCAGCGATCAGGCCGCACCCTTCAGCACATATTACGCACACCCAGGCGAATCAGCCCGGCCCCTCGTCACCATTTTCCTGATAGCAATTCAGCTCCAGCTCGCACAAGCAAACGCGCACGCAGATCAGCCGCGGCCTCGAGGGCATGTCCCTGAAACAAACAAAGCGCTTCAACACGAACACTCGCCCAGCCCCAAGCACAAGCACAACATACACACGCGCATCCGCGGTGGCCTTCCACAACATTCCCCCGACAGAGCTCCAGCACCCGCCGACACCTGCACGAGGGCCGAAAGGGACGCGTTACACCCACAGCAGCCCCGATAGGGCTCAAGCCGTGCCCTACTTCTTCGGCACACAGCGTCACACACTCACACGCGGCGCACGCAAATCCAAACCAGCCCTAGGTGGCCTTCAGCAACATGTTCCCGACAATGCCCCAGCACTATTTCCACACATGCAAAATAGCGTAAGAACCAGGGCCAGCCCTCTAGTCTACGCTACAGCGCTGACGGCGCTGCTTTTTCAGCACACATCACACCGACCCACACACACGCACGCGGACCAACGCTAGTCGTCTACACACCAGTCCCTAGCCGACAGAGCGGAGCCCGAGGAGTGCCCGGCACACATGACACAAACTCACGCGGGGGCACGTGTACGTCGGCCTTGTCCTTCAGCAACACGCGATGCCCCTGAGAGACCTCCAGCACCCGCCCACGCATGCACACCATGCGCGCGCGGGGCCACGCTGTCTGCCTAGCTACACAACGGCCCCAACAGAGCTCGACCGAGCTGTGCTCTGCCTCAGGATGCGTCAGACACAGCTTCGCAGGCGCGCGCGGGGCGGCCCTGGCCTTCAGCGGCCTGCCCCCTCTGACAGAGCTCCAACACCCGTCGGCGCATGTACTCGCCCACCTGAGCTCCGAACCCCGCAACACACACACGCCCACAACCGCGCGAGGGTCAACAGCATTGCCATGCAAGAGATCTCAATGAATACCAGGCACAACACCGGTAGCCCTAACACCAGCACGCCAGCCGCGTCACGTCTCTCTGAAGATACAATCGCAGCCGCCTTCCACACAGACGGCCGAGTCCTTTGCGGCCTCAGGGGGCAGAAGTCTAGCCTTCACACGAAAACGAAACCCGCCTGCTCGGCGTCGACCTCGGCCAGAGTTATAATATCTATATAACCCGCCAGGCGCAGGCCCCGAAACTTCAGGAAGATGCTGCACACCTGGCGAGCGAGAAAGTGCTCTCTACAGCTTCAGCCTGCGCTTGTCTAACCCCGGCCCTATAAATGCAATGGCTATAGTAATAGTGGTTAAACTTAAGTTATTTAGTATTCCGTTTTTGCTCACGGCTGTCTGTCGGTATGGCCCTGAGTGCTCGCAGCACAAAAATCTGCGAGAATCTCTGCCAAGGTGAACGCACTGGAGCTCAGAGACTACTGCTTGAGCGCATACTTGACAGCGAGGGGACCCTCAAGGCAGCCGAGCAGCCCACCCACGCTGCTATTGCGGAGTGCCGAGATCTACCGCCTGCGCACTGCTGCTGCATCGTGTGTTATTTGACTCCGCACACTTCTCCTTCTTTACGGTGAATAACCTTCCAACAGAGATGGCCGCGTATGCTGCTACCCCAGAGCAGCAAGAGCAGACTGCTGCGCCTCCACGTCATGTAGTGCCACATACCTTCCTCCGCAAGCATGGGGCGAGGAATGCGTTCACTAACTTGCGAGCTTCAATATAAGTGCCTCGAGGATGTTCATATTAGTGCGTATGTACTTCACTTGGGCCTTGAGTTCCAGAAAGTGGCCGCGTGATGCACTTCATCTTCACCAGAGAAGTAAGCCCATGGCCAGCGACCAGGCACAAACGAAGACAAAGTTAGTTTGGCCAACGCTAACCGACTCCAGCTGAGCACATCCAGAGACACCCCGCTCTTCACTGCTTGCTTCGGCAGGAATGCGTCATGTTGGCAGGCCAAGATCTTTAATATGGCACCGCTTCGCCCTTCATCATAAGAACGCAGCGGCGGTCTTCATCGAAGGCCGGCATGGAAGCAGCTGGAGCTAATGATCACATAGCAGAGCAATTTATAAGGTTCCACAGCTCGCACGGCATGGAGTGCATGGATCGCATGGAGTAGCATGGAGCTAAAGGGGGAGCTTCTTGCGCCCCTTAGTTTAAAGCCCTGCGCCCCATGCACTCCATGCTACTCCATGCACCATGCGCGCGATAAACTACTCTGATAGAACTGAACGAAAACAGCCGCCACCGTTCTTCTTCGAAGCACCCGCTTGGTCATGATCACCGCCACCCAGAGTAGGACGCTGAGGTGTTCCGACGTGCGATATTCAGTATTCGAAGGGCCTTGCTCCAGCCAGATAGCCACGCATGATGGCGTTGCAAAAAAAGCGCACAAGGATACTCCCGGCAGCGCAGCCTATTGGGCTAGGAGAAGGAAGCGAGGCTAGAGACAAGCCCACTGACTATCTGATCCTCTGGCGAAAACTTGCTTCTTTGAGGCGATTTTGAGCACTTTGCTCCGGCAGCTCTTAGCCCTCAGGCCGACGCGCTAGGTGCTTCCAGTGCCTCTCACCCTTGTCCTGCACATACATGACGACTAGCGCCGAATCAGTACAAATTAGCGGCGAAAAGTAGCCCCCTGCCTTTGGACGAGAAGCAGCAGAAGATCACTCGATCAGTGCAACTGGCCAGTCAGTAGACCCGACAGCTTCTACGTGGCAATGGTGGCTGCGGATGACTGAAGACGGCGACAACCCACCAAGGCGCCATGCTACGCTACCGGTGGGGAATGAAGGCCACGGCAACTCAGCAGCGCGCGAAGCTCCCTGCGGGGCACTGAAGGCCACGGCAACTCAGCAGCGCGCGAAGCTCCCTGCGGGGCACTGAAGACAGCGGAAACTCAACAGCGCACTGAGCTCCCTGCGGCGCACTGAAGACCAAGAGGGCGGCAACGTGGCATACCAATATCCCACAGCGGCAACTCGACGCAGCGATGTGGCCCCTGCCTGCGAAAGACTGAAGACAGCAGGGGGCGCATGGCTGCCTGTGGCGGACTCAAACCGGCGACAACACAGCAGACCAGCATGCCGATCTGACCCCTGCGGAGCACTGAACACCGCGACAACCTAATAAGACGCTATGCCCCTACTTGCTGCGCACTGCAGACCGTGGCAGCCCAGCAGTGCTGTGCCTTAGTCCCCTGCGGGGCACTGACGACCGTGGCGACCCAGCAGAGCGCTACGCCCCTTGCGGTGGACTGAAGACAGCGGCAACTAAGCAGCGCACTATGCCCTTTGCGGAGGACTGAAAACCGAAGCAACATCACGCACCGCGATGCCCCTTGCGGGCGACAAGAGACAGCGGCAACCAAGGACCCCAATATGATCCCTGCGGAGCACTGAAGACAACGGCAACCAAACAGCGAGCTAAGCTCCCTGCGGCGAACTAAAGGCCGTGGCAGCTCAGCAGGACGCTAAGCCCCTTGCCAAGGGCTGAAGACCGTGGCCACCCAACAAACAGAGCGCTACGCCCCTTGCAGGGACTGAAGACAGCGGCAACTCAGCGGCGCGCCATGCCCATGCCCCTTGCTGGGGACTGAAGACCGCAGCGCCTTCACCTATCGATACGCCTTTTGCTAGGGACTGAAGACAGCAGTAACTTCCCATACCGATGAGCCCCTTGCCGGGCACTGAAGACCGTGGCAGCCCCGCAGCGCCTCAGCCCCGACCACGACAACACAATGGGACGCTATACCATTTGCGGGGGCCTGAAGAGCGTGGCAACCCAGCAGAGCGCTGCGCCCCTTGCGGGGAACTCGAGACAGCGGCAACTCAGCCGCGCGCGATGCCCTTGCTGGGGATTGAAGAGACAGGAGACAGCGGCAACTTCGCACCCCGATATAATCCCTGCGGAGCGCTGAAGACAGCGGCAACCCAACAGCGAGCTAAGCTCCCTGCGGCGCACTGAAGACCGTGACAGCCCAGCAGGATACTAAGGCCCTTGCTAAGGGCTGAAGACCGTGGCCGCCCAACGAACAGAGCGCTACGCCCCTTGCGGGGAATGAAGACAGCGGCAGCTCAGCAGCGCGCGATGCCCCTTAATACTGGGGACTGAAGACAGCAGCGCCTTCCAATATCGATAACGATATGTCCCTTGCTGGGTACTGAAGACAGCGGCAACCCAGCAGCGCCTTAGCCCCCGGCGGAGCACTCAAGACCGCGACAACCAAGTAGGACGCTACACCTACCCCTTGCTGGGCACTCAAGACAGTGGCAAAAACAAGATGCTAAACAACTTCCACAGGACTGAAGACCGTGGCAACGCAACAGAGAGCAGAGCGCTACGCCCCTTCCTGAGGACTGAAAAACAAGTCATACTGATATACCCCCGCGGTAACTTAAGAACGCACCGATATGCCCCTTGCGGGGGACTGAAGACAGCAGCAACTCCACAAGGCGTTAAGCTGCATGTGGAGGGCTGACAACGTCGGCGACGCCGCATACCAATATGCCCCTTCCGGAAGACTCAATGCAGCGGCAACTTGACATACCGATACGCCCTTTGCTGGCGACGGAAGGCCGTGGTAACCCCGCAGCGCCTTAGCTTCAGTGGGCGGGCCACTGAAGAACGCGACAGCTCAACAAGATGCTATGCCCTTTGCGGAGAACTGAAGTCCGTGGCAGCTCCTCAAGATGCCAAACGCCTTGCAGGGCGCGGCAACTCAACTACAGAGCGGCACGTCCCCTCGTGCGGGGGACTGAAGACCACGTCGTACCGATATGTCCCCGCGGCAACGTAACACTCCGATATGACTGAAGACGCCAGCAACTTCACAAGGCGCTACGCTACCTGTGGCGAACTCACGACGGCGGCAACACAGCATACCAACACGCCCCTTGCGGGGGACTGAAGACAGCGGCAAGACAGCATACCGATATGCCCCTTGCTGGGCACTGAAGACCGTGGAGCAGGGCGCTAAGCTCCTTGCGGGGCACTGAAGACCGTGGGGCAGGGCGCTAAGCTCCTTGCGGGCCACTGAAGGCCGGCCAACTCACAGAGGCGCTTTGCCCCTTGCTGGGGACTGAAGGCCTTGATAACTCAGCAGCAACTTCACAGACTGAGATACCCCCTGCTAGGGAGGACTGAAGCCCGCGGCCGCCACGCAGCATACCCATACCGACATGCGCCTCGCGGGGGACTGAAGACCGTGGCAACCCAGCGGGACACTAGGCCTCTTGCTGGGAACCCAAGAAAACGGCAAATTGACACACCGATATCATGTGCCTTGCGGGCGACTGAAGCCAGCGGGCGCTGGCGCAACACAGCATTCTCATACCGGCGCGCCCCTTGCTGGGGACAACTCCACATACCGATATACCCTTTGCTGGGGACTGAAGACACCGGCACCTCCGCAGCGCACTATGCCCCTTGCTGGGGACTGAAAACAGCAGCAACTTCACATACCGAGATGCGCCTTGCATGCTGGGTGGGGACTGAAGACAAGAGCAACTCAGCAGAGCGCTATGCCCCTTGCTGAGCTCTGCAGACCGTGGCAACTCGGCAAGGTGCTAAACCCCTTGCAGGGGGCTGAAGACCGTGGCAACCCAACTACAGAGCGCTACGCCCCTTACGGATGAAGACTGAAGACCAAGTCGTACCGATACGTTCCCGCGGCAACTTAACACACCGAGCTGCCCCCTGCGGGGGACTGAAGACAGCGGCAACTTACCCCACCGACATGCCCCCTGCAGGCACTGAAAACAATGGCAACTCAGCAGCGCGCTATGCCCCTTGCGGGACTGAAGCCCGGGGCAAATCAGCAGCGCACTATGCCCCTTGCGGGGCACTGAAGACAGCATCAACTTCATACACCGAGATGCCCCTTGCTGGGTGGGGACTGAAGACAGCAGCAACTGCACATACCGAGATGCCTCTTTCGGGGGACTAGCGGCAGCGGCAACTTCATATACCGAGATGCCCCTTTCAGGGGACTAGCGACCGCGGCAACTTCATATACCGAGATGCCCCTTTCGGGGGACTAGCGACAGCGGTAACTTCATATAACGATATGCCCCTTTCCGACACCGGCAATTTAGCACACCCAGATGCCCCTTGCTGGCCTCTGGAGAGCGTGGCAACTCAGCAGGGCGATAAGACTAAACTTCCTACGGGGCACTCCACGGCAAGACAACATACCGATATGCCCCTTGCTAGGGAGTGAACACAGCAGCAAGTCGACACTTCGCTCCCTGCTGACCACCCGGCTCATCTATACACACCTCGCAATACAGGACCATCTAACTACCAACCAATGAAAAAACTATCTAACTCTAAGAGCTAGTACTCCTACTAGTACTGCTGCCAATACCATACCAAACAAAAATGAGTTGTTTTGAAAATGCGAGAATGAGAGAAGTGCCTCTGAAGATCTGACCGCTCGTAATTTGTTGACTCCTAAGTCGTAGTTGCTATTTTTTACACAATAAGTCGAACACAACAACTGTCCAGCACGTCGTGCACAGCGACATCAATATCAATAACCAATCCAAAAATATCATAACCAACTCTAGATCACGTAGATCTTGACGTTGACTCTGAACAATGCTCTGGTTCTGGTACGTACTCCTACAGCACTATCAATCCGCTGAAAAATCTTTGATTATCACCTGGTCCACGTTGTTCATAAGTGTCTTCATTTTTCCAAATCATAATTGCTGTGTCGACGTTACACATTGTTCTCTTCACCACTTGATGTTCTCTTTACAGTTTCGTGTAGATCTAGATGTCACTGATGTAGTTGGTAAATTCGAATGCATAGCTAGGTATCATAATATTTCACTTGATTTACTAGATATTTCGTATTAAATGTGGTTGCAACTGCAAGCATCGTCCGCTAAAAAAAAGTAAAATGAATCTTGAAACTCCGTAGGTACTTCTGAAAAAATAGGTGAAATGAATCTTGAAACTCACATAAAAATCTTGTCACTCTCTCTCCTTCCTCACTAGGTCAACTCCTAGATTGATACAACTTTGCTTAGTGCCCCTACTTCCCCTTCCCCTCCTAAAGCTCGTTCCTTCTAACACTTTCCACCAACTACATCCTACTTTTGTCCCCCTGCTATAGTTTCCTAGAAGACATTTGCATTTGAAATTCGACCCGCCCATCAAGAATCGGAATTGAATACTCCCTGCTATTAGCAGTCTAAGACTGTCTTCTTTACTTAGCAGTCTTCTACTTATTCTACTTGTTTGAGGTCGACGTGGTCCCTACGGTTTTCTTCCTACGGCCTGGACGAGGTTGCAGAGTCTTCTTTTTCGCAGTGGTCGAACTAGACGCTGTCGAGCTAGCCGCTCTCTTCTTGCGTGCCCCGTCTTCTAGTCTGCTTGGTCTTAGAGCTGCTGCGCGGTGCTGGTCACATGATCACGTTCATGATAACTCATCATGGTAACGATTAAGATTATGATTCTTCAGATTCAAATATATTTATTTATCTAACGGTAAGGGTAATGTAATCGATCTGCTAATATGATCAAGATCATGATTCAACATAAGAAACTCAGTCAAGAAAAACAAAATTATTTACAACATACTTAGAATATATTTTTTCGATTAAGTAAAAAAGCCCTTAACTGTCCATCCCCATTCAGCGTGTCCTTGTCCGCTTTCTTCTTCTTCTTGTCGTCGTCAGAGTTTTCGCTGTCGGAATGTCCGTCAATAGATTAGAACAGTACACGTTAGGTTAAGTTAGGTTGGGGCCTACCATCCGATGTGGCAGACTTCAACGGCTGCTGAACACGGCATGTCATGTCATGCTACTTCATGGCCCATCATGTCAAACCTTTGCATCTTCATACGGTACCTGTAGCTCCAGTTGCAGGTGTAAATGATGATGATGAGAAAGAGGATTGGTAGAAGTACCTTCATGTGCCGAATCATCCTTATCGAAATCTCTACCCTCTAGTCCAGATTTTAGAGTCCCATGATCATGAACTAGAACTACTCTCCCTTCATCTACTACTAACTTGTACTATCATAGATGAACATGAACATTGGTTCGTCGATCTAGATCATGGTGACACATTCCGAAAATTCCCTACAGCTACAATTGAAGCCGTAAATGGAGTTCTTGTGTCCGACCAAACTGATTCCATTGTCTCGATGAAAGCTGTCTTGGATGGACCGCTCGAATGACCGGATTACCTGAAAGAAGTTGCAAAATGGCACAACATCCCACACCCACAACAAATACAGAAGAAGTCCACCTACTAGTAAGACAAAGACCACAACAATAAGTCCACCTATTACTGATAGACCTACATTATCTAGTACCTACAACAATAAGTCCAGCTACTAGAGAACAAGATACCTTTTCCACCAAGTTTTCGCCTTGTAACTTGTCGAACGTGAGGAAGGGTAAGCTACTTGGAGTCGTCGCTATCTCCATCTCCATGCCGCTATTGCCTGACAGTTGAGGCACCAAAGATCGTCCCAAGGCAACTCCGATCAGAACTTAGAAAATCAACTTGATGTTCTTGATTTGTAGGAGGTGTACGTCTCTGATAATGCCGTCCCTTCGTCCAGTAGAACATCAGTACTTGTTTGTAGGTAACAGGATTCCCCCTATAATGGTAGGCTATAATGCTAGTCAAGAAGAAAACGAAAAGTGCCTAGCATCTAGCATCTCGATGATGAATCATGGCCCACCAGTGCGTGCTAAAGCGCGCTATCAATATGATGAATGGACTAGGTGGCGTTTAACAAGGAGACCAGCAGACTATCTAGTAAGTTACTTATCGTTTAGAGACGAGCACGCAGGTAATTCGGGGCGAATATAAAGCAGAGTTTGAGTTGTATTTTTGAACTCTCACTCCATGGTTTGACTCCTTTTGGTTTTTACCTTAGAAAAGGTATGCATGCTGCAATCTTGGTCGATATAAATTTATATAACAACTGTCTTGGTCTTCTAGGCGTTGACGAGTGCATAACATTCTGCCCGCCTCGGCGTGAAGAGCTGAATGCTGCGTTGGCCTTCTGGCTTACGGCTTCCGTGTGAGCAGATGCCGAACAAGCTGATCTCCACGGTGAAGGAAAGTTAGATGATGCTGAAGGAAAGTTACTTACATCTTGAGAGGGATTCAGATCATGGTGAAAAACTGTAAGTATCTAAAGACGGGTCGTGAAGTTGAAGGATACAATTCCAAGACTGCTCCTATAGTAACAACTTGTACTAACTTGTGCTGCTTGCGCTTGGTCTCTTCATCATCTATTAACAGCTTATATAATGCTGCTTCTCCTCTAGCAATAACTTAAGTATACAACTTCTGAAGATAAAGACCTAGTGCTCCTAGCCATCGGAAACCTTAATTTAAGTAGAATAAAAAATATCCAACTGTTTGCACATGAGCCTTAAGAATGAAAAATATCCAACTGTTTGTACATGACGTATCTCGCTGCCCGTTTATGCGCTCTCGAGACTTGCCAATTGCAGTGCGTCATAGCGAAATCACTCGAAGCTAAGGATGTAAGCTTCGGGAACACCGCGTGTTGGGCGCACAATCTAAGCAATTTCGCTGGCAACGAAGAATTCATTAGAGGACGAGCCTGCAATCTTCCTAAACAATCTACTTGATGTAGAAGTAGTGTTTATCGTACTAGTACTAGACTCATCTAGTAAGAGAAGTTGCGTCTATGCTGATGGTGTGAATCTACTCGGCAACCTGCCTACGATTTCCTTGGCGATTTCTACCCACTAAGCTAGCTTGTTGTTGGATTGTTATCGCTAATCTAGCCTGTTGGTTATCGTACTAATATTCGTATGCTGTGTTCTTTCGCTACTAGTAGTTGAGCAGTTCCTTGAACTTGACCCTTCTCGGTTTCAAATTAATAGTATGAATATACTTAGCACGTCTACTAGTTGTACGCACTCGATTCGTCCTTAATTTGTTGTTTCCGGCACCAGTTATGGCTGAAGATGTCGCACTCGCACTTGAGCTTATCTGAGATGAAGGGCCGCCGCTGCTCACACCTTGGTCGCCATCTGCTACACGACCATTCTGTCCTTCAGCAGTTCCTTCTATTACCTTTTTTGGGAGGGTGGATAGAATGCCTTCGACGTAGTTTGGTAGTAGGGCAGTAGAGAGAGTATCAGTCCATCGTTGATGCTGTATCACTCTCCTGCAGCAATACAACTTCTTGGTCGTTAGTGAAGCAGAACTAGTTAGTAGATTTTCAATACTATTCAATATTTTATTGGAAAAATTGTTTTTTTTTCAATGATACTCGAACCCATTATTCAATAACGTGTTAAGCGTGAGTGTGAGATGAGTGCCAGAGGGGAGAGGAGAAGCATACAAAGAAGCTTACATGAGATTAGTCGTAGAGAAAATAAGCCGTTATTCAATAATATTCATATTGGAACTACATACGTACCTTGCTGTTCGTCGAGGTGACGGTCGCGTCTTCACGGTAATCCTCCTCATCCTCCTCCAGAAAAGCTTGCTGCAACAGACCGTGTGGCAACTGCGCTGAACTTGACTGATGCGTTACCCGCAAATTCGATGGTAAACAGCCGTAGCTCATTAGAAGGGGGTTAGATATTTTTTTTTAGACGTTTTTCAGGTAAGTACTCTAGTTCTACGAGCAGCTAGATGCGTAGTAGAGGGCTCGGCTCTACAGGAAACAGAGAACGCAAAGTTTTAGCAATAGACCACTTCTAGTTGCACTTTTAGTCCTTAACAAAAAAGCATGGGTCCTGGCGGAATGCCCATGGATGTCCAGAAAGAGGACCACGCTCCGACCCCTGGTGCCGCACTCGGTCGAAGGCCTAGACTGCCCTGCTACACTGGAAGATTGTTGACTCGCGCTACCTGTGAACAACATATTGATGTCAAGATGAACAAGACGAACAAGAACAACATTTTTCATTTAATTGATGAAGATGTCAAGAACAAGAAGAACATGAAGAAGATACTCATACCTAACTAGTAAATGCAAATACTGGCTGTACTTCTCCACTCGATTTACCTGTTTTTCCGCTCTTGAGTAGATCGAGATCGCGGTCGGAAAAAATCCCTCCCGCCTGTATTCCCACCGCTGAACCGGCCCCACAGGAATGAATCAAAAATCTTCGACAACATGGAAAGCCTTCAAATCTACTATCTTCCAACGCAGTGTGATTAAATATTCATCATTTGTCTACTGTGGCAGTAGAAGTGTTCTTCACCATAAGTTCCTGTCTGTTCTGTAGGTACCCAGTCCGTTCCTGGTCTTTGGCTTAAATTTTGCGTCAACTCAGTCTGCATACTCTGCAGATTTTGAATGCCGAAAACTGGTGCTCCAGATGCGCCAGATGTCCCAGCTCCTCCACCTCCAAGACATGAAGGACTAGAAGAAAGAAGCACTTCTTCTACTTAGCAAAAGAAAGAAGTTTTTTTACTAAGAAGACGAGGTCGTTGTACTTCGAGGCTACAAGAACAAGTACAAAAATTACAATTTACAAACAAGTAGAAGTACTGAAATTACTAAATCAAGTACAAAAATTACAATTTACAAACAAGTAGAAGTACTTAAATTACTAAATTAGCATTTTCGGTCTCGCCATAACGACGCAGTCCCTGATGTTGCGACTGGGCTGTTTAACGAGGCCACGTACGCTTTAATCTTCGATACTAAGGGGTGCAACACCGCGTTTGGTTCTACCCAGCATCGGTTCGGATCTACACCAAGAAGGGTGCAGCGGTTGTTACCGTAAACGACGCCGTCCACGTTGACCATAGGCACAATGTGGAAGACATGCGTCGTCCGCAACAAATTCGCCAAACTACTGTTGCCAATCAGGAAAAAGCTTAGATCATGAGCAGAGTTGAAGGGAGCTTCCTCAGTTTTTAAGGATGAAAAAAAAGAAATTTGCAGAATTGAAGGGAGCTTCCTCAGTTTTTAAGGATGAAAAAAAAGAAATTTGCAGAATTGAAGGGAGCTTCCTCAGTTTTTAAGGATGAAAAAAAAGAAATTTGCAGAATTGAAGGGAGCTTCCTCAGTTTTTAAGGATGAAAAAAAAGAAATTTGCAGAATTGAAGGGAGCTTCCTCAGTTTTTAAGGATGAAAAAAAAGGTGAAAAATACAAAGGGAGAGGTCGTAAAGCAAAAGCTTTTGAGAAGTAGAAGGGGTTCTGGTTCTGGTTCTCCTGCTAGATTGTATTAAAAAGCCCTTCGTCTTCTTCTTCTATCTTTCTAATTCTACTGCTAGTACAGCTCTAGTAGTAGAAGTCTTAATTTCACAAATCCTTGACATGCCCACGAACCGACTGCTTCGCCAGGATGCTGCCGTGCGATCACAACCACATCCTTCTTCGAGATGCCATGCACTTTCGGACTCGTTACTATCAGCAGAGGCGTTGCGTTAGACGAGGAAAATGTAGTGGATATGTACAGACCCAGGAGAGTTGTTATCAATGACTAAGCGCGTTAACTTGGAGGATAGGAAGAGGTAGAGGACATCCACCACTAATAATATGGGTGGAGCCAAACTAACTAGATAAAAAGGAAGGAATGTAGGTAAAGGATAGAGAATGATGTAGTGGATACAGACCACTACATAGTAGTGTATAGCTGTGCATAGACGAGGAAAATGTAGTGGATAGGTACAGACCCAGGAGTCTCCCGTAGGAGTAGTAAAGATAAAGTGTGCTAGAACAACAACAGTCTCCATAATTGGAATATTTGCCAGCGTTCTCCCAATCTCCTTCTTCGCAATGTTCGGACTCTTTAGTTGATCGATCTGTTGTACGTTGTAAGAAAAGAACTATGGTTCTCATCTTCATCTTTCTGTTCTACGTACTTAAAGTATGATCTCGTCTTCATGTTCATACACAGTAACAGTATGTACTGAAATGATAAAAAGTACTGATCCAGTTCCCCTGTTCTGCAAAGGTATAAAATAAGAAGATAAGAACAAAAAAAAAACGAAGCAGCATCATCACTTACACAGTGACAGTGAACGAAGCGAAGCAGTGCCAGTATGTACTGAAATGATATCAAGAACGAAGCGAAGCAGCATCATCACTTACACAGTGACAGTATGTACTTCGCTTCATGACAAAAAGTACCTCCCTCAAGAAGCGAAGCAGCATCGTGTAAGTGTAGGGTGGATAAGCCGCGAAATAGACGCACTCTTCATCCGGCTCGAATTCGAAATCGAAGGAGAGGATGTAATTGTCCGCTTTCGGCAATGCAGGAAAGGTGTCGCCAGAAAAAGTGCGTCTATTAGAGATGGAATCAATGGATAATCGATTCTAAGCGAGTAGCCCAGATGTTTTAGAGACGGAGAATTTTCTATCGCCTAAATGAGTGAAGTATTTCTACAGGATAATCGATTCTAAGCGAGTTTTTAGCTTTAGATGTTTTAGAGATTGAGAATTTTCTATCGCCTGAATGAGTGAAGTATTTCTACAGACAACTTTTTCATCTTTATACCATTATCGTTGCATCTCCTGTAACGAAAACAAGTCCCAGCAGAGTTAATAAATTTGTACACCATTTTTTACCTTCATCTCACAAGAAATGTAGTTCATATCTGTCGTCGCATTGATGTATGGTGGTTTAACTTCCGCACCAGGCAACAGGCCTCCTCGCCTCCCATCACCCCCTCCTACACCTTCCCCAGTGTCGCCAGGCATATACTCCACGTTCTTGCAAGCGGATCCTGTCCACACGGTGTCTACCGTGTCCTTCCCCCTTTTGATTCGGTAAACCGAAGTTAGAGATAGAGCTTTTTGATGTTCGTTTTCTCATCTCTTCCTTCCTCTCGAGACTACTTGAACTAGACTCATCTCTCTTTTTCGACCATCAAGAACGTTTCCACAAAGAATGGAAGTATTGCTTTCTTTCCTGTCTTTATCCAGAAACTGGATCTTCATGCCAAGAAAAAGCATGTGTTTTACCACTCAGATCATCATATGGGTTGCCAAGATTGAGTGTTATACAGTTACTTCCGCTTGAGACGCTGGATCAATTGAATCTGTCTTGAGCAAGAAATCCGCCTTCTTAGTGTTACATAAGACTTCTACTGTATTTCTATGTCATGTAATGGCACCTCTTGTGGCGTTACTTCTGTGTACTCATGACCAGGAGGTCCAGTGAAGTAGTACTACCATGTCTATCTTCACAGCTCTACTAAGAGCAAAGCAAGTGCCGTAAATAAGGCTGCATGCCTATTTGGTAGCAGCTTTTCGGCTTTCGGAAATTCATGATTCGCATTCGAACCCTCAATCTCTGCTGACAATGAGGTCTGAAGCAGGCGAAGAGGAACCACTGACACGTAGCCCGATCTTAGAAAATAGAAGAATGGGATGTCATGTCATGCTGGTGCCTCTTTTAAAGCAAAAATGCAAGTCTATGTATGAGGCCAGTCAGTTACGTAGTACCTCCTATGGGGAGCCACGGAACCTAGTCGGAATAGATAGAGAAAGAGCAACCACAGTTCTTATGGTCGTCATACATTATGGTTGCGGTGTTGTGAGTACTTATGGAATGTTAGTTGTACACCAGGAGACATGGCACGTGAGCGTTTTTTTATATCAAGGGGTATGCTGAGTGCTTAGATTCAAGAAAGTGAACGGCTTGACTCATATGCGCGACAAGGGGACTACTTCCTTAATAGAAAAACAAGGGGACCGCCAATCAGGAACCAACCAGATGATAGTTATACTCTAGCATACTCTAGCCTTAACGTTCGCTAGGAACTTGACTATCCGGTCGCATCCACAGCTCATACTCGTGCTGAGTCGTCGGTGGACTTGGGGAATCTTTAGAAATGACGAGAAAGGCTGCATAGAACATGCTCTTCTAACTAGTAAGAGTACGAGTATTTCCCTCGTTAAAGCTTGGACGAACTAAAAAAAGCATCGCAGGAGGAGATTGAGGTATTCGTATTGAGTCAGAGTCAATGTCAAAGAGAAAATAACCTAAAATTTCTTCTAAAAAATAACAACACCCACACTACTTGTCTCCGCAGTGGCACTTGAGTAGTGAAATAATGCGGAGTGACTAGACTGAGATTAATCAGAGATGACTAACTAACCCACCTGCAGAGGAAAATATTGAATACTGAAATAACTCTAAACAGTTGCCAAGTCCCTGAACTTCCAACATAACACTTGTTCCTGGAAGATTCGGATTAGTCCCTTCTTTTGGACCTCCTCCACTCGCACCAAAGTGGTCTCCTGCTGCACCTGGTGCCCCGAGTCCTCCTGGTCCTCCTCCAGCTACGTCATGGATTAGAGCGCAAAGCGTTTCACGTCTTCCCTCCATGATTTCTTCAGAATCCCAAAGAGGAAACTGGTGCGAGCTGCGAGAAATGGCATTTTTACAAATGAGCTCTGAAGCTGCGAGAACAGTGCAAAAGATTACAAAACTATACAACAGACACCTACAGGTAGTGGTAGATTACCATAATATAAATGAGGTATGTTGTGGTCCTAGCCTTGTAATATGACACTACTCAGATGTATGTGTTACTTATTTAATGTATGGAGTATGTGTATGACTTAAATGTAAGTTGTCTCCCGGTTGCGTGATATGAAAAACTTGTAGGAGGTTCGCCGACTCGAAATTCGAACTAAAATTGAGAGCATTTTCGCCAGCGTTTGTGTTGTAGTTGCTTCCATGGTCAAGGCCGGATGAAGCCGTGCTGCTGTTGTTTACCTGAGTCCCTTCGGGAAACAATTCGCGAGTAAGCGGTGGAAACCAACCACATTTGCGTTGGGGATTAGAGTTTGTGGTGGAATAATAAACATGAGTTGGGGATTAGAGTGGAATAAACATCATGCTCCACTCTTCTAACTAATGCGGTGTTGAGGTCATTTGATGGTGTTGGCGATCATCAGAGTGGACTAAACACTAGGGGTTCCGATTTTCAATCTCAAAGTCTTCGGCCAAACGGCCAGCGCACCGCAGAGAAGTCTTACACTTCACGGACGATGCGCCGGCCCGGCATATACCCGAGACGGCGCCAGTGCACTAGTGCAAGATGAGGATCTCTAGATTTATACGAAATCACAAATAAATCAATAGAGTAAGTTGGGGATCATCAGACACGACTCCCTTCTTTACCCCAGCAAGGAAGTCGAGGGGGATATTCTCTAAATCGTCCTCAGTGTCTACTTCCACCGTGCTAACGCTATACACAGTGTAGTTGTCTTCCATCGTGTACAGTCCATCAACCGCGTACTTCTAAGACAAGACCTGCAATAAGACTAAGAAATCTACTTCCGGAGGTTCATAATGATATTTCCGCCTTGTTGATTCGCAGCTTCTAACGAAGAGAGTAAGAGACGGTTGACCACCTGTCGGCTGTCCACGCTGCTTCGATCGTCCCTAAAAACCAAGCTTTTGGGCCTTCGGACTGCTCTGCTTGGACAATGAAAAAGGATAGTACGGCCAAGCAGGCCATGAGGCTGGTGAAGAATTCCATCAGTTTCAAGCTACAGGACGTCGAGTACGAGTAGGAAGATACCATCAGTTTCAAGCTACTACATCAGGACGTCGAGTACGAGTTGTAGAAAGATATTATAGTAGGACGCCGTTCTAGAAGTTGAAGTACGAGTGGATATTATAAAAATATAGTACAATTGTTCTTCGCAAGCGCGTAGACATCTTCTGCTATATCTCTCATCTGTCTCACAGGAGCGACATCTTCCACAGCGCCATCATCAAATGTTGGATATGAATATCTTCATAAGCATGGGAGAAGGTGGTCGGCGCCTTTTGATGCTCGTAGTAGTTTGAGGCAGCGCTTCCACCAATCTGGTGAGAACCGGAAATCTGCGGTGTCGGTGCTGGCAGTGAAGATGTGCCAGTCGTCGAGTCCGACGCTCCATTTGCCGTTCGGCTAGTTGTATTAGAGCATCGATGTGTCATCGGATGTGCGATGTGTCATCGGATGAGGTAGAAGAAATGGCAGAACAAGAAGAAGAAGAAGTTTGCGTCTGCTTATGGAAATGTTCTCATTATAGAGGACTGCTGAGGACACAAGAACTCTCACACCTCTGAGTAAAGTAAGCTAACACAACTTTCCCAAGTTTGACTTGCTCAAGTAGAAGCTCTTTGACTTGCACTTGCTAAAGTAGATTCAAAAAACAATATTGTCTTCAATATCAAGAAATATTTCTCTCCCCCATCTCCCTCAACAACGTCAACCGTGCATAATATAAAAAGGCCCTTTGCTCGCGGGAAGGGTCGTAGAGTCTGTCCTTGGCGACGATTCCTTCGTCGAGTTCTCGACGTTGCTTCCAGCTGCATTTACCCTCGTCCAAATTAGAGGGTACAATTACTAACTTACTTCTTCTTCTAAGCTCATACAAAGTGATTTAGAAGCAACAACTATGTATATTCGAGTCAAGAAAAATACAGATCGTTTGTTACCCGCGTCTACTTGTAAGGCCAAAGTTACGACCATCGTCAAAATCACCGCTCGTTGCCCGAGTCTACTCCTAAGCTCAACATAGTCGTTTGTGTACGCTAACGTCATAGAGCTCATATTCACGGGATCGTCAAGGGCACACTGTTGATGTTATAGATACGTAGAAACTAAGGTGCCATATCATTATTAGTACGTTGAAGTTCTACTAGAATTTCTACTAAAACTGTTCTCGCGCAAGCCGTAATAAAAGGTCATTCAAATCGCCTGCAACTTTTGAGATTAGCGCTTCTCGGTCCTCACCTCGTCCCCGTGTCATTGCGGCGCTGGTGAAAGATGACCACGAACGCGAAAAGTTGATCAATGAAAAAGATAATGATTCTAGTAGTAACAACCCTGTCAACATTCATTAGACAATCAAAAGACCATAGTAAGTTGTAGATGATATGCACAGATCAAGTGATGCATATTAAGAAAAACAAAAAGAAGTTCCGCTCTTTCTGTTTCTGTTAAATCCATGATCAAATAATTTGTCGTAAATCAGAATGAGAAAAAGAATACCCAGGTGTCGAGTTGTTTTTTTCACTTTTGGCCTCGTTGGGAGCTCCCATTTTCGCTGCGATTATTTTTCCACTTTTCATTAGAAGATGGGTCCTAGAGAACTCACTGCTGATGTGGCCTTTCGGGACTGCTAATGTGGCCTCTTGGTAAAACAAGTTTGATGTCGCACAATAGCCAATACTAGAGTCTGTTCCATTAGCCAGGGCGCTTATCTAGAAGAAGCATTAGCATGCGGATTAAGGCCCAACCTTTCTTGTTCACTGGGGGTGGTCACTGAGGTCGACGAGAGCCCCCGTGAGAGAACAGGGGAAAACTAAGGAAAAACAAGCAAAAGACAGTCGGTAGGTCTGTGGTAGGAGGTGGAACTGGCATGCACTGCAGCTTTTTTAGCTCTGTTGTTGCAGGAGCAAGATTTAAAAGTACTTAGATCTATAGAACGTAAGAACAAAAAGGACTCTATTTATCAAATTGTCAGTCTCATCCTGGTGGTGAAGATCATGGACTTCTTGAACTACAACTATTACTATGCATAAAAATAGCTAAAAATTAGAGATCATGCTGATAAAAAAACTGCAAAGGATCATAGGAGCTACATTTACATGAACAGATTACTTCAGAGGTAGACTGCCTACCACATGCGCAGCTTCTCAACTTATCTGCATCGTCTGACTAGCACTAATCTGCATCCACCTCTTCTGCCGATGAGGAAGTTCGGGTTGGACCTACGACTTCCCTGGATCTCTTCTGACTAATCTAGATCTTCTGATTAATCTACATCCTCTGAGTAATCTAGATCTTCTGAGTATCCCCTTAAATTCAATAGAGGTCCAGGACTGCTTCGAGTGGTGAGCCCTCCTTGCGCATATCCGGAGGATGGAGGAAAAAGCGGGCCTTGCGACGAAGTGGCCATCATGGCCCATGAGGAGACCGCCAGCAGTGAAGTAGACACGGCAGTTCGTGTCGGTGTGCCCTACAACTAAAACGAACTACAAGTTAGTTGCGCCACTCAGTCAAACTCTTCGCTTCAAATGAACAAAAAATGAACAAGGTTCCAGTTGTCCTCAGCAAGAGCAAGGTGTCATACATTTTTGAGGAAGATGAACTGGTTGTAGAATGTTTATCCCACGTGGTGGAAGATCAGACTACGCAACGCAGCTGGTGCGCGCATTTGACTTTGCGCCACGGTTCCCGCTTTGCACTTGCTCACACATCTGTTTTTGCCTTTCTCTCAAATGTATGCATGTGCATCTCTCTCGTCTGATATTTTTCATCGGGTAGCCGGAACAACCGATCATATTCCATCATAGATACAGAGGTGATGCACTTACTTAGAAAGGGGTCCTCCCAAGAGACAGAATATGTTGAAGCTTCGACCCCACAGCGAGTGCCAGTGTTAATCTCTTTTGCAGCCTACTACCCCCTATCCCGCACAGGTCTATCCGCCAGAAAGGTTGGACGACACCTATCGATGCCTACAGCTAATCGTCATGTAGCATTCTTCATCAAAGATGCCACCTTGTCCTTGATGATGTGGATGTGCTACCTGCTGCTTCTTGTTCTTGTACATTTATTTTTGCGCGAGAGAAAAAATGAGCTCAAGAATAATGTTAATGACATCCTTGTCGTATCAACATTTCAATATCTTGTCAGTCTATAGAATTCGAGTCCCTCAGAATCGTCGAAGAGGACAATATGAGACAAGACTAAATCTAGTAAATGCGAAGCTCCCAAGTAGTGTTAGTAGATAAAAAGTTCACCAATTCTTCTCTGCTCTCAAACTTTATCTTCATCAACAACTGTAGCATTAGTGGTAGAAGTAGTGGTATTAGAATTAGTTCATCAATTCTTCTAAGCTCGGGACACATTGTAATTCTTGATTGGGATCGTCTTTTTCCTCCCCTTCTACCAGACACTAAACTGGCGCATCGCCTCCCTTCTTTGCTTGTCGTTCCTGCAATTGCTCCGCATACTCTTCCATGCCGGTTGTTAGAGACCGTCTCTAAAGTGCATAATAAATCTGATAGATTACCAAGGAAGAAAGCGAGTCGGATAGAGAGAGTAGCAAGTAAAAATAACTGGTAAGCAGGAGATAAGAGCCAAGAATTACAGGCAGTAATTGGTTACTCTTACTTAAAGTAGCAAGTGAAAATAAGTAATAGACCTGAATCCGATACATCAAGAACCAAGAAAAAGGACTGAACAGTTCTAATATCAAGAACAAAGTATGAGTGTAAGTAGACTCTTTCCGCTAAGCAACATGAACATCACGTACCAACAAGTAAGAAATACTCTTCTCCCACTAGTAGGAGCTAGTAAACAACGAGTAGAACCCAAAGAACAAGTACAACTACAACAACCCAACCACTAAGAAATAAATGGACTTCACGCTTCTCGTCCAACTTGTTTAGAACAATGAATTACAAATACATACAATCCACCAAAGACAAAGACGCATAATTTATCTTTCTCGACTGGGGGTCCAAAGATCTTCAGACTGATCTTCTCCATCAAGGAGATTAGGAGATAAATTCCGCGCGCTAGCCGTCCCCTGCCGAGGATTAAAGCGTGTTCCTCCTTTGCCCGTTTCAAATCGTCCAACTGTCGCTTTGTCGCGTAGAGGGGTTAGAGAAGGTGAAAGAAAAGGGAAAGAGAACTTACTACTAGTAGCTGTCAGGAGCAGGAGAAGGTTTTGACTTTCAGAAAATGAAATTGAAAAGATATACCACGCACTATCTAGCTACTTACTATCAAAAACGAATTAGAAAAAAAGACTAAAAAGCAGGTGAGGTGAAAGATACTAAGGAAAAGGAAGAGAAACGGAAACCTATTCTTGTATTTATGAATAATGAGAAGCACGTCACGCGAAGACTAACAGAGGCTACTGCTACTGGCACTGCTACAGGTACCACTAGTTTCAGTTGTACCGAGGGTATACATAGAAGTGTACCAAATCCAGTGCAATGAGTGTTTCTTGTTCACGTCCATCCTCCACCACGCTAAGTCTAAGAACAAGAAGCCTTAATAGTTTGTCCTGGAGCCGACCTAACTAGGAAAGACACAGTTTTGGGCGAAGATATAGAAATACAAGTTGCAACGCGTTAGTGTTAAATATACTTAAAGAAAGCTACACTTTCTTAAACTTAGTAGTCATTAGCTTTAATTATCGAGTATGGCTTTAATTATCGAGTATGAGCCTTAATAATCATTATCGAGCATGAGCAAAACGCGCTGAACTCTAGCCGCTTGTTGTCTGACCTCCTCTAAGTCATCGTACTCCGTCAGACTCGGACCTTGCTCTTCCATTTGCTTCAGACCTGAGGGGTCAACGTATTGAGATTACTAATCGTGTTGCTGTTCGTTGGAGAGGAGAAGACAAAGTAAAATGAGCAATGACTTCAAGAAATCGTGAAAGGGATTACGACCATGTTGTAGTCTCCTCTCCAATCATCATGTCGTCAACCATTCCGATTCTGATTATCTACAATCATCGAAGAATTAGTACCTTTCCTATAGACTTCTCGCATTATGCTGGACTCGACGTCTATGATCTTGTTTTCTAGCCGTTTTTTGTATGCCCCCATCACATTCCGCAACTCGATGACCGTTATTAGAAGCTGAAGCGATGGCTGCGGTTGGATTTTTGCTATGATTCAATGGCCGCGGTTGGATTTTTGCTATGATTCAATGGCTGCGGTTGGATTGCTATGATTCATCTAGCAGTTGTACTTGCACTAGTGAACAAATAAGAAATAGGTTGCTGGATTGTTATGATGCTGTTACGATATTTCAAGGAGTTGTTGCAAGACGTAGTGAAATATGGCATGCCGCGAAGAAGAAAATCCGCTCTGCACGACTCCCAGTAGAAGTTTGAAGATCCTACCTCTGTTGTAGTTCTTGGGATCGATCATCATGACTCTGAAAATGAGGAGAAAGTAGTGAGACAGTTTTTTTTAGCTTGGAGTGGCGTATGAATTGCACCATAAATCCAGAACCGTCGCTAAATTCTCCGGTCGCAGATGTATCGCCATTTCGAGAAATCAGCATTAGAAGAAGAGCAGAGGTGCAAGGTCAAGGCGTAACGGCGCTTGAGTATTGATGATCCTTAGCTTTTCTTGAAAATTGTTCTACAACTCTGAAAAGAATACTAAGAAAGTGCTCGCTCTTGATGATGTGAGTCTACTCATCGATCTGCCTAAGATCTCCCTGACGACTTCTTTTAGACCAGGATTTTTCTCGTTGCACAACCTTACTTTTTTTCAAAAATGCCGCTAGTGGCAAGGCCTGGCGAACTCCCCTACGCCTTGGACGCTGCGCGACCATGGGCCTTCGGCGCCGTCGATATCGACAGCGGAGCACCTCCCAAGGCGATCCGGCCCGCCATGAATGATGGCAAACCTAGACCAAAATGCGGAGCCAACCAAGGGGTACGCAAAACGGGTCCATTTTGAAAAAAAAGAGGCGACAAAAATGGGGGTCATTTTGCACCCCATTTTTGAAAATAAAACGTCGACACTTTTTTCGGCATTAAAACGACCCCACTTTAGGGGGCCTGGGGGGGTACAGCAGGCGACACTTTTGGGGCCAAAAGTGTTGCCTGTTGTACCCCCTCGTTTGGGGGGTCAAAGTGGGCCCTTTTTGCCCCCCCTTTTGACCCCCTCCCGAGCCTCCCAGACCAGAGCCTCCGAAGGGAGGCGGCTCCCCTGGGGACGCCTGCAAAGTCCACTGGTTGCCATCCCAGACGAGGGGTTCCGGCTCAGCGGGTCCACTGCGAGGCTAGCGGAGTGGCGACGTCGGTCCATAGAGAGTTGGGCCTTCTTAGGCTAGCCAAAAACGAAAAAATAACAAGGTCGCGCAACGAGGAAAATCCTGGTCTAATTCTTATTTGACAAGCTAAGTCCTCGTACTCCTCTTACTTGGATGAGTGATGACAGAGACAGACCTATTACTTGGGTGAGTACTCATATTACTTGGGTGAGGACCAGCATAATCAGTAAAAGACACTTCTGTTGAAGATGCACCTTCAGCGACAGACCATGACCATAATCAGTAAAAGACACTTCTCTTGATGCACCTTCGCCTCCAGGTGACCCGAAAACGCTGTCCGCCAGTGCTACCAGATGAGACTTCTGGATCGCCAACAGCTCTAGTGCTGCTGTCACCTTATCATTCTGTTTCATCACTTCGAATTCGGTGAAACTTAGAGTGTGGAGAGAGAGAAAGCTTCAAAAGCAGGAAGATACGACAACCAGTTCAGATACGACATCCAGTTCATCCTGGGAGTTCGTTTTTAGTCAACATCTTCATCATATTTTTTATGGTTCTCATAATTCCGATATCAGTCCCGACCTATCGCTATCCACTTCTGCAAAGACCTCGACCATTGTGCTTCCCACTTGATTTATGACCATCTTCTGCTGTTCGGCTTCTGCTGTCTGTGTAACCACTTCACACAAGACACCGATGAGCATATTCAATACCGTAAACGAGGAAAGGAGGACAAAGAGGTACCTGGTCGTGAATTTGGGATCATTGGGTGTACGTACATAAAGCAAAAGGAGTTAGGGGTACAACCAAATAAAGGATCGATGAGGATGAATTTGAATGAACTACATATTATTACAGTTGTAGTTCTAGTTTAGGTTTAGCAGCAGGAAAATAACTCGTAAGCGTGCATGCATAAGACACCTTCGAGGAGGACCAGCAGCAGGAAAATGAAGTAAATCGATAGAACAGGTGGAGATAGTACTTCATCGTCTCATCTTTATTACGCTTAAATCATCAACAGCAAGGACCAGCAAAGAGTTGTTGTACCAAGCAACGAGCATCAGTGGCAGTGGTGAATGCCGTATCGTATTTGTGAAGTCCGTCAAGTCGTCCAGCAATGTCCCACCAATAAATAGGGCAAACATGCTCTCCCCAATGTTCTTAAAGATCTCCAAATCCTCCTCATCCTTGATGTAGTCCTGAATGGTGTGAAGTTCTAGGAAGATTTGAGTCTGCAGATGGATCTTCTGAAGAAATTAATATAGAAGTGACAACAAGGAGCAGTACTACAAATTGAGCACGCAGAATCTGAGTACTAGACATAGACTACCTTGTACTGCATCGAGAATATGAGACCGAAGACGTATAGGAATATTATCAACAGCGCCAACGTAGAAGCCACCGACTTCGTTGCTCTGACCATACCTGCGATGAAGGTTGTACATCTTTCTACCACATGTTCTATCTACATTTCAAGTTCAGTTTGTTATTCATCTTCTTTACTTCCAAAAATAAAAAACTATAAAAAAGTCTGTAGGTGCCATGCACAAAGGAGAACTGTTTTTGAAATGATATTTTCACCTTTGATCAGCGTCAGCAATTCCGGAACTGATCGCATGATCCTGACCATCCTCGTCAATCTTGCCAGACGCAACAAACGCAAAATGGCCAGCGTTGACAATCCTCCGCCACCGAAGATTAGAGGAGCACGAGCAGGGGACTGCTGCTGGGAAGTTAGTCTTACTAACTAACAGAGACTGGCTGCTGTCTCGTCACAATTTAAACAAATCAAAATCCTTCTATAATTCTTCAACAAAGCGATAAAAAGACTCAGCTACAAAAATGCTGTGTTTGTTAGACTCAGCTACAAGTGAAGTGATGAAAATCGAAATCGTTCTCCTTGGTGTTTTATGGTTCTTGTATTTGGTACCCTGAATTTGATCACAAGGATTCTCTTCTTGTTTTCCTCTTCATGATCCAAATCAGGTTACCAACCAAATACCAGACCCATCCAAGTATCACTGAAGACTGACACGGCTGTAATATCTGTGACTGTCTGATGTATTGTTTTTATCCTCTGGTACTAGTGTCACTTGTTCTTTCTTCTGAAACTGAATAAGTCCACACCGAAGCCTTAACGAGAAGAAGACGGGCATCACCCATGTCTCGATCATCATGAGGAGGACCAAAACCGAATCGAACCGAAACCAAAAGTCTTTGATGCAGTTGCACGCGTACTTGAATGCGTTGAAGCGGATTATTACTTCAAATGTGAAGTAGTAGCAGAACGGATTAGAGGATTCATTCATTCATTCATTTACCTAGCATGAGGTGTAAGTTCTTAGGACTTAATTACGATGCAAGTAGAATCAGTCTCCTCCATCCTTGGGCCAAGGTCGAGGGAATGCTCCTGAGTGGAACGTCTGGAAGGGAGTAGGTCGCAGACCACGTTGTCGCAAAGTGTGATTGAATTCATTCTTCAATATCATCAATTTCTAGGAAGGACAAAGAGGTTGTAGTCGTACGTGTTAGAGGCAGTACGGCATTAGAAGTCGTACGTGCTGTACTATGAGATGGCAAACCACCGAAACAAAATTATGCTATTCTTGTCGCAAATGCCCATGGGCATGTACTGGCACGTCTGAATGCCTATGAACTAGTGAAAATAAAGTACATTATAATAGCACTTCAAAAAACTTCTAAATACAACTATTGAAAATAAAGTAGACACATCTTGTTCATAAAGAAGTTCTCGATCAACACCGAGCCAGTCGAATATCGTGTGATATCTGGTGCGTCGTTGATCTCCGTATCCACCCCGATCCACGCTGCATTCAAAACGATGATAAACAGCGTGAAATTGTCGGGAGTTAGAAAGGGAAAGAGGACGAAGTTCAATGGCTCCGGTCTTTGGTATAGCCTGAATTTGATCATAAGGGGAAACAAGAAGAGAACCCTTGTGATCAAATTCAGGTTATACCAAAGACCGGAGCCATTCATTCTAATACCAAGAGAACTACGAAGTTCAGATTTTTAGTCAAATGAACTAGCTTGAGGCCTTGGCCTTTTCTCATAAAAACCTTGGATCTGCTGCGATTCTCGCGTAATACGAGTTCTCTTCGTAGTAATCGGTTGTGTCGATCTTTGCTTGCTCATCCAAGAGCACTTTCTGTGTCGCCGATTTTAAGTAGGCAAGGTACCTTGTAGTTTTTCATCAATTCCGACGTAGGAATACTTGTCACAAGCTTTCTATGATGTCGGAATTCTTCAAAATGAACTTGTAGGAGTGCTTGTGCTACTTTCATCTCTTTATGTGATGTAGTTTTTCATTTCCAAGATGGTAGATTAGTACACTGACTCTTCCCGGTGCAGCAGGAGGTCGTGAGGTTCACGCCTAACTAACTCAAGAACATGATCAACATGATGTCTTTAGAATCAATTATGCAGCAACATCCTCTTCACGACCGTCCTCGAGTGAATGACTCCGGTATTTGGGAACCTGAGTTCCATCATAAGGGAAAACAAGAAGAGAACCCTTGTGATCAAATTCAGGCTACCAAATACCAGAACCATACATCTAAGAGGACTCCTCTTCATCTAAGAATATAACAAGATAATTCTCCACAAGAAGTACTCAGCCGTTTCCTTGTCCGGGTTCTTCGGTGGGGCTGACCCGGAAAAGACTGGGGACCGAAGCTCATTCTGCGTCTTAGAACGCTGAATGATACGTTGTTGCGTAACATCCGTCATCTTTTGGATGTTTTTAGTTGTACACCAACCTCCTTACATATAATGTCAAATCTTTATAATAAGGTGATAGATAAAAGTATTAAGTCTAGCAATAACAATTCTTGGGGGGCACTTTGGCCCCTTCTTGAGGGAACTATCTCTGTCACCCCACCCGGTCCCGGTGGGTTAAGGGGGACGGTCACACTAAAGTCCTCGTGGTTTCAATCGCGATTTTGGTTGCTTACGACAGAGTTACTCAGTCGCGATACAGAAGAAAGTGGTGGGTCTGGATGGTTGCAATCTTTATGTCGAAGAAGATGACGGCTGCAACTCTATTTTGAATATGCATGTTTAAATAAATATTTTCAATTTACCAAGATTTTTGTGCCGTGTTTTCGAATTTTCCGTTTGTACTCCGACTTCTCTCTCGTAGCGAACCATTTTGCCACTCTCTTTGTTCTGAACTTTATTTCACTAAGTGGCACCAGGAGAAGGACGAAACGCTTGATCATGAGGTTCATCTTACCGACGTACTGTTTCTGTCCGAGTAGTTCTCTATTCGAGTTGTTGCTTTTTTTGACAGACTCTTGTCTTTTTATGCTCTCGTGGGCCGACAAGAGGACAGCAGAGCGAAATTCCTTGAGAAAGCTTCTCAAAATTGAGGTGCTTCTTCAAACAACAACAACACAGTTTGTTGTTTTTAACATCGTCAAAAATCTTAGTTGTCCCCTTGGAGGCCTACTTGCTTGCTTCTAAGTAATTGTTATGGCCTAACAGAACGCGGTTAATCATGTCCCTCCATCAGTAGCTTTCTCCTCTAAAAAAACGAGGATCTTCATGTTCATCGTGAAGATTCTTGAAGCTGGATGAAAAAAACTACTCTGAACCCAGATGAAGACGGTGAAAAATCATTTCTGTGTCTCTTAGTATCGACAGAGCTATCTCTCTGCTTTGGGCACTTGCTGCCTGCTTGCTACCTGAGAAGATTTCAACATTCAACAGAAATAAACTATCTGTCAAATAAACATTGAGTTAACTTTAACACTAACAGTTATCGATAAATTCATGTACATTTAGGTCTGGATGATGAGACAGGTCAACATCTTTCTGCAGAAGTCATTATTGTCAGGAGAAGAAGAAGCTAAAAACAGAAAGCAGCAAGTTGTACTTGTATTCAGTTTCAGTGCAAATACCTATAAAAACGAGTACAAACAAAAAGCAGCAGTTGCTGAAACTCAAGTTTAAGGCTGCGTTTCTCATCGTCATGATGGCCCCAGTGGTCCGCTCAAGTTCAAGGCTGCGTTGAACCGTTGTTGTACGAGTGACTGCGGACTTGGCTGAGGCGGCTGATAATTGTAATTCTGCAGGGTGAAACCGCCAAGCGTGGGAGGCTGGTAATTTAAGCTTTTTGCAACGAAGGCAGGCTTATGAAGACCCGCAAGCGGAGCACTTCCCGCCAGCAAGCTTCCTCGTGTCGTTATTGTAGTTGTGTCGAATGTTGGAGGTCTTGTAAGCGTGTTATGGCTCTGATGAACAACCGAGGCTGAGGGCAAGATCGAAGAAGAATTGCTTACAAGAGCTCCTTGGGCTTGCACTGGAACCTGTTGTTGCTGTTGAGACTGTGTTGACTGGTGTGCTTGAGCAATAACTACCATACTATTAGCACTTTGCTGGTAGCCTCCTGCAGTCATCTGTTGTTGTTGTTGTTGTTGTTGTTGTTGTTGTTGTTGTTGACCTAGTAGTACTGATGTAGCTCCCATACTTATCATTTGCTGTTGCTGAAGACCTTGTACGACATGCTGTTGAGGAGACATCCTCGTCTGGTATTGTTGTTCTTGGATAGAACCAGAAGAAGAAGGACCTCCAGTTGACGATATCATAGACGTTGATGGCAGTGTAGTTTGTCCATGTCCTCCAACATTTTGATGCCCCTCATGTTGATTGCTCTGAGTTACTAGTACAGACGAAGAAGATGAGCCACCGTTCTGAAATTGTGTTTGTGCGACACCTCCACCGGGGCCACCCGGAGCTGCACCAGCTCGAGGTGAAGCTATTGAATTACTTGTCGTGCTTGAAGCAGCAGGTGGTGCAAGAACTATCTTATTTATATTTGCAGCAATACTGGTGCTACTAGACGTCGCATTTCTCGTTCCTTGCGGCCGCGCGCCACCCGTTCTCGTTGAAGGGGCGAAGGTGCCAGGCGTAGGTCCGTTGAATGTAATTGGCGCTGCACCGCTAAGCATCTCCTGTTGTCTCCTTTGGGCATCTACTGCGCGAGAGGGTGCTGAGCCTCCCTGTTGAATCTGCTGAGGATGTTGGTGAGCCTGCTGTGGTCCTACAACTTGCTGGACAACTTGTTGCTGATGTGGAACTTGTTGAGCTTGAGGTTGACTTAGTACGCCTTCTCCTCCAATGCCTGCTCCTGTCTGATTACCCGTCTCCCCTCCTTGTCCACCTAACCCACCTTCAGTTCTTGCGGGTTCTCCTTCTCCTTCATCGTACGCATCCCCCCATCCAGCCCAGTGAGGTATTGCGGACTCATACTTCTGCAGTAGAGCCGGGACAGAGATTTGACTCACTATGAGCTCCTCCAGCAGAGGCTGGAGGTCAAATAAGGCCATGTCGTGGGGATCGTCCACCCAAGGAAAAATCATGATTCCGGGAATTAGAAGAAAAAATAATGCAAATGTTCTTCATGAGACACAATAACAGTTACCATCGAAGAGTGCGAGAGCAAGAGCGGCTGCGAGAGCATGACGGTCTTGTTGTAGTTGAGACACTACAACGATGACGACCAGTGAGTGCGAGTACGAGGAGCAAAAGTTCTTCAAGTTGAAACAGTAGCTAGCTGTACTACCTGGAAGTACACGTACTACTAGACCTATAATTAAAATCAACGTCGACAACATCAAAGTCTTAAATTACTCGGCTGCAGCATGAAGTTTTCTGCTACGTTGTCTATTATGAGCGTTCTGTCAAGTGGGCGGCCCAGTTTGCTCAGATCCTTCACAAATATCGGGCCCCAAGGTAACGCATGTTGCCGATAGAGCCGATGGTGTATCACACCATTCCCATCGATGTGATCTAAGACCCAATCTGCATAATCTTGTGTTGCTGCTGTACTTAGAACATGGACTCCCGGGACTTCGCAATAGTACAGCTCCAAGATGAGCAGGAGGTCCTAAACCCTAAGCGAGTCACGAGCTAGTAGAAGTTCTAGTACTAGTTGTACTAGTACATGGACTAATGTAAACAAGATGTACGATAATACTAGTTGTACTAGAAGTAGTTGTACTATGTACAACTAGGTCTAAAGACACATAAATCGTCATAATGTAAAGATAACGATTTCAAATCCGATTTCTCGCAATCTTTGCAGAAACTGAACGCATCCAGGTCGCATGTCGTAGAAGCCCCCTCCAGCAGCACCATCTTCGGCAAGTTGTTCCTCTGCTTATTAGAATCGTCTAAGGAAGAACCTCTTATTTTTAGTCAGGAATACAGCTGAGAATGCGCCGGTTTGTGCAGCAGAAACAGTAGTTCACCGAGATCATATCACACTCCTTGTTTCGCTACTAGCTCGACAAAGCAAGTGTCACTTCTTTCCTGAAGAGATTTGTCAGTTCAACTTGAGAAAAAATGCCAAAACCTATGTATCGGGATACTCTAGGACGATCCGAAGGTTATATTAGAGGACCGAAGCGCGGCCGTAAGTATAATGCACTAGCGTCTCGTCTAAATCGAGGACGATAGTGTAGCTCTTGGCACTCTTGTCTCCCATCGTGGACTCCAACGGAGGCAGCCAAGGAGTTTTTTCGAGTGTGCTTAGAAGAAGATTCATTCATTCATTCATTCACGCTGCCACCAGCATTTTTTTTTTTCTAGTAGCAACATTCTAGGACAAAAAGGTGTTAGAAGAAGTCACAGATACGACATCATGATTCATTATCCATCTACCAGTTTTCCTTCTTGCCTCCAAAGTCGAGACTTCCTAGTTGTACTCTCTACTCAGAATATGTAGAGGACTAAGGGGATGAGTCCCATCTACTTCATGTCAAATTCTAATTCACTACTTACGTCCGACTCCTAGTCGTAGTCCTCCCTCATAAATTCGGCAGCATTGGCGGCATCATCTCATAGCCGATAACGTGCATCCCTTCTTGAGGAGGTGCTTTGTCAATATGGTCGTTGCTCCTAAGGTAAACATCCTGTAGCTGTCCTTCCTCGGGTTCTGGTTCCCCTCCGCGTGTTAGAAGGTGACCGGCTGTCTATCCTGCAGCTCCTCCTGGTCACCTACAGCGAAAATCAATGTAGGTGACCAGGAGGAGCAGGACCAGGACCACGAACAAAGAAGTACAAGTGGAAGTACTACCCGAAAATAAAGATGTACAAAGAACATGATATTATCGATCCGAAGAACAAGGTCATAAAGAAGAGCTTAAGATTTTACTAGTCCTCCCAGATCCAGGTTCAAATCATAAGTCTCCTCTCATCGGTGCCGGTCTAAGAATCGGATGAAAGCGGGTCAGAAGTCGTATCCTTTGTCTCATTTGTCCGCACCTCGTCTGGTCCACTGTAAGTTTTGCGCCGTTCAGTATGTCATAGATGGTGTTCACAAGCGGCTTATTCCTCTTTGTCGTGGCGCTCGTTGAGGTAGTAGAGGGCAAATGGAAAACGGTGCGGATCTGTATGTGGTCGTTGGGTGGGGTATAGTGGTTGTTGTGTGAGGTATGGCAGGGTTTTGTGGAAAAAAGAGAATGGTCGTGGGTGGTGAAGAAGACAGGTTTCGTAGACTAGTGTTGAACCTGAAAATAAAGATACTAACTTAATATGGCGATCAAACAGCCTTCAAACTGCTCATCTGGCGTATCATCTTCATCTCTAAAAAAACAACGCCATCTCTAGTACAACCGCCTTCAAGCTGCTTTGTATCATCTCGGTGTGTTGCTTCAGAAACGTTGCATGTTCTCCGCGTTTTATCTGGCGATACCGTTTCCACCGTAAGAGGATTTCGATATTCACCAGCTCCAATTTGCTCTTCTGGTGTGCTCAGTACGTGAAGAAAGAATGATGACCGGGGACAAAAAAAGATTCAAGGTGCGACGTAGTCGAGTTGTCAGTAAAAATATTCAATAAGGTGAATCATGACTATCATATTCATAAACAAGAATAGGAATAGACTGTAGTTGTAATAGCTGTACTGTAAACAAGACAAGCAGATCTACAGACTTCTTCATCTTGTAGTACTACTACTAGCGTTCTTCAAACGCTCGTGGTAAGGAAACGCCAACAAGAACGACATTTTAATTTTCACTGGCAGCCACTTCTTCTCTACTTTTTTCTTCATACGATTAGCTGCAGCTGTCCTTTGCATTCGGGCCAATGCAGCGGAGCAAATGAGGTCCAACAACACAAGACTGTTTTCGTGAATGTAGTACAGCAGATTTTTGGCTCTAGTCTTCACTGCTGGGGTCATTTCATCCCCTTGGACACTGCAGAGAATCCTGTATGTTTTTTGAATGATGAGAAAGTGAACAAAGTGGTTGTCGACGTAAGCGTAGATGAAATGCCTTTTCTAGAACTACGACCTTATACCACAACAAAGTTGAAGTTTTAAGTGAATAAGTTGAAGTTTTACAAAATACCCAACAACCGCCATGACCATTGATTCCAATATCAAGGCCCAATGAACGGAGCGCCTTATTTTGTCCTTGCAACCGGTCCACTTCTCTAGGCAAAGATGGGTCATGCAGCAAGCTGTTCGGAAATACTCGCGAGCCGAAGTATGAAGGAAGGGTGGGAACCAAGAGCAATAAAACTTTGCAAACACATCCCTTCGGAAACCTCAACCTCCAACACCCAAACCCAAAACACCCAAACCCAAAACCTCCAAACCCAAAACCCAAAACCTCCGACACAGAAACAAACAAACCCCAAACCCATGAACCCAGCAAGCTGTTCGGAAATACTCGCGAGCCGTGAAGCTGTAGGTAGACTACCTACAGCCCATGAAGTCTAATATTCTACTACTACTACTTCGTGATCCTGTTAGTCGGTCGTTCAAGAAACGGCATCCTCTCCATAACAAAAACATACTGGTGAGCACGTGCTTTCAGCGTTGCTGTTTTTCAAGGTTTCCATCGAATTGAAGATAGCACTTTCGGCGCATTGTATCCGTTCTACAATCTCGAAAACGGCCGCTCCCTCTACGTCCTCCGAAGAAGAGCCGTTGGTAGTCGATGTTGGCGCCATGGTAGTCGAAGAAGGCGGTGCAGGTGCTTTCATCTTGTTTCTGCTACTTGTGTTGGTACTTTGTTGTGGAAAGCACAACAGATACTGATTCTGTCAGAGTCCGTTGTCGATAGCAAGCGCGGGCTGTGTGAACCTTCTGCTAGTCGATGCAAGAACAGCCTTGCTTGTCGAGGAGGAAATTCAGGTCGTACTAGCAGCTGTGACTCACTACTTCTTGTTACAACGCGCAAGTACTAGATTTTCTGGTCCTGCACCTGCTTCATGGCCGAGCTCGGCCGTGGAGATTAAGATGGTCGTCCACATTCATCTGGGGACCATCCATTATTTCATATCTCCCTTGGTAAATCCCACGCGCTCTTTCGAAGTCATCATCCTTGTTTTTTGGGATAGGGACACTGTCCTCATCATTTAGTGAAACTAATGCTTCCAGAGCCACGCATAGCAGACACAGCAGAAATTTTAATTTTAAACGCATCCTTCTACGACAACTTCATTTTCAACATCCCCGTTTCGACTTCGTGTTCTTGGATATCCTCCATTTTCTCTCGCTATTTTTCAATCACAACATTATAGTGCTTCCTTGTGCTTGTGCACTGGAATAATCTATCATCTTCAAGACAGATGCTCTTTCACACAGCAAAGCAAGGGCCTAAGCTGCAGAAAATCTGCAATCCTCCATCTTCCTCTGTTCCACAATGTTTGTGTTCTTGAACACTTTTACATATTTCACATACAACAACGAAGCATGTTGAGCAGGGACTTTTGCGAAGCATCGTGACGAAGTGTTCTCCTCATTCTATCTGTAGTTGCTATTTTTTCTACGCAAGAATGAATGAGAATCCTTTATACATAGTATGTTGTGCAACTTTCCTTGTTTACATTAAATTGCAAAATTGGCGCACAAGAAAACTATGAAAAATAGTCATTGATGATGTCGTGATGAATTTGAATACCTACTACTAGATCATGCATGTCATTTGATGCAGAATGATTGAATACATAGCAAACCTTTACGTTTACTATGGGCTAGCCCTATTTTTTTGAAATTGTTTGCGTTTCGAGTTCGACATAGATAAAAGTATCTAGACAGGTACAACCACTCCAAGGAACAGATCAACATACTCTCGTTCAAGTTTATCCTTCAATCATGATTTCTTGTTTTCCCTATGTATTACATCAGGGAGTCTTCTACTAGAAGCTCTACTACTACTCAAAAAAAACTCGTCTACTATTAATTATTAGTACTTCTATGTATACTAGTACTTTTTGAAAACCGCGAAGCGCCAAGTATTCCCTGGATCTTCTGGGGACGAAGCCTGGACCGGTCGCCTATCCTCACCTGCGTTCTGCAGCTTCTTGCTCATCTGCAACTTTTCTAGAGATCCTTCCGCGTCGAAAAGCAGATGTCAAATTTTGACGCTGTGATGGGTCTCAGACATTGCGATCACGAGCTTCCCACTTTCTTCTTAGCAGTCGCTGATGCATAACATCAAGGCTTCGACATGATAGTGCTAGTAGACCGAATTACCCAAGTACGTGGTAAAAGATCCTTGCCCATAGGATTAGTGACCATATTGCAAGAAGGGATAGCCTAATGTAGAAAGAGGAAAACAAGCCGGCTGTATATTTTAGTGGTGCTTTGAGCGTCGCTGACCATATTGAAAAGCACAAGATAGAATATCAGGAGAGGAGTTGATGCTTCGCCCTTCAATTCCTGTTGCCTTGAAAGAACTAGAACGTCGCGCAGGATCTTGTATAGCTTAAGTAGCTGAATTTTGGACGTACAACAAGATGAAAGAACGAGGGCGGGGGCGAATACTAGTGTCCTTGAAGTTCCGTCGAAATTAGGTTTCACCTTAACTTTCGGAAAGTAGATTCCACGCTTTCTCCACCATTTTTCCAGCCTCCTGGCTCTGCCCGATGTAATACAGACTCTCGTTGAAGAGAATAATGTCGAAAGATTTTAGAGAATATTCGGGTGCTATGTCAAATGCATAAAAAAGTGTTTTGTTATTTGAAGGGATAAGCCTAGGGATAGCGGTGAAAACTAGCCGGCTGCTCTACTTTAGTGCCTATTTAAGCGTCCCTGGACCGAAGCCCGCAACCTTATAAAATGGTATTAATTTGATGCTCCACGATCCTAGAAATGAATGGATACCCACATCTTCCACTTCTTGTGCTTACAGGGAATGAAAGGGATAATTATAACGAGGAACAACTCTTGACAATTTCCGGCTCCATAACTTCTCGTTCTCTCCACTCAACTCGGAGTCTTGCATTGAAACTGCTTCGAAGCTGTGTCGCTTTACATCGAACTCCTCACGGGCCATTTCAACTGCCGATCCACCTACAAAGTTAGAGACGTCAATAGAGGTTTTTAGGTTTGGTCGTAAGGTGAAGTGGGTTCTTTCTCCACCTTCTAGAGCGGTGTGACGTCGGACAGATAGACCGAGGAGACCGATGATCGAGTAAACTACAGTAGTACTAACAACTCGCCGAATGGATTCAGATACCGACTCTTGTGATTGATTCTGCCAAATGTTGCAGTGCTCTCCACTCCTGCGGTTACTGCAAGAACCTACACTTCTGTGCGACCTGGACGACCACAACAAAGAATGCTGAACGCGAGCGCGACAACTGGATCATGCTAGTCGTGGACATGAGACAATACTCTCCTCAGCACACGTGATTCAACATCTTGGCGCATGTACGACAACCGGGCCTAGTTTTGAGGTCCTGCTGTTCTGCTTGTCAGAAAATGTTAGATCGTGTTGTAAAATTCTTGTTACAAACCGTTTTTTATTCGAAGCCGGTTCAAATTTAATAGTTCAAACCTCTACAATCGCCGGCTTTTGTTCTTGGAATCTTTTGAATGTTTCAATCTGGTCTTTGATATATCGCAAATCGGATTCTCTAGTAGCTTTTGACGTTTTAATTTCTGCTTCTGTTGAGTCTCAGATTTCGTCTCACTTTGTGTACCTGCAGGTACTAGCCTTCTTACTCATAATCTCCTTTTTGTGGTAGAAGTTTTTACTCTTTGTGTTTCATTCTTACTTTATATGTTCAGCAGCTAAAAAAATTTGAAGTTCGTTATACATAGTAGTATGAAAAGTTGAAGTTCTATGATTGATTGAAGTGAATCAGTTGATGATTGAATAAACGACATTTACAAGAAGTAGATAAGAGTACATGGAGATGGAAGTGGTCTTGCTTAGCAATATGTTGGGGGGGCACCAGCTGCACGCTTTTCCCAACATGGGGAAAAAGAGAGCCGCGAACAAGACACGAAAACTATGCGGCATCAGGATGGGGTTCAGGTTTACAACCTAGTCATTATGGGAGGTGCAACTCGTCATGCTCGTCTAAATCTATCTTTCGAAATACGAATGGACCTAGTGGGAGTAGGTATGAGCCTTGACAGTTACTATTCGTGCTCTGATCACTAGATATCATCACTGTTGAAAAGCACTTGCGAGGTAGGTACAATTCTCATGATTTTGGAAGACAAGTTGTATCAACAAGTTTCATTTTCACCGCACGGGGAAAGTACTTGCTGCGCCTTGTTCGTGTCCTAGAGGCGTGGCGAGTCCTTGCTCCGACCTTGAGCGTCTACGATGCTACTGCATACCGAATAAGCGCTTGCATGAAGACCCGCAGACTGGCGTCGTCCGTCAACACAACAGAACTTTCCTGCGTGGTCGCACCTGCGAATGACGCTGTGCCGTTTTGGTTTTTCTTAGAAGAGTTAACATGGAAAGAAGGAGGGAGAAGCTGTCTTCTTCACTATCACTCAGCAGTCCTTTAGTCGACACAACGACCTCGAACTTCTACGGCGACGGAAAAGTCTGATTGAGTGATTGATTGACTGACTCATTGATGAGTAATCAAAAAGGAAAATTTGTAACGGTCAGCTTCTGTTTCTACGTGAGTGATTCTAGTATGCTGCATGTGTATGTAGTGATAATTTTCCACCATAATGTTCTTATCATCGGTTGTGTGCGTTCGACTTGGGTTCACCCTGGTCATTAGGAAACGTGCCTGAGAGCCACCCTCGGCCGTCTGAATGAACTTAGGGACTGGAAAACGCTCATCCAAAATCTGCTTAGCATCTGTCGCTGGAGCCATCAGAAGCTCCTTCAAATGCCCATATTCTGCCTGCTCGTGATACTTGGCGTCGTACCTAAGAGTAAGGGAGTACGTTTGGAGGTTTGGTGGAGGATGGAAGTCTAAAGCCAGGATGTTCTACCTTGCTCATACAAGTACAAGTTACTCATCAAATACCATTGCTGAATCGTCTGTCCTCGCCAGATAACGACGTGGAAAAACGTGTCCATCAGAAGGATCACATTCTTCTGCATGCTCAGACTATCGAGCAAGACTGGTTTCGGGGTTGGGTCGTCCAGGGAGTAGGACAAGAGCGCGGGTTGCAACATGAGCAAAGAATGCATCGTGTTCTCTTTCAGGAGGCAGGTTCGGTAAAAAGCCGTTTCATCCGGAGACGAATTGAACAAGTCCATGAAGGGCGAGCGACGCAGGTAGTACCTGTCGTGAATAGTTTTTTCTTTTTCTTATTGTTTATGAAGAAAGTGAAAAGTGTATTTCAACCTAGCTGCAGATGAAGTTTGGAAAATTCCGGATACGCGTCAACATCGAAAACTAGAAGGTAAATGAAGATGCACCAAGACACATTTTTTCGAGACTTGTGTTACGCTCGTCTTCTCGTTTCTTATCACATCTCAAGGCGAACAGCGTAATCAAATTCAAAAAAACACAATACATGAACTGCGGAAAGAGCGTAAATTCCTCTGACAATTGGAAGGAGGTGACGTCGTCTCGATTGTACGAAGCGAATTTGGAGATTAGTCGTATCAATATCCTATCCATACGCCTCAGCACGTCCTGGACTTCCGTAGACTCCACTTGAAACATAGCGTTTCGAGTCATGCTGTGTTGAAAGGTGAGGAGAAACCTTTCTCTTAAAAAAATTTTTATTGCTAACACTATATATCATGTACATGTTACACTATGTTATACTATGTTATACTATGCTATACTATGTTAGACTATGTTATACTATGTTATACTAGCATTGATTGTGAGCAGGAGAAGTAGGTTGCGTTTTTAATCATGTGAAGATGTGGTTTTAGTTTTTTTCCGAATATAACGAAAAGCTGCTAGTTTTTTCTTTCTTGTATCGATTACATGACACAGTCTAATAACAGGGACGCACATTCACTGTGATAGATGTGCATGTGCTCAAAATAAAGCATAACAAGTCTCGAGTACATTGCCGCCGCGCACTCTTGATCGAATCCGTGGCTAATGTTTGCTAGTTGCGGGTCGCTGAACGCTCTGGCTAGTGTCGTTACTCGTAGGCGTTTGACGCCACTAGGATGATGGTAAAGGGTCTGAAACTGCAAATAAGCAGCATTCTGACCTTGCTGAATATCTCCGCCAATCTCGAAAAAGAAGGCTAGGGTGGTCCCAGGATCTAAAGCGGCCATCCGCCATTCGACTGTGCCTGTAGGAGGACAAAGACGGTGAGTACTTACAAGAATATAGGAAGTACGGTGAGAAGAATGGTGGAGACACTTGGAGTAAGGAAACTCTAGTATGTAGAGTAGATGAGTAGATGTGTAGAAAAGGCAATGCTGTCCTGGTGCCAGTATATGCTCAGTGGAGTAAGAGTCCTCAGTGTCCTCATGCTCAGTCTTTCCTTGTGAATAGTATTTAACAGTTGTTCCCCTTGATGTATGTTCAGTCTTTCCTTGTGAATAATAAAAAAGCCTCTTCATCATCTTCAATAAGCAGCTGTTGTACCGCTCTCCCCTATTTCAGTTTCTCCGACGGAGGCGTTCTTTTTCTGCGTTCCACAGCATGGACCCACACAGCCGCTCACTTTGAACTCTTTTGAGCAAACCGTTTTTATCGTCGCGTTGAACCCCATTTGGAGGAAACCTGTCAGATGACGGGGTGAGTACGACGTCATAAGTAGATGACGGGTGATTATGACGATAAAATGGAAGGAGCAGAGGAAGTCGACGATGCAATTCCCAGTATTAACGAAAGGAATTGGAACAAAATGGAAGGAGCAGAGGAAGTCGACGATGCAATTCCCGGTATTAACGAAAGGAATTGGCTCAACTATCTTCAAAAGCGAGTAGTAGAAGAAAGTCGTTTACAACTGCGTCTATTTCGTTTTTGATGGTTCTAGCCGCGAAACTCTTAGAATACCGGTTTCATCTACTCTACTTTCAAATCAGAGCTCCCACTCTTTCAAAGAGCTTCTTCTTAAAGGAGTCTAGGACTAGGTCTACTTTGAATGAATTCAAAAATCTATTATTCAAGTCTAAACATTAACATTTATAATAGAAGTACCGTTTTCATCCACTCTTTCAAAGAGCTTCTTAAACGAGTCTTTGAAAACGTGCGTTGAGTAGCCATCCGATAGTACTAGCATGCCGCCTGTCCGGTCACACATTACGCGCATTTCGTAACTGCCTATCTGATCCAAGGAATTCGCAAATATATCTACCGCATGCCCTGCCGCCACAGCTCGAGTCGCAAGTGACGCATAGAATTGCAAGGCTGCTTTGGTGAATCTGTAGTATTGACGTAGTTGACGAGGTAGTTGAGGATTGGGGTTAAGATGACTAGGGTTGTGTTTCAGAATTTCTTGTTGCGGTGTTGATGTTGACGAGGTAGTTGAAGATTAGGTTTTCTGGGTCCTTCGTATTTTGTGAGAGAGTGTTGTAAAGTTCAAGTGTGACAGACCACCAGCACCAGGACCAGTCAAAATCAATTACTAGTTCTTGTACTTCGTATTTGGTTTCTCCTTCTGCAAGTCTTGATGTGATCGCATAGTTTCGGATTTTTCGGCTGAAACTATTTGGCCTGGTCCCATAGTACACGGTCCTGAGCTCAACAAGACCACTCGTCAAGAGTTAGAGAAAGAGATAGATAATGACTTCATCATAGGTTCGATTAGTCCTCCGCTAAAACTACTACTGAAAGGTAAAAACCAAGAACATAGCCATACTTGATAATGTTGGTGGAGCATACCTAACGAGAAAAAACAAAAACCGAAAAAAGAAAAGTCAGGCAGGTACTTATCTACTACTAAATAAGCGCCGGCGCTGTCGTGGTCCTGTCAGCCCCAGAGGTCTCACCTTCGATAGCCATACTTGATAATCAAAAAATCATCCAACAACTTCGTATTAGGATTAGGTACATCACATCTTCAAATAAGTAGGAAGAACATGATCCTCGCGCCTTATCTGCATGTCCCGCATAGAGGCACTCTAGCAACCCTATCGCCACAGACAGTGCGGCACCTGTGCACCGCGACGTTCGAACGTCTCGCGTCTGTGTAGGCCATCGGTCCCTCTGCAAATCGTCCAGGACCGAGTTCAAACTGAACTCGCATTCGCTAATTGGCGGTAGTTAGAGAAAACATCAAGAACAAGTTGATACAGAAGTCGTGAAAAGCCTGCTGAAGACAATAAACAAGAAATATGAAGTCAAAAGGTTGTCCGTCGAGGTCCCTGATCGTCTGTGCTTGAAGAGAATGTTGTGCAGCAGGCCGTAGCAAACTAAATTGAATAAGTAAAAAAAGTAAGACAGCCATAAAGTAAAAAGCGATTCCGACCGGCCGCTGGTTGTCTAGGGTCCACTCGTTGTGGCAGTCCAAGCTGGGTTGCGACTTGCGCTGCACTATACCTGTTGTGATCAAAAGTAGATATTAGCTTCCTTAAGGAAATTGCATTCCTTAAAGAATTTCGCCTCCATCTTCCCTTGTTTTAAGATCATATAATTTAGCACGACTAAAAACTGATGGATTTCAATTAGTATTATCATAGGGCTCCCTTAAGGGGAAAAAATGACCCTTATGGGAGCTCCTTAAGAGGGCCCTTGTAATAAAATTCGGCTAATATTAGGCCCTTCCTTAAGGGCCACCTCTTAAGGTCCTCCTTTGCACTATACCTGTTGTGATCAAAAGTAGATAATTACATCCACAAAGCAGGAGCTCTTTGAGAGTTCCTGGAAAGCTAGAAAACAGTGAAGAATACCCTTTCGTCCCTCTAAAGCAGTAGCTCTTTGAGAGTTCCTGGAAGCCTAATTCGTGCACGTTTACTAGTGTGCCGAAGGTAACAAACCCCACCAGAGAGGTCACAGGCATCGTCTGCATGATTTGCTGCAGTGACTCCTTCGCTTTCTCAAACTCTGGCTCGTCGTCGCTGTTATTCAACGACGTATCCAGAACGAAAAGGAATACCTAGAAGATATGTATACGAAGATTGATCATAGAAGATACCAAGAAGTAGAGGCAGTATAGAAGATACAACCAAAAAGTATAGAAGATAGAAGATGACCAGTTATACCTAGAAGTCCTTCTATAGAAGATACCGAGTTGAGGAAGAGTGGGACGAGAGGTGAACGACGTGAAATCTTCTTAGGTGGATCCTTTTTCTTTTTACTCCGTACATAAAGATCTTTCACCTGCTCATGCTGAACAAACAACAGCGTCCACACCTATTTGGGAAGCAATGGTTTGCATGAAGGGATAGCCTAAAAGTAGAAAGAGGAAAACAAGCCGGCTGTTTATTTAAGTGCTACCGGTGGCAGGACTTGCGAGTTTGGTAGGAGGTACTCGATCGTCGTTCTCACAGCTTCCAATGGCTTTTGTGCCTCCCTTGTTAGAGTTTTCCAGTGGTGTATCTATGTATACGTAGGAGTAGATATAGAAATACAGAATCATCAAGGCAATTTTTACTACATTTGTTGTAGCCTTAAGCTGATATGTTCTGCGTAGAAGGGTGGGAGAGCGTTTCGACAACCGCAAAAGTTACAGGTCCAACACTTTGTTCGCATGTCGATGTAGCTAAAGGGGTTCAAAAAAGCTCCGCACTGTCGGTTCATACCATTGCATGCCACTGGATCGTACGTTACGACGATGGTTAGAAGAGGGAGTAGAAGGTGATACTGTTGATAGGAAAGGAAGTAAGAGGTGATACTGATAGAAGTATTAAAGAGAGTAAGAGGTGATACTGATAGTGAAGGGGCTAGGAGGTGATACTGCTAGTATTGAAGGGAGTAGAGGGTGATAGACTCTAGAAGAAGTAAAAGCTTCATCTAGTTCCAGATGGAGGGCATGATAGAAAATGGTGGCAGAAAAACTTAGTGGTTGTCAATATCATAACTTCAAATCCGTGACTTTTTTCAGAGGTGTGTACATGCAACCAAGAGGCAGGAGTATTCTTTGCATGCCCAAGCGATTCGGCGGCCAGATATTCCATGCCATCCGCACGCCATCCTTCGCCTCCATATCATGCACGTCCATCTTGTCTTGCTGTTGGAGTCCGACTTCTAAAAAAGGACGAAGGACGAAGGTGGAAGTAAAAGAAGTTACAGTTGGTATCTAGTTCTTGAAGTTGTATACGTGGAAGGAAGACGAAGACGAGTCGTGCTTCTTGTTCTTGGTCGTAGGCGCTGGTCCTGGTACATTACATAGGTGTGGTACTTGTACTCTATTAGTTGTACTACTATTATGAGTATCTATGAGGTTCTTTGCTGGAAATTGCGGTGGGAGCAAAGTGCTCCTTTCAAGTCGCTGTGCTGAGTCGCTGCCCTTGCTTCAGAAGCAAAAATAGAAGAGCGCTGTGCTTGTACCTCTGCGTGGGTCTGGATGGACGCTGGGGTCGCTGCACGAAGTGGAAGTTGCTGTTATTCGATGTACTATTAATACAAAGGTCATAGGAACAAACCGTTTCTTTGTGTTTCGCTGACTACAAAATGGAGGTACTAGAAAGGAGGTCACGTCGTTTTGTTAGGGGAGGAAGTCGAGGACACAGATGGCGCTCCGGAAGTTCGGAAAAATTGGGGAAGTTCGTAAAACTTGTCCCGACCACGTCTTTACTCCGTTGTAGGTCCGTCTATTACTGGCAAATAGTCCTTCCCTTCGACTAGTCCTTCTCTTACTGGTACTGGTAAATCATCCACAAGTAGATATGCTTGGTCAGCAAGCAGAGCTGTCGCGAACAAGAGGCCAACGCAATATCATGTTGTTTTTCAAAAAAATCAAACTATGGCAATCGAATTCGAATAATCCCTAAAAAATGAAAACAAGTTCAAAAGCCAAAGGGTGTAACACTGGAGGTAGAGTGTAAAAACAGAGGATCGATTCGGATTCCTGTGCGCTGTCACTATGGAAAAATTTCCTTGCGCCTCGAAATGCAGTTTTCTTTTTATCCATCAGCTGTAACTGAGAAGAAACTTGACCAAGATTTTGAATTTTACAAGGTCCACTTTAGGATCACGTCCAAGCCGCAACACGGATGTCACTCTCGTTCGATTTGTTCAAAAAAAATGGCGATTTGGACATGGATTTCCATTCCAAAAATGCGATTTGTTGTGGAAGTGACACATTGATTCTTGTTAGTTGCATCTTCATCGCTCTTGCATTGCGAGCAGTAGTTAATTAATGGCGCAGGTGGAGTCGTTGAACTACCAAGCATCGTTTTCAACACGACAGCTTGAGTCTAGCACTAAACCACAGTAATCATTATTAGATGGAACAGGTATACGTATTATTGTGAAAAGAGAGCCTATTTCAAACAGAAAGGCAACAAGGACGAGAACAATCGAAGAGCACAAGGAGGGGAAGCGAAGAGAATGGATTTTGAGAAAAGATGTAGCAGTGTCTCGACCGTGGTGGTGCTACTACGTACTGTCGAGAGACTGATACACTCTGCGTCTTCATCAAACGATCATTTCTCTGGAGGGATGCTGATGAATTTGATTTTTGATCATCAGAGTTCATTTCATCTGGACACTCTTTTTCACTTCTCAGTAGCACTACCTTCACAAATTATTTGCTGAAAGCCTTGAGGACTTCATCAACAGAGTGCTTTCATCTTGTTTATGTTTTATTTACTATCACGTATGAGAAAAACTCCAAATTTAGGTTTGTTGCCATCAAGTTTGTAGTCGTAGTTGTCCTATTCGTTCTTGCTGCAGCTTCTACACATCAGAGTAATTTCATTCTCGTTTGGTCTTTATCACTTGCCTCAAAGTATTTCTCTCCCTCACAACTCCCGGGATGACTGTTTCTTGTAATGGTTGTTGTAAAACACCGAGTTGCGGTCGCCTGCAGGAGGTACGGGACCGCGTACGCACGTAGCCCTACTAGCTCTTGCTACTTCTTCGCAGTATCTTGCATTACAATCAATATATTCGAATACAGGCTGGTCAATTTTTTTACGAGAGCAAAGAATTTCAATTTCTTCTAGTACAGGTACAAACTGGACATCATGGTGACGCTGGACATACTGGTACAAGGAACTGTCCTCTTAGAAATTCATTCAGTTGGAGTTGATGACACTGACAGGGACCACGCCTAGAAGAAATACAATCGGATTTCAAAACATTTTACATCATTGATTATAGGATACATGAGGTCCCTTCCCACTTCTTCCAGAAATAATACATCCATTCTAATGATGGTATAGAAATTTTCTTGATGGTTGTATAGTTGATGGTTTTCTCGCTGCGAAAGTCTACTAGAAGCGCAAGTCAAGTGAATTTTTCTTACGTGATCTACTGTGAGTCTCCTGTCAATGCTTAAATCTGAGTGCTTGGTCGAGTTGTCCGAGTCAGTGTCTGAGTCATCAAAAAAAAAAAAATTTATGTGGTAGCTAGATGTGATTGCTTGCGGTACGTAGTAGTTAGTCCTAGTCTTGGAAACGCGTTGTAGTGGTCGTGTCACAGAATAACATCACGTCATGTGTGCTTGTTTGATAATGCGGTTAGTTTGCTATCACTGTTTGTTCAATAATACGATAACAAAAGTGTCACTGTGCATAATAAGTACGAAACGTTTAAACGATCTGAAATGTGAATGTGTGTGATGTAAACGAAGAAAGAAGATGGTCAACATAGTAAGTTAATATTGTTGTATTTATCATCATTGTTAGTTCATCCGACATAGTAATTATTGTTCTAATATTTTATATGCTTTCGTTGAAGTTGTCGTGGTCTTGAGATTGAGAAGCTGAAGCACAAGTAACAAGTTACTGCTTCCCTACAATGAATGAGATGAAGGGGCTGCCAGTAGGAGGTCGATCACGTAGTATACTCCAACAGCATGAGGAGGAACGCCGAAGCTTGCAATGCTGCGCGAGTAGTAGAGCCAGCGGCACGAGGTCGGTACAGATCACCGCAAGGCGAAGAGCAAGCTCCGGGTTGACGATTTCCGCTAGTATGGGAAGACAAGAGACCGAAGGACAAGAAGCACGCACAGATATCCAAGCCCGCGCAAGCTGAGCCCGGAACAGTCACCAGATACAGCGCAGCAGTAGGGCGGCCCACTGCGGGCGGAAGGAGCACACAAGAAGCGACGCGTATAGCCAAGGCTGGAGACCTACGGCCAAGAGCGAAGCGCGAAGCCTTGCAAACGCAAGGAGTTCCGAGACCTCTGCCGAAAGAGTTCACCAATTAGCCCAAGCGAGCCCAGGCCACCCAATAAACTGGCCCAAGCTGCCGCAGATTAGGCAGCCAGTTAGCTTATGGCCTCAACTAATTTCGACTAATTTCAGACAATTCGCGCTATAATTCTTAACAGCTAACTTCTACTAATTTTGATTAATTTCTAGCGCTAACTAATTCGAACTAACTCGAATTATTTTCAACTAATTCCAACTAATTTGAACTAATTGAATTCTAGCTAATTCTAACTACTTCTAACTAATTTCGACTCATTTTAACTAATTCCAACCAGCTCTAACTAATTCGAACTAATTTGAGCTAATTTCAGCTAGTTAGAGCGAACTAGCTTGGACTGATTAAGCCAACTGATTCGGACTAGTTTGAACTAGCTGAGTCAGCTAGTTCGAACCGATTCGAACTAATTGGCGAAGGCCAAGCCAATTAATGCGAACAATCCAAGAAGAAAAGGGCCAGCTAATTCGCCCCAAATTGAACCAATAAGAAGAAACCGAAGCACCACCAGCGAACTAATTTGGACCAATTTGAGGTAATTTGGACTAATTTATGGGCAAGGGCGTCGAGTTAATGAACAAAAAGCCTGCCGCCTTTCTTGTCTTTAAGAGAGAAGGCAAGGTGAACAGCTAAGGCTGGGGAACAAAGAAGAGGCCAAACAGCTGCCCAAGCACCAGGTGAAGTGGACGGAGAGGCGAGACCAAAACGCACACGCAGAGAAAGCCCGCGAGGAGGCAGCGGAGCACCTCGCCAAGAGTGAGCAAGCGCCTGCAATAGCGAAGGCGCCAACACTAGGCGGAAAGAAAGCGCGTGGGCACAACGGCAGCCGTTCCAAGATGGGCGAAACACTGAAGCACGAAGAGGAAGCCGCTTGCTTTCTTACACAGCCAGCAAGAGGAAAGCGGAGCTGCGCCGAGCTTTCTTCGATACAGTCTGCACAGGGGAAGAAAAGAACCGCCACAGCCACCAGAGCGCGAGGCGCGTGAACTGCCCCGAGAGTTCAACCGCGCGCCACGAGGCGGCGGCGACAACGGACAAAGAGAGGCGAAGGAGCGAACAGACAAGGGAAGGAGACCGACGCCGCCATAAAGAGGCTCAAGGCCAGCAGAGCTGCAGGCGGTGACCAGCTGAAGAAAGAGCGCCACGAGCTGGCGAGCGCGCAGAACAGGGACAAAGTCAGAGATACGATGCGCAAGCTTTGGCAAGAGGGACCGCCGGAGGGTGGCGAGGTCGACTCACTCTCTCATAGCGGTACTGCCAAAGCCGGGGAAAGAGCATGGCAGTGCAGCTGGGTGGAGACCCGTCGCTTTCTTTGTTCAATTTCTTCGCAAGAGTCTCCGCGTCACGACTCAGTGCTATGCATCAAGCTCGCCAGCCCAGTGGGCGCAGTTCCCTCAGAGACACAGACGGGCGATACTAGACCGCACAGGAGAGCGGTGGGCAACACGCTGGCCCTCAGGCTAGCACTGCACTGCAGGCGCGAGCAGCAGCCGGCCGCGCCACAGCGCTTGGCTTGGTGGACTTAACCTTAACGCAAGCTTTCGACGCCGTACCCCGGAAGCTAGTCGCAAGGGCTTTCGAAGCATGCAATGGGATACCCCAAAAGCTACGAGGTGAAGGCATCTGGGCTTTGTACAAACAAAGGGCACCACCTCGCAGCTCGAAGAGAGGCAGCTGTCAGCGAATCAAGAGAGACGACACGACAACAAAGACGAGGCAAGTCAGCCTCTTACCCGGCGAGACACCGCTTCGCAGTTCGAAGAGAGGCAGCTGCCAGCTAATCAAGAGAGACGACAACAAGGACGAAGCGAGGCTGCCCGCCACTTATCGCCGCCTATCTTCTGCATGTGCGTCCGCTACGTTTTCGACAAGACAGACCTCAAGAGAGGGGCGAAGCTGCACCGAACGAAGCTAGTCGAGCGGGGTGACTGAGGTGGCTGAGGTCGGAGAGGTCAACCGAGGCCGCTTTTAAGGTCTTAGATCGATGCCGACGACATCACGCGACTAGCTGAGGGCGCCGAGAGCTTACGAGGAGCTACGCAGAGGCTGGTAGACTCCGTGAGCGCCGGGCTACGGCTTGGCATAAATCTCATAAAGACGAAATTATGTGTAGAATTCAGCAACCAAGAGGGCACAGAACCAGTTGCAGCAGGGGCGAGAATTGACCTACTTGACCAGCGTGCTGGCGCAAGGCGGAGAGCAGAGAATGAGCCTGACGCTCGAAGGAAGATAGAGCGAGCCCAGAAGAAGAGCGGAGAGCCGTCGAGAGTCTCTGCACCCGCTGGCATCCGCAAGGAGCTGGGGACACGCATACTGCGGGCCTTTGCGCTGCCAGTAGTGCTGTGGGGGGTCAGAGGCGTGGACCCTAACAGCCAAGACCAGAGCCGTGGCGCGGTCGATGCGTGGCGAGGTCAGAAACTGCGCTCCCCCCTGCATAAGAAAGAACCACAAAAGAAGACCACACACGGACAGGGGACCCACCTGCCGGCGAAGACAAGGCAAGGGCCTCTCAGCTACACGGTCGAGCAGAGGCGCCGCAGGTATGTCGGGACTTTTGTGCGATACCCCTAAACTAGGTGGGCGCGGATAGCCTTAGCAACGGCTACAACAGAAGAAGAGGAGCACCGCGCGCAACCTTCAGAAGACAGCGACCGGCTGACCTCAGAGCGAGGGGAGCACGACTAGAAGGCGCACCAGGTAGAAGCCTCCGGCCACAGATAGTAAAGCAAAAGCCTGGCCGCCGTCGCTCTACATCAGCAGGGACATGCGCTAGACTAGTGGGTAGAATTCATCAGGGAAATCTTAAGCAGACTGCCGATTAGATTCGCGTCATCAGTTCCGAAAAATATGCGAAAACGATAGCAAGTCGTCTAGTATTTTTAGCTGCCTGGCCGTTGTGCTTCAGGATTCTCGCGGGGTAGTTAAATGTTCGTACTGCGAGGAATATAGACTCAGGCCCCAAAAAAAAAGAAAAGCGAGTGAGTGGGTGACTGAATGAATGAGAAGTGTGGACTGGCGCGCTTTTCTCCTCCATCTTTTTCGCCTCCCCTTCATGCGGAAAAGGCTCTTGCCGTCTTTCATCTGATGAGTTTTGGACTTTTTTGAGTTTTTTGTTACTCGGCAACGCCACCACCAAACACAACAGGGACAAGCCTGACAGGGGCATAATTTCTGGAAGGCTTCGGCCCACTCCAACAGCGCGCACGTTTGGCGGCGGCGTTGCCGAGTAACATCCACAACTTAAAGAGAACGCACGGCCATGCTATTCGCATCCTGATGGCGTCAGCGACCTCGTTGACCATCTCCCACGACCACCGTGGGGGACTCCCATGATCCGCATAAGGATCCCGGTCGCTATGATCATCACCAGAAGGCCCAGAGCCTTGAGCCTGATCGCAATCACATCACCCAGCGAGGACATTCAGAAGGAGAAAGACGAACGCAAGCGGAGAACCAACAGACCAAGAGGGAAGAAGCAAGCGACGCACTCCAGGAAATGCGAAGCACCGAGCGACTTGGCTGGATGTTGATCTTCAAATGCGTAACACATGCTGGGAAACAAATGTTTTAAAAAGCGAGCATATTCGTTTAACGCTGTTTTTCGCTATTCGTGACTGAGTGGCTTCCCTTTCTTCCCCTCAGAATAAGAGGGAAGCGACTCAGCATAGTCCACGTGCACGGGACAGTGAAAAACTATCCTTCACCGTTAAGAGTGGTTGCTTGTACTTGATACTAACTAGTGCAAAGATAATCAAAGTAAGTAGTACAACTACATCAATAAATGTCCTCTGCGTCATCTACACTAGAATGAATATCAATTATTGTGGTGATGAGTCGATCAGTCTTTCAACTAGTATCCTAGAATCAAAATCAATCATAAACATAATCATTGTGATCTTCATGATAGGGAAGGAAATACCTAGATTTTGTTCCAGCTGGAGCTGTTCAGTTGCAGCTGTCGCCACCACAGGAGGAAGCAGCTTCTCCACCACAGGCACACAATCCTCGTCCTATGGATGGTCTTTTTTCTCCCCTCTAGATGCCCATGCAGATCATCCTGGCAGTTTTTGTTTTTCCCTTAATAAACAAATGCTTCAACAAATATTTTGCTCTTCCTCTTAAGAATATGCTTGAGTGAGTGGATGAATGTACCCACTCCAGGTATAAAGAAGACCACACACTGACTACTACTGAGTGCGTGCCAGGATCACCTGCTCCTATGGGGGAGAAAAAACATCACCCATATCCTCGTCCGATGCGGCCTTGGCCTTCGCCTTTGCGAGCATGTGGGCCTTTGCTCCCGGGCTCCATAATTAGAAGGTGAGCTCATTTTTCTCACACAAGCATTTACGTGTAGTCTAGTACATGATCCTAAAAAGTAGAAGGAGCGAGAAGTAGTCGTGTGCCCAATCGTGCTCGGGTCTATATGAGCCAGAAAGCTAAGGTAGGTCCACCTGTTGAACATCCACTCTTCCAAAGGTCGTAGTTTAGGTTTTGGTTTAGCGTCTTTGATATAAAATGATCTCATGTTGTGGTTCTTCTAGAAAAAGCAAAAAGTGATAAAGCAAATTTAAACTTTTACAGATCGATCTACTAAATCATGGATATGATTCATTCTTAACCTCTGAGATACGCTGTCCTTGGCGCCTCAGGCGAGTGGACGGGCTCTTGTTCTGGAGTTCCTGCACGACTGTCAAGGAAGTTGGGCGTCGCAGCATGATGATGAGAGTCATCAACTGGAAGATCAGCATTTTCAGCATTAGCATCTTCAGCTTTTAGAACTCACGACCCTAATGAGGATCCCCCCATCTTAGGAAAAGCGATCCGCTGCATATGTAGAAGACGATTTACGAGAACTAGTGCATTTCTAGCATGATACTCTTTTTTCTTCATAAGAGAGTCAGTGAAGTTTTGTCTCTCTCTGGCTCTATGATGTTTTTGAGAAAAAAACGGAGACCATAATGGAGTAGATTGCGGGAGGATAGGCGGTGCAGGCGTAGCAGTGGTATTAGCGCTCTCCGTAGTTCATCTTTTTCTTTCAACTGGTGCATCCTCGAAGCATACTTTTACTTTTCAAGGATGCGCCATCGCCAAAACAAAGATGAAGAATTATCTAAATAGCCTTAAGAGCAGAAGCGGAATCATCCGCAACGGGAGGCGGCAATACTTGTTCTCCTGTACTACTAGAAGCAGTACTCGGATCAGAAGACTGTGGTCGAGCTAGTTCCTTCTGAACAGCGGAATCATCCGCAACGGAAGGCGGCAATCCTTCTCCTGTACTACTAGAAGCAGGACTCCCATCAGAAGACGGTGGAGCTAGTTCCTCCTGAACAGAAGGTGTTGAAGGAGGAGGATTACCGGCTTCTTCTACCGAGGAAAGGGAAGCAACAGCTTCTTGCTCTAGCTGTTGATTAGAAGATGAAAAAACAGAACTTGTTAGGAGACACTACTTATTAAGCTATGGGGTAGCACTATGCCAAAAGCGAACGTAGAAGACTGGCTTTTTAGCCAAGAAACGGACATAAAGCCCAGGGATCAGTTGGGCAATATTCGTCGCAAAATGGAAAGTTTTCATTCTGAAACGAATAAGGTACAAAAAAGCGTTTTTTGTTTTTGGCATATTAGTGTTGCTCCATATATTAACTTATCAGAATACGTATAAGCAAACCTTTTTGTTTTTCTCAATCAAGTGAATATTGCAACATGTCATCACAACAAGACTTCTTAGATTGCACCACCCTTTTTCTTGTTCTCACCTTAATTACTTGCTTAGCTGCAGCATCGTCTGCAACAAACCCCGAATCATCAGCTTTTTCCTTGTTCGAACGTGTATCGGAATCCATGGATGGAGGGGGCTGCTGCTGTACTGGCTTCACCATATTAACGGGAACTGGAGCTTGCTCTTTCTTCGTACTCTGTAGTTGAGGCGCTGCATCCATCTGTGCTGGTGTTCTTCCATCAGTCTTCTTATTGAAGGAAGCTTCTGCCTTCGGCTTTGCTACACTAGTATTTCTTGCTGCTGCAAACGGTGGTGCTGGGCTTCCTCCTGGTTTCTTCGTACTGAGGGAAGCTGCTCGTGCCTTTCCCTTTCCTCCTTGTCCATGGGCATAGGACCTCTTGTGGGGGGGAATCCAATCCTTTGGGGGAGCATAATTCTTTAGAAGTAATGATAGATGATGATTGTAAAGAGTTGCACAATATGCAGATGTAGAAGTTGTCGTGCAGTTCCTTGTACTTATACATATTACAGAAGAGAAGAGCGAGCGTAGTCGTTCTTCTTGATGTGTGTTCTTGCCGAAGCATCCAAAAAATAGATCATCTAATAAAGGTGAGACTTTTGTTTTGCTCGGTGCGGTATAGCGTCCTCCTTGTCCTCCGCCAGTGCGACTCTGCACCTCAGTACCCAGAGCCATCAATATTAGAGCGGGTAGAGCTACAGGCGCTTCTAGTATTTCCTTATCAACCAAGTATAGGTTGCACTGATTTCTAGTGCCGTTCCCTTAACCTTATTAACAGCATGCGCTACTTGAGGCAACAATGTAGTATCTCTACTAACACGCACCTTAAGCTAAATCATCTCTAAATATAAGAAATCATGATTGGAGACCTACATTAGATACAAGCATTGAAGATAGATACAAGCATTAAAGATAGATACAAGCATTGAAGATAGATACAAGCATTAAAGATAGATACAAGCATTGAAGATAGATACAAGGAAGCGGCCTCTTTTGGTCCTACTTGACAACTACATTCCATGTTCGTCTTGAGGCTGAGTGTTAGCTTTCTCTACTTTCAGTGTAGTTATGAATATCTAAGTGTATGAGATACGTGATCTTGTTTATACACGGGGACGTCATGCACTAATTATAGAAAGCAATACAGGGGAAGATAATAGAAGGAAGGTGGGGAATCGGTGAGACACTGTTCCCGAGAAGTGGGGTAGTACGCGCAAATAAATAAGGACTGCCAACAGAAGCTGCACGAGGAAATCCTTCTGCACGCACCGATCCACAATTGAGAGCCTGAGTGTTAGCTTTCTCTACTTGTCATCGTCGTTATGAATATCTAAGTGTATGAGATACGTGATCTTGTTTTAATAGCCCACATGTAGACTTTCATCCTCTTCTTAACATTGACGACGTGCGTGACCCAGCGAGCGCTCCATCTGTGAGGAGCAGCAGGGATAGAGCAGCCTTGTTAGAGGACAGATTTTCATTCATCTTCCTCTTCCTCATTTCATTCTTATAGATACTATAGCACTCTACGAAGTTTTTAGTTTTATTCTCATGCTCATCTAGGAAGTTTTTAGTTCTTAGTTTTAGTCCTCAACAAGTTCCGGTTGGCTCTCCTCCTCTTCTTCATTGGTTGAAGATGCCTTCGTCCGGATGGTACCAGCGTCACTTTTTTGGTCATCCTTGAGGTGGCAGGTTTAGGGTTGAGCCAAGTAGTGGTGATCGCCTCTCTATTGAGTAGGCGAAGGCGATGCCAGAAAGCGGATATTGTAGTCTGCCGACTGATGTAGTTCTCTTTGTTTCTGCTAGTTTTACCAAGACCTGGTCCTTGTTTTTTATAGGTCTTGTTTATCAATCTTCCCAGCACTAGCTTCTACTTCCTCGTCTTCATCATCAATCTTCCTTGGTCGTCTTCATCGATTGCGGTTCATTTTCCTGCTCGTTCACGACGATGATGACAATGAAAATGAGGAGGATGCAGCCAACGAGGGGGAAGGGCGACAGATCTTGTCTGCAGCTAGTAGTTGTAGTTGTTGGCGTAATACGAGTATCCGGCAAGACGAAGCAGCTCCGACAGTCTCGTGTCACAGGTGACGGCCGTTGAATTGCGTACCCTAATGAGGAGGAGATACGGGGATACTCATCTTTTCCTATCTGCAAGAAAAACAAAGTGGATCTAGTTGTATGGACCGACTAGCATGTTTCCGCAAGCATGACAATAATGCAAGAAAAACACAGTGCTAACCGTTTACATCAGGGACTCCTCGTCAATGCTTTATCCTTCTCAAAGCTTATCATTCTCCCTTGGTTCTTGTAACAAGTGAGACGAGGCTCACCTTGCTTATTGGAACGACGGTGGGACTAGGCTGGTGCTCATTCAAATCTACTGGGAGTACGCTAGTTTAGAACTACGATTACGAAAGCTCAGATCATCTACAACTACTAGTAGTAGTTTCAGTGGTAGAAGAAGTGATAGGTGACCCATTTTTATACTTCGAGTAGTACAAAGGCCAGTTAGACAGTTAGAGTGGGTGGGGAATTGTTTCCTTAGTATAAGCCGCTCAATTGGATGTCTTCAGAGTCATCCTCGGTAAGTGATGAAGATGTGATATAACCGATGCGAAATCCGAACTCCATAGGTCATAATGTGACAACCGAAGCGAAATCCGCCTTCCTCTTTGTAACGAAAAGACTTCCGATACCGAAATTTGACGACGCTCAGGACAAGGTACATAGGATAGGTCAGGCTCAGGACACTCACGATACGATAGGACACAGTCAGAACTCGAAGACGTCGAATAACCCTTTTCATCATCCTCCTCGTGTAGTTGCTGCTTACTGAGATTTGTTACAATTAGTGACGCGTTGCCGCGTTTTCTCCCATGTCTTATGTACGCCTTAGGCTAGTAGCTCCTGTTTTCAGCGTTCAATATTCACTTTGGGCATGGGACCGTTTTTGGGGCTTAAATCGGCAGAAGATCGTGCTCCTCTACCTCTTTCGTGCTAGGACTCCTCAGCTTTGTCGTTGTACTTATTAGTATTACTTAGCAAGCATACTGCAACGCTGAATGACTGTGACACCGATCTATTGGCGTTCAATATTCACTTTGGGCATTAGAATTAGAATTAGAAGATTTCTGGCTTGATTTCAGAAGCCATGGCTCCAGAAGATCTCACCGGCATTTTTTGCCGCTTAAATCGGCAGAAGATCCTCACATCACACAACATAATCAGCTACAGCAAGCATAATAAGGGGATAAAGGTAATTCTAATTACCTCCGAAGATGATCATAAAGTTCATTCGATATTGATACAACTCACCCGCTTTGTTGAGATGAAAGGAGATTTGAAAATTTTCGAATGAGAAGACAACTAGTCTCGTCACTTAGACAACTAGTCTCGTCAACAACTTTTGCTTTTCTCGTCACTTTGGCGTTAGCAAGAATACACCACGTGTTCTGGCTCTGCTACGTACTTCTACTTGATCTAGCATGTCAGAGAAAAAAACACTCACAAGGCTCGGTTCGCAATATTTGTTTTTTGCTTAAGTACCTTCTTTCATGGCATTTCGAAGGCTACTGCCAGCTTTACTCACTCTATGTCTATCAAACATTTACTTAGCTCAATCTACTACGACAATTTCCATTTGCACACTTGCATGAAGATATCGACACAATCACACACTACTGTCACTTTTTTCATCCTACATCAATCACTTTCACTGAAACAGAAAGAAAAAATTCAAATGATTCGCTGAAAAAAAAAACACCAGGACTTATTCCCCACCAAATCTTATACATAGTCTCGTGCAAGAAATTGAAATTCTAAGCGGAAAAGAAAAGTTAAACAAAGTTCCTTGAATTCATGATCGTCTAAACCAAAAAAATGTAACAAAAAACAACAAAGTGCAAAGAAGGAGCAGAAGCTACGTCAAATATTCTCCTATGAGAGCGCAAAATAGTCCCTTATCGGCATTGGGTCTGTCAGCGTTCTGTTACAACTATTCGCCCATAGCATCCAACTTTCGCCAAGTCTTAAGAATGCCAGTTCCTTTCTAGGCCTCCCTTCACCGCGTTTACTGTGATCTTCTGCTAAGATTAGAGGTGGTCAGGAAAGGGAAATGCATCTCGAGCGTCATCTTAAGAAAGGGATCAAAGAGAAAGAGAAAAGGTCATCATGAACGTGCTACGTATCATTAGTTTCAATTTCATCCCCTTGAAAAAAAGTAGGAGTAACTGAAGAAGTCAAAGATTGAAATACACAATCAGCTGATGGGAAATAAGCCTGCATAAGAAAGTAACAACTTCAAGTGTCCGCTCATCCAGGAGAGAGGGTTCTTGTGCGACAAAAAACCGCTTTGGACATGATCTTCTCGATTGATCATGTTCTAATTCTTGGGTACTAAAAGAAGAAGACTCGTCTTCTTGCTGCAGCTCCAAATCGCCGTCTTCGGGATAAAACTTAGAAGCACGATTTTGGTGTTTCTGTATCCCGTGTGTTATGCCTGTCTCCTTTTGGTTTTGGAGAGCCATAAGCATAACAAACGGCAACAGGAAAACCTTTGGCCTAGACCCTTAAAAAACGTTGTAGCCTGCCCAGGAGGAGAGGCAAGCTCATCTCTTAGCAACTCCAAAGTAGGAAGGTCGACGCCCATTCGATGTAGGAGGCCCGTTGCCGTATCTTCCAAGGAAACCACCTTTGGCTGGAAAAAACAAAGGTGTGAAAAGGAATTAGAGCAGAAATCAATGAAGAGTGAAAAGGAATTAGAATAGAAAAGACTCGAGAAATTCAGAAAACGAAACAAAATCGCATCATATGCGCTGACTCAAAATCAAAATGAAAGAGCGTGACCATGAGGCGCACGTACACCATGACACAAGCTTCACGACAACAACCACATTTAAATCACGACTGACGACGACCTCAGTGTATGTTGCGACCGCGTTCATGATAAACAAAACTTGTGTTGTACCTCTTTGTCTTTATGAATGGTTCCGGTCTTTGGTATAGCCTGAGTTTGATCATAAGGGAAAACAAGAAGAGAACCCTTAGGATCAAACTCAGGTTTTTACCAAATAACACCAGAACCTACTATACACTTTAGCAGAAAAAATCATGAACTACAACTTGTTCTAGTACACCATCTTCATGTGCATAAACAAAACTGCAAGAAGCAACGATCGTCGCGTCGAAGCGCCAGTACTCGGTGAAGGCGCACTGGAAGAATCGCCCAGGACTGAAGTCACACCCGATCCGCCCGTAGAACTGGTCCACAAAGGCAAAGAGCAGTATTCACGCAGGACGTCGATGATACCGACTTTTAGAAGAAGCTGAAGCAGCGCAACTTGTTGCGAGATGTTTTGGAAAGGCTGACTAGACAATGGGCCTAAAGCCTAGGAAAGGATGATTCGACTAGACAATACGACCGTCCACCTACTGGTGTAAACCTAGTTTTTAACGTACAAAAAACCCTACTAGAATCGATACCGGCCGTCACCGAAACAAGCTCACCTGACGCTGCTCAGGACGACGACTGTGTGTGATCGCCGTATATTAAGTACTAGTTATAGAAATGGTGTCAAAGCTAATAAATACCCTTACGACCACCTTAACACGAGCGTATGCAACACGGACTTTCGTGGATAACAGGATAAAATCGACCCGCGCAGAGGCACCTGGTTCAAACGAAACGTCGTGACAGGTACTAAGCCAGTGCGCCAGCTTTGTGCATTGGCCACGCTGTCCTCCAAATGCTGTTGCACAACATGCTGTTGAAGATGACTGCCAGAAGGATCATGAGGAGATTAGAACGAGGATGGTGAGGAGATTAGAACGAGGATGGTTCGAAAAACTGAAATAACCGAGCAACTATTGAAAATAAGGGAGATACTGAAAGAAGAAGAATGTCGTCAAGACTCTCTTATTTCAGTCAGTAGCTCGCATATTTTGAGGTTTCGAATAGATGTCTCGACTCAAAAAGTGTGGTCTACCTAAGCAGAGTGAGTGGTTATACACGTCCACTCACTCATCAAATGCGACAGGGTCCAGGTAGATGTTGTTAGGATTGAAAGAGGTATAGATATTAGCCTTCGTAAAAGTCATCTCTCGCTGCAGATCCGGCAAAGTCCACAGAACTCTCGCCTTCTGCGCCTCCACTCACAGCAGACTCTTGTTGCGCAAAAAAGGCAGAGGAGCAAGGTGGTTTGATCCCTGTTATCTCTTCTAAGGACGCTATGATATCTCGCAAAAAGGTCGAAGACGAAGAGGAAGATCTAGGAACATTACCAGTGTTGTTGGTATTACTTGCCGTGCTGCGCAACATCTCCAACTGCAGCTGGATCATCTGTATCACACGCAAAGCAATGAGAAACTCCGTCGGATGGATTAGAGCTACCTCGTCGCATCCTTGAGCCCATCCCTGACCGAAAATTTTCGTCCCCTCATTAAATGAGAATTTGAGAACAACACGAACTACACTAGTGACCCTGTAGTTCTTGAAGAAAGTTAAGTAGAATAGATGAAACCACGGCGTTGAGCCTCGACGATGCTTCAGCGGTAGCTGCCTTAAATAAAGGCTTGGCTCCGAGAGGTAGCGACTTTCTCCGGCTACAATATTACCGCCAGCACCCTGTAAAAGCTTGAGTTTCCGACTATGGTCCGACTCCATATCGCGACCACCACTCGGGGCTGCGCTACTAGGTTAGAGGGATTCATCCATGTCGCGACCACCACTCGGGGCTGCACTTGTAGACAGTAGACAACAACAACAACAAAAAAGCTACTAGGTTGGAGGAGCTGCTTACGATATGACACGAAGAAGTGTATTTATACTCAAGAAATAAGAGGCCTTAACTGGACGTTGGATTCGATTGGTTGTAGATTAGCTGTTGGTAGTGTCCGAAGTACATGGGTCTGGGTTGCACAAACTTCGCAAAATGTAGTGTTCTCGCTTTCTGTCGTTCCTCTGGGTTCACTGGCGACAAGGCGTTGGTCGCCAGCAGCGCGCGTCTGTAGAAGTCACGCAATTGGAGGAATACATTCACAAGCAGTTCAAGAATGTTCTTCTCATTTTCTGATGGAGCTGCTGCAGAGGTAGTAGCTGTTGTCATTGATGAGGAACCTACTTCGCGCATCTCTTTGGGTTCAACATCTTTGGAGTAATCTACTTCATTTTGTCCACGTTCACCTCCATCTCGTTCTTCTTCTTCTTGTTCTCCACGACCCCATAATGTCGAGACCAACACAGAACTGTATAGCCTTTCCGCTAGCAGTTCACAGCAGCACGTGAGATCGCTCAAAAAGTGCTCACTTGCCTGTCTTGCCTCTTCCCCTCCAGAGACCCGCTTCTCCAGTTCCTCTTGCTTAAAAATCTGCAAGTTATGACAATTAGAGCTCACCGTCACCCCAATCTCGGATCATCTGTTTCTCCCTACTCTTGTGGGACAGCTTTTAAATGCTTCTCTCTGGAGACGGATATTAATTCACGCGGAAGCCTTAAGATAAGCGAATGCAAGAATCCTTAGTTCGATGTTGCGACCTTGCAATGACTGAAACATACACGCGAAAGCGGTGAAGCAGGTCTTTTGGTGTCCAGCTGCTTCTCGTTCTTTACTGCCCAAATCGTATGTAAACGGCCACAAACTACAAGTTGTCGCATCCGCTTCGAGACAGGGGTACAGAATATCCTCCGTGTAGCCTTGCCCCAGATAGAGCGCGACATTCCGCAAATATGCAGGAAAATGGTCACTGCTGAGGAGTTCTGAGATCAGAAAGCACAAGTTGCCAGCATCACGTGCTTGGGAAAGACACTGAAGGTTAGAGTCCGCTCAGCTGTGTAGTCAAAAGTCAATCCAACATCTACTCCCGTGTCCTCTTCTTGAAACCAGAAGTGGTAAATATGTTACTTCTACCAATAGAGCTTCTTTTTATCATCCCCCTATCGAGGACGAAAACCTGGCAGTTACGCAAGAAGTTTAGCAGTATCACTGACGACGTGAATCATCTACTCGGCAATCTAGCTAAGATTTCCTGTTTATCACCAGCAACTTCGCGATGCTATCTTAAGAACTGTATAGGGAAACGCCATCAATTCCTCCACGAGAGGACCCGGACCCCACAGCTCGCCAAGAGTCTCCAGCACAGCAGTACTCAACATCCGGTCTCGACTACCGTAAAACTTGTCATCCAGAAAATCCGCTGTGTAAGGGGATTAGAGCTGCAAATAAATAGCCACTCACTCACTCGGTAAGTGCTCGCACTAATGTCTTTTTTTTTTGGTGCCTGGGTCTATAATTTCCCGCAGTAGTTCCATTCAATTACCCCGGGGGAAGCCTGAGGCACAGTGGCCAGGCAACACAACTACGCAAACGATTAAGCACGACGGCAACCGTTGGCTCCACAAAGTATATTCTGTTCCAGTCAATACTTTCTTCTCGTCGTCCACTTGCGTTTTTTACACACACTCGCTCAACATAAAAATAGTTGTAATAGTTCCAGTTGTAGAACCCTAACGCTAACTAGATGAATAGATGATTTACTTAAGTACAATTAATCAATCAATCAAGTGGCGATGCGCGGTAGCCCGAAACTGGCGGACATGACCGTCCAAATCCAATAAACCCTTGTTCAATCATAATAGTGAGTATAGTCGAAGTTTTGTGTGTAGGACCAGCATCCCTGGGGCAGCTGTGAGGGGTACAACGTTTTGTACGTTTTGTACAGGTCATCCTCTTCTGCTCTGTCCATGTCGTCACGCTCATCCATCTCTGGGACACTTGCGAAACCAAAGCCGTTCCCTTTAATCAGCGTACACAACACTCTTGTCCCTTCACCCAAATGTTAGATGTTGAGCTCCTATAATCCCGAGTTCGCTGCACCTTACTTCCTTGAGAGCATGATCCTTGGCGGCGAATCCTTTTTCAAGTTAAAAAAAGATCCAACAAGACAGGATCGATGACGCTACTAGGGAAGAAGATGCTTTAGCGGCAGCCTTAAAAATGAAAAAGAACCCTGCCACGAGAATTCCCACGTAATAGTTGCAACAACAGTTTCAGCATATGCGTCCGCAGTGGCGTTCGCTGTTCATGATGCCGAAAGTTCGAGCTGACGTCCAATCGCATCAATAGGAAGAGCACGAAGCGCCCGTAACCGAAAGGAGATGTGACTGGATTTTTTAGACGAAGCACTAGAGGCTATAATGCATATGAAGACTCTACTCTGAAAATGATCGCACCTGCTTTTAGATCATCATGCATATTTCTTAGCTACTGCAGCTACTCTTTGCGTTTGCCAAAAAAAATCTACTAGCCAACAATCACACACGAGGATTGTTCATCTTCCAAAAAGAGTAGTATAACATTATAACATGCACGACTGACAAGATAACGTGTACGTGATAAGCTTAAGCTTAAATTTTGTTGCTGTTGTAATCGGCGTTCATCGAATTTGATGAGGAGGTCTAAAACTTCCCCACGATCGAAATCGGATAGGTCCAGTGCACAGAACAAATCTGAGAGAAGATCGCTCAATGTCAGTTGTGTTCGGTCCACGAAGTGCTTAGGCAAAGTTGCCCGTAGTCCTTCCCGCTTGACAAGACTATGGATGATCATGTAGTTTTTCCATCTTTTTTAGGCTGAGCATAGAATCAGAAGTGGCTCGTCCTCCCCACTTTCATCAAAGGACGAGGGATATGAAGGGGCGGCAGCCTAAATAATGTTCTGACAAATGGAAAAAAAACTACATCCATAAAGACAACGCTTTTCTGCCGATAGAAGAAATGAACCGGAAAAGTACTCCGGTCCTACTAGGTCTTCTACTTTGGGCTCGCGATAGTTGTTGTTCTTTTTGAGTGAAGTCGTCACACCACCAGCTCCAGCACCACCAAAACTTCGAATTTGTTTTTTGAAACCGGTGGTGGTCACCATAATGATACTCCCCTTGTTACCCACTGAAGTCCTACGTGGTTGAGCAAGTTGATCTTCTTGGTCACCATCACTCATACCATAGTCACAACGTTCATCAACGTCATCTCCAGTAAGTAGTACAGGATTCCTTGCTCGACGACCAGCAGAAGAGGTTGTAGAAGTACTATTTCTGCCTCCCGCCCGTGGTGAAGAAGTAGACATCATCGACACACTCTTGCCGACAGAACCTGATGAACCTGTTGCATTACCCGCAGAGCGCGTTGTCCTAGCCCTCTTCACAGCTGCGGGGGTCGCACTACTGGGTCTACTCCTTGATGTGACCACGGTATTCGTCTTGCCGAAAGTGACAGCACTAGTTGTCACTGCTCTTGCTCTCGTACTGGAGGAAGCTCCTGGGTCGCCGAAAGTACAACTAGTTGTTTTACCCGCCTTTGCTCTAGTACTGGAGGAACAAGCTGGGTCGTTTTCATCTTCTTGCTCGTTTACAACTCCTTCTTGCTCTCCTCCATAATTCTTGCCGCGTCTTCTATTAATATTCTCAGAACAAGTCATCTTCTTCATTTTGTCCTCGTCTTGAAACCAATATTGTCTGTCTCTCCTCCTTTGTCTTTCCTCTTCTTCGCATAGGTATTCTACAGTGATCCCTGCTTTGCAGGAAGTCGATGACGAAAATTAGAGTTCGAGCTCGTTTCCTCCAGTCTCTGTTGGCTCTTAGGGCCTTCCCCTGCATCTCTGTTGACCGACGAGTCAGAGAGTACTCTCCGAGTTGTAAGTACTAGAGCAAAGGCTGCAATACTTGTTTTATGGTTAGGTTAGGTTAGGTTAGGTTATGGATCCTGCACAACCATTCTAGATTTATAGAACATAATTTATTTTATTATTATAGATACCTTTATTCTTCGACTTCGAAGGTTTTGAAGCGCCACTGAAAGACGAGCCATAAGATGAAAACGATGCTGTTCTAGAAGTAGAAATTTTTGGACTTCGACTTTGGATTTCCCGCAGATAGTTCATTTCGAGAAAGTCGGAAATTCTCCGTTTCACCTCACTTCGAAAAACCACATCCATTCCCTGCAAAAGGAGCTGCAGCAAATCGAAAGACGCGGCTGGAGTTAGAAGAACTATTCAGCATCGTTAGTGGTGCCAGTCATTTTTACATTGCCAAGTGATGAAATCAGATTGATCACAAGTGAAGGTACAACTTGAGTACTCCCCTAAGCTGCATAGTGCTCTAGTCACCTTGTTAGTCCCAAATACAAATAAGTACATAGCCATAAGGTCGCCCTTATCGTTGTAGTCGCATCTACAGCTCCTCTTGGCGTATCGTAGTTTTGTTGTTCCGCTTGTGGAGTTTCTCCCCTAGTGGAATCCTGCTGCTGTTGCCCACCAGGTGCCGTCGTTGACATGATCTCCTTCAAAAGCGGCGATCCAGCTGGAAATAGGACTTCTGCTATGTGTGCCTTGAGTTAGACTAGACGTTGAGGGTGAAAATCAGTGGCATCTGCGACGAGAAGATTGTCCTTCACTTCTTCCGTTTCCGTTACGTAGCTTGATCTTGAAATAAGTAGATTACGTAGCTTGATGTTGAAATAAGTAGATTACGTAGCTTGATCTTGAAATAAGTAGATTACGTAGCTTGATCTTGAAAAAAGTAGATCGTCGACAATCAGATGATGAAACTGAGTAGATCGTTGACAATCAGGTAATCGAGCCTGAAGCAGGTTGTCTCATAGTTCAGATCAATCCGATAATCGAGCAGAGCGAGGATCAATTTGAGCGCAGCCACACGAACTGCAGTGTCGGAAAAAGCGTTACTGCGAATCAGAGAGGCCAAAAAAACTAGAGCATTCTCTTGAATTAGCATCAAACCGAGCTCAGGAACGACGCGGGAAGTGACCTGACGGGGTGCGAAGAATTGGAGTTGCGTGGGCTTATTAGCGGCAGGCTTTTGGTGTTCGTTTATCCCGCTCGTTACGGCTGTCCCCCTTAGGAGAGCCATAAAAAACAGTAATAAAGCACCTCTAGGCTACCCTTAAGCTAAGGCGCGGCCGGTCACTGAGATCGAACAGGCGACCCCTTTAGAGAACAGGGGAAAACGCAGGGAAAAGGGGAGAGCTTTGAAGGTGGTCTCTTCCGTTCAGCATCAGGGACCACTGACTGCTGACCTTTCAGTGTGCGATGAGAAAGTTTGAAGTTTGAGTTATTCGGCTTACTGTAGCGGAGACGTTGATGCTTAATAACAGAGCAACTCTATTAAGTATATAAGGTTCCACAGCTCGCATGGCATGGAGTGTGTGGATCAAATGGAGTAGCACGAAGCTAAAGGGGGAGCTTCTTGCGCCCCTTAAAGCTCTGCGCTCCCTCCCTGCACTCCATGCTACTCCATGCGCCATGCGTGCTATAAACTACTCTGTAATAATGTAATTCTAGTCAGTGCTTCTACTTTGATTGCAGATTCTGGTACCTCCGCCTCCAAACACGCCAGGTCCGAAAGAACTCGCTCTTCGAGAGCCTTGTAAACTGGTGTAATCGTCTGGCTCATCAAGTCCGCTTTCAAAGTATCATACACATCCAATACTTTCAACAACCTTTGCTCTATTTCTTCCCTACATCTCCTCACGTCCTCCGCACTCTCATTCATCAGCAGAGTCTCCACTTCTGCCTGACTTAAGCCGAGAGACACGGCGTTGTAGTTGCTTTTGATGTTATTCGTGTTGCTTTTGATATCATAATTCGTAGTCGGATTTATTGTCCTTGATGCTGTAGTTGAATTTATTGTCGTAGTCCTTGATGTTCCTGTAGTGCTAGCAGTTGTCAGAAGTGCGCGATCTGGATTCGCGATTCGTAGTTTCAGCCATGTCGCAATTTTTGGAGGCTGAAATCTCAACAGATAACAATGCAAGTTCCGTGAAAAGAATTTCTCCACTGTCCTACGCCAAGCGTCCACCTCCGCACACCAGGCTTCGAACAGCTCGCCGGAAATTAGGGGAAGGGGACCAACGTGATGTTGAGACGAACTCGACATCGATGTTGTAGGTGGCTCTCCAAGCATTTAATATGATCCGGAGATTCGCTCGCAGGAATGTACTTAATCCAAACACGTAGTCTTCATAGTCTCTTCATAGTCTCTCTATCCTAGGTCTTCATAGTCTCTCTATCTTTCTTGCCATACTTCCACCTTTTGCACCGAGGACGCAAACCATTTCAAATCCTCTAGCTGTGCCGTTGTGCCTACGTTTTCTTCCAAGATACTGCAAAAAGCGTCGTAAGAAATAGAGGAAAAGTCATCAGCTAAAACGCCACGCGCCGGCGAAAGCGGTGATAGGGCAGAATCGTTTTTATTGCGCAGGCTGGTCGTTGTTGGTTTCCACCTGTGAAGAACGAAAATGTGGGATTTTCTAAGGTTGCTGTAGTACAACACACCACCACTACAGCGCCCGCATACACAACATCAAGCTAAGTAGTTTCTCCTGTGAGTACCGGCACATCCTCACTGCTGCTTCCAGATCGATGTTTATGCTTGCAGCCAAAATACTGGCCAAGTCCCCCTTTGGTATATAGCCACGGTCCTTCTTATCCAGTATCCCGAAGATTGCTCCATACAGCACCTCGCGCTCCGGTGACGGTGAGACTCCACGAGGAGTGTCTAATGAGAGGACACCAGTGTTGATATTTCCTGCTGGTGCAGAAGAAGCTACAGGTGCTGCCGTGACCATTCTGATTTTTTCGTAGCCTGCAGGTCTTTTCTCCAGGCGGTGTATGTTTCCAGGTTTCTCGAAATCCTTGAAGCTCACACCATCATGTTAGTTCGGCCTTCTAGAGCACATCTCTTTCGGAAGGAGTCGCTCGATACTTTCGACCGCCTCACGCACTGCAGAGCCCGTTCTAAAAAACGCATGGGCGCCAGTTCCTCCGTAACGTGCGAGCTACGTAAAGCTCAGGAACGAGCACGAGCCCAGCATCATGTGGGGTACATCTTCCTCTCGAATCAATGCTCCAAGGGTAAACAATGATCACAGATTCAGAATTCGATTATTTTGCGTACTCGCAACTTGGACGTTTGCGGGACTCCAAATAGATGAAAAAGAAAAAGGCCTGCTGTGCCATAGGAGGTCAAAACGCATCTTCTTACAGAGAGCCACACGTAACTGCACACACCAATATTTGCTACTAGACTGGCCACTTTTACCGAGACTACGTCGCAAAACAGATGAATCAATCGGAGTCCGCCACATTGGAGAGAGACAGAAGCAGTATAGACAGATTCCTTTGTCAACTACTCATGTGAAATCGCGTCCTTCTATTCAATACTCACTTCACCGAGGATGAGATACGTTGCTGTGCGACGAATTCAGGACTTCGAAAAAAAGACACGAACAGTTCCGCAACCGCATGTGAGGAACGAAGACCACTTGCTCCTTTGCTCAATCAAGTGAGCTTCTCTGTTTCTTAGCTGCTAGGCTCTTCTCTGCTTTTACAACTAAAGATTTGACTCGAATCAACAATACCATTATTGTAGGAAGTCGATGATGATCATGTGTTCTCCCAACAATAATAATCGGGTCAGCGCCCTTCACCACCTTCCTTTGCCTCCTCTGACGTCAAAGTTGACCTTCTCGAAATGCTACATGTCACCATCTACTACTTGTACTAGACTAGTAGTTGTTGCTGTTCAGAAAGCTCGCTTCGCGCTGAACATGACCGAAGAAGGCTTCTCGAAGAAGATGTTTAATCGAACAAGTCGAATTCCATGTCATCTTCTTCCTCCTCTGGCGGCGCCTCCTCGACGGCGGCGGCGGCGGATCCGCCCGCGGCGGCACCACCGGCAGCTGCGCCGGACGCGGCGGCAGCCTTCATCTTAGCCAAAGCTTCCGGATCAGACAAGATGGCCTTGATCTCTTCGACTTCCTTGAAGTTAAAGTCAATGTCGGCAACGATGGAGACGATGTTCTTGAACGCGGAGCACATCATGTGCGGGAGACCAGCCTCAGTCGGGATACCGATCTCGCGACCGAACGCAGCGACGTTGGACACACCCGCCAAGAACTTGGCCATCAAGACGTCATCCGTGATGTCCAGCACCGCGGCGTCGAACACGGCACCATCCTGGTACACCTGGCGCACGAGCATACCGTACTCGAACGGCTTGATGTTGAGCTTGGCCAAAAGGGCCTGGGCGGACAAGACGACACGTTCACCCTTGACGCAGATCTTGAAATCCGCAGTGATCTCAATGGTGCCCTTCACGATCTTGGTCGGGATGTTCAAAGCCTGGAAAAAGGAAGTCTGGGACGGTTCGAGACCGGACGGACCAGCCGGGATGGTGACGTCCTTCGGGGAAACAGCGCCAGACTTGGCGGCGGCCGGGACGACGAACCTGTGAATTTTTGAGAGATAGGTTTTAGGAGAGTAGTCAGAGGGTCGCTGAAGGACGAACTGGAAATGAAGTTGCTGTCTCAGAAATTCTGCTATCAATTCTGACCAGGATGTCGAAACATGTTCCCACAAAACGTTATACTCAAACACGACTCAGAACTAAAACCAGTCATCTAACTCCGATCTAAATCTAAATCTCAGTAAATGTAAATGTAAAGTTACTTCTCCAGAGTTTCACGAGCGAACTGGAGGTTGGAGGCTTCGTGGCAGAAGATAAAACCCATGTTTCCGTTGACGGCATCGACCAAGTTCTGGAGAGAAGCGACGGACTTGGCAGAGGCTTCGTCCAATTCCTTCTCATCAGAAGAGCCGGCGGCCTCTTCCTCGATGGCGGCAATGCGCTTGCGCAAAGCAGTACGGATCATCGTGTTCTTACCCATGAGAAGAGTGCACTTTCCACGGAGCTCAATACCTGTTGTAGTTTTTGTCAATAAATTGAAGCCTAAAACTGATTGTGTGTGTAATCTAGATGATTGCGCTACACATTTTTCATCTTGCATTACAGCACATGTTTTATTCTTGTCCTTCAGTTTGGATATTCACCACTCTATAACGTAAGAAAGTGGCGAATTCGAGACCCGAGAGTTCGTTCATTTTTCGAGCGATTGGAGATCCCGCCGGCTATAAAAAGCCAAAGCGGGGTACTATGATGCTCGGGTCGTGATTGTCTTCCTAAAAAAACCATAGGCATAAGAAGTCCACATCCAATTCAAGGAATCTTCCAGTTGGAAATAAGTACGGATGTTTTGCATCTGCTTGGATCCGACGTGATCAACATCGACGATGAGAGCGAGAGGAGAGGATTCCACCAAGCTGACAAGCTTCGCCATGTAGGCGTTCTTGCGATCGAGCTTTGCACCAGACGGCATTTTGTTGGTTTTTGGTTGTGTGGAGACAAAAAATTATGTCAAAGTTGTAGAAGAAAGAAGACGGAGACTGAACTTAAAAAGAACAATCCAACTTTAACCGACTTCTGCAGCTAATCTGCTGTTTTAATGTCCCTGGGAGGTTTAGGTGATTGAAGGTATGGATTCTTAAAATACATCGTTCTAAACGTCGTTCATGTGTAGTAACGTGGTCTCGAAAGCCACAAATTCTTGATCTTGATCAGACACATCGAAAGATCTCAGAATTGGCAAATCTTCTTTTCCAGACGTGCCCACGATCGCCATAGTGGATCACTTCTTTTCATCAGCCGCACGCGGCAACCTCCACTGAGATGAAGAATTTTTGAGTTTCAATTTTTTTAGATCTTAGAGTTCGACTTAGGAACATCTGGCTCCCGCGAACTTTTGATCAGTATTTTCTAGAGGTGATCTATCTCAGAATTTTCTTGGGATGATCCTCTAAAGCGTCCGTTTCAGACCTAAACCTAAAGTGAAGTGATCTAAAGACTCCGCTAGTCTATGCCTCTCCAAGGCTCATCCTGCGATTTGTCAGGGATAGCCGCACTTTTCTGCGATTTAGTGTAAAAGTAAATGCCGCAGTCGTGATTCTTTCTCCCATGGCGATTTGTTGTAAAAGTAAATGCCGCAGTCGTAAAATGTCCCATGTAGATCCAACCAATCCATCCAAATAAGAATGAGTATGTCAGGATCCACCAAAAATCTAAATTTTTGTCGCACGCGGTTCACCCGCAAATTCATCGCAATGCAAGTCGCAAGAACCTGCGAGACAAGCCCAGCAGAGAATTAATCCGCAGCGCTTGCGTAACCCGAGGTAGCTGAGCCACTATGGTGAAGAAGCTCGTCCTGTATCTTAGTGTCCTCTGTACTCGATCGAAGGAGGAGGGTCTGTACTAGTACTGTTGGTTTAGAACCAGAAGAACGTCTTGTGAGGAAACCAGGAGGCCCACGTTTTGTTCTGCTCTGGATCATGCCATTTCCAGAAAATCGCAAAGGGGTTTTCTCCCATGACTCGATCGCTAGTTTTTGGGGGAGGTTGACTAGCTATTATCGGTACTGGTGATCAATGAGCGAGCAGTCTTTTGTTTGTTCAAAATTCTTCCTACTTTCGTTAATACCTATAAAAATTTCCTAGGAGTCACAGTATACTATCTACTCTCCACCGTGAAGAGCACTGCTCACACACTACTTCCAAATCACTCTAAATTTGATCTAAGACGCAAAAACAAGTTTCAATACAACCAATAGGCCATCATCGACATGACGACAACCGGAAAGACGACCATGCCGTTGAAATCCTCCCACACTTTGTCCATGGGTCCTGAAAGATTGGGGTATGATTTTCGATGCTCTCCCACACCGTGTCGATGGTCCATAGAAATTTGAACAAACGTAACATTTTCTAGTAGTGCTCCACATAGTACTATAGATGACAGCTCAGTCCTCCTCCGTCATCTTTTTCAAGCCTGGAGAAAACTACCGAATGCAGAATCCCATGCTGCTGTTTTTACTAAGTCCTAGTTCGGTTAGGTTACGTGTGGGCCCACCAGGAGAACTGGCAGACGTAACTGGCTGCCGAAGAGCCTAGTTCAGAGCCTTTATTTTACCGACTCCTAGGGAGTCCTACAACGACTTGTGCTGGAGAATCCTGAGCGGCCTAAACACATTCTACTCTTTTTGCGAAGTCCTAGCTCCCACAATTGAACAACAATCAATTTCAAAGACCTCCCCAAGCGTGCGCATCCACGAGTGTGCACCAGACGTTTTTAGTTGGATTCAATTCCTGTTCCGGCACACCCACGAACCAAGCAGAACTCGGGTCCATATTCTCTGCTTCTGCTCGATAGAAATGCTTCACTGAAGATGTAGTAGTTGTGTGAGTGTGTGGTGATAGTAGAAATTCTTCTCTGTAGTAGCTGTCGACGGTGGTAGTAGAATGTTGTGGGTCCATGGTATGAAATAACTATTGGCGTAGAACAAATTGCTACTTTTCACCGTGGTCTTGTTCTATGCTATGGGTCGAAACTAAAAATGCCACGTCATCAGTATCCACTTACTTCAACGTATCTCTTATTGCTTATAAATCTTCTCACTAAAAATCTCATTATCTCGTAAACAATCAAGTATAAAAATCTTCTCAAACTAAAATAAAAATGCTTTTCACTAAAATAAATCTCACAGTACGTCGTCTTTTGAACTGGTGCCACCCATTCCGCAGATACTGGTATACTGGCCCGCCGGCGTAGGGGCTGAGGGTTAGAGGCGACGTGGGAGAAGTCATGTCATGTCAAAATGGTGCCTCTTGTATAGCATTGACGCCGTTGTTCAGTGAAGTACTTAGTTAGTACCTTCTGAGAAGAGTACTATATGCTTTATTTCCTCGGTATTACCTACGGAGGCCAAATACAATCTACCTACTCCTACCCATGCCAAATGAAGATCTTAACATGACAGTTCTTGGTGCTACATCGTATCGGATTTTTGAGACTGCTGGATAGTCGAACCGAGTCCATCCTACTCCAGTTGATATCGGAACCTGAACCTGCAGTGCGGATCCTCCAAATCTCCTGAGTGTTCCCGCCAAGCACGTGTTGGAAGACGTGGACGAGGCTTGCACCAGTTGTTGCGGTATTATTGACGGTCGTAGACATGGAGTCTGTCCTGCTCGCCGTGCGGCGATCAAGCCTGCCCGATGGATCATGGTGATTCTTCCTCTTCGGTTAATAAGTCTAAATAGAACTTAGTACTTTCTCAGACTCAACTACCGGGCCCGTGCTACGAGCGGCCCGTACTTGGGCTCAATACTCGAGCCGCCAGTAGTTTTTAGGTTCTACTGTAGTGGCGAAAAGCTTCTTTTCTGCTAGAAGATGCCACGGTTAAAACAACTGCTAGGTTTTTTGTTGGAGAGTTGTTGGATCAGCAATTGCTTCTTCATCTGGTTTTCGCTCCACTCCTGTTGCCTCTGATTTTTTCCAAAAAAAGATTCATGTCAGCCAGACTCGCGTTGCGTCTACTTTATGATGTTGATTGCTCCTAGTCCACCGAGTCCTCTACTTACAGGAGTACCGATGTTGTAGTAAAAACTACAGCATTCATCTTTTTCATGTTCGCGTCAATGTGAAAGATGAAAATATCTGCTGGGACGAGGGAAGAGTGGCGCTGATTGCGTGGTCATGTCATCTGTTCATATTTGGGGTAGCGTAGTACGTCGACATCACAGGAGCCGAGCCGGAGGAAGCCGCGTTTTTTACCTGATAGTAAGAGGCGCCGTGACGAGATATGTGTAGTACAACTTTTCAGCCATGCTAATGCGTCTTCAGCATCCACTGAAAGAGAACTCACAGTTACTGCTACTTCTGGTACAGACATAAAAAATTTCATCCTGAAATGAGAATGACATCAACTAAATTGCTCAATCTGGATCTGCATCGTGTAATTATAAAAACTGCAAGTACCCCCGTTGGATGTCCAAACCGCGGACTGGTCCCTCGAGCAGGCGACTCCGGTCTTCTATAAGCGTTCGTTAAGCTGCCTGGTCCGCCTCTACCTGGTAATCGTGCAGTTTTCCCTCTTATCAACACTCTTTTCTGTTGGGGATACCCTTCTTGGCTTGTAGTTGTTGTAGGTGATCGAGCGCCAAATCGTGTCAGCGAAGGGGCAGCAAGAACATCTGCTAAATGTGGTTGTTGGTAGGAAGAATTGGGATCAAGACCTGCTGCAGATGCGGCCATGGCCGCATGGCCCACTGATGTACCTGCACCACTATTTCTTCGCATCATAGATGACGACGTCGCTCCTCCAGGGGCATACGCTCCTCCGCCTCCTCCTGAGGTAGACGTCGAGTTCATCACTTCTATCGACCGATTTCTCGGCGTTACTTGTTTCCCGTGTACTACGCCGTGACTTCCTCCGCCTCCACCAGAGGAAGATGCGCCATGGGCACTCGTCCCACTAGTGGAAGATGCACCATGGTGCAGTAACTGGGAATGACTAGATCGCTCGTTTCCAACTGCGGTTGAAGAAGAAGAAGCTCCAGCACCACTACCATGCTGATAATGTTGTCCGATACCAGCATGCTGTTGATGATGAGATTGGCCTCCCTGCTGGTTGCTCGAAAGGTGTTTCACGTTAGGATTTGTTTTCATTTTCTTTACTTCTGAGAAGTACCGCAATTTTTCTCGCCGTTCTGCCTCTAAAGCTTTCCGTAAGGCTGTCATTTCCTTTTTCTTAACGCTAGTTTTTCACCATCACTGGTTGAGTGTGAGTGAGATGCCCCGCGTCCCCCTTGCTTTACCCTTTAAAGTGACGGGGGGGACGCCGCTCAGTTAGCACATTCCACACGGAAAAGAAACTACAAGTATCAAACGGGTAGTACGGGATAGTGAAAAACGAGCCTTAATCTTCACATCCGCAGTAGCTTGTCTTTGATCCCTCAATGCTCGTTCTGCATCCATTTTTTCTCGTTGCATCTTCTGCACCTCCAACTTCTCTTGTACTAGTTGGTGTTCGACTCTTCGTGCCGGACTCTGACTTCGTTGAGGCGGGGCAAACACGGTAGTCGAAGAGGTTGTTGCTGTAGTTGTACCATGTTGATGCTGTGCTGGACCTGTTGGAGCGGAGCTACCAGTAGTGTGATGACCACCAGCTGCTGTTGAAGTTGAAGTTGATGAACTCGAATTATGGTACCCAGCTCTTCTTGGGCTATTTCCACGCACAAACTGCGGTTGCGGATACCTATGTTCGTAGCTACTTGTACTATGACTCACACCATGGTGATACGACGATAACGACTGAACACCAGCTCCGCCCGTCCGTGTTTCCTCCTCGTCGTCATGATGAAGCAGTAAATGCGAACGCTGTTGATGATGGTAGTTCTGGTGGTTGTTGTGCTGGTCATTATGATTACTTAGAGGTAGGTTTTTCGTGTCCGTTTCTCCCGTTTGTTATGGCCGTCCCCCTTAGGAGAGCCCTAACAAACGGGATCAAAGCACCTTTGGCCTACCCTTAAATTCCCTGCCGCTGTGGAATACTGGCTCTGATATTGATGTTGTTGCTGCTGGCCCCCATGTCCTATTGTTCGAGATCCCGAATTTTGTTTTTGCAAAATTCTCGTCGCACCTCCACCGCCAAATTTGCGAGTTGACGATGACGATGTTGTACTTTGGTGTTGTATAGTGGCGTTTGCATGTTTTGAGCTGCCGCTTCCGCCTCCAGTTGCCATGGCATCCTCCAACTGCTCCTCTAGCTGTTTTACACGTCGCGAAAGCTCTTTGATTTAGAGAGAGAACAAGTGCTTCAAGTTTATTATCGGACAACCGAACAGTCTGCTCGGAACAGATGCTTACAACATACTTCTTGACAGAGAGGACAGTAGATTAAAGCTCAGCATTCAATGGTCACCGACTCTGAAAGAAATGGGCCCCATGCCTCTCCCTTCGCTTTTCCTTCATTTTCCCCTGTTCTCTCAAGAGGGATCTCAGTGACCAACCCCAATGACCATTGAAAGCTGAGCCTTAAGTAGAGCAATCACACATAATAACTACCAGTGCCAGTCACGGTCATGATCTCATGTCATAATTATTCTGATGTACCAGATCCGATATTTCCGCATCTTTGAGACGTAATTGCTCCTGAAAGTTACTCTCCGCGCGATCTCTGAGACGCTGACTATCCTTCCTCACCTTCTGCACGACCTCCAACCGAGCTCCCCAGTCAGAAGAGAGATGTGTAGATGAAGAAGAAGCTGCTGTCATCTTGCTCTTCTTGTACTAGTCGTGCTGCGTTGTGTACGCACGACTTGGTATCATGCTCTTCCTCAGGAGCTGCTAGAAGATGTGGCTTTGTTGACGCGCCGCAGAAAGTTTGGCACACAGTAGGCTATCCAAGCCTTGTCCTTGCCATGTCAAAACGCCAAGGAGGTCGGCGCTTCTCGTCCACTCGACGGGTAGTACAGTTCACAGCTCGCCGCCGGTTGGTTCCGATGTTGTACTCGATAAATATTTGCGTGCCCGATGCTGTACAACTGCGACAATCCAACTCCTTACTTGAATATTGTCACGACTCTGGCAAAAATGGGATCGTCACATCCAGAGGGTGCGCGTGTTGCGTTAGCGATTTAGCCTATCAAGAACGTGCTCTCTTCCCTAAGTGATTCTCAATCCTTAGCTCAACCATGCTCGCGCTTAGTTCACAGTTTCTGGGCCAAGCTTCCCCAGTCCAATAGAATTGATTATTATTCGATTTCTGAAAAGTCCCATCATCTCGAACAGTATTCACTACTTGAAGTAAGAAAGCGCACTTCAGCCGATACACAGAAACTTAGTGAAAACGTGCTCATTTCCTTAAGCCATTCTCGTTAAGCGACTTCAAATCCAGCATATTTTTAACGTGCTCTTTTCCTTTTCCGTAAGCCATTCTCGTTGATCACCAAGAGCGTTGTAGAATTTCTTATATCGCAACATTTGTTTTCATACATCGTCTGTGGTCGCTCGAGGCCTAAAATTCATACTGCAAACGGCGTAGGCTGATTCCCAGCAGGAACGTGCTGTTAATAATAATATTGAGCCTGCTCTGAACTTATAGGGCCAACAAAATGATGTACACGTGAACGAAGCCTGTGAAAAAAAGAGAACAAAGCTCCCTGCGCGCAGTAGAACGGGTTTTCTGATCTTGCTCGGTACCAGCGCAGGAACTGCATGATTAGCACACCATGGACTCTCCGCTCATGCCTGAAGGCAGCTTTTGTTGCATGTTGTCTATGGGAGCTGCAAACAAATGGCATATAATGGAGATGACGAGTGCATTCAAATCAAAGCCCATCATGGTCGCGGCATGAGGGGCAGCTCATACATTCATGGAGCAAAGAACTTACTATTGCTCTTCATTTTTGTGTTAGGTATATGCCAGCTTGTCAACGTCAAATCAAACGAAAGAATTGGTCGCAAATTAATCACTTTTTCTATGCACATTAACAATTTTACATTCACGACGTGTGTAGTAGGATCGTCTTCCCCTTCATTGTCTTCACGTTTTTCAATTGAATGCGTCTGTGAGTTATAGCATACATTCTCACTCACATTAAGTGATAGAGGGTGCTCAACAACGATAACGGTTCGTTTAGGTTTGATTTCTGTCTAGTAAAAACGAAATTCTAAGTCTTTGTCTTCACTGATTCCGAAGTGTATCATCTGGTGTTCCGAATTGACTATAATTTGTCCTGATATCGGTATGGTCGTTCCACGTTGTGAGCGTTGTTCTTAGGCTCATCTACTAATTTCATCGTTACTGTATGGGAAAAGCGAAACGTCATACTTCTGTCCTTGAAACCCCGTGGCGCCTCTGTAGGTCGTGAATCTGAGTGATAACTTGAAATATAGCTCTATCCATGGTGTTTCTGTCTCGCACTCAACCCTTATTCAACAGGTTCATGAGTTCATTTGATTGACGCCGATCGAAACTTAGGCCTAAGAAACAGAAAAAAATGCTAGTGTGGTGTTCATGACTCAATACGAATACGACGATGACGAAAATGCTTACTGCACATACACAACATGATCAAAAACTGGATTATTTTTCCGACGTATCTCTGTTGATCCTGAAATAGAAATAATTGCAATTCCAATTTTTTCCTTGAAGTAGAATGCAAATCTGCGGATCATCTCCCGACTTTTTTCTTATATTCCGACAAGAGGCTCTTCCTTTTCTGGATCTCCTTCGCGTACATGCTGGCCGTCTTTGAATACTTCACCGTCTGCGGGCACTCCAACAAGTCGCGATCCGGTACTATGGATTTCTTGTTGTTTTCTCCTTGAGAACTTGTTAGAGCAGACTACAGGCACGACAGGGACATGGTAAGCAGGATAAATGTTTCACTTTCAACAGAAACGGACGATAGTCTTAGTTCTTAGGAACCCTGCTAATCTTCACATGTCAGGGTGGAAGGACTCGAAAAGCTCGAACTGGAGACCACTGAGACAGAGGCTCCTGCTTGTTGTAGAAACTTTCGTCAATCAATAAGCTATATTAAGCTTGTGAACCTTAGATAATGCCGGTGGAGCACTTCTTTCTAGGATACAAAAATACATTTAAAAAATGAAATCCGGCTGATTAATTGCAATATGAGAAACAGAAAAATAATGATCATCCACCACTCTTAACTTCTGTCCTCCTCTCTTAGTGTGTCCACTATTTCTTGTAATGTGTCCATTATTTCTTGCAGATCCCACCGCAGGATCCACATTCATCGGCGTCACGGGTGTCCTCGCTCGCAAACAATCGAGGAGATCCGGACCCATCACTAAAAGACGGCTGGTACCAGTTTCCGCACTACCTGGCGTGTCCAAAGGACTTGGACAGGCAGAGACTAACTGATACGGCGGAAGTAGCTGTCTATCTTCAATTTCGTTGTCCGTAGTTGCTCTCTTCAGGTTCGTAGTGGTGGCAGTGGTGGTCGCAGGTGTTGTGGTTGCAGCTGTTGTGTTGGACGTGCTACGAGGACGACAACGAGAGGATGAAGGTCCCCCTCGTCCATGCAGTAGAATATGATTACGGTTCAACATATGATTTCTCATTGTCTCAGCGACAAGCATTTCTCTACAAGAGCCAGTGATCATATTATTGATATTCATCTTGATGTTCCCATGATTCGCAGTAGTTGTATTTCTTGAAGAGCAAGAGCCCGCTCCTGATCCTCCTGCCCCTAAGATGCTCCTTATCAAGTCTCCCCGTTTTTCATCTCCCTTCTTCTGATGATCCCTTACATAGCGAGGCGAACTAGTAGCTGTTGACGTGGACGTGGCTCTCTCTCGACCGTGATGATATTGGAGAAGCCTCTTTCGCTTTTCATCGGAAAATCTGGCAGCGCCACTGCCAAAACCGCTCTGTTACTTGTTAAGTTAAATTGGAAATGATGACAGAAGAAGATGAGGAAAAAAACCACTGAAAATACTCTACAACTCTAGCTACATATTTAAGACAACCAAGAACATGACGTCAAAGAACTAAATAAGTAGTCTACAACTTACATTTAGATTTACATAGAAGAGTACCTGTTCAGGCCTCGCTCCCCATCCGTCCTGTCCACCTAGCGAGTGTGGCGTTCCAGAATTGGATAGACAACGGCCACTCCGATCGGTGCTCTTACTAAAAATATTCCTTTCTCGAGAACGAGAAGATGAACTTCGAGTTTTTGTATTCTCTTGTTGTACTTGTAATCCTCCTGGTCCACGATCATCATGATCATCTTTAGTTGTTCTTGTATGCTCACCACCACCTCCACGACTCCGACTTCTAGTTCTATCCCTGTTATCAAAAATATTGCTCCCTTTACTGGTGTCAACATTTTTCCCTCTACCTCTCGAAGTAGCACTTATGCAACTTCTAAGCAACTGATTTGCCTCTGAGGCTTCTGCTAGCATGTCGTGAAAAACAGAACGGCGCACTTCTAGAGACGACGCACCATCAGAGGTAGAAGCGCCAGTCGGAGATAAGAGAAAATTGGAAGACGCTCCTCGACTCCGAGCTTCAGGTCGAAAACTGCTTATGAGCGCAGGGAGATGGTCATCCTCTTCTTTACAATGTTCCACTTGCGTTAGCTCCTCAGGAAGAAGATGATACTCTTCTTGTTGACTTGTTGTCGTAGTTGTACTACCAAGAACAACCGCTACGGCAGGAACAGGTGCAGCAGCAGCAGTAATGGGCATTACTTTCTTCCGTTTTAGTGATAAACCTCCAGGATTTTCGTCCTCCTCCGGAGAAGACGAGCTAGTACCCACCGGCCCTACACCAGGAGGTTCTACTTTCTCGCCAACGCCAAGAACAACAGTTGCACTAGCAGGTGGATCAACTCCCACCACGACACCCAGCCCTATTCCACTAGAGTCAGAGAAAGAGAAAATTGGCCGTGCTCGACCATGATGTGGCGATGGTGAAGGATGATACGGATGATCTGGCTCTACTTCCCCTTGCTCTACCACTGCGCTCGTTGCAGTATGGACTGAGGACGTCCTCCTTTTTCGACTAGGAAGCACTACTTTGCCCTTCGCATTTGTGCGAGAAGACGTGGGATTGGAGTCGCCAGGAGGACCAGTGGTCGAGGTAGAGAGTATAGATGTGGTGCTCATTTTCTTCTGCGTAGCGTAGCCATGATCTGTCTCGGGCGATGCTGTTCTAGACGAGGAAAAAGCTTCCTTATCCTTGTCCATGATCCTGCTCGACGTATCTGGTACCAATTGAAGCTTTCCGCCTTGTAGTTGTACAACTTTTTTGCCTTCCAGTACTTCGACATCTTCTCTGTTGGCTTCTTCAAAAATACCCTTTTCCTCCTCTCCTTCCGCCACCTGAGCAGCAATTCTAGCTACCTTTTGCACTCTACTACGCTGAGTGGTGACGACGATAGGTGGCGACTCGTCCAGTTGATACGCTACTCCTGGCACCTCTATCTCTCCTTCATCCAACATTTCGTCTGGATAAAAGACAGTCTCGGAGAAGTCTTCATCTTCACTTTCTGCTGGTAAAAACAAATAAGCTCCTCCACCTCCCCCTGATGAATGCCCGTTAGTAGGTCGGGTCGTGTCTCTACCTCCACCTGCTGAAGGCCCACTAGGCGGTCGCGTTGTGTCTTTGAGTTCTTTTTCCTCCCGTAGTTCTGGCTCTGTGACGCCTTCCTCCGTCAGATCCACGAAACTGCCAGCACTAAAAGCTGAAAACTTAGAACTATTAGCTCTACTTCTCGCGTCTACTAGGTTCGTTTCTTCGTGTTCGCCAGGAGAGGAACTTTCTGCCTTTTGCTTCTCCTCCATCGTCAAAGCTCTCTGATGGTTGAAAGCCTTAGCTTGAGCGCCACCTCCAGTCATTTCTTCCTCTGTTGTCGTAGTCCACATTTGATCGGGGTCAGAGGAAGAACCACTATTATACATACCAGACACGAGGTTCAAACGGGCCTGCATTTCAGGTGGACCAGCCTTATCAAAGACCACAGGCGGAAGGTAGAGGACTTGTTCAGCGACGTCGTGATTAGAACCAGAAGGTACTAGTCGAAGTCAGTGGTTGTAAAAATATTACTGAAGAACAAGAAGAGTCTCAAGAACATTATTCATCGTGGATGGATACTATGAAAAACGAAAATACAACCACCATTAAAGAACTGCAACACCAGTTGTGCTTCCTAATACCGAACACTATCTAAGGTCAGCAAGATTTCTACTACTGACTGTAGGTAAGTTTCCTTGTGTAGCATAATGCTCCCCGCGCCACTTCCACTACCTTTTGTTCCGAGCACTGGCATCCCTGGTTCTCCAATATCCGCACCGGACAGTATTTCAGGAGTAGCAAACATAGAACTCGTATCTGCTCCAACAAGGAACGAACTATCTCCATGGATCCTTGCTTCATTCAAATGCAAAATACCACTTCTAGTGTTATACTTGGTTTGAGAAGGACCACGTAGTAGCTTTGCTTTTGTATCGGAGGACGAGGATGCTGTTGACAATCTTCCTCTCGTTGTATCCTTGTCGCTTCCTTTTTTCGACACTTTTTTCAGCACACTCGTTCCACCATGTTGTGGTGGCAAAGAAGATGGCGACGAAGAAGACTCTACCCCATCCACTTGCATGGCTCTCGTCCAATATTCTAAGACGTTCATCAAACTCCCTAATTCACTCGCTGCCAAAGAGATGCTGAATTCCTCAAAACTACTGTACAACTTCCCATCTCTAGGATCACGCCTTGGCCTACTGACGTTTTTGGTCTCTTTAGCCCCATCGTGTCGCGCGAAGCCCGCAGCTGCCCTCATAAGGAGTTCTTCTTCACTACTTGTTACTTGCTGGTCGGCTGCGACAGAGCTCACTTTGGTAGAGGAATTGGAGTTGGCCGCTAGTGCTCCTGCTGCTCCTGGTGATTCAGATGCTGCTGGTGATTCACTTGTTGTTTTGATGCTAGATGTACCTCCTCCTGCTGCAGCTCCTACATAAAAAGTGTTCAAATCGTCGAGTTGATACATAGAGGATCGTACTCGAGCAGAGGTGCCAGGTACCAGCAGCTTTTGTTGATCTTGAGACTTTTGTGGATCCTGATGTGCTGTATCGACTAGCATGTTATTGTCCTCTTTTATCTGCATAGCCCTTTCAATCTCAGTAACGAGTTCTGGCTGCTCTCGAAAAACTGGCTTCAGAGCGCGAACTTTGCTCGCGTCTTCTTCGCCAACTACCTGCTCTGTAGAAGTTTCGTGTTGTTGTTGACCCGCATAGAACTCTTGTTAGAGGTAGGTTTTTGGTGCTCGCTTACCCCGCTTGTTATGCCTTTCTCCCTTAGGAGAGGCATAAAAAGCGGTAAGAAAAGCACCTTTAACCTACCCTTAAGCTTGAGAAAGTCTCCTGCTCAGACTCGAACTCGCAGTAGCAGTCCCTGATCTCTGTAGTTGATCCATTATTGCCCGTTCCCTCTCTTGTTCCTGTTGTTGTTGACCAGCATAGAACTCTTCCATCACTGCGTCCTCGACGAAGTCCGCGGCACACGATTCTTTTTTTGAAAGTAGTTTCGTTGCATCCCAATGCTGACGTGCGGAGCGGACTTCCTGCGTACTTCGAGAAGATAGTTGTAACAATGTGTCTTGAGCACCATCATGATCTTCTCCTTGAACGGTGCTAGACCTTGCTGATATAAAGGAAGCATTAGCTGCTGCGTTGTTGATATTGTTAGAGGAGCTTTTAGACTTCTACTACTTATTTTGGAAAGCAACATCTTTGCCGTGAATTTCCCTTGAGACCGTGCCCAAAGTAAGATGCCTCTTAAGATGGATTACTGTAAGCCATAAGATTGCAGCTCAGTTCAAGACGAAGGTCGATTTCCTGTCTGCTTTTCCGTCTCGCCCCGTCGTCTTCCAGTTGTACCTCGTCTAGTTTCAAGATACTGGTGCGAGGACTACGATTGGACCTTCTCGGTGTCGCGCCCGTTGGTGTTGTGCCGCCGCCGTAAATGATGCGAGGAGTTCGGTGATTAGAGACGATAACTATGAATGTGAATGCGATGTACACATGAAAGTGAATGTGTTGGACACAAATGTCAAATCTAAGATGTAACGGAACAAGTCAAAGTCTCCTGAACGTCATGTCGTACCATGGTGCGGGTGCCTCTTATAAAGCAATATAAGTCTTATTTGTGTGAGTGTAACAGAAGAACAACTGCTCTCCTTAACTCCAGCATCCAGATAACCTCTATTAGCCTTCTCCTTATTCGGCGAGCTGGAGGAAGTGCGAACTACACGCCGTTTACTCTCCCGAACACCCTGATCCAAGGTGTCAAATGCCAACACCACCACGTGTAAAACATTGAGACCGGCGCTTGCTATGGTCGAGGCAAGAAATGAACGGAGAATGGGGATCGGGATGGGCGTGGTAAAGCGAAATACTAGCATGATTGGGGTAATTGCGTGTTTACGTGTCTATTTCTTCTAGGATATGTCATGAGGGATTGACTGTTTATCTTGGGGATGAGTAAGACGAGATCCTCTACCTTCATCGGTGGAAATCAAAGTAATTGATTTTCAGAATTCAGGTTCAGATCTTGTTTTTTCATAAATTATTTTCTCGCTTTTTCGCAACCCTATCTTGAACTTGCACATCGACTGCGCTTTTGTTCGCCTGATTCGCAGCATCTTTGACAGTGATGTTTGAGGAATCTTCTGAAATGACATCCGCATCTTCACCACTGGAACTCGAGGATGTGTAGTTGGGGCCAACAATATGATTCTCGATGTAGTCCGTATTGGAAACTACATCTGTACACCATTAAAGGTTAATACCGAGTTGCATTCTTCGGATGCACATGATCCTTGACCTATAATTTCCCCCTTGAAAAGGAGCCGAGGATCATGTTGGCAGTGAAGGACGCAATAAATGAGAAGAGCACCCGAGCCCTTAAGTATAGAGATAGGCCAAGGGTTCCAAAACGTACTCGCTCAGCAGCAGGTCCAAGAGATCCAAGCGGCATTGCTTTGGCGGAATCACTCCAACGAAGGACACAGTGTCGCCTGCGAGACGACGACGCTTTACCATAAACGGAGCCAAAAAAGCAGATCGCAACTCTTGGCTTCTCGTTTGGTCTTGATCGGCGTCTTGTGGCTGTTGTTCTGGAAGTCCTGGCTGTTGTTGTTCAGAACAACCTTGTTTGGCAACTTGTTCTACTTCTAGAAGTGCTTGCTGTTGTTGTCTAGAACTGGTCATGGAGGACATCTTGATAAGTCCTGCCAGCGTATCCGAACCTGATTGCTGTGCACTAGCATCTAGGCCTCGATTCCGCAGCTGTGCCAAAAGCATGCTCACACAAGACCGCTCTTCGTTAGACGCATTGGCATCTTCTGTGGGAGTCATATCCTTGGGAGCTCTTTTCTCTGAAAGCAGAAACAGAATATATAGACACTGTACTAACTAGTAGTACGACTAACCCTGTAGCAGTTCATGAGTAGAAAAAGAGCCAAGTTGTAGGATAATTATTAATTTTGTTGAAGCAGAAGCCGAATAAATTAATGTTGCAGTAGCAAGATGCTTCAAGAGCAGCGGTACTGGCCTTAACTTCGGCTAGCCAGGACAAGACAACCTGGCTTGCGTCTGGTCCATCCGACAAAAGGTTTGATGCTTTCCAAGCACGATGGCAGGTCCGTAGATGTACATCCACTGCCGCTGCCTGAAGATCACTGCAGATCTGTCTAGATTCAGACCGCAGAAGCTCTTCCTGCATGTAACTGCGAGAGGAAACAACGTTTTTCATCTGCGAGAGGAAGGAAGAACGACGACTACTCTGTTGTTGATCACCTTGATGTGGTAAAACAAGACTTTTGCGGGGAGACGTCGTAGAAGTAGGTGCTTTAATCGAAGTGTACCCATCACGACTGCTCTTCCGCGCACCACCCGCAACAGTTGTAGTGGTAGTTGGTGTACTAGTTGTTGACGTAGTTCCTCCTGATTTCATATTCTTAGTGCTGGTACTGCGTGTTTTAGGATTATATCGACCACTATTGGAAGTAGATGTGATATCACCAATCAACGTTTCAAATACTCCTCGGAGCTGCTCGATGGCTAACCACCTTTCCTGTAGTCTCCGTGATTCCCTTACACGAATCTCTGGTCTTGTCATTGCTGTCTCCTGATCTCCTCGAGGACTGCAGTAGTTAGTAGAACAAGAAGAATTACGTAGTCGTCTAGCTTCCTCCCTCAGAAAGAGCTTCAGAAGTCGTAATTTGAGAGACGACGCGTTTTCTCTTACAAGAACTGCTGACGCTGAGAACGCAGAGGCAGACTGAGGACCGCCACTAGCACTAGATGATGATGTTGTAAGTGAGGAGGAGGACTTCTGATGCATCATCTCTAAAATTTTCAGCGTTGAACATGCAAGAAGCAGCTTTTCCCTATTGGTTCTTGCGGTATCTTCTTCCTGTCCTTCTTTCTGATTTTGTTTTCCTCCTCGTCCGCGGATCGTTTCGCTAAGAGACCACGACGCAACACCCGTTGTTTTGCTGAAGCAATCGCGGAGTTCGGATGCCACGTCTGGGGGGATGTCGAAACTGCCAGCGCCAGAAGAATCTCCAAAAATTTCTAGCCTTCCTAGAATTTGCAACATCTCTTTCCAGCACATTTGATTCTCTGATGGAAATTGTGTCATCAAATTCGCCAAAAACTCTTCGACGCCTTCTCGAATGTACTCTAAAACCACTGGTTGAATCGGCAGTCTCCTCTGCTGAGCTGCCTGCATGCGTTTGGCGAGCCGCTTTTTCAGAAGCCGTTCACTCAAAAAATGAGTCTCCGACAAGGGCAAGGGAGAGAGCGAACTCAGCGTTGAGGATTTCCTGAGAGAGGGCCGTGGAGAAGATCCTGCTGCACCTGTGACGGGCGTCGAGCTCGAAACAACACCAGCAACACCGGAGGAAGATATTATTCCCATAGAATCTCCAACTCCAAGTAGTACGCCTACACCTTGTTCAGACCCTTGTCGTTGTCCGGATGTTCGACCCCCTTGCACTTGTCCTCCTGCAAACATCGAAGAAATTCTACTACCTCGTACTTGTTCTTTAACCTGTTCCATCACATCTGTGAGAGGGTGTTGCCCATGCACTCGTTGTACTTCTTCGGCCCCTTTCTGACCACGTGGCTTCTTGCGCAGCAAGGGAACTGTAGTCTCTTTAATATTACTATGGGAATGTTGGGAATGATGATGAAGATGTTCACGCACTTTTTTTTCCTTGGCCGGGACAAGAACAACTTGTTCTCTACTATGACCGGTCTCTTCGCCCACAAGCGCAACATCAAGACCTCCTCCCTTATCGGTATTACAGCCAAGCAAATTTCTACGCATAGTCCCGTCTTCGTTCGTGATGGAAGCTACAAACGCAGGCGAAAGGAGGTATTCCTCAGCCTCACTGCAGTCCGTCGGAAAGCGGTTTAACTCGTGAATACGGCATACTAAACTAAGAGCTTCAAAGAAGTGGATCGGTCGGAAGGAGACGCTCGTAAAGGTTTGCTTGTTCTCATCCTCTTCTACTAGTACTTCTACCTCGTCGTTTGCGTCAGCCAGTTTTCTTGGTGCATCGTCAACCGCACCTGCGACGACGAAAGTATCTTTATCAGACCTAACCTGCGTGTCTTCGTCCATCTGTAGCGCATTCATCGCACCTCCATCCATACGATTGTCGCAATTGCTGCAATCCACTTTGTCATTCACACCACCGTCCACATCACCTCCACCTCCCAAACCGCTACTTCTCCTGCTTTGTGTCCTGCTACCTCCTATCGCACTATTGCCATTGCGTCGCCTCCTCTGTTGTAGAAAAGCACTATGAGGATGTTCATCAGACATGTAACTCGCAGAATTAGAGCGACCGACATGCTGCATCCCTGAGACCATCTTCCCTGGACCCGTTTCATCTATTCGAAAAACTGAAATAAGCAAGTAACTGTAACTGATCAGAATAACCAAGATACTGATGAGAAGGAAGAGTAGCCTTGGCGCTATAAGCTAGTGCCTCCCTTATTTCAGTCAGTAACTCGATTATTTTGAGTTTTCGAATACTTGAAAAAGAGGCCGAGGACCATGAAGATTTTGCTGAGGATGCTCGCTTGGGTGCCTTAACACAATCGGAGAGACCGAAAAGCCCATTTCCCTGTTCGTCTGGCGAACTACTCGATGAAGACGACGCGTCCAAATCAGTCTCCGCTTCGGACTGGGTGAATTCGACTGTAGAAAGGAAGGAAAAAAGACCCTTAGGATCCTTCAAAAACATCTCGTGGTCGTAGTTGGTGATTGGCGTCTTCTCAGACGCACACGACGCCTGTGCTGGCATCGTAGAGGACTGCCCCTCAGTATTTCTAGACCACATCAACATACTAGTACTAGACTCAACAGTAGAAGGCATCAACATACTAGTGATAGCAGCAGCAGATGTAGGAGATGCAGACGACTGAAGGAAGGACTTCAACAGTGCTCGACAAACAGACTCATCGTAGACGTCCAGGATCTTCTGAGGGATGAACTGTAGCACAAGGGCTTCGTTCTCCTCGGCGTTCTGTGGTCGATTCTGTTGTTTGATGGCTCGCTCAGCAACCAGGCGATCAGCCTCAGAACAGGTATTAGAAAGATTGATACAAAACCTGTTAGATCCGCTAGACATGAATCAATCCATGTGCTGCCCTCGACTGCGGCCCTGTACATTGGCAGAAGCAGCGGGCCAACGCTATACGCGTGCCAAGGGTCCGCCCACCCTGCCCCTCATGTGTGCCAAGGGTCCGCCCACCGTGCCAAGCGTGGCCGCCCACCGTCTATAAACTATTCTATGATAAATGTCTACTGGATTCACCAGTACTCTGTCTATACAAAACCTGTTAGATCCACTAGACATGATTCAATCCATGTGCTGAGGAAACTCACACCAACTAGTAGAAAAAGTAACAAGAAATGAAAAGAAAAACAACCTAAAGAACCGAGTCTTTCTCTTGTTCAGTCACTGGTTCATAATGTACTGCGCAACAGACCGTGATCGTTTCAAAGGACTTTGAAAGAATGGAGCTCGAGCGACAACAGAAGGCACTTCTTCAACGACATCGTTCTCGGCGTCGCTACCGCCGCGACTACTTGTATCTTGATCAAGACTTTGATGTTCCTCATCGCCGTCTTCACCGCCAACTAGAACTGCTTCTACATTACGATTACTCCTCTCTTCTTGCTCTTCTTCCTGGTTAATATTGTCATCTTCATTGTCATCTCTATCTTGTTCGCCACCGCAACTTCTACCTCCTCCAAAATGTCCGCCATCCTCTCCATCATCGCCAAAAGATGTTGAGGGTGGCTGAGCTTGGACGAATTTGTTAGATGTTGTTCCTGTCGGATCAAATGCGAAAGGCTCGTCTAGAATTTCTGCTCCTTTACCTGCTACTTGACCCGTTACGGCATCAACGCCAAGACTTGATTTTCTTCTTCTAGGACTTGCTCTAGTGCTACCACGACGGGAGGTTCTGCTGGGAGGTTCTGCTCGTCCTTCTTCGAGTGGTGGCACACGGCGTTCGTTGAGCTCCTCAGACAAGATTTGCCGCATGATATCCAAAAAGGAGGTCGTGGAAGTACAAGTACAACTAGAGGTCTTATCGGTCTTCTGCAGGGGCGTGGTCTTCTGCGTTTTCGCGCTCATCTTCTGCAGCAATTTCTGAAACCATCTCGCGATTATAATTGCGTCGAACTCTTCTAGATCGGCTGCTTCAGGGAAATTCAGAGCTATAAGCTGCAAGATTTCATCTTCCGCACCATCAGTTGTAGATGTTGACAGCTGTTGCAGGCTATTCAGCATTTCGGGTGCGGCACCTTCGCTACTCTCCATTTGTAGAACGTCGTACACATGCGAAAAGAGGAATGAATGGTGCTGGTATTTGGTATCTGGTATTTCTATTTATTTCATAAGGAAAACAAGAAGGGAAGCCTTGTCGTGATCGAATTCAGGTTACCAAATACCAGAGCCATACAAGAAACCACAATACCGGAAGTGTGAAGTAGTCGGCTAAAACATGGAAATTGGTTGTGGATGATGGTGTCGAAGAAGATGGTGTAGTTTTTCCTTGTTCTTGTTTACTTGTCCCTCCTGCTGTTGTACTTTCTTGCAGAAAGCGTGTAGCAACAGCTCGCTTTTCTTCTATCAACGGAAAAAGCGCACGACTCTTCAGAGCAGAATCTTCTGAAGAGAGCGAACTAAGAAATGGTCGCAAAGCCGAAAAAACATCAAGCACGCCGAGACTTGATAAGGTTCCTCCTTTCACACCGCAGGATGTCGAGTCGTCCTGAGAGTAGAATAGGAAGAAAGTTGCTACGCATGTCATGTCATGGAACCTCTTATGTAGCATTTGAGATCAACTTTTGAGGCATCTCAACATGTGATCCATCTCAACATGTGATCTGTGTACAGAAATGAGATGTTCGAGGATAAAATAGGACTAGAGAAGAAGTAAGTTACAGTTAAAGTGATAATTACAAATTCAAATCACTAGATAGAAAACCAGAGTCTCGAAATACCTTCACCGCATCTCCAGTCCCTGTGAGCAAAGGAACATTCGGCACAGCTAGAGCATCGCACAATTCCTCACAGTTCTCTGAAAGTGCTGCTGCCAGTTCCTCACAGTTCTCTGAAAGTGCTACTTCTACTTCATGATCTAAGAGTTCTCGTGATGTTTCCAAGAATGATCCTTCTAATATTGTCAGAAATTCTGCCAGCATCTTCGGGAAAAGACGCGGTTTGTCATCCAAGAAGGCCAAGAGAGAAGACAAAGAACTTTCTTGATCAAGCATAACATCTTCACAATCTTCCTCTTCTTTTTGACTCACTGTCTCTTCACGACCTCCTTTACCTTCTACTTCTTGAGCGACCCCTTGCTTTTTTCTTGTTGGTCTTGGTGGGGTAGATTTGTTGTCGGCTGCGAGGACAGGAGAAGTTTTCTCGTCGTTCTGCCGTTTTTGACCATCCTCTGCTACTTCCTTTGTGCTTACCTCCACTGCAGCAGCGCCGCCAGGTGCTAGTACTTCCGTTGTGCTTACCTCCACTGCAGCAGCGCCGCGTCTTCTAGGTGACGTAGATGGCACAAGAAGTTCTTGCAGAAGATGCTTTACTAATAGACTTGGAGCGTTGCTTGAGGAAGAGAGACTCTTAAGATTTGCGTCAGTGTCAGAGACAGACATGAAAAAATGCTGCTGTTGGTGTCGGACAAATTGTTGGTGTTGTACTAATTGTTGCAGAGTTTTTTTCACAGATTCTGCTACCCAAGGAGAGACAGAAGTTCGAAGTTTCTCTTTCTTTTCTTTCTCGTCTTCTTGGAGCTCTTTTTTTCTTCGTAGTTCGGCTTCCTCTCGCTGCTTGGCTGCTAAGGCCTCTGCTGCTTCTCGTTCGGCTTCTGCAACAGCGTCGTGTGGATTATTTAGTTTTAGAGGGCTTAGGGTATATACTATCTTGTCATGTCATGGGGCCTCGCTTCTTTGTAGCTATTAATGTCTAATTTATTATGAGGCCTTCCAGTACCATAGTACCTCCGTAGGAGGGCTACGAGTACGACACACACCGCTTCGTTATCTCATAACATAAGTTGTTTCGAAATAAAAACAACAAGTGCTTTTCTTGTTTGTATTTATCTTGAGCATGTTCACCTGAAGATGTTCATGTTGTTCCTTAAGCTTAACCACTTGTTCTTAACAGAAGTTCATCTACAACCAATTATCGTCATCTTAGATAGAAGCGCATCTACAAGAACAACCCGGAAAAGATACCAAAACCCATACAACTAGTACCAATCATAAATCATTTTCGGCTCCACTACGTGCACCCGCTGCTGCGTTCCGCTGTGTGTTCTCTGCTTCCTTATCTACAGCCGCGAGAAGATCCTGACCTACCGCCCCCTTCCCCGCCCCTTGGGTCGTGGAGTGACAACAACCCCCCATAATTTCGCTTTCTCAATATGGTGGTGTCATAGAAGTTGTGCCTAAGATTAAGAACAGAAAGGGTAAGGAGCTGTATTTTCTTGGATTACAGACTTCTGGCGCGGCAGATTATGTCACACTGACTCCACTAAAGCTCCTGATTGACTAGCGTTGTCAGTGTCCGTTCTTGGAAGCACAGCGTGTTGACAGACTTATGAGTGATCCAGGAGACTTTATCCCTAGTTCTGGAGGTGACGTGAGTAGAGACATTGAGTCCAGCCCCAGCCACTGTCACTGAAGCTACGTACAGTAGGCACTCTACTTCAGTTTTCTTTACTTGCTTCTCAGTCACAGCCACGATAGAAGTTCTGAGAGCGATGTCCTTACTAGACCGCTGGGAAACAGCCACAACGGTTACTCATTTTTTTGTACTGTGGCATCCTATATTAGTCCCTCCAATTCATGTACTGTGAATGGTATCAAATAAGAAGAAGAGCAAATGAAGATGTGACTAGTATCAAACAAGAATAATGACTAGTAGAGCAAAATTCTCGGAAAACCTCCGCACAGTGTCTCCTTCTTCGAACTTGCAGTCTGTGGTCTTCTTCTAAGATTACGGCGCCTTGTGCTGTGCTAAAGGTGGGCCAGGGCTGTAGTACGCCTTCAAGCGCAATCTGACTGCAGCAATCCCAGTGTGGGTTTAGAACAATACATGATCTCGCTTTATCTAAGTGTAACCCTATAACGACGCAGGAGCACAACTACAACACAGTTACGCCAGAACCTATTTTTCATGCTCACGCAGCGTCGGCTTGACCAGTGACAGAGACTCCTGGGCTTGTTGTAGCACGCCCAAAGCGCGTGGAACGTAGAGGCTTATAAGGCTTCAACATAGAGATAGAGAATCAGGCTTCGACAGACCAAAAAGATGCGTCTCACATGTATGACAAACAAAGAGGACGAGGACGACGAGGAAAACAAACACGCGATGAGAGGGAAAAAAACTACGAAGACAAAGACAGTCTTCAATTGGTCATTCGTTTTTCTAGACCTCACAAAAACTGAGACCCAACAAAACGAACATTGAAAGGAGCAAGCAACAGATGAGACGACAGATGAGAGATGAAAAAGTGAAAGCTATAATGTCCAGTAGCAGACAAGAAGAAGAAAGCCTCGCAGAACATGAAGAACAGCCTGAGAATGAGAAAAGAAACTAAAACGCTGAATGCAGTAGCAGACAAGAAGAACGACTCGCCGAACAACATGAACGAGTTGAGAATACAACAAACTAATACTCTCCTAACGGATGCCAGCATGATTAGGGCCAAGTGTGCTGTGAAGCTCAAGATATTCCAGCTCCAGATTGCGGCATCAATGTAAGTAGCTAGCGTCTTCAACCGTTCATCTTTCTACTTGTCACCATGGCGTTTGTAATACTAGCAGTCTTCAATGAATTTCATGCCAACTCTGTTGACAGTTCTCCTACACTTCTGTTTCCACTTTCGCAAGACAGCTTCGATGACGCCAAAGTGGAGGATTTCAACGAAGTCTAGAGCAAATCAAAAGAGACCGACAGCAAGAGTCTTCAGCTGTATCTTGACCAGTCCCGGCAGCCGTCCTGTGTGTATGTTCTTGTTCTTTCCTGAGAACTAAAGCAGAATTATGTAGTTTGAGTGTTGTAGTGGCCATAACTCATGCGTCATAACTTCTTGTATCACGACAAGGAGAAGGACAGGGTAGCAGTCATGATATGGCTGCTAGACGTAGACATGCTCCTGCCGTAGGATTGCCACCTTAGGGTCGTTACAAGCATCGTGTTCGTGTGTAGGATTATAATCGTATGATCGCCATCATAAGATGGCCGTCGTTACGATTCTCCGTCGTAAGCATCGGGTTACCGCCGTAGGATCGCTTACCACTGTAGGACTGCCATCGTACAGGGCCCCCATCGTTTAACGCGAAACGCAAATAGAAATATGCGCAATAATAGAATATGCACCACGTGCACGCTGAACGATTGCACCTAGTCACGCTACGAGGTGATTGTATGGCAGGCGTTCTGGAGTTTTCCCGATTGAAATTGTCCCACCTGGCTCTCTTGATTGAATGGTTCTGGTATTTGGTAACCTGAATTTGATCCTAATGGAAAACAAGAAGAGAACCCTTAGGATCAAATTCAGGTTACCAAATACCAGAACCATACATTGATACGCATCATTGTCATTCAAGGATACAAAGTAAAAGCCATCGAGATACTATCGTAGTCCACGTTCGCTTCTGGCACTGGGGTACGACGAGCACGCGGCGAAAAACATGACATACCCAGAAAGATAGCGCTCGGCCCTGCCTTTGAGATATGATATAGAACAAAGGACAGACTACATATTGCGGCGCGACGAATGCACATCGACAGAGCGTCTGCAGTGAATCGCCCTCCCCAACGACCGACCACGAGCCCTCCGAACAAGAAACAGTCTGCAATGCGTCGCCCTCCCCAACGACCGACCGCGAGCCCTCCGAACAGGAACAATCTGCAGCGAAGCGCCCGCCTCCCCAACGACCGAACACGAGCCCTCCGAACAGGAACAATCTGCAGCGAAGCGCCCTCCCCAACGACCGACCACGAGCCCTCCGAACAGGGAACAATCTGCAGCGAATCGCCCTCCCCAACGACCGACCACGAGCCCTCCGAACAGGAACAATCTGCAGCGCATCGCCCTCCCCAACGACCGACCACGAACCCTCCGAACAGGGAACAATCTGCAGCGAATCGCCCTCCCCAACGACCGACCACGAGCCCTCCGAACAGGGAACAATCTGCAGCGAATCGCCCTCCCCAACGACCGACCACGAGCCCTCCGAACAGGAACAATCTGCAGCGCATCGCCCTCCCCAACGACCGACCACGAACCCTCCGAACAGGGAACAATCTGCAGCGAATCGCCCTCCCCAACGACCGACCACGAGCCCTCCGAACAGGGAACAATCTGCAGCGAATCGCCCTCCCCAACGACCGACCACGAGCCCTCCGAACAGGAACAATCTGCAGCGCATCGCCCTCCCCAACGACCGACCACGAACCCTCCGAACAGGGAACAATCTGCAGCGAATCGCCCTCCCCAACGACCGACCACGAGCCCTCCGAACAGGGAACAATCTGCAGCGAATCGCCCTCCCCAACGACCGACCACGAGCCCTCCGAACAGGGAACAATCTGCAGCGAATCGCCCTCCCCAACGACCGACCACGAGCCCTCCGAACAGGAACAATCTGCAGCGCATCGCCCTCCCCAACGACCGACCACGAACCCTCCGAACAGGGAACAATCTGCAGCGAATCGCCCTCCCCAACGACCGACCACGAGCCCTCCGAACGGGGAACAATCTGCAGCGCATCGCCCTCCCTAACGACCGACTACGAGCCCTCCCTAACGACCGACTACGAGCCCTCCGAACGGGGAACAATCTGCAGCGCATCGCCCCCCCCAACGACCGACCACGAGCCCTCCGAACGGGGAACAATCTGCAGCGCATCGCCCTCCCTAACGACCGACTACGAGCCCTCCCTAACGACCGACTACGAGCCCTCCCCAACGACCGACCACGAGCCCTCCGAACGGGGAACAATCTGCAGCGCATCGCCCTCCCTAACGACCGACTACGAGCCCTCCCTAACGACCGACTACGAGCCCTCCGAACGGGGAACAATCTGCAGCGCATCGCCCTCCCCAACGACCGACCACGAGCCCTCCGAACAGGGAACAAGACGCAAGTCTATACTTCACAGCGTCCGCGTCCTCTATATCCATACTAATTCGCCATGTGCTCATTTGTATTTCGGGTGCAATCTCCACAGCTTCCTCTAACGACGTAGCATCTACGATATGAGCCCAGCTGCGATGGAGCTAGTTCCACAGGCGACATTCATTTACGCGCCCTACCCTGGCCTTAGCTTTGTAGGGCAAGATCTCCGAAAGGGTGACCCCAGTGATATCCGGTATACCTGCGCCTGCCGACGGCGGGTGGAGTCCATTAACCTCCTCCAGCTCGAAGCCAACGAGCAGAACTAAACCAGCTAACGGGCAGGATTCCACCAGCCAACGACAGCAGACAAGACTACACACAACAAATTCACTCGCATCTTTTCTTCTACTTGGTACTCTCATGAAGTACGTAGAAACGTGGAGCAAGTACTTCTAGCCAGCGTCCTGTTGAACAGCACTCGCGAGTGCCCACGCGTACTCCATTTGACAGGAAAAGTTGATGCCGTAGAGATCGTGACGTCTCTATTTTGAACATGAATCTCTCGCTTTTTACTTGAAGTAGTTCTAGATCATTCTTTGTTGCTGTTCTCTGGTCATAACCTAGCTTCATCTCTCGCTTGTGGATTCGTTAGATCGTCAACACCACGCACTTGCATGTTTTCAAGTAGACAGATCGCATCTCCTGGACAATTTGGATGTATTTTTAGATTTTTTAGATTAAGCCTCTTGCTTCTTCTAACAATCCCGCCTCTCGCACGACAGGCATCATGATCAATTCACCAGACTCCCGCACATTCAGAATGTCCCGTCGGCCGTCCCGCTCTTTAGATTTTTTAGATCTTTTAGAAACTGCAGTCCTTGCTTGTCTACCTTGTTATTGTACTCGTTCTTGTCTTGAACACACATATTTCTTTGCGTCGGCTCTTGTTACCCATCCCCTTTCATCACAAGGAAGAGACGACCAATTGCGGTTTTTTTCCATCAACACAAGTAGACCATGCTTCGGTCTTGAAAAAATATCATTTGTTGACTCTTGCTCCAAGAAAAAGTGCCACTCTGTCGAATTCCACGTCCACAATTCAAATCTTGACAAATGAGTGACCTACTTTAGTCAAGACCTACCCACTCGAAAAACTGAAGTAAGCGAGTAACCACAGAATGTATTTAAATGAAAGAAGAGAACCGTGCCTAATACTGACTCTTTTATATCAGTTAGCTACTGCTCGGTTGGTTTCAGTTTTCGAGTACACATTTTACACGACAAGTAGGTCCAGCACACCCATTTCTTCATGTCTTAGCCTTTTGGTTCTGTGCAGTGCGAATAAATTCGAGCACAGCTCTCCTCCGTTGCGATATGAACGCCGGCAAAAAGTCTTCTCCTTGCAGATTAGAGACGAAACGAGATTGCTAGGAGTTGCGAAGCCAGCTTCTACCCTCTTCGAGTTGATGATAAGCGAACAGGCCAACGCCTAAACCACTACGCCAATGAATTGCGCAGTTCTACCCTTTATCCTCTACGAGAACACGATGATTGAAGATCTCTAGTACGTAGTAGACGAGGTTTGTTTCATCTTTTAGAAAACTTTGATTTTTGGAGAAACAGCTATTTTTCTAGATTAGATTCTCAAAAGTTGGGATGCACCGTCGTAGAAGATTTAGATTCTTGGAGGATGGGTCAATCATCGCTCTTCTTCAGAAAATCTGGATTTTGTCACGGAGGGCCCATCTATTATGGAAAGACTACCTGAACAAGACCCACAATCACCGTTCATCTTTAGAAAATCGATATTCCCACAAGAGGAGCTCTACTGTAGATTCTCAATGAGAAAAATTTAGATTCTCAATGAGAAAAATTTAGATTCTCAATTTAGAAAATTTAGAAACTCAAAAAATTTAGACAATTCCCCAATCAACGCCAAATGAACATCAAGTACCATGATCGGACATGACTAGTAAGCCATCTGCCTGTTGTAAACACAAAGAAGGTCGCTACAACACGAGGAATCTCGCACAAAGTTCAGCACACCACCAAAGAGCCCTAAAATGCCATAATCACAGTTCCATTTTTTACGTTTCTATGTGGTATCTCCACAAATTTTTGCAGCGTCCACTTGACACCTGGACCCAGGACTCGTGCGCCACCATGCCAGCTCAAATGATCAGGTGTTCCGTCACTCTTGCGACTAAAAAAGATCACGCAACGACCCTTCGAAGGACGAATCGCGAATCCTTCGGACGAAGTCGAGGTAGAAACTTCTTGATGAATCGTCGGAGGAAGAGGAGCGGGATCTTTAGTACTAGTCGATGAAGTTGGACTCACTGTAGTTCTATTATTACTACTACTCCTAATTGTAGTTGATGCACTAGAATTTGTACTTGTGCCAGTCCTCCTTGTCGTTGTACTAGTGGATTTGGGGGTAGGGTTCCTACTCTCCCTAAAAATTGCGGTTGTTCTTGTAGTTATACTTCTAGTTGTAGAGAGGCGAAAATTTTTACTAGAGTTTCGTGTGCTACTAGCGGTACACTTGTTTTTAGTAGGAGGTGACGGTCCTCTACTAGTAGAGTTTTGTGTGCTACTAGCACTACAGCACTTGTCGTGAGTAAAATCTTTGTTGTTCGCGCTGCAAGAAGTTTTACTTTGTCTTACACTATCGTCATCTTTACAACTGGGGTTTCTAGAAGTCCTCTCTACTTGATCAATTACTGGGTCTCCTGTGCTGGTCTCTTGTGCTTGTTTTTGGAGGTCAGACGCAACAAGTTGTTCACATTCATTGAGCACCGTCTCCGCAGCTGCGCGTAGGTCTTCATCATCACTGCCACGGGCATTGCCAGTGTGATGCAAGTTCGAAACACCCAAAGCATGGAGAGCAGTGCGAACATCATCTTTGGCGGTAGCCGTAAGGTCACGTCTGTGAGTAGTCTTCTTGGAAGCTCGTGTCGATGTCTTCTTGGAAGCAGCATCGGCATAGCAGCCAGGAAAAACCGTGTGGCCTCCTGTAAAATCGTCCGACAAATAGACTAGCACGGTGACGTAGCGATAATATCGATTATTAAGGTCAGTATGGACGCCCAAATTCATCATTTTGTCCGATTTCTCCTCTGGTGGCGTCACATGAACTTGCCAAGCGTCTTGGTCTAGTTTCATCACACTCATGCTGTCTCCATGATGTAGATGTTCTCCTTTTTTAGTATCTTCGCCCACAACATGAGGATCATCTTCTTTTTTAGTTTCCTTGTTTTCTCCAACTTGATGTTTAGTCGTGCTATGCTTTTGTTGTTCTCTTTGTTGGCAGTTGTTGTAGAGCAATTGCGCAACCCGTTGATCCAGGTCTCGTAAAAGGTCAGTACCAGGCTCAACGAACGCAGCTTGTTTTAGAGCTGCCGCGTCGCATCCCTCGTAGCATCCTTGGTCTCTTCTCCTACTTGAAAAAGAGGTCGAGGATGGCGCGCAGGACGATGCATCTGCGGTAGCCTTAATTTTTCAACGTGGCTTCTTCCTGGAGAAGTTGCAGCTCTATTTGTTCCATAACTTGATGAGTCCTCCTCTTTTCGACGTGTTTGAAGATCATAGGGTAAGTCCACTCGTCGTTTCGCTGTGCATCCTGCAAGACTACGCCACCCCCCCGGGCCAGATGATAATTGCTCGCTTTAGAACAACATGAGTAGTTTTGAAGACTCTCTATTTCATATTCTTTCGCTTTTGATGCTGATGATTTCGAAAATTATAAAAAATGTAGCCGCAACATCTAGTAGTTGTATCAGAACCCACCTTCTTTCTTTTGGCCTTCATTAGAATCGTGAAGGTAGGAAAATGAAAGACGTTTAGACTTCTTTTGGAAGTGACTTCTTTGTTGTTCCGTAATCGTTAGCCAAGCCAAGGAGAGCGTCGCACTCTTCGCTCGTGAGAAAATCTTTGATCACACACAGAAGAGGCGACTCATGGTGCGCAGCCATACTTGGACCTCGAAGCATCTTCTAAGAGCGCACGAGCCTTTTGAGAAATCCACTGTTGTGTTGGAATTCATAGCTTCTCGCAGCTTTTCTTGATTCATCGGTAGCTTACCTTAGTCTCTTTAGATTATTTATAGATTTTTTAGATCAACACTTAGATCATTCTTGATAGTATTCAGATTTTTCAAAAAATTTTGTGTGAAACAAATAGGTAGCACTATCATGCAGCATGAGGAGTTGAGCTTTACGGGAATCAATTTGGGGAGGGAGCAAGAATGGGGAGAATCGCAGGCGTTGCATTCGAATCAATAGAGGCAGACTGCTTGACCAAAAAACAGGGACAGCTTCACGACTTGGGACACAGCACAGAAAGGCGCACAGCAGCACCAGCACAAAAAGATCCTCATAAACATATTTCGGATCACCAGAGACACCATGATGATTCAGCACAGAAGTTCGGACAGAGCCTAACTTGAAAATTGGAGAAAGATGAAGATCTTTGCTGAAATTGGTAGACAATCAGTACCGATGTTCTTGTCATTTCCGAGAGCGAGAAGAAAGCACACTCTTCGTACAGACACGAAAGGGTCCGTCTCCTAAGAACATAACGAAAATTAACCTTTTCTTTGGTACACCTACGAAGCTCCCAGATCTCCGGCTGCAGGAACCCAGCAAGGCAATAAAACCTCTTGTAAATGTTGTACATTTTCCAGACAACAAAAACTGTTGTAAGCTATGTCCAAATTTTTTGTGTATTTAACGGACAACACAACACAACGCACAAGAAGCCTGATCCTCTCGTCTAGTTGTGATCGTCTTCGTCCCGTTGTAAGGTACAGGTGCATTATATTTATGTTGGTCGATGCAGTCTAAGACAGCTACTACTGCTGCTTCTTCTCATTCCATGTTCCTGCAGCTTATGTCGTGGCAGCTCTCGCCCACAATCATAAAATCGAAATACACTTACAGATGCATTCTTGTTGGCTATGCTAGCTGCTGGAGGAGAGTGCGCAACGTTTTTTTCGAAAAATGTGCTTGACTAGTACTTTGGTTTCTATGCAATCGTCGTCTCCACTTCCACTACCAGAGGCGACAGATTTGTCACACATAAATATATCAAAAAGATTACTGTCCAGTCTTTTGTTTCGTCACCAGAAGTATTTTTTGAGTACCACAACAGCCTTCTAACATCAATCTATCTGCTCTTGTGCAACTGCCATGCGAAACTATCAATGAGTATCTTCTTGAAAGATGTTTAGTAAGCGCTTACTTGGTTGGACTAGAGAACTGGAGGACTAATCTTGTTGGTATTCATCATGTTGTTGAAGTACTGAAATATCATAGACCGCCAAAAAGGAGAGTTTTCAGGGTCCTCGGCCTTATCCGGGTGCCATCTCAGCAAAATGCGTCGCTTGACGCTTCCGGTGATCCCATCGTTTTCATGAAAAGAGGGTGGGGGTTCCAGTCTTCGATCAAGGTTAAGGAAGGCGTGGACCGTGAAAATCGGAATGCAATTGTCTCTGCTTATATGTCAGACTTGCGGGAAGAATGTGTAACCTCCAGAACGAGAACTATTTAGCCTTTATTTACAGGTGAAGACAAGACAGAGAGCCAAGATGTTAGCAAGTGCAATCTTTGTCTAAATGATGCGGCTCAGTTACAGTTGATTTGCTAATAAATGCAATAGAGCTAGAATATGTTGCGAATAGGGTTATGAACGACCTCCGAACTATCGAGGGAAATGAACCGGCTAATTTACTTTGTGCGACTTGCGCGTCGCAGTAGAGTTAGAATTATATCGAAAGAAAACCATGAGCGCTGTTCAGTTGATTTGTTAAAATGCAAAAGAGGTAGCATACGCTGCGAATAGGGTTACGAACGACCTCCGGACTATCTAGGGAGCTTAGCCAGCTAATGTACTTTGCGTGCTTTGGGCGTCGCAGTGGAGTTAGAATATGGAAAGAAAGCCATAAGTTGTGGCGTCCTTCTCGTCCTCACGGAATCGTTTCACGTCCTCTCCCGTCATCTCGTCCTTGCATAGTGCTATCTTATCCGCGGGCAAGCCGGTCAGTTTTCTGCACGGATGCGAAGGAATACGCTTCTTGATCGTAAAGTCACTCGACTTTTCAGTTTCACGAAGAATCATTTCCCGTTGTTCTGCTGAGATGATGTAGAAGGTTTCTGCATCTTCAAAATCCTCAGGGCCAGGAGCCGGCGTTGAAAGACCTGGAGGAGAGGAAGACAGGGTTTGATCTGGATCCCATACAGCGTACTCCATCGCTTTGGCTGTTGACGAATGGTGGTGTACTAGTGGTTGTATTCGGACACGTTTCGCTCTCGGCAGATGAAGTTGAGACGCAGCTTCACTCTTGATCTCTACTTTCTCACAAGGAGCCGGCATACTAGTGCACGTGGCTTTGTAGAAGTGCGGCTTGGCCGAGCCCTTGTTTCGAAGTGGAAGGAGTACTATGCCTCCGGTTGTAGACGTCTTCGGCGTTAGTTCTTCAGTCGCATCCAACTGAGCCTTTGGACGTAGAATGACCTCTACCACTGATTGTTTAGGACCAGGCTGTGGCGTCTTAGGTGTTCCTGCACTACCACTACCAGATCCTGATGGCTGCCCATCTCTTTTGCCACTACCTCCGGGCTGCGGTCTTTTAGGTCCAGGTCTTGCTCCACCATTTGGCCCAGATGGTTCTTCTTTTGGGCTGTTTGCGGCAGCCGCGGCAGTCCTGCTTCGTTTACCCTTTGCTCCTGGATAGTGCTTACGACGTGGTGATTCCTCATCTTCACGTGGTGACCCCTGAGGACGATCTTCACTGCTACTCGATTGCGGGTGTGGTCCAGGTCTTTCAGGATCAGGATCATCAGGCCCACTTCTTGAGTTTCTATCTGGCGGCGCCGCTCGTCCTGGACCAGCACTGTAGGCTCCCTGCTGACCTGCAGCTCCTGGTCCTGTCGGTGCCTTCTGATGGTCTCCCTGGCGTCTTCCTCCTCCAGCTGCTTGGTCAGATGTAGATGATCCTCCACCAGGTGGCCGAGCAGTACTTGGTCGCTGTCTTTCAGCGTCAGGCTCTCCTTCACTAGATGATGATGAATCAGCCCCAGTTGTTCCTCCTAGTACCACCTCCTCGATCCGATACCTGCCGTACGGATTCCTTGGACTGGAATGCGCACGCACCGCTTCCATCTGTTCTGCTGAGATGATGTAGAAAGGCGAGCGCTGAGATGATGTAGAACTCAAAGAAGGCGGATGCGCGAAGTCTGTTCCGTGCTTCCACAGAACCCATTCCGGTTCGAAGCCGCCACGCTTATGCGTCTCGTCTTCTCGCAGTTGCGCCAGCATCATGAGGTTTTCACCATCGGTGTCCAGTATAAGTTGGCCGTCCATCCAACTTACTTTTCTTTTTTTGAGTAGTGACTCTTCATCCCATGTACACTTATAGTAACCGGGCGGCCTTCGCAGCGGTGGTTCATATTCGGAATCGCTGTGCTGCAACGTTAGTTGTGAGCATGGACCGTCCTGGACATTTAGGGTCAGTGGCTCAACAGTCTCCCAGCCTCTCGAGAACGAGAACAGCTTTTGGGGTTTTGGATCTTGTTCTTGTTCCGGAGGTTTTTTTTCCTTCTCCATTTTCTCAAGTATGCTAGTCTTATGCTCTGACGAGATGATGTAGAACTTGAGTTTGTCACCTGTATTCCACAGAAGCCATTCGGCTTTGCCGACTATTTTCGCCATTTCGATGCTCTTGGCTGTCGTAGTTAGTTCCTTTCCATTAACGACTACCGAAAACTCATTCTCAGGAGCAGACGACAACCGCGTGGCACTGTAGAATGGCTTCTGCTTGGCGTAGTCTTGTGGAAGCAGCACTACTCCAGCTGTCCCTTCTTCATTCCTGTTTAATGTCACTTGTGTACTCGCATCAGCGTTTGGCCTCTCCTCCTTGTCCCCGTCCCACGTCTGCGAGAACCCTGGTGGTGGCTCAGCTCGTCCCCTCCAAGGTGGCCTAGCTCCTCCTCCTCCTCCACTAGTTGTAGAAGACCCGCCTGGTGGATGTGGTGAAGGTTGTGACGATGGCGACAATGGTGTCTTAGCACTTCCTTCGTTCTGTTGCTTCTCCACCTCTGTAATCTCCCACTCATCTCCGAGCATTTGGATGTTCTCAAGTATCCTAGTCTTATGGCCTGACGAGATGATGTAGAACTCCTGTTGGTCACCGTCACGGCCATCTGCATTCCACAGAAGCCAATCTGCTTTGTCGACTATTTTCGCCATTCTGATGCTCGTGGCTATCATCGTTAGTGCGATTGACGATCCCTCACTGCTAACTGGGAACTTCTCCGAACCAAGTGAACTGCGCTGGGCACGGTAGAAGGAACCCAGTTGGCGGACGTCGAATTTCGAAAGCAGCTGTACTCCTGGACTAGCTCTGCCTTGTCCACCCCTGCTAATTGTTACTATTTCACTTTGATCCAATTCTGGCCTTTCCTTCATTGGCCCGGCCCACGCCTGCGAACACCCTCGTGGTGGATCAGCTCCTCCCCAGCTAGATGCCCCACTTTTTCTGCCACTAGATGGCCCCGCTTCTGCTCCACTTCTAGAAGACTTGTCTGATGCACGTGGCGGAGATGGTGACGATGATGACGATGGTGTCTTACCGCTTCCTTCGTTCTGTTGCATCTCCACTTTTGTAGTCCAGCCTCGGAGAGCCCTCGCTCCGATTCTCTTAAGTATTCTAGTCTTATGGCCTGACGAGATGATGTAGAACCTGCTCTTCAGGTCGTGTGTATTCCACAGAAGCCATTCGCCTTGACCTTCTTCTCCTTCTGTGGCTTTGATTCTCGCCATTTGGATACTCTCAGCTGTCATCGTTAGCGACTTTCCATCAACGAAAATTGAAAACTCATCCTCCAGGTCACTTGAATAGTGCACGGCACTGTAAAAGGAGCCCTCGGCGGAGACGTCGTCCTCTGTAAGCAGCACTACTGTTCCTGGTACTGGAGGATGTCCTTTCCTGCTCAGTGTTATTTCTTCACTCCCATCAACTGCCGGCCGTTTCTCCGTTGACCCGTCCCACTTCTTCGAGAACCCCTTTGGTGCTGGCCTAGCTCCTCCCCCACTAGGTGACTTAGGTGTTGCGGATTGATCTCCGTCACGAGAAGAAGTACGTCCAGGCACCCCGGCTGCTCTGACCTCATACAGTTGGCCGGCATTATTACAGATTGCTTGCTTCTGCGCTTCTGAGATGATGGCGAAGCTGGTAGCCTCTGAGAACTGGTACTCCCTGTCCTCCCGGTCCGACTTCGGTGTCTCCCACAGAACCCACTCCGTTTTACCGTCGATCATTGGCGAGAGAAACGTGGGTCCGCCAGCTGCAGAAATGCTGGGTGGGTACGCTCTTCTCCGCTCCACATATCCTCCGCGAGTTTCTCCCTCGAACCAAACAATCGGCCGCGGCAAATCCTCCGCTTCCGCTGCGTCATTCGTGCGGAGATCGAGGTCCACCAGACCTGACTGTTCCGTGACGAGTCGTAGCATTGGCTTCGTATCGTCGGGAACGTATTTACGCACCTTCGGCACGCCCAACCTCTCCCAATTTTCCGAGAAGCCTTCTGGAGGTGGCGTAGCTATTACCTGCGTTGCTAAAAAGCTGGAGTCAAAGGCCGTCGCAGTGCTGTCTCCTTGCCCGCTACCTGTAGAGCTGTGCGGTACAACTGTGGCGCGGCTCCTGACCGTGGCTGCGGTGTTAGAGCTGAAGCAGAGGACCCTCAATACAGCTGGCATGGCTATGAGAGCGCTACAGCTTTCGCCTTCTGGTGTTTAAATGAGAGACAAAAACCCTATCTACGACTTAGGTGGGCCTGGACTTGGACTATGCTGATCATAATTTTTGGCATACTTAGAAGTTACAATTGCGGCAAGAAAATTTTTGAAATTTGCTTTTTCGGGACGGGCAGGAGATCATGAATACTTATAGATGGTCATGAAAGGAAAATAATCGCTAGAAGATTTATAGACTCCGACCGTAACTTCGTTGCTGTAGTCTTGCTCTTGATCCCCGACTGCAAACCAGGACGTTCGCGCACGGTAGCGTTTTCTGCTCCAAGCATCGCAAACAAACACCGAGAGCCAGGCAGTAGGAGCCCACAGGAAGGCAGTGAGAGGACCTCGACAAGCAAACACCTTTTCTTAGATAGACCTTCCGGAGATCCATCTTGAAGGTCATCTTGGACCCGTTTCCCCCTTACACTGGAGGCCCAACGTGCTTCTGAAGATGGATTTTCGGAAGTCTTAATTCGGAATGAATGTTTTTGTTGTCATGCTCATCTGAGGGAATGGTCTTGTGCTCCTCATGATCGGACTTAGGGTATCGATCTTCTGCTGTTGTTCATTACCTTTGGGTATCTATCTTCTGATGTTACTGTTCATTTCCTTTGGGTATCTATCTTCTCTTGCTGTTGTTCATGTCGTTCGTATGTGTTGTTGTTCATGTTCTCTAAAAGAAAATGAAAAGCGTAAATGGTCGTGTGAGCTGTTTCTATTGCTGTACTCCGATCTTTTGGATGTGAGGGAGAGAGCCTTTAGATTGATGTCGTGGAACAGAAAGCTATAGATAGTGTAGTCACAACCACAACAGGAAAAGGAAGATGAAAGAGAGTGAGTAAAGACCTACGGGAGTGACTAGGCATCGCAGGATGATGACGGAACAAATAAGGGCTTCTCTCTCCCTCCAGCTTCTCTCCATCCCTTCTCCCTCCAGGTTTCTTCCCTTCTTCCCGGTTTCTCGGCTCTATCCCTCTCCCTCCAGCTTCTCTTTGCGCTTGTAGAGACCCTAACCAGCAGTACCTCCTCTCTGTTAGCATCACCCTTTCCTTTTTGTCTCTCCCTGACTAACCGGGGGGGGCGGGGAATGTGAGACCAACAAAATGTGAATGAAAATCCAAGAACAAGAAGTCTAAAAAAACACTACTACGTGCAGACTTAAACGGAGAAGACCTCTCAGAAAACCCGTAAACGACAACCTATAATGAGAATGATGACCTTTTTTAGTGTCCTAAAAAACCCAGAGGAAATCTCAGACTTCCAAGGAATCCAAAGAACAACTGCTTTACGAACCGAGCTTCTAAAACATCTAAATCTCAGACTTCTCAAACAAAAATATCTAAATCTCAGACTTCTCAAAAATCTAAATCTCAGACTTCTCAAACATCTAAATCTCAGACTTCTCAAACATCTAAATCTCAGACTTCTCAAACATCTAAATCTCAGACTTCTAAAAAATCTAAATTTCAGACTTCTAAAAAATCTAAATTTCAGACTTCTAAAAAATCTAAATTTCAGACTTCTAAAAAATCTAAATTTCAGACTTCTAAAAAATCAAAATCCTCCTCTTGTCCTTTTTGACTAACCTAGAAGCTCGCTTCCTCGCTTTCTCGAGATTTGTGTTAAAAGCACATGAACTTCTCATCCAGCTTGAACACACCAAGTGGAGGAGAGCATGTAGGCATCAACTTCCAGCCATCAAGTGTAGGGCGTCAACTAATCCACAACGAACAAGCTAAAAATATACATTTTTATCGGATACTATCATTGCACCCGCAACATAGCCGTAGTAGGACTAGGAAAAACTTACCACGACGAAGGAGATACTACATTCTGGGTAAAGATGATGAGTCTGGGTGTAGGAGTGAAGCGTAATCGAGAAGCATACCTAAAAAAACAACGAAGTCAGAGTCACTCAGTGGACCACAAATATAAGTGAACAATGCAGCATATTATACGATTCGCTAACATCTTGGATTGGAGTCATCTTGGATCATCTTGTTGTGTCATTGCGTCACCTTGGATCGTAGCTACCGTTCTTAATATCGACTATCACACGTAGTTACTATATATTTATCCTTGATGATCGTAGTTACAGGTATAAACATGATGCTTTGAATCTATAATTCGGCAACGTGCCTGAAATTTGGATCATTTCTCTTTACAGTAATTATACTACCATGTTCTTTTAATTTCAAACCCGCAGTTATCAACAGAATCCTTCCACGCCTTGCCCTACTGACAGACGCCAGCGAGAGACCTCTTCCTCAGCGAGAGAGCTCCTCCTTCTAATTCTATTCTATTCGTCAACCAGAGACCACCTTCCCGCCTACCTCAACGAGAGAGCAACTCCTTCTATTCTTCAAAGTAGAGAGACCGCCTTCCCGTCTACCTCAACGAGAGAGCACCACCTCCTTTTATGCGTCATCACCTTTCTTCTTCTTCGGCATGGAGCACTTCAACTCGCTCGATAACTTGGCATCTGTTAGATGAATCAGTTTTGAGTTATAAAAAGTTACTCGGCAGCACCAGGGTAAAGTAGGAAAGTCAAAAGTTGTACAAGTTGTAGTGTGTTTGGTTAGTCCAAGTAGCCCTTGGTTCAATAGTACTTGGGTAGGCTTACGGTGGCTTGGGTCAATACAAAAGTGCCCTGGCGGGTCAAGAATGCTTAGTGTGAGTCGTAGGACATAAGATCAATGTTTCGGACTCCACTGCGGCATCGGGCAACTCTGTTGACATGCAACAACCCGCACGCTTCCCTTTTTCCCACTTCGCGCAAAGGTATGAAAGATGTTGACAAGATGATGATGCTGACAAGCAGATTGTGGACACAAAATGAAAGAAAAACACTAACAATCAGAGGAAAAAGTTGTTTATACTATGTGGAAAAAGTTTCTGATCATACGATGTGGTTGGTGGAGCCCTAATTGTAAGAAAGAACTCGAAAAAAAAATTATTCTAATACTTAAATACTTAAATAATTTAGTATGATGACTCAGTAAGTGTAAGATGCTCTTCATAACTCACCCCAAGGATGGATGATCTTTCTGCCATCTGGCAGCTCTGAAACCTCCTCGTCATCCGCTTTAATCTTAGAGCAGTTGGAAAGAGTGGTCACCTACAATGTGGCCCCCTACAATGTTGGATGAGGGGAGTAAGACAAAGGAAAACGCGCTGGCTATTTTCTTCATGTCCACCTGATGCCTCGAATCTATTCGGCAGCTTGACTAAGATTCCCGCCTGGCGATTTCTGGTATCCGACGTCGTGTCATGTATCCGAGGTCAGTCCACCTACCTCCATTGATTCTGTAAATATTCATAGTACATATTAAAAAGCAGCGGGTGGGCGACTGAGAAGGAGTTATGATCGCTATTTGCTCTCGTAGAGAAGTTACCAGCTTAATATTGCTAGTAAAAGTGATGGTCCCGATTTGTTCTACTCTTCTAAATGAGACAGTTTTTGGAGTGCAGCCTTAATATCGTCATCCTCTTTTGCCTCTTCGGCGTCGTGGACATTAGAGGTAATATGTAGTAGCTAGTAGTTTTTGTTCTAGCTACTTAACTACAACCTCCTCAGGACGAGCCATGTTATGGCTCTACTACTTATTTATTAGTGCTACAAGTCCTTCTAGTGTCACCTTCACAAGTCTAATAGTGACACATTCACAAGCCTAGTAGTATCACATTCACAAGTCTAGTAGTGTCACGTTCACAATTGTCAAAATTCTTTCCTTCTTTTTTATTCATTCATGATTTACAACTATATCGCATTTTTTTTGGACATGGGTCTACAATTTCCTGCTATAGTTCCAAGGGATAGCCTAACGCTAAAAGTGGACAGAGCTTGGGAGGGCCTTCTGATTCATTCATTCAAGATTTACTATATCTTTTTTTGGGGGACCTGGGACTATATTTCTCGCGAAGCGAGCATGTAATTACCCGGCGAGAATCCTGAAGCACAACGGCCAGGCACCTAAAACTACTAGACGACGAAGCACAACGGCCACCGCCGCAGAAAAGATCTTTTCATTATCATTCATTTCGTCGACCATAACTTTATCTGCTTTTTTCCCCTTTACTTCAGCGACCTCGTCGCCGTCGTTAGAGCTCGCCAAATTCAAAAAGTTTCAACTGCATCGAACCCTTCAAGGATCGATCGATGTCTAGTCAAATAATGAATTGGAGGTGAGAGCCTTAACGTCGCATAGACCTGAACAGGAACCCTTCTCATCTTTCGGGGGCTTTTTCTTATCGTCCTTCTTGTCGTCATCGCCAACACGCTTTCGGTGCATCTGGCAGCGATGGATCATTCAAGTTCTTATAAGTCGAGATTATTCACAGTACTTGGACTAATATCGCACAAAGATCACAATTCAAGAGGGACCATCTCCAGAGAACCACAAAAATATCATGTTCTTCAAATCGGTGCCACTCATGGAAAATCCAAGCGCCTGATATAATAAAGCGGTAATCGTAATGTATGTTCCTCTTACAAAAATGTTATAATCATGGAAATCTGAGTCCTAAAAATACTCGGAGAAGTAGCAGTATGTTGTAAAAATAAGTACCTGTAACAGTGCCCCTGCTTCACCGAATTCTTCATCTGTAGGCTCTTCTGCGGAGGAACTACCATCGGGAAAGACTGCCACGCTACGTCTGGAGGAAAATTAGAAGATGAATTTATCTATTAGGTCCCTTCTAAAGCAGCCCTAAGTCACTTCTAGGTCGTCCCTTAGGGCTTGTTACCTCACTTCTAAGTCACCATTTACTAGATGGTGACTTCTAAAGCCCTAAGCCTAAGCCTAACTGAAAAAGAACCAAAAAAGACATGAGAATCTATTGTGAGTCTATTTTTAGTAATATCTCGTTTGACGAAGCAAGATTAGAATCTATCATCCTCGAGAGTATCTATGCTGTATTTCCAAAGTCCTCCTCGACTCGTGGCCATACGATGAACACGAAGTGTTAAGACTGCTTTATCTAGTCTTCTAAAACCATTTTCTTTACGTTGTGGCCTTAAGTAAATCGATTCGGAACGGACGCTGAAGGTGACTCCAGAATCGGTGGGTCCACATGACTCGCAACCGCAAGAAAAGAGGAAGCATTTGTTTCCTCAACCGTATCCGGGAAGGTGCTATATCCCTGCCTTTCTGCCGCAGCTTCGTGGGAAAATGAATATGTGAATAATCATAGGAATTTCATCAGGCTACTATACCAAGAACATGATCTAGTAAGTTACTCTTGTTTGTTGTATGAATCAATGCACACATTTGGGCGTTTGTCGTTGAACAAGTTGGCGATGTGCGCCTGCGCGATGTAGGACCTGTCCTACGACTTTTACCGTAGACCTGTTCATACTTCCACCGTAAACCTGTTCATCATGTCGTCCACCTCGGCTAACACCAACACAGATGAAGTATGTATATCTAAATATTTCCTTTTGCCATACAACTGTTCCCTTTTCGCGCACGATTTCGGCACGTAACCCGACGCCCCCGTCTTCAGAAAACCAGAAGGACAGAAGACATCGCTGCTCTGGAACCCAGACATAAGGTTGCTTTGCGTCACCCTTGCTAGAATCTTTTCCTTAGTGCTTTCAACAACGATCGACGTCGATTCATCTGCTTCTACATATACAGATTCATTTTGATTTCCTTCATTGATACGACCTTTTTAGATAGCCCTTGTCGATGGTTATCGTCATCAGTGCATCTATTCAGAGAGTACTAAGACTCTACAACCATCGACAAGACTGCTAGGATCCCTAACCACTCAAACAACCTCATTACGAGTTTTTAACATCAACAGAATTTCGCCATAACCCTCTTCTTCATCGTCGTCGCCGCCTTCCTCCGTATCAGATTCTTCTAGAAACGAAGCCTTCTTCCTCCCCAATTGCACAAACGAGTCCTCCTCGCTGAGATTAGATGCTGGGGCATTTTTTGCATGTTCAAGTACAGATGTTGTATCATCATGCTGCATGATCCCAAACGACCATGGGAGGCCATCGGCGGGATGATGCGTTTCCTGCGGTAGTTGTAAAGACGGCCGAGGTGGAAGCGTTAAACCTACTTGAGTCGCAAGCCTAAAAAATGATCTAAATAATCAATCACGATATAACAACAGGACCGTAACCTCCTCATATCCCTCGTCCGAACCCTTTTCCTGCCCGTCTCCTTTCTTCTTCTTCTGTCCTACAACTTAGACTGACATTCTGGTTACAACACCTAAATACCACCTTCTCCGTCCTAGCATCTCCACTGAAGATGGAGAGGATCGGACAGGATACTAGGGTCGTTTGCTTCACCTACCAAGAAACGTCCCTAGACCTGTAACTATTGCTTGAGGCGATAAATCTACGAGATAGAGGGAAAACTAACCGGCTGCTTTACTTATGTAACTAAATAAACTGCAACTAAGTAAACGTAAACGAACCTGTGTCCGTTAGAAGACAAAGCCTTAATCCTGTTTCTCAGGAGGAGGAGCCTGTTCTTGCAGCGGCAAAAAGACTCGAAAAATACTCTCTACGCGCTCCTTTTTCGTCACATCATGGCATGTGGGTAAGCGCGCAGTCGTCTATTAGTGATGATGAGTTTGTGACTAGGACTTTTCAAAGTCAATATTTCATCCATGGAGTAAAAATGTAGAGAGGACTTCCGTCAAGTCTGTACATTTGGAAACTTCTTGCTCTTTCGATTTTTCAGCAGCAGGCACAAAATGAGATGCGAAGCATAGGGCAAGAACGTAGGACAAGAAGAAAGGATAACAACGAAGGAAGGACACGATCAATAGGACAAGGTCATGGGCCAGACTACTAGAAGGAAAGCAAAGGGTCCGTAATTATCATCCTCTTCATCTTCTCCCCCTTTCTGCACTGCTAGATCCAAAAAGCTTGAGGACGCTCGTAGCCAAGTTAGACGAATAGAGGAATCCTCAATCACAGAGAAAAGTGCACAAGTCTGTGAATCCAGCATGCTTGATGAACATTACTTCAACTTACTTCTATCTAAACTCATACATACTGTTAATTTCATAGTAAAATTTGTGACTTATAATAATGTTGGTGGAGCATATCTAACTAGAAAAAACAAAAACCGAAAAAAGAAAAGTCAGGTGAGAACTTATCTACTACTAACTAAGCGCCGGCGCTGGCGTGGTCCTGTCAGCCCCAGAGGTCTCACCTTCGTAACTTATAATAATGTCTTAGTTGTAGTAGAGAATCCATGCTTGACCATGCTGATAAATCAGTGTCCGGTAAAGTCTTAACTTCCGTTCCACCTTTGTCATTTCACCTCTTCCACTTCCTGCAGACGCTAAACTTCCAACTTTCATCCTTCTATTTGTTCTCGAACGTGTAGTGGATGAAGTCCTCCTCGTCCTTGTGCTTTGCTTTTCCACAAAAGACGAAGAAGAGGAGGAGTCGTCGCCAAAGTTAGTACTCCACCACAGCTCTTTTTTCGGGTTTTCTACTGCCGGACATTGATCCGCGAATATCGTTTCCACCCTCTCATAGCGGAATTTACCAGTCTTGGTGCTGAAATGTTGTTGTACATTGGTTTGATCATATCAGAATTCAGTTCGTTTCTTGTTCCAAGTACAAATTTCTTGTGCCTTTGTAAAAAATACGCTTCTACGTAAAGCTCAAGCACACCTACTTGTACTGCTCATGTATCTTTAACATTAATTTTAATGGTACCCTAAAATCAATTGCTTCTTCTTGCTTTTGTAAGGTCTTTGATGTTGAATGAGTTGTAAATATAGTAGTACCTCTGCTCTTTTATTGCATCTATGAATTGCTAGTTTTTCATGGGAAGAAGTAGTACTCTTGCTCCTTGATTGCATCTTTGAATAGCTAGTTTTTCTTGTTAAGAAATTGTACTCCTGCTCTTTCATTGCGTCTATGAATAGCTGGGCCAACTGCGCCGTGTCCTCAACTAATTCATCCGGATGCTTCCATTGTCGGATTTCGATTATACCACAGGCTTCTTGTAGCAAACCATGCACAGCCTCCATCGCCAAATCCGTGTCGCACCATCCACAAGTTCCCGCTGAGGTTAGACGAGACCGTATAATCTACCTCTAGCTGAGAACATCGAGAAAGCTTCCGTAACTACAATGGAGCAGGATGTCATATCATATCATGTGCCCTCGCTAACTCTACGTGGCCAAGTAGTTGTTTTGAGGCCTTTCAGTCGAATTGTACCTTCTAAAACCTTTCAGTTGAATTGTATTTGTAAGTACCTTCATCTAAAAATTAGTGCTCACCCTTATCCATCGCAAGATTCATCTTAGACCTATTTTCCCCTTGTGGGACAGGTCTGCGATGCTTCAGAAGATGGATTAGGGGAAGCCTTAAAAAAAGAAGAGCAATTACTGTTCATACTTCCATAACATCGGCGGATGCTCTCCATCTGGGGTGAAAGTGACTTTGCGCCACACGCCCTCTACCGTCCAGAAGTCGAGACAGTAGAGGATTGAGGATGTGATCAGGAGCAAAACCGGTACTATGAAACAGAAAATGCAGCATCGCCACTCAGATTAGAAGCGAAAGCGTCGAAAGATGAGAATCCATCAGAAAGACTTTTTGAGTAATTTCCAAGCAAGTAGAGGAAGCGCAAACCCTGAAGATGTTGAGGCGACAAACAGGAGGAACGATAACAAAAACCGATCTCCCAGTAATAGGAAGGGGCGTCATCGCGAGGACTTTATCAACGGCCTAGATATCTCCAACGACCTTAAGAAGTACTTACTCGGATAATATCTTCAATACTTAGTGAACCATGACGAGCACAGCCGTAATTGCAAATGCAGCTGCAAAGGTTCCGACATGGATTCCATCCTCGTCCCCCTCTACGCCCAGGCTCACCCAATTCGCGCTCTGAGATTAGAGTCAGCGTTTATTCGTCTAGCTTGGTCCTGCTGGTCCCATGAAGATCTCGATACTAGTACTAGTACCTCTTCCCTTGAAAAATTTCTGTTTTTTCCTTGGGAGAAGGAGTTGTATACGAGGATAGTACCTTTTGTTCGCTTGTGTCGTATTTTCATTTCTATGTCGTTGTTGGGAGCAGAAGGACGGCACCAAAGAGATGCTGGGAAAGATGGAAAGCACTACATGATTTGCATGTAGGGATAGACCTAAGATTAGAGAAAAAGCTAGCCGGTTGCTTTACTTTATTTTTATGTCTAAACGTTGACCATAATATGAGAGTGCCAAAGGCCGCGTCTGGATTAGGATTGCTCTCGCCAAACAGACCGTATTAGGATTAGACTCGTAACCGTCAGCTCATCAAAATGAAGTCTCTATTCTGCATGACTCCTACAAAATGAGCGATGATTAAAATACTAAGTAGATACTGGTCACATTAGTCTGGCATGAATTATGGTCACGAGATGTTACATCGATCGGTAAAAACCGATGAAGCAACTACAACTTGATCTTGTTCCACCCCAGCTACATGAAAATTGTATTCAAATGATTCATCATTCTTGATTAATATGGTGAAGTTTGAATACAAGTAAGACCAAAACCTAGTATTCATCAGTATCAGTTACTAACAACTATCTTAATCAGGAGAATTGTATCCTTCTATTTTGATCTCGTTGTTCATCTTCATCCCTTCATCTAGCAACATCAAGGTCACAAACAATACAACAGCATAATGAAGATTATGTGCGTCTCTCTCGATTTTGTCGAATAATGCCGCTCCCATGAACTCTAAATCCTTCTGGTCCGGTTCCGCAGGATTTCGCTCGTCGACGAAATTCAACACGCTAGGCCCTGCTGCAGCCACAGCTCCACTGCCGTCGTCGTAATATTGACCGCTCCCATCGTCGTAGTATTCCTCCCCTGCTCCACTACCGTCATGAAACTTAGATGAAGAAGAGGAGGTCGAGGATTCTCTTCTTGTATCTATAATTTATGACTCATTTTCAATGGAGCTAGAGCTACTGGACGCTTTTCTTGTATCTATGATTTATGACTCATTTTCAATGGAGCTAGAGCTACTGAACTTTTACCGCTGGTCCTGAGGATGAATAACGATAAAGAGGTAGAGGACCTGGACCAAATACTACTTTTACTGTAACGATCTTCCAGAAGCATGATCTAGTAGCCTTAACGTAGTTATAGCCATCTTCTCCCCAGCCGTCAACCCACTGCCCTTTCTCATCGTAATAACCGGCATTTTCATCCCATTCTTGTTCGTCTTGTCTAAACTTAGATGATTATGTTGTTTGAAGGGATAAGCCTAAGGATAGAGGGAAAGCTAGCCGGTCCTCGTTTTACTTTACTAGTGCTTTAAGCGTCGCTGGACCTAAGCCCCAACCATATAAAAAGGAAGACCCCTTGCGGAAAAGGAAGATTAAGCTTAGATGATTATGTTGCTGATTAACAAGGGCGGAGTAGATGAGTGCTACTAGAACCTGATGATATCTATGAGATAGCTATAGTAGAAATGCATGGTTCTTGAATGATGAAAATAATCGGAAGAACAAGAACACCAAGTAAGTATTCAGTTCTAGTTGTCGTAACATACTGTGCACCATCCCCTGCTTCTCCATATCCATACTGGTCGGTAGCTGCTGTGCCAGTGCCATAACCACCAGTGTCGTCGTAACCCCCACTCTGGTCGTAACCCCCACTCTGGTCGTAACCCCCACTCTGGTCGTAACCCCCACTCTGGTCGTAACCCCCACTCTGGTCGTAACCCCCACTCTGGTCGTAACCCCCACTCTGGTCGTAACCCCCACTCTGGTCGTAACCCCCACTCTGGTCATAACCGCCACTCTGGTCGTAACCCCCACGCTGGTCGTAACCCCCACTCTGGTCATAACCCCCACTCTGGTCGTAACTCCCACTCTGGTCGTAACCGCCACTCTGGTCATAACCGCCACTCTGGTCGTAGCCACCGTCATAGCCGTAGTCAGCACCTCCACTCTGGTCATAATAACCATCTTGTCCACCATAATATGCCGCGTCGGGAGGTGCCGCTTCTCCCTCTGCTCTCCCTGGTTTTTTACTGCCTTTACCTCGAGATGCCGTGCTTGTGGAGCTGGCGGACATACCCGCTTCGGCCCCTACGACCGTCGAGATCTCCGTCTCACTAATCGAGACGTGCGTTATAGCACCAAAGTTTTGCTTCAAGTGCCTGAAGAGTTGTTGAGAAAGAAGATAGCAGCTGCTATGAGTTGATGGCAGATGAAGTCGAATAGTTGTAATGATAGATGATCATTTAGATCTAGATTTACTTCCACTAGAAGATACTTAAACCCCACTAGATGATAGATACTTAGCAAACATGTAGGTAAGAAAAGCTTGACGAAGAAGCAAGTACTCCACAACGAGTTCATCCATCCAATATTTGTCTCCGCTCGGCTCGTCGACCATGACGTAGACCTGGAGGCCTTCCTGTTCCCTCATTCTAGCCTCTGGGTCTGCCTTGTGCTCTGCTTCGACTAAGGCAACGTGAAAAGCCTGTGCGCGTTCTCTTTCGGCCTCCGTCGCATCTTCTGTAAGGTCGGTGTCTAGGTGAGGGCTGAGGTTAGAAGCGAACAAGAACAGAGAGGAGGAGTGGCAGTAAAGTAGATATATTTCACGTTGTACTTGTAGTAGTACTATGGTATAAGAAGTCGGCAAATGTCGACGTCTCGTCGGTGTTTACTCTACAACTGACCCCCCTTTTGTCATTCTCGAGCTCACCATTCTCTCAGTGGTCGTGATCGATGGGGATCTAGTTCAATATGCAGTGTGTATGAGAAGCCTTGTTATCCAGAACAAGTAATAGCAAGTTCATAACCAAGTTCTCCTCAGGGATGGAGTCTACTTCTGCTTCCCCATCTATACCGATCTGCGATAGTGCCACGTTAAATGCCTGCGCCACGAGATCAGGAGTTACTGGTTCTACACCTGTGGTTGTAGTTTAAGTCAGTGGTAATTCTTATGGGATCATTCATGAGGTGGGAAAATTGACCAGTACGACGTAGTTCTAAGGAAGACAGATGATCATCGCCCTAGCAGTGTAGGAATACCCGCAGGAGGCACAAGCATCAGTCGGTATCCTGGATGTGCTTGAGGAACGTCATCTTCTTCATCCTCATCTTGTTGAGGAGAAACCATCTTTTTGCCTCGCTTTGCTCCCTTAAAAATGGCACCTTTCTTACCACTACCTTTTTTGCCACTCTTCCTTCCTGACGTTCCGTCTGATCCACTGGCTCGGGTTCGGCTATTAGAAACCATGAAGTTCTTTGGATGGGTGGATACTGTATTATGCTGGGTGGATCTATGTATTACTGAGCAATTTATAAGGTTTCACAGCTCGCATGGCATGGAGTGCTTGGATCACATGGAGTAGCATGGAGCTAAAGGGGGAGCTTGAGCTTCTTGCGCCCCTTAAAGCTCCTCTGCGCTCCATGCACATGCACTCCATGCGTGCTATAAACTACTCTGGACTATTCGATGGGTAAATAATTTTTGAAGAAATTCTTGATGTCAAAAAATGAAGACCTTGTTGTAATATTTATCTCGAACATGTCTTAACCTTCCCACTCATCTTCCCCTTGCTCGTTGACGAAGTTCCCTTCTTGCCACGTGAGGGCCCTGGAGCGGCACCAGATGAGGAAGACTGGGCCGAGCCTTGCGCCCTAGTTGTACCTCCAGCCGACTGCTTTGATTAGAGAGCTCGCGCGGATCCATCTCAGGGCGCACCCCGGCGAGGCCTTGTTTCCCTTGGAGTGCCCTGAATATTTCAGCTTCAGGCTACTGAAGATGGAAGATTTATTAGGAGGAGCCGTAATTTGACGATACAACAGCCGTCTTTGATGAAGACGACCCTCCTGCATCTTGGCCGATATCGTTGGCATTCTTTGATGCCGCGCTTAGGTTAGTATCCGTATGCGTATCCATGTTGATCTTCTCTTAGGTTATTTAGCATCATTCTTATAAGAAGGGTTCTTCATCTACTCACGACAGTGAGGACAAGGCTGGTGAGAGAGTAGCCTTTTTCGCTCTTGGTCTCATCTCTGCAGCTTCTAACCTGTTGAACAGTAGTTACCTTTATTTGTCTTTCCTTCTTGGTCACAACCCTTTCTTCTGGTCGTGTGCCAAAAGCACATTTTTTTCGGCCGTAGAAATAGTTAGAGTATCTCATGAATATTGTGCTCCGAACACCTTTTTTCCTGCACAACTAGGCCACTTTTTTTCTACGAAAGGGGAAGTGAGTTACTGACCGGGAAGTTCTCCATCTTCCTTGTTGTTACATCCATTTTCTGGGTTTCACCTCTAGACAGAGTTGTGCTTGTCCGATTTGCAGGAGTACTCAGGCGCTCAGGACAGAATTTCAACATTCTTTAGACGAGCCAAGACCAGAGTTAAAAACATGGTTACCTAGTGGACGTGGAGGGTAGTGATAATTTACATGTATCCTCTGCGCCGCTTTTCCGAGAGCTGTGATGCTATTTTCAGCTACCTCATTGATTCTGCTTTGCGAGTTGTTGTACAACGTAGGGATGGGCATGGGCCGTGTGGCTCCAAATTTTGATTTTTGTAGTATGCTTCTCGGAGTCGGAGTTCTTCAATATTTTGTCCTCATTATATTTGTAATGAATGTTGACAGTGTATTCTCTAGTTGTTGTGTTATTTGCTTGTAATCAGCTAGTGAATCAGACCTTTTTCTAGTCTGTGTGGCTGTGACAATATTCTCAAGTGTTAGAAGTAAACCATGAGCCATTCGTCCATATTGATGGTTACTCCTGTGTGGTTTGACATGATAGCATATTTCGGTTTCTTGTCAGAGGTTTGTAGTGGGGTTTTGATGACTAACGAGGTACTAGACACGAAATTCACCTAAAATCAACCCCCGCGTGCTTTTATATTTCGTTTTCCCCACAAAACAGAGAGAAGTTGTATAGTACAAGTACTTCTCTAAAACTAAAACAACTTCTACTCCACCTTTTTATTCTTCTTTCTTTCTCGCTGATCTTGCTTCCTTGCAGGCACAAAGCTCGCTGTTCCCGATGAAGATCAGGACGACGAAGGCTGGCACGAGAATTAGAACTAAGAGAAATCCATCTTGAGACGCATCCGAGGACCTTTTTCCCCTTGAAAACGGACTCAGGATGCCTGTGAAGATGGATTTCTTCTAGCCTTAATAGAATCTGAGCCAATCCAAAGAGTGTCATCCAGAAGAAGAAGGCCCAGAGCAATCCGACCATCGAAAAGAGTCCGCCGATAAAGAGATAAGTGTTCAAGCGGGCTGAGTGGTGGTGGTGGAGAAAGGGTTGTTGAGATCAACGTGAGAGTGAGACGAGTGAGAGAGAGGAGATCTTGTTAGAAGAAATCTGATGAAGGAATGAAGGAAGAGGACGACGAGAGGGTATAATTTAGTGTGAGAGCAAAAGGAAACAACTAGTACAGGAAATACGACTTACGACTTAGTCGAAGTAAGTAAAAGGAAAAGCTAAATTTCACTAGTATAATAACTCCAACCTTGCGCCTGTCCTCCCACCAGCAACTGAACGTTCCATGAAGAGCATGCGACGAAGATGAACACAACCACAACGAACGCTACCGCAGCAAAGAAAATCTTTGTTAGAGAGTGCGCCACAATATTCATGTCGGAGGTCCCCCCATCTGAGGTTGTTGGTAATGGTATCTCTTTGTCTTTCCGCTCTACCCTTGTATTTTATGTTCTATGGGATGAAACGGGAACCAAGATGTAGACGCTGAGACAGATGGACACAAAATGCTAACCAATGTACATCTACATCATGCACAACAAGATCTCCATTGATGTTCGTGATTCATAACGTTGGAAAGATAGGGTTTGCACGCGCCTCTGGCTGTCGGAACATATGTTCGATTATCGGGGCTGCAGCGAATGCCGCCAACTGCGATGTACTCAAAGCCCCGATTGAAGACCTATTGATTGTGGTTGTTGTACCACGTAGACGAAGAAGTTGTAAGTACCTGCTGGTACTAATTCTAATGTACTTATTCATTGACATATCTGATTGCTAAGTAATACAGGATCATGGACATTTTCTGGAAGTGTCTGAGATATTTGAGTTTGACAGTTGAACTGCTAAGAAAAATAACAACATCAAGATGAATACAGTCCGTCGCTGATTCAACATCAAGGTGGATCTTAACTACATCAAAGTGGATCTCTAGTTGTAAGTACTTGGGCAACAGATGTGTTGCGAGAGTAAGCTCTGCTGGTTGGGAAAAGAGCAATTTTGCCTTGCCTATCTTCTGCCACATGCCGCCACCTTGCACGTCTTTATCTCCGATGATGATACTCAACTCGTAATCGCCGTCGTATGGGACCTAGGAGTCAGACGGCGACGGATGAAATAGATTATAGAAAATTTTTATAAATGCACTTTCTTTATTGGTAGCCGATCCACAGATGAAGTTGCACTCTTCCACTATCCATGAGATGATTGATGGACTGACAGAGGACTACTTAGGAACAAGATGGACTCTATCAAAATAGAGAGAGCGAGTTGTCCAGTCGTAGTCCCTTATCTTCGGTGTGGAAGAGAACAAAGTGCAGCATGAGGAGGACTATAGAAGATGGACTCTATAATCAAAAAAGAATCAAAAAATCGTCCGTGAAAAAAGTAATCAAAAGTACCACAAGCTTTTTGTTCGACAACTGTAGGTTGAGCGAGAAAGAGTCAGCGCTTTGCGAAAACGGGATCACTTGTGTAGATGGCAGTCCTAAAGGCAGTTGTTCGTCTCCCACAGCCTTGAGAACAAAGGACACTTGCTGAGGTCTTACTACATCGCCGGACGTTCCGTCGGTAAAGGATGCCTCGACGATCCTTAGAAAGAGAGGGAGGAACAGGAGGAGGAGGAACAGGAGGAGCAGGAACAGAAGGAGGAGAAACAGGAGGAGGAGGAACAGGCGGAGGAGGAGGAACAGGAACAGGAGGAGCAGGAGATTGCTCTGGGGGAAGATCAACATTGACGGTGCCGCACAAGATTGCTCTGGAGGAAGATCATTGACGGTGCTGCACAAGATTGCTCTGGAGGAAGATCATTGACGGTGTTGTAGAAGATTGCTGTACAAGATAGAAGTACTGTTGTTCTCGACAACTAATGATCATGCAAGTCAATTTTTTATGTCGGTTCCATTCAGTCCATAACAACAGTGATGCGCTGTCGTCTAATTTCGCTAACAGCGCTGTCTTTACCTTGTCCTTTGCCAAGCTAAAGACCTCCCGCTTCTGCTCCCCACGTCCTTGGTTGATGACCAATTTCTGGACGCTCAAGGAGTAAGAGTCCTCCCACTTTTCTCGAAAGATGATAGGTGATTGCTGTTTAGAACTGGAGGCTCCAAATTGCAGGCTAAAAACACCGTGGCCAGCATTTGTTTTAAGGAAATCTTTGGCTCCGGAAGCGGTGGGGATCTGGAGTGTGTGTGTTCAGTCGTTTCAGTTTGAGAGAGGGGCAGTTACTTATACTTCATCAGTATAATTATATTTTTTCAACAGATATGATAAGTCGGCTCAGTCCTCCGATAATCTATCGCAATTACCTACGGGAAAGTTTTGAAAACATTTCAATTTCTTTTTGAGGTTGGCAAAGAAATCAAACAATTTGAATATCCTATCATAGCAAACTCGAATATCCTACCACAGCATTATCGATAGCAAATTCGAATCGTATCTAGTACCTTCGTCTCCAATGTGCAGCCCTTTCCACCCTTCAATGCCGTAAACTTTGAATCTCCAACCTTTATTGTCGCGGATCCTGGTACGCGACCAAAGATTGTACATGCTTCGACTTGAACCGTCAAAGACTTGTCGTCTTTCGCTGGTTTGGAGTCTATCAAGCGGAAAAAAAACAGGTCCTTTTCAACGGCTTGCTTCTCGAGGATGCCACTGTCGGTAACGACTTGGACTGCGTATTGGGCGAGAGCCTGAGAGTTGTGAGAGAAAAAGAGAGAGCGGTTTTCAGAGAGAGATTGAGATCATGGAAGAAGTTGTTCTTTCAGTCTACATCATTCAAGCTCCATCACAAACTACAGAAGTAGAACTTCACAGTACCTGAATCTCCGACACACCCGGCTTCTTTTGTTCTTTTTGTAACAGCTTAGCCAGCCTGATCACAGCGCCTACGGCTTAGGAGTTACAAGTTGATGACCTCTCTAACTCGCATATCTATGATCATGGCTTCTTACAAGTAGAAAAGCCATTATAGATATGCTCATCCAAAGGTCAACTTTCAACCCGTAATTTGCCACAGGTGCCGCAATCGTTTTGTCGTTCTTGCCAAGCCAAGCTCTTTTGGTATTGCCTACCACCGCATTCCAACCAAGGAGAAAAGTGGCTGCCCCCTCGAGTCGAGGTTAGAAGAGCTTTCCTTGGGGAATATTACGCCCAATACTTCTCCCCTTGTGCTTCTAGTACGTCCTCCTGCTCACCGCAATTCCACCTCCTTGTCATACTCACCTATTTCACTTAATGTAAGTAGTACTTACTACACATGATCATGATCGTCCTTCCAGCGGGCAGCACTAAGATTACCTCTGAAGTAGATCCTTCCAGCAGTAAAATCTCTAACCTTTTCTTGTCATAAGTAGTAAGAGAGTCAAAAAACGACTCGCTATTGACTTTTGACACCGCTGACGCCAGCCATTCTTTGACCGCCTTGGTCTTCTTCTCGTCCCCTTCTGTTGGATCGTCTCTCGAGTTCAGTAAAGCCGACATTACCATCACATCCCCAGAAATTAGAAAGTTCAAGATGCTTATCTATCGGTATCAATCTATGCACACCGAATAAGCTTTGAAGCGGAGAGAACAGTGCTAGAACTAGAAGAGAGCAGAGATCTAAGTCACCATCACGACCAAGTACAAGTAATGAGCCACATCAATTACTAATACACATCAGATCAAGTAGTAACCACCTCCTTCACCAAGTACAACAAGTAAGAACTACAAATAATGATCTTCTTCGTAAAGCTGTCACCGGCGTTGCTTTCTCCAAGTAATGCGACAGTAGTCCACGGCATTTCTTCTTCTTGCTCTTGGCTGTGGTGGAGGTTGACAATCCTGTGACTGCGAAGTAGTGCTTCAGTTCCAAGTTTTCCTCCTCGAACTCCGTTAACAGCACATCCAAAAGCTTCAGGGAAGGTTGTGTACTTGCGGTGGAGGTTAGAGGTAATTTTTCCAAGATGAATCTTTTTACTGTCAAGATCAAGCAGAATACATGAACTCCGGTCTTGAAGTGGACAACAAGATTCTTAGTCCTCTTGTCACTCAGAATTCATCGCGTTGTACTAGTACTCCTCAAACTTCAGCACTGGTGACCACTTCCTTATTTATTAGGCAACATCACATCATAAACTCGCGGGACAATTTGCTCCGACATGTGCGAGGATGTAGTAAAAAATCGAACGCGGTGACGCGTTGATGTCCGTCAAAGCGTCTAATGCCGGACACAGCTTCTGCGCGTTAAACTTCTTGGGCTTCTTATTAGAGCCAGCTCCCGAAGAGGAACGCGACCGCGAGACTCCTGATACTACAAAGGAAACAAAGTCGATCAACATGGTCTCTGATAAGTGTACAGTTCAACGCCTAAACCACTAAGCCAACTGCGCAGTTTGCTTAGTAGTCGTTTTTAGGCGTTGACCTGTACACTTATCAGTCTCGGAAACCGAATCCACGCTGAAGGAAAGAAAGAGAACGACACGTAGAGAGACCACGCTATCAACGACAGCCTTAATCCTGTTGTATGCGAAATACGTATACGCTTGTGCAGTGGTCTTGAAGTCTGCATATTTTTCAACGGCTGCATCAATCGTGGCTTTCGGAAAATATGCTGCCAAGGTAGCATTTTCCGCAGCTCTGACCAACTCTGACGCGAGCAGGAGCAACGAAGAGGAACAAAAGAGCAAGGGTCTTCGCATCATGTCTTTGTTCTTTGGTTCCTCGTTTATTTAGTAGGACAATATGGACCCGGAAGGTCTGCAGCTCCTTTACAACTAGTACTAGCTACGGGAGTATTATCACTTAGCCATCACTCTCCTCGTTGTCTCTCATGATCGTTGTAGGATCCATATCCCTCGTCTTTTCAGAACAACAAAGTCAATTCCCGGAAAAATCCATCTACTTGAGTACCACACTTCTATGAGGATCTACGACAGACCTGCGATCATGAACCACCGACGGACCTGGTGTGATCAAGATCTTCTGATCCCTTCAACCAAGAACAACAAAAAACGAACATCTCCGCGTAACTCCAAGTCCTATCGGAACCCATCGCATCAATTGTTGCTGCCGTCAAGCCGACTTGGTTTTTTTGTATCAACAACTACTAGAGAATGGTATACAGGTTAAATTGATGGATTGATCTTCTACTTTAGTTTCATTTCATAAGGAATTTCTTTTAGTGGTGTTTCTTCTATTGTCGGTCCTTGGAAACCTAAGCACTACTTGCAAGGTGGTGCCCTCAGCGGGATAGTTCTTCGAAAGCACAACACGTACACTGCCATATTCTTGGAATCTGCTGAGTAGCATTTTTAGGTCCGTTGCGTTCTTAAATGTATCAGCTTATCCCACTAAGGACATTGTGGCGCAGACCCAACCCAACAAGCACGAGAGAAAATTGCCTACTGTGGTAGATACGGTCCTTCTGAGTAGTGAGTTTAGTTGTTTGTATCCCTGCTTAGTTTCGATATACTTCTTCTATGCAATACTAGCAGTTTTTGAATCTTGCCGACTACATTGTAGTTATCATCAGTTGTAAGAACCTTTGATCCTCACCGTAAGTAGTGATGCATCAGAACCAACACGACAAGCATCGAAGATACCTACAACCGATGCAGCAACTGCACTGTTCAAGTTGTTCTTTCCACCTCTTTCAGCAACTATTCTGTTGATTCTTTCTTAATATAGATTGTTGTATCATATAGATGATTCATCATGGTCAAGGTCTTTCGGATTGTGAGAATAACGATGTATGAGTTGAGATTTCAGTTCTTCAGACTGCAGAATTATTGTTGTGAGTCATTTTATTGCTTTTGCGTTTGTCAAATGGAAAGATGAAGATGATTCGAAATCGATATCCAATTATTACACTGAGGTATTTTGAATAAGTAGTGAATAGATTGTAGCTGTTGAGTAGAAAACCGTAAGTATTGCCTTCTTGGTAGTCGTACTTGCTTCTGCACAGGTTTCATCAGACTAGATGTTGATCTCGTCTTAGTAGTTGTAAGCAGTTCTTTTTGTTCTTTGCAGCTCGTACTGGGTACAATTTCGATTTTCATTGGTGAATGGAGGCTGTACTAGGTACTTGCGTTAAGACGAAACTGCTTGTTGATGAGACAGGAGAGCACATACCTGCTCTTAGAATCTAGATCTAGAAATTCCATAATGGAAAGGCTCATCCAAGCATGAGAAAGGGCTTGTTGAATCATCGGAATAACGACCGCCAAAATTGATAGAAGAATCTTCCGCGATCATGATTACGTAGTATTCTTGTTCCTGTGGATGAAATAGATATTTCCTAATATTGATGGCGATGTGATTCATCTTTTACAAGTTGCCCAGAAAATACTCGTAATTCTAGTCTTGCTCAAGTGGTCCTACTCCTACTTACTGTCCTAATATTGGTCAGTCATCTCACCCTTCCCGCCCGGAAGTTATCAACATCCATGAAGGTAAAAGTTCAGCAACAAATTTATTTATTAGAAGTCGTAAATTTCTCTACTTGATAGATGAAGAATTTCCACTCTAACTACTTATTGTTTTTTTCTACTTATTGTTTTTTTCAACTCTGTCCCTACTCTGTCTGCGCCAGCAGACAGACGCCACGGAGCTTCCAGTGCGAGGCGTGCACGTCGGTCTTCAGCAGCAGTCGGAAGATCAAGTACTTGTCGTTTCGTCGCGGATACTTGTAGACCGCACAGTCGTAGGGACTCACCGCGCCATACATGCCGGCCAAGGCCTTCTTCTCCTTCTGCGTCACCGCGGTCAAGTAGGTCACTGGCATGATCACGAACAGCTTCTTCGGCTCGGATTGGGGATTAGAGGAGGGAAAAATTTTTTTTTTGATTACGTGACTTCTCTTGTAAAGTGCCACCTGTCATGGAAACAACCCGAACCGATTTCCGACTAGAAAGTTGTTCTAAGTTTGTGAAAATGTTTCAAAGTTTTCTAAAATAAAAGTCTATCACCATAGCATCAATCTTTCCTTCTTGTCGGTTCCAGCGTGCGCCTTCCATGAAGAGTCCATGGAAATGTTGTCCTTCTTCTGGCACGTCCTTCGCTTTCTCAGGATCGTAGGTCTGCACCTCTGTGTGGTTCATCACATCGTCCAAGGCCCATTGATCCTTCTTGTGCTGACGAGTGACTTCCTGTCGCACACCGGTCAAGAAACCTTGCGCGTTGGTGAAGCCAGTGAGCAGGGATTAGAGTGCTTCACAGTGTTATATGTATATCACATAATTGATTTTTGACACAGTGATCAAATCTTGACAATTAGAATTATCATGCCAGCAGCCCTCATAACAGTATGACTTCATGAATCCGCGTCCGTTTTCGAGCCAGTTGTACAACATGGTGTGTCGTTCAATGAGACCGGTGTACCACGCACCAATGGTAGGAGAAAGCCATGAAATCTCCGCCCCAGAGGGATCGTGGGTCCATCGACCAGGCACCTTGGCATCGAAGACGCTGTTCAAATCCTGCAACAGTTCCGGAGTCATCACGACTGTACCATCGATAGCCATGATCAGCGATTGCAAGTTGTTACGGACGATACCGATAATGTTCTGCAGGCGCTGCAGCTCCTGAAACAAGAAGATGTTGAGCGGTGCGGAGAAACCTTTATCGGGCGTTTTTCTTAGAGGTTGCGGTTACGAGGACAAACTACATTTACACTTGTGCATGTGCTGTTCTTCGCATCATCCTTGAGGACTTGTTTCCCATGACTCTTGGCAAATAAGTCAAGAATGGTGCTAAAACGGAGTACTAGCAACTGTGGCCTATTTTCCCTTCTTGAAGTAAAATATGATTCAGCGGGCTTGGGCTAGTCAGCATACTAGAGTGAGATGGATTTAGGAAAGAGCCATAAGTTTGGTGGTCCCTTCAGCTTCGCAATCTGGGCACGGAAGATCTCCTCAACGAAATCAGGTGGACATTTAGTCAAATAATCTGCTGCCATGTCCTTGACGATCTCGTCGACGGATTTTCCTGCACCACCACCACTGTCCTTCGGCTGCGTCTCCATAATAGACTGCAACATCTCTGAGGCTTCTTTTAATCTGAGGTGGTGTTGGTGGAAAAGATGTTGAGTTCTTTTGAACAAGGAGATTCAGAGACATGACTCACTGCTTGATGAATTTAAAAGAAAAACATACGGATACGAAGATGATGAAAATCAGATCTACTGGAAATTCCAAGAATAGCAATTCTGACGGTAATAATTATGGGTAATTCTCCTAGTACCGGTAATCTAAATTATGTTTCGACTCAACAACAATAAAAAAGAAATACCGGTAAGTCAAATCTGCGTTGGTGTGCAGACCGAAGATGTTTGGAGAATCCACTGGCGGCATCGTATCGATGAACTCACGGTAGTTCTCAATCTCGAGACCGAGAGGAATGCGGTACTGGAAATCGGAGACGTAGTTGTTGAAGGTGAAACCTGGCTTGAAGATGTCATCGCAGAACCACTTCTGGGTGTAGGTGATGAACAACTCGCGATCCAAATCATCCGTGATGCGGCCTCCATACTGCACCTCAGCGATCATGTACTGAACGGTAATCCAGGATAACGGCTGTTTGTGATTGTTTGCGGGAAGGAGAACTAAGTAGCTGAACGGTAATCCAGGACACATGAACAGCTTAAAAAACAAGAGTTGCTTGTGGCATCCATTCAAAGCATCAACTACAATCATGACGTAGTTGAAACCGAAGAATACCCAATCCCAAATCCTTATACACCGACGACCTTCTCAACAAAGAACTCAACATTCATCCTTATAAAAAATACACGACCTCCTTCTCTCTGTAACAAGTGTACCTGTCCCACCGCCACCGTTCCCGACAGGTGCTTCTCCAAGAACATCAGGCACGCATCCAAGTCACTATTGTTGTACTCGTAGGGGATGCACCAACCGATCGGGCCAAACTTCCGGCGTTCCTGGACCACGGAGTGCAAGAAGGACTGGGTGAATGAGATTTGGCGCCACTTCTCGTGGTCAATCTTCTCGATCGCTTCCTGCGACATAATAGTCGTGTACGTACGGAACAGACCGGCTGGGAGTTAGACGATGAAGTGCTGTTGGTCGTGTCGTAAAGATTTCTTCTAATTTCGTTTCCGTCATTTGTTCTAAGGACAAGAATCGCTCGAATTATACAACTCTTAGTCATGTTCAAGTTCCAAGAAATATATGACACTCTCCAACAAGAAAATGACACTCTCCATAATTGAGGCCTGCTGGTGGTTCTGCCGTGACCTTGATGCTCATCTGGAGGAGACCAATGGGGAAACCACGTGTGATCTCAGTCGTGTACCACAGTCGGAAGTCCTCGTGAATCTCCGGCGTTTTGGTCAAGATATCCTCCTGCTGGTTCATAAAACCCAGACCCAAGTGACAGTTCTGCAGGATCACCCAAGGATTAGAGGTTGTAGCTGATGATGTAAATCTACTCGGCAATCTGCCTAAGATTTCCCTAGAGGTTGCTACTTCCTTTGGCTTGAATTTGGTGTTGAAGTTTGAGCTTAGCAGAATGCTGCCAATGTGATGATCTATCTCTGTAATGTTGCCTGGGAGAGTAGCTAAACATGCTGCTTCATCTGTCTCTGATGAATGCTGCTTATTCCTTCGCCCAGTGGGAGTGGTCCTCGGGAAAAAGTATCAAAATACTGTTCACACACGGCACAGAAATTTAATCAACATCTAAGAAGTACTTACGCCATAGAAGAACCAATCAGGAATCCGTTCTTCATCTTCTCCCACGCCACGACTTCCTGACCTTCGCCCATGCTCACCTTATCGGTCGGGAACTTCTTCTTCTTCTTGGCCAGCTCATCGATCGACGCGGACGGATCACTTCCCGTGGTCAGCAAGTACAGAACCGGTTTACGGCACGCGGATTCGTCGAAGATGTCGCTGACAGGATCGGTGACGGGAGCCGTGAACTTGTTGCCCAACACCGCGTTGACGAACTGAGAACAAGCAACGGTGGTTCGATCCTCACGCATGGAACGGACGAGGACCATACGCATAAACGGACCAAGGACACGCTCCATGCCGAGACGTGGAAATTAGAGGGTGAACCGGACGACAGGAGGGTGGTGGGTCTTCAGACCTATTTTGAAAAGAAAAGCTGGTCGTGCATATTACTTCTTGCTATTTCCAACATCTCAAAATAAATCGCTTACTTCTATGATGAAGTCCACTTCTGTCCAAGAAGGAGCCATAATCTTCGTAGTCCGGCACTGGACATCCTTCCGGTTCGTTCTCATCGAACCACTTCTTCCATGCAGCTTCGTTCTTTGAGATGTTGTCCACGATCTCGCGATAGAACTGGACTTGCAATTCGCCGAAAGCATGGCGGGACAAGTTCAACAAATTCAGCCAGATCTTGTCGGACAGCCAGCGGAAGGGGTTGGGTCGTTCAGACTTCACATCCAAGGCAGAACCGGCTTTGAGGAAGCACGACAGGTCGCCACCGGAGAGGGACTGGGCGACAACCATGATCTTCATTGTGACCATCAATTTGAAGGTCATTTTATCGCGTTCGAACAAGCCGCGGTTCATGTATCGGTAAACTGGCGATTAGACATGGTCGTCCTAACAAAAATTCCAAAAAAATATATCCACATCAAAAAAATGATCAAATACATCCACATCAAAATCATAATGATAGGTCAGGTAGTCAATGATCTTGTCGACGCGCTTCGATGTTGGCTGCACCTTCTCGGAGTTGAGCACGGACTTGTCGAATTGCTCCAGGAACTGCATCAGAGAGCAGTTGTACATCCAACCGGTGGGCTGCATCGTGATTGGGTTCATCACCAGGGTCATGTCCGTCATGTTGAAGTACATCAACGACCCACGAGTGGCCACGGAACGGAACTGTTCGCGCTTTTCGTTGATATCGATCTCTTTCTCCGCAGCGGAAGCCAGCTTCTCCGACACTTCGGTGGCCTTAGCCTTGGTGTTGGCCAGCACTTCGATTAGTTCCGTGTCATCTAGCAGAGACCCAGTGGAGTTGGACAGTTTGAAGAGCAGCTGATCGTTCAACAAAGCGAGCGCTTTCAAGTTGTTGGTCACTTCTTCCTTCAATTGGGCCAAAGATTCCTCCAAAGACTTCTGTTCCATGCCCAAGACACGGCCCAGAAGCTGCTGTTCGAGACCTTTCAGCGTGACCGTGAAGTCAATCACGGTGCATTTTGCCGACAACTCCGGGGAGAAGTGCGGGTTGGGCAGACGCGAAGTCATGAAGAGATAGAACTTGGGGTTGTAGTCCATGTTCTGATCCGAGATGTTGATGTACAAGTTCTTTCCCTTCTTGATGATGGCCTTGTCGAGCAAAGGATCCAACATGGGATCTAATTCGTTCTCCACGTTCTCGATCAGCAAGATCAAGCCCTCGCCCATCGTGAACTCGATGAAGTCCTTCAACCGATTGCAAGATTAGAGATTGCAAGTGCTGGATGATCCCCCCATCTCGTGGGTACAGCACCACCTTCTCCCTTCCTTCTATGTTCTTACTATAATGCTGGGAACTACAAGAACTACAAAGAAAAGGGCACTTGCTTCACCTACAACCAACTTATATGAGAAAATACTGAGAGAAAGAAGATGGGCTTGGACACAGACAGTATATATAAGCGAGGACCATAATTGGAGAGCGCGGTGATTGCCATGCCGTTACTGGCTGCAATTCGCTCAGCTTCTCGGTTCTTGATCCAGCGGTTCGCCTGCCCCTGGGGATCGACCATCAACGGAAACCTCGATGACCGCCTTATTAGAGCTTCTCAAACACGACCGCGACGAGCATCTTCTACATCTTCTTGAGATGCTAGTACTTACATCCTGATGCATGATCCTCGAGCTAGACGAAACTTTCTAATATTGCTGAAAGGACTAGACGGTGTTTAGTTAGCCTCTAGTCTACGTACCCCTGCCTTGGTGCTTTTGATCAAAAACGAGCACGCTTATTTAAGTAGGACGGGAAGATTGAGAGTTGAAGGGAATGCAGCTTTACAAGCCTTTATAATATTTCCCCTGAAACAATCATGGCTCCCCACTTCCTAGAAGGGTCTTGACTCCTTTTCTAGCTAATAGAAGAAATGGATTAAATCCAAGATCAGGATGTCTGTCGTGTCTCTGAAGATAGAGCAATATTTTGTTTCGTGGGATAGACAAGAATAATGAATTAAATTATAGGGAAACAACAGCACGCCTTAACGTCACCATGATACCGTTTTGGACGGACAAGTCATCAGACGGCAAACCCTCCAAGGCCCACTCCGCGACGGTGGCGCCTTCGACCAAAGACTCGACCAGATTCACCTTCGAACTGGCGGGGACGCCCCGTTTGTGCGTATCGTTGAGGAAGTACTCGACATTCAGCTTGTCACGGAACTCACTGTTGAACGGGCCACAGTAGGTCACGAAAGCGCAACAAAGCTTAGAGAAAGAGAGCAGCAAACGAGATTTTCACCACCACGGTTCACTTTTTAGTAAACGAACAGTTCTTACTTGCCGTGAAGAACAATTTACTCAGAGTTAGTAGAGAGACACTTCCTACTTGCAAAGAATTTACTCATATTCATATATAAGTCACCACTGCTCGTTGTACTACACTCTTTGATTCTACTTGTTCATGATGTGTTTCCATCTACTTTCACGAGGACTACATCGACTTGATCTGCAGTTAGTAAATAAGTAGACTAAGTAGTACTTAAACTCCATGATCCATAAAAAGAGCAATATCGCCGACCAAGGCTTTGCGACGCAATGCGAAGTTCTTTGAATCTTCAGTCCAACGAGCGTTCTCTCCTGCCAAACCAGACAACAACTTGTTTGCGGCGTCCATCTTACGCTTCATGGCGTTGGCATTGGCCTCAAGGGCAGATTTCTTCTCGAGGGCTGTCGTGGGTGCGTGTAAGCGTGGGGCGAGGAAGTACTTCTAAGGCAGAAGTTGAAACTATTTTTCTTGCACACGATGAGAATGGGTAGCAAAAAAAAAAACTACCTTCATTCAATTGCGCATCCAAGACTGCGACTTCCGACATGACGCGGTTCAGTTCTGCTTCGGCCGCGCCCAACTCTTTCATAGCCTTCTCCAAGCGAGCCTCTTGGACCTTCAAGAAGTCCATCTTCGGCTTCACGATCTTGGCAGCGCCATGATACTGCACCATCGCACCGACGAACTTACAGAGACCCTCCGCAGCACCGGAGGCCTTCTTGGCGATAGCCGGATCCAATACTGGGAATGCAGGGAAGGGAGACCAGTTCTTAGCCGGAACGGCGTTGAAACGCAGGTAAGGCTCTAGCAGTTCGCACGTCTCGTCGTTGATGTTGTCCTTCTCGTTCGCTGCGAAATCCAACAGAGCTTAGAGAAGAGTAGAGAGGATTCAGCTACTAGAATCCGGAAAGTTGTATTTCTCTCTCTCTGTGTCTAATCTATCTGTGAGAGAGAAAAAAAAAAGTCTGTTTCATCAGTACAATCATCTAAGAAAAGTATAAAATTGTCGTCCGCGGCTGCCTTAAAGTGATGGTAAGAAACGCATATCGGAGAGGGTGAACTTGGTGTACTCCTGGAAACTATCGGCGATGAATTAGAGCTCGCCCTTATCCATCTTGAGACTCACCCTGGACCTCATTTACCCTTGAAACAACTCCAGGATGGTGCTTCATGAGATGGATTAGGGGAAGCCTTAAATGAAGTCCCCATCAGTCTTCGAGATGTTAAACGTCTTCTTGGCAGCGTCAACCATGGGCTTGTTCATCAAGATGTGGAGACCATCGAAGGTCAGCTTGATCACATCTGTAGGGTTCTTGTTCGCCTTCAATTCCGTGATATCGCTGATTAGAAGGTTAGGCTGGGTTAGGTTAGGTTAGGTTATGGATCCTGCATAAAGAGACGGGAAAAACCTAGTACAACAAAGAGCAGAACTTCTAGTACAAAGAGCACATCGTCGACGACAAGAAACTGAAAGGATCTAAAATAAGAAAGAAAAAAGATGAAAGGATCAAAAATAACTCAGTACATGAACCGTTCTTCTTGTTGCGGTTCTTGTTTTTGAAAAGAACCGACTCATCTTGATGTAGTGGCATTCAACTAGAAATTCTACTCTCGGAGTACCTACTACAACTCCTTGAAGAGCATTCATTTTCATGGTCTGAATATTGAACATTCTTCAGCATTCATCTTCATAATTTGGGCGTGATGGATTTGCAGGCTGCCTCGGCTTCATGCAAAAAGGGCATGGCCTTCTTCAGTTCGACGTTTGCCTCTTCCTTATCTTAGAGGTAGGTTTTTGGTGGTCGTTTACCCCGCCCGTTATAATGCCTTTCCCCCTTCAGAAAGGCAAAACGATCGGTAGCAGGAACACCTTTAGACTACCCTTAATTATCCTTCTGGATTCCTGCAGCCGTTGCTAGGCACTGAGACTTCTGCTCACCGACTTCTTCGGCTTTCTTCTCAGCTTTCCCCTTTTCGAACTGCACCTTTTTCCTTAGAAGAAAGTAACTACTTACAAAAAAAGGGGAATGCAAGAAAAGGAGATCATGAATGGAAGAAAAGTGTAAAATGAAATTGAAATTCATCGTGAAGAACATCACATCAGTTCTTGGTACAGCTACCTAAATTGTAACTGAGGGAAAAATGTAACTGATCATGCCTTAAGTTCAACAGTTTGTTGGTTTTTTCTTCTTCAATTTTCAGCACTTTCTCCTGTTCGCGAAGCTCGACCTTCATCTCCTCGACCTGCGCACTAGCCTCAGCGAGTTTCAACAAACCATTGTTCACGCTCACCTCATGCATTAGAGTTTGGTCAACATTTAGTATTCATGTTCATCTATCTTGATGGTCCTCTACTCATCTCGAAGATAGAAGTGCCCTTTGAAAGGGTCCCTTGTATTCCTCATGATGTAACTCGAGGATGCAATATTTAGATTAGAAGATCTCCCCAAGAGGCTCTCCCCAAGAGGGTTTCCCCAAGATCTCCCCAATGGTCAAAGGCGCACCACAAAAGATGAGGTGCTGAGTTTGATTTTGGATGGACACAAGACAACTAGTAATCACATTGGCCTTAGAATTCAAGAAACTACTTCACTTCAAAGAAACTAGTAAATAATGTTGACCTCCGTAACTGGACGTTGATTTCGTCGTACTTGACACGGTACATCGACTTGTAGAAATCGATCAAGCACAGGAAAGTCTTCGGCGTGACGTAAACATGCTTACGCATGCGCGTGAAGTACACGGTGCAGACGTCGCCCACCATGGCCTGGAAGGAACCCAGGAGCTCGTACAACAGCTGCTTCTTGGATGCTGGCGTATCGATCTCATACGGCGCCAAGAAGGCGTCCGCGACAGCAACCAGCGCCTCTGCGGGCCAGGGCAAGAACCACGTGATGGCCACGGCCGAGAACAAAGCTGGGAACTTCTGCGCTCGGAGCGGGAATTTCTCGTTCATCGGCGAAAAGCAAAGCACTAAGTGGATTAGAGGTTCAAAGCAGATGATTGCACTCTTCGTTCCGGGCGTTCTTCTTGGCCTTTTTTCATGCACTTGAAAAATCTACGTGGAGGATGTACAGTAATGTGGAAACCCTTAAGTGCAAGTTGTCACGAAGTCGGTCCATGAAATACTTGTAGAAGTTGGCCATGGTCTCCTCAGCACCAGGATAATCGCGAACGAAGTCATTACGGCACTCGGCAGCCATGCCATCACGTTCATCCTTCTGGAACAAACCAACGACTTCACCTGTGGCCAAAATCGAGTTCAAGTATTCGAGGAAACCTTCATTCTTCACCTCCGCATCAGTGAAGATAAATGTCACTTTCTCACCCTTCGCACCGGCAGCAACGAGAATTAGAATCTTGTTGGGATAAAGAGACAGACAGAGAGGGATTCATGTTGAATCTACGGAGGATAGTCAGATTATCAAGGAATTAGTAGCTGTAGGAGATGTAAAAATAAGCAAGAATCTGTACTTAATTCCCCAAAATGATCGAAGCTGATGTTATCCAACATTCATAAGTAGAGTCCACGCAAGTCCTCGAACAAGGCGTTGTCGTTGTAGGTCTTGGTGATGGTAATTTGGAAGCATTTCTGCCTTGACGTCGAAGCTGACAATCTTGTCTTAGGGGTTGAAGTTTGACCGCTCTAGTAGCTCGCATATCTATGGCTTTCCTACTTGAAGATATAGGATAGGATAGGATAGTTTGCCTGTCCGTCTACTTGAAGAAACCATAGAGATGCTCATTATATATAGAGATGTTGATGTCAACTTCCAACCCATAATTGTCAGACTCTGTTTTCCGCTACCACCGACTCCGACTAGCATCGCGCTCCCACGCGGAAACTGGATCGTGCGGTTGATGCGCATCATGTACTTCATGGCGTCGTCGAACAAGACCAAGTTCATGGCGGAAGCTGGAAAGGCCTCGTTGAACTTCTTCAGATTAGAGGTTCTTGCTGCAAGATAAGACTTCACTCGTGCTTTCTTCAGTAAACATGACTCTGCTACTTAATATTAGCCTAGTATATTTTCCTACTAGAAAATAGAAGGCCGAGGATGGTGGTGGAGGATGTAAAAATTTTGAATAAACCCGTAATCAAATATTCGTAGGCCTTGCCACGCACAAACTCCATGCTCTGCATGGGCTCGTAGATCTTGGGGGCTGGGATTTCCTCACCAGTTTCCGGATCCTCACCTCCCTCACGCTGGAAGTCACACCACCACGTCGGCATTTCCAAGACGGAATCTACCATAGCCTCTCCAAAGTGCTCAGACATGAAATCAGTGACCACCTTGTCAATGTAGTCCTTGTCCTGTTGTCGCGACAATTTGTCCGCAAAGACACGCGTCACCTCGTGCTTCCACAAAGACGAAACATTAGACATTCCTTATGTTCATCTTAGATAGATAGATAGATGTACCCACTCGTGGGGTGTAAGCATCTTTGACCTTTTTTCCCTTTGAAAAGAAACGTGTCAAAGCAAAATGCTCGTTAAGGTGTATCTGTTTGCGGAAGCCGTAAAAACAAGTTCGGCGGTCTTCACGCTGCCAGCAGGGGTCTCCAGAATGCCCTGGAAAACACGGGACAACTCACGCATGTTGAAGATGTAGTGAAATCGAGCCGGCGTGGGGAGGAGCGTGCTCTTCACCTTGTTCCACACGTCAATCGTGACGGCCGTCAACTTCTTAGACTGTGCCATCGACGCATCAGAGAAGCCGTTCTTCTGCGTGAAGCGGGCGCGCAAGATAGAACCGTAGATGTTATCAACCGACACGGTTGCCGGCGCGACCATGTTGAAGAGGTAGAACTTGCTCTTCAAACGAGAGGGGATATCGTTACGACCGCCACCTGGATGACCCATGGCACCCAAGTAGGACATCGCCTCAATCGTTTTGAAGTCTCCACGCTTGTCCTTGTCCAAGAAGTAGAAGCCCTCCATCTCGATCAGTTGCCGGCTCAATTCGTTCGTGACCTGATCGCCCCACTTGTTCACCACAGGCATGGAGATGTCGTCCAAGAACAAGGTCATCTCCTTGCCACCCGGAGGGCAGAAGGTCTTACCCGTCTTACGCTCTACCTCAGCCTCCACGGTCTTCTGGAAGCCCAACGGCGTGGTCGCGGACGAGAAGTTGATACGCTTCGACAGCATGGTCTCCATGTTGAACCTAGCCATGTACATCAAGCACGTCGACGTCTTGGCCGTTCCTGCTCCACCGACAAGAAGACTGGATCGGTACACGGTTGGCAAACGAACTCGGTTGTACGCCTGAATCATGCCCATCATTAGACAGTCATGATCCTAAGACATTCATGGAGTATACCCAATTTCAAAGTCATCTTTTCCCATTTTAAGGAATGGGACGACCCTGCTAAGTAGAATATTAAGGTCTTTGTGAAGCAGTAGATGGATGAAGATTCGGTACCCCACAAAAAGTAGATCAAGTTGTCAAATATCAAGTCATAACATCAAATATTCAGCACGCGTGGAATCCAAGGTCGGGATCAGGAGAGAGGAGAAAATCAGCTTCTTTGGTGGCTTCCACTCGTCGGGCTTCCACATGATAAAGGGTCGGGTCTTCTGCGTTGCGTCACAGACGTAGTCGAAGAGAGTTTCGCCCTTTTTATTAGAAGACGAAATTATGCTACTTGTTGATCTTGATGTTGTAGTTACTCCATATTAACTTAAGTATTTCATCTTCGCAAACTATTAGAACTTTTAGCAGAGACGTATCTTGTGCGACTCCTAGGATGATGAGCGCTGCGGAAAATGTAAGATTCTCTTAATGCTACAGCTCAAACAAGGCGTTCACACCAAGATAGCCCCACTTTGACAACAGAACTCATTGATGTTGTAGTTACTCCATATTAACTTAAGTATTTCATCTTCGCAAACTGATGGATCTCGAGCAAACGTTTAGATGTTGTAATGGATTATTAGAAGAGGATTTCTACAAGGAAGGTGCTTAACTTTGCATGGAGGCATGGCGTCCTTCATCTTCGCAGCGACCACTGACTCACAGAACTTCTCGTAGAAGACGACACGCATCTCCGGTTCACACAGACCAGCGAAGCCCCAAACAATGCAGAAGAAGATCAAACGACGGTAGGCCTCGGCAGGGAGGATCTCGCTCACCTGCACACACGGGTGCAAAAGAGAAGATTAGACTAATGGCGGGACAAAACTGTTCTTGAGATACAACGTCTTGAAGCTACAGCTACTTCTTTCCCCTCTCTTACTTGGAGAGAAGCAAGCTTCGAGATGCTCCTGAGCCACGACCTGAAGAAGATGCTGATGCATACCTTTTATTTAAGATAAAGAAAAACAAAAGTCAAACCATGGAGTGGGTGTTCAAAAACTTTGCTTCTATTAAATAGTTCGGCGAAGTACTTATAGCTGCCTTAAGAGGAAAGCATGTTCAGAATGTTCAGAATGACGATGCTATCGTTCACAGGCATCACCGTGACGATGTTTCGGTTGAAGTAATCGAACAAGTCCTCGCAAATTCCGGTGCCAGGTGGCGGAGTGTAGATCAATTTGTTGAAGATGTCCTTGCAGATATCGACCTCCTCTTGCCGGTTAGCGTTGATCTCGATCCTTTTCTGCAGCCACGACATCAAGACTGGCTTCCACCCCAGATCGGACGGCGAGATGAAGATGATTCCCGCTCTCGACACTGTAGCTGGGCTGGCGTTCCGCAAGTTCTCGACCTCGAAGACGATCTTGCAGTTGTCCGTCATCGGGAAGCGATCGTTGTTCGCCAGCGTCAAGATCTTGTTGTCATCTAACACCGTGTTCAAGTTCTCAATCCAAAAATTAGAGCTTTTCCTTATATTAATGTAAGAAATAATGATGTGCGCTTTTTCTTCTTGAAAAGGACACGCACACATTAAGGATGATCATCATGCTGAGGATGCAGAAGATGCACTCCTCTATGGCCATGGCTTCTATGGGTAGTTGTAAAGACATCCTGTCTTAAAGATAGCATCGACTGGACCATCGCACACGATCCAAGTCGTGTATTTCAGCGCACGATTGTTGTACCGAGCCCAGATACTGGCGAAGACGCCTGGGGTCCATTCTTCCGAAACCGGATCCTTGACGCCGTACATCTGGGAGTCCGTGATGGCCTTCGGGTTCATAATCGCGGTCCTGTGCGGCAGGCCGTTGCCGATCAAGGTCTCGACCAAGGTGGTCATGATCTCGGTCTTTCCGCACGCGGTTGGCCCCACAAGCATAAAACCGTGGCGCACGAGGGAGGTTTCGTACAGCTGAATGATCTTCAGCATCCAGGCATCCCACTGCGTCAGCTTCTTGGCAACCGCGATTTTACGCGCTCCGCCGTCAATTTCGGGGTACGTCTTCTTCGGCGGCTCCGCTGTCTTCGGGAACAGATCCTTGAGCAACGCCAGGAAGAGTGGCACGTCATCCGCCACGAACTTCGACAAGTTCATATCACGCACGGTCCGCATGAAAAGCATTTCCTCGTCGAAGTCTGGAGGTTCGGAACGCTTCACGATACCGCTCGTACGAAGCACGGACAAGATGTTGCGCAGTCCGAAGTCGTAGTGGCGTTGCTTCGAAAGCTGCTGCTCGCACAAAGCGTAGAGCACGCAAAACTTCTTTCCTAGCAAGTCCATCATGGAGAAACCGACGGAGGCGAGCTTCACCTTCATGATGGTCTCTCGGTTTGGCACCATCATCGTCACACCACGGAACATCACTTTCAGGTTCTCCGGCAACTCCTGGCGACCAGCGTAACCCGGGTTCATCGTGATGAAGTAACCCACCGATGGGATCAAGCGAATCGGCAAGGGCTCACCAGGGAACGGCATCATCTTCGCGTTTTGTCGCTTACCCTGCGTGATGGCCTCGACCTGCATGGCGACGACTGACAGCACTTCGACATCGATGCGGTTGAACTCATCGAAGCAACCCCAAATCCCAGACATGCACAGACCCTTGAAGATCTTTCCGCAATCTTTGAATCGAAGCTGATCGGAACAGTTGGTGACCATCACGAAGATACCCAGTGTTCGTCCCATATCCTTGGTGGTCTCGGTCTTTCCGGTTCCGGCCGGACCAGCCGGCGCGCCGCCCAAGAACATGCCGAGAGCCTGGGATAGCGTGACGTAGCAGCGATCGGTCAACGCCGTGATACACAGTCGCTCCTTGCATCCGAGGTACTCGTAGGAGTAGGTGAAGTCGACGTCGGCAATGGAGATGATCACGTGCTCGCTGTCGGTTTTCCAGTACAGACGCGTCTGGCGCAGCCACTCGAAATCGTTCTCGTCCTTCACTTTGTGGGCTTTCACCTTCGCCCACACCTCCTGGAACAAGTCTTTCTGATGCACGTGCACCGTCACCAACGTCTCGAACTTGGTTCGGTTCATCGTCGATCCCAAATCCGTCAGACAAGCGGCAACGAGATCACTCATGATCTGGACAAACTTCCTGTATTAGAAGAAGAGGACCTGCTCAAAATTTCTTCACAATCACTTGGTGAGAAGTAGCATGATTTCTTCATTTCTTTCCTTCATTTCTTCACAATCTTCCAAAGAAGGAATGAATCTTCAGAGGAAATTTTTGGACGCAGTGGTAACTATGTATCGACGTTAGGGGTTGGTTCCCATACTACATGTCATCCTTCACTAAGTAACATTCATCCCTGACTCTTTTTCCAATCAATCAGAAGAAATTGGCCGTAGTTCAACTGTTGAAATGAATTATTAGAATTGTATCACAAGATGAAGCCTTAATTGTTGGTCAAAGCCATGATAGTTTTGTCCTTCTCCTTGCTCATCTTGATGAGAGCATCCTGGAAGTCATTGGTCCACACGACCTGGATACCGAGCAGAGCGACCTGCGCAATGTACTTCTCAGCGAAGTCTTTCACGGTCATACCAGCATAGATTAGAGTCGACAAAAAAGGAGTTCGGAGTTGTGCTATGGTAATATTAATGTTGACATACTAGTGAAGGATAAAAATCATATCATGCTTGCTTAGACTGCACTGTAACAAACAAATCTTTTTCACTTTCTTCTACTTACCATCAAAACTGCTACAATAATCTAAATCTTCATCCGTTTCCATTCATAACAAGATATTTCCGGTTTCTGCGCAGCACAATTTGCACTCCTTTCGCACTGAGCGCGCGATTTCCGCTTCCAAACTGTTGAGCCAGTCCTCGATGTTACCGACTGCTTGTTGCGGCGTGATGAAGTTGACGTACTCGGCGCCTGTACCAACCACAGACAGACACGATGTCATCTTCTTGCGATCCTTGGCGTCGAATGTGACACGCGACACGGAGTCGAACAACTTCTCGAAGTCCTCTTGGATCTGCTCCGGGTCGGAACCCTGGGACAAGATCTTCAGCAGAGCGGGATCGGACGTGAAGTAGAATCGAGGGAACTTGTTTCGTTTTCCCTCCAAGTAGGATTCCAAAGATTTCTGGCACTGCTCCAATCCCACCTGCAACACCGGCAACAGCTGCTTCAACATGTCGTTCTGGCAGCAGTTCACCACATTGCGCGTTTCAGCGGACTTGGCCATAATGCGGATCCAGTCCTTGTCGATCTGTTGGAACTTCTTCGCCTCCATGGGCATTTGTTTGGCAATATCACCGCCGGTAAAGACGGACTCCAAACTGGTCCACATCTGCTGCACCTTGAACCATCGCTCAATCGTGTCCGCCGTGTCAGACAGAGTCATGATCATCGTACCAAGTTCCTCCTTGAACGGGATCGAGTGACGCTGCGCGTTCATGGAAGATTAGACAACCTTTATTTACGCTGCAGCTATACTTTTTCGAAATTCTAAAGGTCGTTGTACAACTAACGCTGCTAGCTCGACGTCAAGTTTTCAGCACATCGTTATGAATGGCTCCGGTATTTGGTAACCTGAGTTTCATCATGTTAAGGGAAAACAAGAAGAGAACCCTTGTGATCAAATTCAGGTTCTTACCAAATACCAGAACCATACACGTCATTAAATGTCTATATTACAGATCCCCAACATAAGTATTCAACGCCATCACGGTTTCTTCCAAGATTTCCTGCACCTCACCAACACGACCAGGCGCCATGCAGCAAGGGTAGTCGCGGGTTTTCCAAGTTGTAAAATCAAAGTTCATGCCACTCCATTGCTCAGAGATCTCTGCCAATTTTCGCTCAATGACCAGTTGCTTATCCGCAGACTCGCAGATATCGGACACCTCATCCTTAAACTCGTTCAAGTTAGCGTCGATGAGAGACTGAAGCTTGAAAGTGTCAGACTCGATAGCAAGCTCCTTGCCGGTCAGGTCCATCACCTTTATTTTTTACAGATATTGGGTTATTTTTGGAAAATAGGATCATGCTGGGTTTTTTGGACGAAGAAAAGTCTATCTTAAATCATGTCGATGTCCGTTAATATTGGAAAAAAATCATTATGTTTGAAGTAACAAACTATGAATCTATCAATTTATCATGTCGACAACAAAGTTGAACCAAAAATCAAATCAAAGAAAAGCCTTTCAAATCCTATGTCTCATACCTGTTTCCAATGTCTTGGTTGGATAGATGGCTTTGCCAACTCCGTCAACAACGGCAAAACATCGGAGAAATCCTCGATTTCCTTCTTCAATTCCAAATAAGCTGGCCACTCTCGCAACACCTTCGGCATGCGCTTGCACTTACCGGCGAACTTACTTTAGAACCGATCAAAATCCATCTTGCGAGTAATCTTCAAGCTGTTCTCCATGTTTGGAACAGTTCCAGGATGCTTCAGAAGCAAGGTGGACAACTAGGGAAAGAAGCCATAATTATCGGTCTCACTCTGCATCATGTCGACGTACTCCGGAGTGTCCGCCCACAGGTAGTCCTTCCACTCACGGATGGTGTCCAAGACGATCACGTACAAATCGTACAACTGGCCCAAATACTCCAATTCGCCCTTCGTCTTGTCCATCTTCGGGTACATCTGATGGGGCAGACCGAAGAGGTCCTCGCCCAAGTAGTAGATCTGCTCTTTACGAGCGCGCACTTGGTATTCTTCCCGGAATCGTTTCAGACGTTCGACGGCCTGCTTCGGTGGGATACCGTTGACCATGGGACCGTTGGCCTCGTAGTTCTTGCGAAAGTCATGGACGTCCTTCTTGAAGTTGTTCACCGTAGTGATCAATGTCTTCTTGTGCTGGGCTTGTGAGGATTAGAAAAAGAAAGCTTCTTGGACAGGACTTCGAAAATAAATGGCAATTCATCAAATTCAAAAAGAGTTAAGCTTAAGACAAAATCATTTTGGCCTGGAGAAGATATTCTAAAGCTTTTGCATGAGAGATGATAGTAATCACAGAAACAAATTCGTGATCGATCCTATTGCCATATTGTGCCGACAACACATCCTGTCTCGCCTCACTGTCTTCCAGCAGCTTGTCCCAGCTAGCCCTTAGCATCGATCGCATGTCTTGTTCGTCCTTATCGATGATTTGGGGTACATAGGCGTCCAAGATCTGGTACATGTGGGTGATCGGGCCGAACTCCAACTCGATCTCACTCTGCTTAGCGCGCACCTCCTGCAAGGTTTGCATCACGAAGCCCAAAGCATCGATGTCACCCTCTCCCACCTCACGGTTGAGCTTTTTGGTAGTTTGTTTGACCATCTCAGCAACGCTGTCGAGCTTGGTACGGACATTGATATGCAACTTCTTAGCGAAGGCCATCTTCCAGTGGTGACCCAATTCGACTAGGGACTTGGATAAGCCGTCGCTGTGGATTAGAGGAGGAGACAGAGGACGATAAGCGGGTTTCTTATTGTAGAGAAGTTTATAGGGGTGCCCTATCAGTAGAGTAATTTATAAGGTTCGCCGGCTCGCATGGCATGGAGTGCATGAATCGCATGGAGCTGCATGGAGCTAAAGGGGGAGCTTCTTGCGCCCCTTAAAGCTCTGCGCTCCATGCACTCCATGCCACTCCATGCACCATGCGTGCTATAAACTACTCTATTATTGGTAACGAGGTTACTCGCATGATCATGTACATAGTGGATACTTCTATTGTACTAAAAAGCTAGAAAAAAGTAGAGAGTCATAACTTCAAAATCAACGCTGAGATTTGTGCTTTTCCGTTGTATCGCGCTGCATCCTCTGCCATCCTGATGAATCCCTTCAGCTTCGTCTCGAAATCCGACAGCGTAGGAATGCCTTCTTGGAAGGTCGCATACTCTTCTTCCACGTTCTTCGTCCACAGCAACGAGAACTTGTCGAAGATCGTCACGTAGTTCGCGCACTCCTTCTTCGCACTGCGGATCGAACCTGTCAGCAACAGAACGACCTTGAGAATCTCCTTGTCTTGGGAAATGCGATCGTAGAAGGTACCCTGGGCAGCGCTACCGCGGATGGGCGGAAGGTTGGGGTTGATGATAAGCTGCACAGCTTCTGGAATCGTGACCGTGTCCCAGGCATCGATCATCTTGGAGCATTTGAGGACCGCGACGGCGCCACCATTGACAGCGGACTGAATATCTTCAATAGACGGCTTCAGGCGGACACCGATACCTGTTTATTTTCGATCATTCAACGATCATGCAAGTTTTAGACCACAATGTGGTTCTTTGTTGTAATCATCATCATGATTCAGGTTCATAGAAAATGCTAATTATTGAGACAAAGCTAAGATAAAGTGATCGAGAAGCAGCCACCTAGAAAATAGTACCATCCAATTCCAGTTCCACATCGAAGAACGGCGGCGACAGTGGAGCCGCGCTCGCTCCTCCTTCTTCGCCTTCCGCTTCCTTCTCTTTCTCATCTGAGCTAGCCACTGCTGCCAAAGCCATCGCACCTCCAGCATCACGCTTCGCGGTCAGCCTGACCTTGATGGCGTTCAACGATCGACGAGTGGCGTTCAGCAGAGCCTGGTACATGGACCAGTTGTAGTGGGCCTTCACCTTGATGATCTCGGACTCAGACACGCCGCGGACGTGAGAGTCAATCGGGAATCCAACGATTTGAGTCAGTAGGTCGTCAACAGAGTCTTCGATTTCCAGAGATTTGGCGTGCAAGAAGGAAGTAGTTTCGCGGACGTGCTTCTCTTGGATGTCGAGGATTAGAGGAGGAAGCGACTTTGGGAACAACGTGGAGTAAATCTAAAAAGAAGTAGATGGATCTAAAAATAACAGCAGGATGTTGAAAGCATCGTCCATAAGATAAAGTCTTCCAACGACACGGTTTCTCCTTCTTCCGGCAATTGGACCAGCAAGATGCGCGCTACTAGTTTCAGCGTTGCATCGACTCGATTGTCCATGATGTCGTTCACGGTCAACACCAGCTGTTCCAACTTTCGCAGTTCCCTCCACACTGTGTCGATGTAGTTGCCAATGTTCATACTGGTCCACGTCAACGTAACACGTCCAGGTCGCAATTGAAACTCGAGATTGTCCAAATGCGGCTTCAGCAGGTTGGACGCGATCGGCTTCACTGTTTGGACTACTCTGCGGTACTCGCGCAGGATGAAGGTCAACTCGTTGTAGTAGCCCTTAAACTTCGATTCTTGCAGCAAGACCATTTTTGCCGATTCCGGAATATCGATGCCCATGCGATCCAAGCACTTGGTTTCGCGGATCAACTGCAGAATCTCCCAGTCGAAGTTGACGTGCAGCTTGCCGTCATCGGGGTGACGCACGATCAACGTTGCTTGAAGACCGCTTTTGGCGCTCTCGATGGAGTGAACCCATGCTTGGTACCAGAGCATTTCGAACTCAACCAAAGCTTTCGCCATTTTGTTGTACATGCGGATGATCTTCTTCGCATCCTTCCCCGCCAAGACGGACGGACTACGCTGGAACTTCTGCATGGGACCTGAAGGGTTTGGTTGTTACCAGAATTGCGTGCCATATAGTTGCTGATACGCTGTATCTGTAGGTCGTAGTCCGAGATTACCACGAGAATTTTCCACCAGTTCAACATCTTCTATCAAATCCAAATAATTTTTCAGTACCTTCAATTCTCTTCAACAAATGCCTAGCCCAGGTGATATTTCCCGCTACTGGAGGCAAATTCCTCACAAGTGGTGGCGCCGCTTTGTGCTTTTCGTATTGATCCTGGACTGTGGTCAATTCTAGACCGTAGTTGTGGAAAATGACCGTGAATTTACTCTCCAGGTCGCTTCGCAAAGTGTCACGCTGGAGAATAGACTGGAATTTCTTCAACAGGTTGAGACTGGAGGTAATCGAAGTAATCGACTCGAAACTCTGGTTGATAAACTGCGAGGATTAGAGGAGCGGGGGGTAGTGCGTGGAGCTGGGGGCGGGAGTTTAAATATACATAGTAAGTTGTGGCATGGCGTTGTCAACCGCGAGGCGAGATGCTTCTGCTGAAATACGACAAGAATTCCTAGTTTCTAAATTCGTTACGACAAAAAAACGACGTTGTCAACCAAACAAGATCAAGAAGTAGAGGAGTTTCTTGGAAATAATTTAAAAGAAATGAAAAACAATCCACCCGAGGAGTCTTAATGTAACGCCGCTTCCAGGTCTGAGATCCGCACGTTGAAATCCACGTAATCCCTATCAAATTTGTTATGGTGGAAGTCCAGGAGGTCGTGACGCTTGTTGCGGAAGTCTCCCATGATGCGGACAAAGTTATTCACCAGCACCTCCATTCCGTCGAATCGGTGTTGGGACAAGGACTGAAACTGGTAGATAGTCGAGAACATGTCGATCAATTTGACCACACGTCGGCAGAACAAGTCAAAACGACCGAAGATCAGAGTCTCGCTGAAGTCGAATTGCTTGCCTTTGGGAAGGGCCATGATTAGAGCTAGAAGAAATTTTTATCCATCTTGAATACTAGAGCATCTTGAATACTAGAGTTTCTATTCCCTTAGAAGGATAGACGAGAAGCACGAGAGGACAGGATCATGCTGGGGAAGTAACAACAATCTCGAGAGCAACCCAACAATTCAAGAAACGATCTTTCTAACAAAACACAAAAGATATGTATTTGCATCTTTTGAGAAAATGCACCCAATGTTCTTTTCCTTCTGCTTCTGCACTGCGTGAGTAACAACAATCGCATTGGCCTTAGAATTCAAGAAACTATTTCACTTCAAAGAAAGAAACTGACTGTATCTGTAACAACAAATGCATTTGCCGTAACATGAGCTTCTCTTTGGTTCTGCGGTACTCCTCCTGGTAGCTCTCGTTCATCTTCAAGCAGAGTTCCAGACTGCGGATCAGTTGGAGAGGATCGCGTTCCCACAGTTCGTCACTGCCAGTGTCCAAGTCGTCGCCTAGGATGCACATCTTGCAGCTCAAGATCATCTGGTTGGTCACCTTCGTGAGGAGTGTGGTCATGCGCTCTGTGGTGTTGTAGTATCGCGCAATCGTGTGGATCATTTTTACGCTGTTCAGCAATGCCGGAATGCCATCGATGATCTGGCTCGGAGTGCCCGTGTACAGAGGCTCCAAGAACTTGTCTAGGGAGCTCAAGTACTTCACGTTGTCCTTGGCCTCGTTAAAGGCTTCCGTGATGCCAACATCGATGCGCTTCCAACGACGCAAAACGCCAATCACGCTTTGGCGAGTCGTGGCCTGCATGTTTTCGGCGCTGACACGAGAAACCGCGTGCAAGACCTGTTGCACCGTTTTGAAGTCCTTGGCCTTCAGGCGCTCCGTGATACTGGTCACCCTCTGCATGCGAGCACGCCACTGCTCGAGTTCAGTGCGGGGTCCAGGGACCTCGCCGCCTTCAGCCGGCTTTAGAAGAGATCGAGACGGACTTTCCAAATAATGATGACTGGACTAGATTGTAGGTCGTTAAGTAACCCTAAACCATAAACCCTAACCCGGAAGGTCCTCGTCACTCGTCATGAAGAGAGTGAAGATTCTAATTCTTAGAAAAAAACATGTAGTTGTGAACTTAGTTACAACAAGAGCAAGTCGTCCTCGTCACTGCCATTGTTCATAAAGTAACAGCCTCGTCAGCAGAACCGTCTAGAAACTGTTCGATTTGCTCGCACCATCCGCCAAGGACAGTTTCATAGTAAGCGATCAGATCTGGCTGCGTAGTAACCAAGCTCGCGTAGTCGACACGCTTATCAGAAATATCCTTTTCGGGCTCCAGAGGTTGTAGTTCCTGTTGGCGAATTGCAGGAAATGGAGGATTCAATTTCAGATTGTAAAATCAGCTTCAGCAAGCGCTAGAAGTTTTTTCTATGGTTATCATGGGGAAAAACAACGTGATTATACTTTCTTATACATAGTAGTATGTGGACGAACTTTTTCTCGATTTAAACAAGGCAAGAATGGAGAATAGAATTTGTACAATCCCTCCCGCCATGCTTTTCACCGCGTCACCCAATTCTTCTGAGAATTTTCCCAACATCTTGACGAAATCCGTCTTTTGTTCGCTTGGGCACATGCCGAAGACCGTAGTGGGGTCCGTTTTTTGGACCAGAGGCACAAAAAAAGAGTTCAAACTAGCTCCCATGGAGGCGAGAGGAGCTGCACTAATCTCACCGAAGAGGAGCTCGTTATCCGTGTTGACATCATCTTTGATGGCCTTGCCTTCTCCACAGTTACGCACGAAAAAAACGCCGTGGCCTTTCAGTCTGTTGTAAATGAATGTTGGGTGTGCTGGGGTAGGGGCGCTGAGCAGATTGATGTTGATACTGATTTAGTTTACAACTATAGCATGAACAAATAACGACTTGCATGAACAAATAAGTGCCACGATGCTACTCTACTTTTCCACTTCGCAGCGGAGAACTACGGAGGGAGGCCATTTGTTGTATTCGTGACTCCTGTAAGAGCAGTTGTACCTTTCCTTCTCACCGTAGGTCAAGATGACCTTAGCCTTTCCCGGTCCATCTTGGAACGCGCCTGTTGCCGTGACAACATCTGGCTTCTGGTAGTAAACGAAAAGGTGGCTCTTTTTTGCCGTACCGGAAAGAAAGTCCGTGACCAGGGATTAGAGGCAGAAGCCTTCACAACACTTCTAGTACTACGTGACCAGGGACAAGTACGTGTAGCAGAAGTGAATGCACAACATGGTGTGTTCTATAGCATCATCTGATTTCGATTTGGAGTCTACAACAACCAACAAAGTCATCTTCAAAGTGAAGAATGGTGCCATAAATCTTCGTGTTTGTTTGAAATGCGGCATCGACATCGCCCTGGACGTTAAGATCTCCCTTAGGATCGAAAACGCAGGCGGCGTTTGCCGTCATCCACTGAGTACGAGCTGACATCTTGTTGCTTTTTCTTCTTGGAAACTACAAGATGAAGTTGTTTGCTTCTCCTGTTCTGAAAGGAGAACTAGTTCTTCGTTGTACAACAAGATGTTTTTGAAGAAGTTTTGGCACAACTGATTCTGATCTTGGAAATTCCTGTTAACGTTGTAGCGGAAGATTCTTCTTTTTAGAAGATGTCCGCTTGTTGTTGTTGTATTCCTATTTTTCAGTACACTCCTTGTTGAGTAAGTTCTGCTTGTTACAATCGTTCGTTAATTCTCCTTTTGCGAAGTAGAAGTTCGCGTTCTTCTTCGAAGATTGCGGTTCGACTGCTGTGAACAAAATTCCAGACCCACGCGCTTCAGCGCGTAATCTGTATGATGGCGCGACTGTGCTCTGTACTGAGGTCTTAATCGGAGGATTGCTCCGAACCACCTCTTCTACTAGGCGGTGTTTTTCTAGTTCTACCCCCTCTACTTTCTTCCCCCTCCTATCTTTGGATTGATGTTGTGTTGGATGAATCAGTATAATTGCTGGATCATTCTTGTGTTAGTATACTATTCAGTAGGCGTTGTAGGTCGAGATGGTAGTATGTCGAGATGATAGTAGGCGTATGACTTCGAACGACGCTCAACATCTGAAAGGTTGAATCGATTTGTTACTCCCTCAAACCTCTCTGCGTCTTTTGCTTCACTCGTTCTCGTCCCCCAGCACTTCTATTGGGTCCTCTCAGTTAAAACTTCTGTCCAACGACGATGAATCAATATCAGTGGAACGGCCAACGATGAACACAACATTCATTATACTTGACGAAAACGATCACATGAACAGCGAATGCGAAGTTCTTGTTTTGTAGGTAGGCAACCTTCATCTTGTTTTGCAGTTGCGACATGAAATCTTTGTGAATGGTGATCATGATCTTCTTGAACAAATCAATACGTTTATATAAAAACATTAGATATTTTGAAGCTGAACATGAACAAAGAGTTCTTCGGCAACCTACTTTGATACGAGCGGGAGCGCGGGTTTCGCTTGTTTTGGTGAAGATCCTTTTTTCTTATAATGTATGGCTTCTTCTTCTAGTGAAAATTTTTACGGAAGCTTCTATCTTATGACAATTGCATCATGCTTGTCCTTCTTCACTTCTCCTCAGCTTCACATGCATCCACATTCCACAAGTTGTATTTTTTGAATTTTATCATCTTCATCTAAACGATATACGAGAAGAGTTGAGTGAATATCATCTTTTTTAAGTAGAACAAGATACATAACTACAAGTTGTGGGCATCTAGGATTCACCATGGAAGTCATATTTTCAATACTACCTAAAGTATTCATTTTGCTGAACCAGTTTATTTTAGCAGATCGATATGAAACATTCAGACGAGCCGCGTTGACGCAGTGAGCAGCTGCTAGAAGGATTTAGGTGAGATTCAACTTTTTTAGTGGCATCTATCATTTAGATAGTTGCTCTTGCTCTTTCACTACTTGAGAAACTTAATGTAGAGCAGCGTCATCTTTTCAAAGACCTATTTCTCTATTGGTTTCGTTGTACAACAATTCTACTCCCTCAAATCTTAGATTGAACTACCACTTCTAACAGGTAGACGAAGCAACTTTAGCAATGGCTAAGGAATTCTACTTTCGTGTTTCCAAATATGGTTGGACCCTCCTCGTAAAAATAACATACTTGTTACAAATAAATTCATATATTAGGTGGACTTCCAATATTCTTGTCTTGAATTGTATCGACGCGCTCCGGGCAACGCGGACGATCTGTATCGTTCTCTACGTCATCAAGAACCGCACTCCGATCGTGCTTGGTTCTACAAATCTCGCCGATTCCTCGCTGAGATTTTGCTGAACATCATCAAGGAAGAGTTGCAACATGGCGCGTCTCCTCCGAGTTCTTGTATACAACCGCGTCTTCCTTCTATTTGCTGCCCAGTTCTTCCACAAAAGCTTCTAGCTTGTTCTTGTATTCGACTCGCATATTCGGGGAGTCCTTCAACACCTGACTGACCACTTGGAACACCGCGTCTTTCCGCGATCGCAGAGTTTCTTCTCCTTCCTCTTCTCCAGATTCCGCTGCGTGTACCGAAAGAACCTGGGACCTAATCTCATCGAAGATGTTGCTAAAATGAGCACCGGACTTGACTTCAGGTTAGAGCCTAATCCATCATCTGGAGACAGACTTGTCAACATCTGAAGACGTTGAGATCTACTTATATATACATATTGATATAACGCTGCTTTCCTTTTCCCCTTATGGAAATGGAAAACTGCGGTAATCCTATTAGGTAACCAATTGATGATGTGAATCTACTCGGCAATGTGCCTAAGATTTCCCTGACGATTAGGTAACCAATTAACTATCTGTATCTAGTAGATGGACGATTTTTAGTGGAAGCCGTAATCAGAACAGAACAGTTTCATCGCGCCCTTGTAAAACTCAGGTGCTCTGGGAAAGTCTAAGAGGACATCAGCAAGAGATCTCAAGCCGTCGCCAACCGCGTTTCCTAGTTGCGTGAATTTGCAGGCGCCAGATTCTGCAAGGTGGAATAGAGCTTTCGAAACGGTTTCGGCTCCAAAATTAGAAAATTCAAAACGGTTTCGACTCCGAAAAAAAAAAAGAGTCAGCGGACAGGAAGAGGGTTGTTGACTAAAGTTCTTTGTACTTTTACTTATTGTTGTACTGTTGCTTAGTTATTACTAATATTTTCAGTATGGAAATATTATTCAATAATAATGCAAATCATGCGTGCTGGTACTACCTCCCCTACGTTGTATTTATTTTAGAGAATGAAGATGATAGAAGATTAAGATTCATGGGTCACAAAGAAAATTTTTTGACATTTCATTTTTAATAATAAGAGGGACCTAGGACTTTCTAAGATCAGTATTTCGAAGGAGTAAGAATGAAAAGAGGACTTCAGTCCATTCTCATAAGATCTGTTTTCTCGACTCCGAGTCCTACTGCGATTCTTAGACCCTTTCCAACCATCTCCGGTGTTGGTGCAGCCTTACCCCAGTCCTTCTTGAGACTGTCTACGCTGCCGTCATCCTGGAAGTAACTAATGAGCTTCGCCACCGTCTGCTTGTCCATCTCTTTGCTATCAGCTTTGACTTTCTCTTGGCGTTCTTTGGCATCTGAAAAAGTTTTGGAGGTGGACGGAAGGATTTCAGTTTCAGAGTCAGGCTGGTGGGGAAGGATCAATACAGTCAGCACTGAGATAATAAGAAGTCGTCGAAGATGTTGATATATTTAGGAGGACTCAAAGAAGGACTCAATTTAATCATGACGAGGTAAAAAACTGCACAGGACCTTTCTTCAAAGTCTAAATTTCTATAATAAAGAGTGGAACTGTAAATAAAGAAGACTGCTGACAGAGTCAAATTAAAGAAGAAACACAAGAAAGAATACCAATGATATAATCCGGTCTTGCTCCTCTGACTCGTGTTTTGAAGGCTTTGATTGGTCCAGCTTCGTCTGAGATTTGCTCCTTCTTCTTCGCTGTCTCTTTCTTTTCCTTCTCTTGCCACTTGTTTTGCCTCAGGTCGGTCAAATCCGTGATCATGAACTGAACCCTCTTCGTATACAGATGACCTCCCGCATCCCCTGCCCTCTTCATCACGCGGAGATATTGCAATCTGAAGGTGAGTCATCGGTTTATTTGGTTGGATTATGCAGGGTCAGGTCAGCAGGGTCAGATTATGCACGTACGCACGTCCATACGGATCAAATAATCAAGACGACTATAGTTGTATACGAGCAACCCACGAAAAAAGATAATTCACATTAGTAGTACTTCGCAAAGTATTGTCCCAAGACGTCGCCACTTTGTGCGCTTGTGACGTATTCTAGGGTCTGACCAATCTCCGAAATCAGAGTGCACGCACATTCGACCTCGTACTCCTTGGGTGGCGTCATTTCATCTGCTGCATTCAGCTGGATCAGTTCTTCCAGGACCTGCAAAATGACGCGAACACTCAGCAATTGACGTAGAAAGAGTTAGAGCGAGGAGCCCACACACTAGTAGTACACTATCTTTGACTAAGTCACTAAGTATAATTGATTCATCTCCAGATTCAACAAATCGAAAAGATTGTTCATCTTCTTGAAGCGGTTTTCCACTTACTATGGAAGAACAGTCCCATTGTTCCCAAGATGATCTTCTAGTATGTACATAACTATCACTATCATCTGAAGAAATTGAAGTGATGGAAAAAAACTTTAAAATACAGAATAGGAAAATAAAGTAGAGCCTTAAAAGAGATAGCCGATGAACTTCATGTTCGTGATCGCTTGTCGTTTGCGTTTCTTCATTTCCGCAGCCTTCATATCCCGCTCCATCTCAGCCTCTTCCAAGTCTCTACCATCCATTGTAGTCTGGAGACCCTCAAACTTCTGCTGGCAAACATTCAACAAATTTCGATGGAAAGTGTTCTTCTGCGCCTTGCCATCATCGAACTCGGGTAATCTATTCCACAAGTTGAGGGAGAAGTGTATGAATGTATGTAGTGTTAGTAGTTGCCACAAAACCCCTGATAAGTATAGCCGCGAACGCGATAGGAAGTAAACCTAGTAAACACTAGTATAGCTGTGAGTAAGAAGTGGAAGTAGACGTACATAGTTAGTAGAAAACTAGTCCAGTTGATAAGAAGTGTACCGGTTCTTCAATCCGTAGACCATGTCTGCGTATGTCTCGCAATAGTGGTCCTCCCCTAAGGCTTTTGAGTAGATCATATTGATCACCATCTCCAAATCGGAATGATTCTCGATCCTGTGGTAGTGTAGGAAAAGTAGAAGGATCGATACTAGAAAGACCAAATAGCGTGATCATAAAGAATGCGAATTCGTTATTAGGCAAAGTCACTATGGAAATAGTGTAGATGCGGATTCACCAAACATCAAGCAGGAAGAGAGTGAGGGAGAACGAGAGAAGTTTTCACATGTGAAACTGAAAAGTGGGTAGTTGATTCCTATCAATCTATCAATGTGACTCGAAAAAACATCGTGAAGTCTTTTACTCAATCTTCGCCAGCTGGTCAACGATGGTCTCTAAATTGTCGGGTGCAATTTTGTTCAATGCGCTCTGAACTTGTCGCTTAATTTCGTCGTCGCGTGTCTTGGTACCTGTATTGGAGGATTGGTATTGGTACAACTACTGGAGTAGAAGGAGAGCAGGTAGTAGATATTTATTAGTAGTAGATCTGACTACAGTCACAGTATAGTAGATGTACCTCCGACTTGATAAGCGTTTTCCGTCTTATGCAGTTGCTGATTGTACTTCGCAGGAGCATGAGTTCCGATCAATTGCTTGCGGTCGTGTACCCTGTCAAACGGATCCGATTCGTCCACACTGAAAGGATTGCGTTTACTTCTGTTCACCTTATTCGCCCAACCTTGGCTGCCCGTCTTATTCATCTGGCTGCTGCTCTTATTCATATTGCCATAGCCTCCAGCTTTGCTGTCCTGTGAAGGTAGTAGAAGAAGAAAAGTCCTGTGCTGGGGTTTATTGCAATTGCTTGCCTGTGTGTCCTGTGAAGGTAGAGGAGTTGTGCTTCTCTGTGTGCCGTGATGAAGTTGTGCTTGTCCTTCTAAAGATGTAGTAGTTGAAACAAAAAGATGAAATGAACCGCTTTTATGCATGCTCTTGTCTCTGTTTATATCATCGCTCGTGATGAACTTCTCCTTTTATGACTGTACAAAGAAGTCTAAAACTATCAAATATTAAAGTCCTCCTAGACATCATATTATATATAAGTAAATCTATATAAGTATAAAAATACCCCTTCCCTCGCAGCTGTGGTCCATCTGAGTCGTTTTCCATCTAGTGTCGCTGGTGGGGAACCGAACATGTTCTTCCTCTCCATGTCCTGGCGAATATTTATCATCCACGCCCTCTCGTAGTAGCGATGGATGGATGCATTTGCCGGGTTCTGACTAGCGCCGAGACTGGTCGTAGACGAGGTCACGGAGGTGGTTCCTGGGTGTGCCTGGGATGAGGACTGCTGAGGGAGCAGTTGTCCAGGTTGATGTTGCTGGTGTCCTGGTTGCTGTCCTGCTGCTGCTCCTCCAAGGAGATTGCCGTTAGCACCTGCCTGACCTAACATCTGCTGCAAGGGCAAGGGTTGCCCACGTGCCTGCACTCCAGCTTGACCTGCTACTTGACCTGTCGTGTTCGAACCTGCTACAACACCTGCAGCAACAGCTACTCCTGCAGCAACAGCTACTCCTGCAACATTGCTGTTCAGATTAGAACTCAGCAAAACAATGCATTTGTTTCTTCGCTTCATCATTTCTTTCTTCATATTAACCTCAAGAAGGAAGAAACAGAAGAAACAAAATCACTGCTGGAATTGGAAACAAGCTTTGAAGCAGAGAGAATTGCATCAAGTTTGATTGATTGTCATCCTGAGTGGTACTCCTCGACCACCGGCAGGACGATACAATTCCACAAGTGTACCCCGAGGGGCGGCCGTGGGACTGCGAAGCCTGAAAAGGAAGAAAAACAAAAGGTAAAGAGCTGATTTCTCCGAAGAGAAGAGCCTTGACCAGCTGCCAAAAGAAAATCAAGTCTATGCGCCTTAATCAAATTAGTCCCTGCTCCTTGCTGCTGTTGCGCTAACATGCCTTGCTGGGTTAGCATGCCTTGTTGAGCAAGTTGGTTCATATTGTTCTGCCCAGCCAAGTTTTGCATCCCCTGTTGCTGCAGTTGCAAATTCTGCTGACCCATCATTTGGCCTTGCATCTGCCTGTTATTATCCAGTGCTTGCTGCTGTTGGGCCAACACCGGAGCCTGATGGAGGTCGTGGGAGGAGGAAATGTTTGTAGACGCAAGAACTACAATACCCGGATAGAAATAGTGATTTTTCATGGCATACATATAACTACCAGCATTCGTCATAATCTTTATCTTCTTAACAATAACATTCGTCATTGACAATGGTATTGATTCAATAGAAAATAGCAGCTCTACTAAATCGTGCTGTAGTCAACGGGATCGATCAAGGTCAAAAAAATAACAACAACAAAAATTACCGCATCCCGCTTGTGTTCATACAACTGCATAAACTGCCTCTCCTGGTCTTCGAGGGTTCCTTGGGTCATTTTCTTCTGCTGTAGCGTGGCGTAGGTCCGATGTTCATCATTAATCGGATGATCCGGAAACATCCACGAGACAACATGTGGTGGCAATGCGACAATGCCCGCGTGCATACGATTGTTCACAAAAGTGAGGATTAGAGGAAGATATATGCAGAGAAAAGACGTGGTGGTCGCCACACCAGGTGGTTCTGGTTATCATCATGTTGTGTAGTAACAAAAAGGAATGGATGAACGAACAAATTGTTCAAGGAAGGAAAGAGGGAAGTCCTCGAAGTGGAATCAAAAACATATATCTTCAGTTGATCAAGAGAATAATAATAAGATGAACCTAGGACTTTCTAAGATCAGTATTTCGGTGGAGTAAGAGTCAAGAGAATAATAAAAGAAATAACAATGGAACTACATAAGTTAATCGCTGGATGCCAGGTTGAGAAGACATGATGGTTGCTCCGGTACAGCGTCTGCAAAATGGGTCTCTCGCTGAAGATTTCTTGCCAGTTCGCCTGGTTCTGCATCAGCTGGTCTAGCGCCTCCTTTGCTACTGGAATGTGCGACTGGTTGTGCGTCAGCATACTTTGGATCTGTGTTCAGTAGAATATATATTTTTTTTTAATGATGAACGAATGAACGATGAACTAAACAAGAATTGTACTAGTCCCATATTTATAAGTACGTAGTCGCTCCTTCCTTCTAAATACCACTACCGTAGACAGAGGTTAGGTCAGGTTGTCGATCCTGCACATCGAGCACCCCGGCATTCCCCAGCTTTGTAAAAATATGCAAGAAGAAGGCATACTTTGGATCTGTGTTCAGAATCTTTTTTTTTTTTTAATGATCATGAATAAGGAGGACCAGCAAGAAGAATTTAATTGTTAAACTATTCTGATAACTACCGTCTCATGCAATTGTGACTGAAAATCCGGAGTGAGCATCCGCAGGGGGATCTTTTTCACGTCGCCAGCGTTATTCTGTGCTTGAATTGCCTGCTGAAGCGTCTGGGTCAGATTGGCAGCAGTTACCCTGTAGAGGTAAAGGGGAGGAATGAAAAAACTAACCACGATGAGATATTGTTATTGATAGTAGTTTGGATGCAGCTGCAGATATCATAACTTATTGGTAAGAGAGTCCTCCAGGAACGATGAAAAATGGTACTAGTCAGTACAATGGCAAGCAAATTTCCGTGAACTGCTTTCTTCCCCACTCCTTGTTTTGGATTGTATTTCGGTAGTAGTTGAAGCAGATGTTTTTCACCGCCTGGCGATCGTTGTGATTTACCCAAGTATCTCCCATATTCACGAGAGCTTGGGCAACCACTTCTTGAGCGTGTTTCTGTAGAAGGGTAGGTGGAAAAAGCAAATTATCTTCACGAAGCAAGTACGTGGTACGAAGATGAAGAGCCTAGGACAACTTGATATATATTATAATATTAAAATTATATAATAAATGAAAATGATCATGGGGTTACAACTTGATATTATATATAAAAATTGCTTCTTCTCTTAGGCTCCCTCGAGCAGTAGTACAACTTCTACCTTGATATAAAATCATCATCTGATGAAATTATACCTCAACCAAGGATCGCATGATCCCAGCTGCATGCTGCGCGATTTGATCGTGAGTCTGCAGGAATTTTTTCACTTCTTCTTCAATGTCCGACGTGTAGATCTCATTCCATTAGAGGCACCGACAACCCGACTGGATCTTTTAGAACCAACATGCCGTAGAATGACCACGTCTCTCAGTGAGTCTTTTCGAGTAGAAACTGGCTAAAAGATGCTGTCAAAGATGGGTTGACGGTGCCCTTAATTGAAGAGTTCTGTCACGATCTCCGTATTGAGTCTTTCCATCTCCTGCTGCGAAAATCCAAACTCCTGTAGGCGGCTCTTGCAAGCGAGCATCAAGCTCTGGTTCACAGCTTGACTTTGTTGCACTTTGTTGTGCGCAATCTGCATCTCCGTCTGAGCCTGGATCAACTGAGCATGCAGATTACCCGGCTGATTCATTCCCGCGGCCCCTTGGAGGCTTAGAGGATCATCATCAGGAGGAGCTCACAGGAAGAAATGCCCTAGAAAAATGTAAATGAGGTGGAGCTGGTGGACCTAGGAATATTAACAAAGAACTTGATACTATATAAATATAATTTTCCCATTAGAATCGGCGGGTTCGTAGGCAATTAGTGCACAGTATTATAAGGAGGTAACCGGACTCCACCCGCCGCCGGTTTGCGAACCGGATAAAGCTGAGGCCGCTCCTTCAGTAGCCCCGGGATCCAAAAAAAAAAAAAGAATCTTTCTGAATCTGAAATAAGTTGTGCTGTTGAGCCATAATTGTTGTTGCATGTTGTTGTTCATGCCTTGTTGTACGGGTCCCATGTTCACGCCACCAGTGTTGGAACCTAGTTGTCCTTGTTGCTGTTGTTGTTGTTGCATTTGCTGTCCTTGTTGCTGCTGTTGATTTTGTTGCATGTTCCACTGCTGTTGACCTGCGAAGAATTGCTGCTGTTGCTGCATCCCACCCTGCTGTTGCATCTGGTTCTGCTGCACAACTCCCAACTGGTTCTGCTGCACAACTCCCATCTGGTTCTGCTGCACACCTCCCATCTGGTTCTGCTGCACACCTCCGATCTGGTTCTGCTGCACAACTCCCATCTGGTTCTGCTGCACACCTCCGATCTGGTTCTGCTGCATACCTAGCTGGTTCGGTGGCATGTTATTCGGCTGCACGCCTCCCATGTTGTTCGGGACTCCCATACTACCCTGCTGTTGTGCTCCACCTTGCACAGCCATCCCACCTTGTCCTCCAGCAGCGACCAAACCCTGTTGCCCTTGTTGCACATTACCTTGCTGAATGGCGCGAATAGCTGTACCGGTCACTGTTCCGACAAAACTGCCTCCACTGGGATGAAATTCTGGTGCCGCTTGATTCAGAGTTGTGGTACCGGTTGTAGAAGCTGTCGTGCCAGTGGTCGCAGGAGCAGTGCCAGTTGCAGCCGCTCCAGCGGTTCCAGTCGCCGCTCCAGTGGTACCACTTCCCGTCTCAGATGTAGTGGGAGCCAAGGCCTTATTCTTCAGCTTAGTACGTCCTTTAGCGGTAGCTGCTGCACCTGATGTTGTAGTTGCGTCTTGTTGGATGGAATGATCTTTGAGAATAATTAAGTAGTGTGCCGTACCACAAAAGATGAGAACGAAGCCGCATGATCAACAACTACCACGCGTAGAGAATAACAACAAGAAAGATCTAAGTATTACCAGTGCTAGGATCGTCCGGGGATTGTTGCAGCTTCTTTGCCGGTGACAGGGTCGACAGCGCAAAGCTAGGTAGACTTTTTCGCGATTGCTTCTGCTGATTTTTATTTGTATCCAACGCTAAAGCCTGGATCAAATTCGAATTTCCCTTTCGCATTTCGAAATTTTCCTCACTCTGTGTTGATCCTTTTCGCTTTCTTCTCGTCTCTTCGTTAGAGTCCTTGTTGGAACCTGGAGTGGTGGCTTCTCCTGCGCCTCCCGTAGCAGCTGCAAAAGCTTCAGCATCCTGAGGTGAGGCGCCGAGACTCTTAGCCTGAGGCCGTCTCATTGACTTGTCATCTTGCTCACCTGGCGGGTGTGTAATATATATAAATATGGTGGTGTTTGAGTTATTTGGCTCGTCTTTGATGCGCAAGATGAAATGGTTTTTATCTTCACAAACTACTTCTCTAAGACTTGTTCTAAAGACAAGTAGGTTAAATCTTCACGAAAATATCTGCTACTCGAGGAAATGCAACTTCGTCTTGAATATTAAATTTACTTATGTTGAAATTATGTCTTGTTAGTCTGAGGAGAAGTACCATCACCTCCTTCTTCTCCTGAAGATGGTCCTGGAACTGTTCCTTTAGATTCCGCACCAGCAGGTGTTGCAGAGGAGGATGAAGTCTTGTCGTGAAGGTCTTCTATATTAGAGGAGGAGCTCAAAACGATTCATTTCTGCCGTTCATTTCTTCAGAATCAGATTCCCCACTTCTTGTATGCTACACTTACAAGAGAGGACAAGGAAACAGCATGAATTGTTGTAGAAATGAATTTCTTATTTTTTTGAGCCATAACTTTAGGTGGTCGTCTTGGATCGTGGAACAACTGGGGTTGTCTTCCCGACGCTGGTATAGGTCGCCGATGCGTTCCGTGACCTGCAGCTTTAGTTGGGAAGATTGCTTTGCTCGTTTTGTTTTTCATCTCGGTCGCTTGATTCAGAAATAACTCCTTCAATTCTTGTCGCTTGTTGTAGTCGGCGCAGTAATCCGCCTCGATCTTCTTGGGGCCACCCTCCTGACTGCCTCTCCTGGCAGCACGGTTCTCCCCGCCTTGATGATGCCTCTGACCACCTCTTCCGTGATGGTCTTGCATCCTTTTCGAACCAGAGGAGGTCGCTCCGATTGGCAAGGTGATCGTTTGCGGTGCAACTCCAGAACCAGTCGTTTTCGAGTTCGACGTCGTCGTCGTCGCACCAGGCGTGTTACCTGTAGTAGAGCTAGAAGTTGTTGAATCTGGTTCTTGTTGGTCCTTTGCTGAACTAGGTCCTCCGGTTGGTGACGCTGCACTACAACTGGTGACGCCGCTAGAAGTTGGTAAAAGCGCTGATACGGGTGCTGAGACCTCCACTGCAGCGCCAGGGCCGTAACCTGGTGAAGCGCCGTCCGCTCCTACACGACTAGCCTCGTTACTGGCTCCGTCCGTAGTTCCACACGAGGAAGCAGGAACTCCTGAGTCTTTATCACCTCCAGCGGTAGCACTATCTCCTTCTGCTACTGTCTTGGTGGACGATGAGTCTTTAATATCAGCTGTGCCAGAAGTTGAAGTTGTACCCTTTTTACCAGTTGTACCGTCCTTGTGTTCTCCTCTGCCATCTAAAAGAAGATTCAAGTTCTTCGATCCTGCGAACGGAGGTGCTTTTATTAGACCTTGTTTCGGGAATCCATTCATTTGGAAGAAAGTCATCTTGGACCCGGCCTTACATCCCTTACACGACGGAGGCGCAAGATGCTTCTCAAAAGAATCGGAGATTTCCGGAAACCTTAACTTTATCGGACCACCTCCGACAAACGGTGCGCCAAATGCCGGCTTTCCTCTCTGTCTCAAAGCTGCTGGATCTAACGGCCCTCTTCCCTGCTTCCCCATCGAAACGCCTCCTCTGTGACTAGTCTTGGTGTCAAATTGCTGTATTAAGTCCTGCAACTTTTGGTCTTTAACCTTCATCGCCACTTTTGTTCTATTAGAAGTGGCCCCTTGTTCTGCTGCAGAGCCCGATGTTGAGGCACTCTTCCTCTCCGAAGCGTCTCCTGAAGCCGCTGTTGTGTTGCTATCAGCTGCTCCCGAAGCTGTTGCTCCAGTTGCTGTCGTTCCAGTTCCCGATGCAACATTTGCATTATTGTTTATCGTAATCGTCGTGCCAGGTGTTGTAGAGACCGTTCCTGGCACCACAACTACTCCACCTCCTACACTTCCGACCACTGTATTCATGAGAGTGTTGTTTGGAGGCGCTCCTAGGCCGGAAGTGCCGGAAATCAAAACGCCTCCGCCAGCTCCTCCCATTGATGTTCCTCCATTCAATTGGATCAAGTTCGTTGTTGCAGGAGCGCCGGGGGGAGGGGGACCTCCACTGCTCGTCACGACCATAGGAATAGCAGGTCCAACGCTTTGCGTACTGGTCAACAACTGGCCAGCACCGCCTAAGCCGCTCATCAGTCCACTCGTACCTAAATTTTGGCTAGATGAAGTTGGTCCTCCCAACGTTAGCGCGCCACCGCCGCCTGCGTTGTTCTTCTTGACGTCATCTGCAGTAAGTGCCTTGCCCGATGACGGATCGATGATCTGAAATTTGGGCTTGGGTTTTGCCTGGGTCTGGGCTACTGGTGCGCTAAAGGTCGACGGCAGAGATGGGTTACCACGACCAGCTCCACCAGTTACAACTTGGTTAACGCCACCACCTGTCCCTCCAGAAGCACCTCCAGCACCTGCCCCGACTCCGCCAAAGGAATTAACGCCAGTGTTCATATTATTCTGTGGAGGAGCGTAGAAAGCACCAGCGCCGCCAGGCATATTGTTGTTCTGCTGGTTTTGAGAACCTCCGGGAAAGAACATACCGCTACCACCAGGAGGTCGCCAGAAGTTTCCAGCACCCTGACCACCGTCACTTTGCGATATAGTTGAAGAACCGACTGAGGAAGTCGCTACGAGCTTTTCGCTCTGTGACAAGTTGGCCATTTGGGACAAGTTGCTGGTGGAGATAGTGCCAACAGGTTGTTGCTGACCACCCACATTGTTGGTCGTTCCTTGCTGGCCTTGTTGACCCATCGTCCCAGCTTGACCTCCTACTTGTCCACCTCCCATCTGATTCGCATTTCCTCCGCCCATAGTGCCACCCATCGTTCCTCCTCCTATAGTGCCTGGCATGCCCATCGTGCCCATCATGTTGTTTTGGCCTATCATGTTGTTTTGGCCACCAGCGGCGTTGGTCATCATGTTATTGCCACCGCCTCTCTGTTGATTATTGCCCATGCCCATCATGTTCATGTTGCCAGCAGCAGTAGTATTGCCTCCAGCTCCACTATTATTGTTTTGCATCATGTTGCCCATGGTATTCACTCCGCCCGAATTGTTCATCATACTAGCAGGACCTCCATTAGCAACTCCTCCGGGACCCCCTTGACTTGTGGTAGGTGGGAGATTGCTGTTGCCAGTAGGAGGAAGATTGGTGTTTCCGCCCATATTGTTACTGCCAGCGTTGTTTCCCATCATGTTATTTCCCATCATATTGTTGTTGGGGTTCTGCGGTGGCGGCTGGCTCGGACCACCCATAGTTGGCATGCTTTTGTTAGACGAGTAAGCTAGTAGAAGAAAAAGATGTACAATTAGCAAAGCGAAGATTAGTAGGATGCAATGGAATTTAAAAAATCGAATTTGAAGACTGACATTTTGGAAGTTTAGTTAGCACACCTAGGGCAGCTCCAATTGACCGATACTCACTCATGATCATTTTTCGGATTGTAATAAGTGAATTCACCAATCATCATGTTCGAAGGAAATAAGTGATAAACGCAGTTGTGGTTGATTGTCATAATATTCATGTTGTTTCCTCCTCCCATTTGGTTTCCTCCTGCTGACGGCATCATCATGTTTGCATAGGGCATGGACATCATCATGTTGTTACCACCTTGCTGGGAGGACATGTCACCTCCAGTACCTTGCATGCCGTTATTATTGCCACCACCTCCTCCTCCGGTCATGTTAGAATTATTTGGCGGACCACCTCCACCTGCTCCCATCGGATTGATATTGTTCACTCCCGCAGCACTACTATTGGAGTTGTTGTTGTTTTGCCCTGCTCCACCTCCCAACACACCCATGTTGCTACCAAGAATAGGTGGCTGTGGGGGCAACTGTCCCATGGGACCACCTGAAGCATTTCCTATATTGGAGTTGTTCATGCTATTGCCTCCGTTACCACCCGCCATACCTCCATTCGTATTATTCATATTGCCTCCGTTACCACCCGCCATACCTCCATTCGTATTATTCATATTGCCTCCGTTACCACCCATACCTCCATTCTGGCTGCTTCCTCCCATGCTTGAATTCATGCCACCAGTGCCACCTAAACCGCTATTGTTCATCCCACTGTTATTCATGCCACTGTTATTCATTCCGCTATTGGTCATCCCACTGTTATTCATTCCGCTGTTAGTCATGCCACTGTTATTCATTCCGCTGTTGCTTCCTCCCATGCCGTTATTCATATTGTATTGGGGATTTCCTTGCATGTTTTCTACACCGGATGAACTAGCACTACTGGAGTCGTGGGTACTCCAACTCCTGTTTCCTCCACCGCTATTGTTATTGTTGTTATATCTCCCACCTCCGCCACCGCCGCCTCCCCAGCCGCCGCCACCTCCACCGCCGCCCTGATGTTATATATAAGATTCAAATTACTGAATGAAAGTAAACGAGTTGTCCGTCGAAGTTTTTGAGGTTTGAAGTTGTCAAAGATATGACTTTCTTTGATTTAGGATTTAGGGACAAAAAAAGGTAATAAAGTCGACCACGAACACCGAGGCATGTGACCTGAGTAAAGTCGTCGCCGTTGTAGATGACCGCTGTCCCCGTGGATCTTTCCTACTACGAGAGGAGTCCTCTCGTAGTAAGAACAATAAACACCAATATTAAACAGATTGAGGGACAAATGACTTTCTTTGATTTAGGGACAAAAAAAGGTAATACCTGCTGGTTCCCACCCCAGCTGCTACTCCACCAGCCACCTCCCCTCGCGCTGTATGACATCTTGGCAGGTCACTCAATCGAAACTACTAGCGGATCTATGACAACTACCTAGCAATATGTTTATGCAGCTACTTCTTGGTCGGATGATTTACAACGAAGTATGCGAATGGAATCAATGAATACCGAATGCGTAACGTCGTTCGACGGAAGATAGTTAATCAGATACAATCAGTGCTCGTCGTGGAAAAAAAATCCACGTTTTGACGGACTCAGCAAAGAGATACTGAGATGGTAGTAAGTTATGACATGAAAACTATGACAATAAATATGTCGCGAAATATACGAAAATCGCGTAAGTAGCTACATGAATAAGATTCGAATTCGATGAAAAAATATGCAGATGACACAATACTTTCACACAAAAAATCTTCTAGCTTTAGCGACGTGACTTCTTATCCTACTTGTGACTTCTTGTCGTGACAAGTAAAGTTCTTGTACTATATTAGTACCAATTAAAAAAGGATACAACGAACTCGAAGATTAATAGACACGCAATAAACATGAAAGGGCGCCCATCAATGTTAGAGCTACCCTTAACCCATCCCGTGCATAGATCCGGTTAAAATACTCACCCCAAAAGTACTGGCCTCAATACGACAACCCGAGAATCCACGAGGCAGCACTACCAGCGCAGTACATTAACAGGATCCACGTGGGGTTGGGCTTGTGTTTTGTGAAGCCTTAACAATGTTGTGTGATCATGATCAACCTGCGTAGTGCGGTAAGTGAGGTCGAGACCTTTGCTCGACACCGATAAAGGGATCCTTTCGCGTGTTTCGCATTTTCGTAACGCATCCCAGCAAAAACAGTAGGTCCTCTAGCTCTTCTACTTCACGCCGCTGAAGAAGTAGACCTGCACGTAGAGGACGCAAGCATCATTGCATCATTTTTTCACTTATAGTTATAATACCTTAACACTTAACAAGTAAGACAATAACTAAGACGCCTAAGAAAGACGAAAAGAACTCCCTTTTTTTAAGTACTTCTATGACAATTATCTTCCATGATCAGTCTGTCACATGTATAAAAAATAGTACTTGTTGTTGTGCTTCTATCTAAGGTGGTGACAACGACACGGATCTTCCTAGAAGATAGTGTCTGTGTCTAAGTCTATGTAGAGCAAGTTGTAGGTACGAGCAGATGAGCAGTAAGGCCTTTCTCGAATTTTTTATCTAGATATTTTTTCACTTATATGGACACCGGTACTACAAACTCACAGTGAATTACATCACAACAAATTCACCACAAGGAAGACCCGTCTACGTCCTCTAGTAATACTCAATAGGATAGTAGTATTATTATTAGTCGTAGTAGTAGTAGTAGTAGTCGTAGTAGTAGTAGTGTGCCCAATCTTGGGGATAGATCTATATAATGCTATTGCTAGCCATAGCGAGCTTCAGGGGTAGTTAGAAGAAGCAGTGTGTGTCGATTTTAGATTGCCTTAGCCTTGAAAGAACTCTGAACAAAATAGGAATTAATATGGCGCAGGTACTTCTAGGTTATCTTCTATCTCTGATTTTAGCCGACAAAATCCAATAAATCTTGCTTGGTCAGAAATCTCTGGGTGCACGATCAAAACATCAATAAAAAAAAGTTGTGAGACGTAGCTGTACCACGGCTACTTAAGGCCCCCGAAAAGGCCTGATTATTACTGGTGAGGTGGTTGCTCTTTCGAGGCTTTTTTTTGAAATAAAATACCGGAGGACTACAACTTCTGGTAATTATACATTGATTTTCCGTCTCCCGTCATCATCTAATGAAGATCGACTTAACCAACTTCTGGTAATTATACATTCATTTTCCGTCTCCCGTCATCATCTTCATCTAATGATCGAGGACTTAATAATGACTCGGTTGGACTTGGATTCCGATTCATCCTACTCGTCGATGTTGCATTCAGATTTTTTTGCCAACATGATCCAGGAAGATGATCGATCACATCAAGAAGTGACTGCTTGCAGAGATGTTCATCTGACAGGGAATTGCTTTGGTGCGCGATGAAGAGACTGCAGATTCAGATCCTGATTCAGATTCACCAGGTAGGATTGGCATTCTCGTCAAGAAGATTAGGAAAAGGTCATGTACATCAAGACCGCCGCCCGACTAGCACCGGCCTGAAATTGAGTCCGGACAAGAACAACGTTGAAATCAAAATCCAGATAGGCTGGTGCCCGAACGAGCACATCCATGCGCGAATGAGCAAAAGCCTTCACGTTCAAACTATTCTCGCGCACGCCCTCGACATGGCGTGCCTTTTCAAAATGATTGATTGTGATTCTTTACGAGATTCTTTTTCTGATGAATGCAGCACATTGATTGAGACAAGAAAATTCAGATTCAGTAGGATGATGTTGCCGGGAGCCCTGACCATGAATGACATCGTTTCTTCGTGATAGTGTGTAGGCACGCACATGAACGCGCGCGCATATGCTGAATGGGATCACGGGTTTCGATTATCTATCATCGCAACCGCCGTCGCTCGTACGTGTAGGCTAAAAAATTTTCGTGAACTAAATTCCTGGCATTTTTAATTTCGGATCATCGGAGAGGAGGCATACAAAAATGTACGTAAGGAAGTGCTCCAAGATAGTCCCTGATAGTATGATCTTTGACCTTGAGGGGAAAGTTGTGCAGAACGAAGGACAGAATCACAGACGCCACTCTCACGCCCAACACTCGTAGGAACTGGCAGCGGGGCCGCCCCAGCGAAGGAGTGTGAGCCGCACTCTCTCGAATGTGGGCCACGTCGTCGCGTGAGTATAAGTCAGGTCTTGATCTTATGAGCGTGGGCCGCGTCTTGTGAGATTTATAATGTGAGCAAGCCGAAGCTTGCGAGAGTGAGCCGCGCCGTGTGAATGCGAGTCGCGTCGATCTTGACCTGTGAGCGTGGGCGAGTCACTCCTTGCGAGTGCGTCTCGCGTCTCCTCTCGCGAGTGAGTGACTGAGGCTGTGAGCCGCGTCAGTCTTGTGAGTGTGGGCCGTCTTTATCTTGTGAGTGATGTGAGTCGTGTCACGCGAGTACCAGCCACGCCTTGCGAGCGTGAGCCACGTCGCCTGACAGCGGGCCGCGTCTTGGGAGTGTGAGATAGTCACGCCGTATGGTTTTAGGTCACGTCTTGCGAGTGCGATTCGCGTCCTGTGGGTGTCATTCGCGTCGTGTGGGTGTGAGAGAGTCGTGCCTTCCTTGTGAGTGCGGGGGGCCGCGTCTTGCGGGTGCGAGTTGTCTTGTGTCTCGTGCGTGCTGTGAGTCACGTCCCGTGGCGGAGGCGATTCAGTGCGAGCCGTGTATTGCGAGTTTGGGGTAAGTAGACTGAGGCCCTTTTGGCTGTAAAGAAACACGCCGGGTATGGCTGGGTTGGTAGTGGTTGAGACTCTTGCTGGGCTGTCAGAGAATGAGAACGAAGCCGCGCATGGGTGAGGCTTGCGCGCGCCCTTACCACCCGACCTCCCTGCGATTGCATGAAACGGGCGCAGCTGAAGCTGAGCATGCCTTAGCCTTGAGCGGGGGCGGCCGGGCCACAAGTCGCGCAGCCTCGAGGGTCAAAGTATGGGGCTGCAGCTGGGCTAAGGGCTTGCAGGAACCGCCTGACCGCCTTGAAAGGGCGGATGCGTGAGGCTGTGGCGGAGTGGGTGTGTCTCGGCTCGGCAGCGTGTTTGAATGAGTGAGGGGGAAGGAGCAGGCTGAAGGTGTGCTCGGTTCGTTAGAGTGGATCGCCCGTGGCAGCTGGGCGGCGTTGCAAAGTGAAGCGGGCTGCACTTGGTTGAGAGAAGGGGGGCGAGAAGCGTGCTGCGGCTTCCTCATCTGGGGGCAATGGGCGGCTATGCTGCTCGGGGGCTCGGCCTTGGCTGGTTGTGCTTGTGCTTGTGCAGGAGCTTCGCTTTCCTTCACACTGGTCGCCTTTGTTTCAAAGGGGTCGACTTTTTTCAAAGCGTTCGGCCTTTTCATCAATAAGAGAGATTTTGGTCGATTCTTTACAAGTCGACTACTAAAAGACTCTACAAAAGTGACGCCAAGTAGACGCCTACAGACTCTACCCTTTGAAAGTCTACAAAAAAACACTCATCCATCGCCTTGGTCTCTCTCATTACATTTTTCTTCTCAATGAGTGGCACCGTACATTCGTCGGCTACCGCCTCCGCGGGTGGGCGTAGGTCTTCGCCATCACTTCCACGCGCATTGCCCGTGTGATGCAAGTTCGAAACGCCCAAAGCGTGGAGAGCAGTACGAACACGATCTTTAGCGAAGCATTTAGGAAGCAATGGCGGGAGAAAGAGAAACCGTCTGGCCTCCTGTAAATAAATCGTCCGACAAATAAATTAGCACAGTGACGTAGCGATAATATCGATTACTGAGGTCGCCGTGGACGCCCAAATTCATCATCTTTTCCGATTTCTCCTCTGATGGCGTCGCATGCACTTGCCGGGCGCCTTGGTCTAGTTTCAGCTCACTCATGCTGTCGCCCCACGTCTTCGACGCGCCGTGGCCGTCCCACTGTGGCCTAGATGAAGTATAGTGGTCGCCGTCCTCTTCTCCTACAACATCACATGCAACATAGAAGCTGAAGCATAGATAGTCGTCCTCTTCTTCTTCCACAGCATGAGGATGCTCTTTCCTATCCTTTTGCTCTACAACTTGTTTAGTCGTATCCCCTTGCTTATTTCTTTGTTGGCAGTTGTAGAGCAATTGCGCAACCCGCTTATCCAGCTCTCGCAATAGGTGAGCGCCAGGCTCAACAAACGCAGCTATTTTTAGAGCTGCCGCGTCGTATCCCTCGTAGCATCCTTGGTCTCTTCTCCTACTTGAAAAAGAGATCGAGGATGGCGTCGAAGATGGATGCATCTGCGATAGCCATAATTTTTCAACATGACTTCTCCCTGAAGAGGTTGCAGCTCTTTCTGTTCCATAACTTAGGGTAAGCCCACTCGTCGTTTCGCTGTGCATCCTGCATGGCTACGCCACCCCTGCTGACCAGATGACAATTGCTCGCTTGAGAACAACATGAGCAGAAGTTTGAAGACTTTCCGTCTCGTTTTCTTGTGATGATTTCGAAGATTATCAGAGTATCTGTGCGATGTAGTAGTTGTATCAGAGCCCATCTTCTTTTTTTTGGCCTTCATTAGAATCGTGAGCGTAGGCAAATACGGGAAGTTTAGCTTTTAGATATGACTTCTCTGCTGTCCCGTAATCGTTAGCCAAGCCAGGGAGCGAGTCACATGCTTCACTCGCAAGAAAATCCTCGATCACACATAGAAGAGGCGACTCACAGCGCGCAGCCATACTTGGACGTCGAAGCATCTTCTAAGGACGCGCGAGTCTCGTGCGAAGTCCATTGCTGTGCTGCAGTTCATAGCTTCTAGCAGGTTTCCTTGATTCATCTGTAGCTTACCTTCTACCTTAGTTTTTTCACATTATTCAGATTTTTTAGATCAATACCTAGACCATTCTTGATAGTATTTAGATTTTTCAAAAACATTTTGCGAAACAAATCGGCAACATTATGATGCAGCATGAGGAGTTGAGCCTTACGGGAATTTGGGGAACAAGAATGGGAGGAAAATCCCAGGCGTTGCATTTGAACCAATAGAGACAGACCGCTTAACCAAAAACAGAAGAGACAGCTTCACGACTTGGGTCACAGCACAGAAAGGCACACAGCAGCACCAGCACAAAAAGACCGGATCACCAGAGACACCATGATGATTCAGCACAGAGGTTTGGACAGCGCAGGGGCTTAGAACGGGAGGCAGACCTTTGCTGAAACGAGTGCCCAACACCGACGACGTTCTTGCCATTTCCGAGAGCGAGAAGAAAGCGCGCTCTTCGTGCACCAGGTCCGTTTGATTTCCGCAGAATATCTGGAGCCCGGGGCCGCTGGTTGTTACAACGTCCGAAAAATTCCGAAAAAATTTGAAAACCCAAGACCTAAGCGCAAGACAATGCACAACCAACCACCACGGAAAACTATCACACCAAGAGGCGCTCAGGGCTGGAGTCAATGCCGAAACGGCGAGCCCTTGGGCAACCCACGATCGGCACACAGGCCGAGCGCCTGCCGCGGAGCCTGTAGCCCATCACCTAGCCCTTGCCCTCCGGCCATCTTCCGGGGCCCCACGGGGTAAAATGCAAAAGGGCCCCAACCTCGAGACCATTGCAACCCCCCTCCCTCCAGTCCACCTCATTGGACCCGAGGAAGAAAATAATTTCCGAAGAAATTACCTTTAGCCAGAAAATAAATTATTTCTAGAAAATTCCTAGAAAATTCTAGAATAATTTTACTTTGCTAAAAAAGGGCCCACGAAGGTGCCCACGGAGGCACCCCGCAGACCCCCGCGTGACCCCTTGGGTAAGAATCAGTCACCCGAGCCCCCTGAAACCCAGAAAGCTAAATGAAGACACCACCTGGCCCTCAACCTGTTGCCCCAAATGCCCCTACCCCATCGAACTCCCAGCACACCTCTCTGACACGGAGCTCGACCACCAACACCCCAAACCGATCCAAAGGCCCACCCCAACCCCCCGCGGCCCCCGATCATCCCGGAAGACAACAACACCAACAAGCGGGCACCTGAGCTCCTGCAGGAATGCCCCCCAAAACCTGCCGAAGAGATACCCACACGAACAACCAACGGCGCCGAATGATTGCAAATTTTTTGGGAATGTTTTTAAATAATAACTCCCCAAAGCTCAGGGCTCCAAGAATATGACGAAAATTAGCCGTTTTTTGGTACGCCTACGAAGGTCCCAGATCTCCAGGCACAAGAAACCAGCAAGCCAGTCACGTCATATCAGGACGCCCCGTCGTAGTTGGTCTATATACCAATGAAGAGGCCCTATCATCCAATGTTTTGTGAATTTCACGAACAGCACAAGCATGGCGGGCTCTGGTTTGAGTCATCGCCCCGCTTTGGAAATAAGGCACAAGCACACTGCTACTATTTGTGTTGCTCGATGGAGTCCGAGTCCTCTACTACTACTGCTTCTTCTCATTCCATGCTCCTGCTCCTCATGTCGTGGCAGATCTTGACCATGATGAAAAACATTTACAGGCGCACTCGCGCTGTTAACTATGCTAGCTGGTGGACGAGAGTGCGCCACGGTTTTTTTCGAAAAATGTGCCTGGGACTACTTTGTCAAACTTTTACAAGTTCCTTTTGCTGATCTGTTATTTGCTACGCATTTGTCGCTTTGTTGTATCAAGATGCGGCTTTGTCGTAGTAAAAAGTAAGAATGTCGCTTTTGATGTTTCACAAAGCCGCAAAGTGTCTCAATCTGTACAATGGTAGAAACTTGCTACATCTTCGCGCAGGATGATGCTTCGTGAATGTGTTCTCCTAGCGCCTACTTGTATCGATGCCTTTTCTGCACCCCCACGACCCCCGCGTCAGTCGTGTGATGCCTCCCACCTCCTATAATTCTCCCCCCTTTTACGCCTTCGGTTCCCCCCCTCACCTTTCCCACCTCCTACTCCCCTCCTTTTGCGCCTCCTATCCCCCTCCTTTTGCACTTTCTATTCTCCTTCTTTCCATCCTCCTACTCTGGTCTGCTCGAGACCTGCTTGCCCGTTACCGTCGAGGCCGAGACCTGCCCACCACCTAACGGCACAGAGGCCACTGCTATTTATTACTCAGCACCGAGCGTCTGACCTTATTATAGTCTGACCTATTGGCGCCGAGCGCTTGTCAGCAGCTAGCCCTTGAAGTCTGGCCACTAAGAGCCCGGCACCCTCATCAGCCCAGTGCCCAGACCCCCGAGCGCAATGTGCTCTACCAATTGGTTGCCACCGAGCCAAAAGCCCGAGCCACATCCAACTCGATTTGACTCGTTGGTCGGCCTTCGTTTCGCGCCTGCGCTGCCCTTACCAGCGGACCGCATTCCTTGGCGCCAGCTCGCTGGTCTTCTGCAAGCGCAGCCCGAATCCCCGCACCCTGCAGAGAAACCAAGGCCGAGACAGTGGAATCCTCGCCACAGTCATGGGGCCGTAGTGGTTAATAAACTCAGACCGGCCGCCACCCCTGTTTTCCTCGCAGCCGCGAACGATCTTCCGACAGCGTGCGACGCCAGGAAACCTGACGGCGACCCGGCCGGCAGAGCGGTAGGCCTGTCGGGGTTCCACAGCGCAATCCAGAACGGCGTCCCCCCTTCGTCACGAATGAGTGTCCGCGCCTGCCCAAATATCAGACCCCACCCGATCACAGTCAACAATCTGACGACCGTCATCCATAACCGGCAGCGATGGAAATAGAACGCGAGGCGACTGACGTAGAGCAGTCGACACTCGCTAACTATTTCGTGCGCGTCTCACTTGATAGCGGTGCCGTCGATGTTGTGTTGCGTTGGCGAACTCTGTGAGACCCGGGCACGTCTATCCAATCCGCAGCCCTTCGCTACATTTGCAGCGACAAAGAGCCGCCGGCACTCGACCCGCATGGCACTCCCGCCCGCCCTGCTCTGTGTAGTCAGCACGCGGGGCACTATCTAGGAAGGACGCTCGACGACCCCAAGCCGCCGAAACCGTGGGCAGGTCTGTCGCGAAAGTAGATCACGCGAATGCTGCGACCTGTCTGGCCTGTCCTTGAAGGCATGGAAATATTCTCTGCGAGCTCTTCCAGCACTGTGATCCGCGATCTCCCCGGCACGTCTCGCCGCGGCAGTTGCTGCCTCCTGAAAGAGCGCCGCCAACCTTTCCCAAGCAAGGCCGCACGCCTGCCGAGCCGAAGCGCCGCACTGTCAGAAATCCGAACCGTCTCGCGGTCCATCAAATGGCCATCGATCGCGCCAGAAATAGTAACACGGTCCCCCGTTTTCTCCGTTTTCCTATAAAGCCGACGCCTAGGCAAGAAAGTACCCCCATAGCGCTCCGCCACCGAGGGGCGCTGTAGTTGCTCCCTCATCTGTTTCAGCAGATCCCTCAGCCTCTTACCCTTCCGGGAAGTGCCAAACCCTTCCAGAAAAGACACCCAGGAAATTGCACGCGGCAAGCCGCCCTGCGGGATGGTCCCTGCCCTCCAACAATGTGCAGGGGCTGCACTCACCCGCAGGCGAACGCAATAGATTCCCACGCCATACAAACTCAGACTGACAAGTCGAAAGCCGACGCGCCAAGAACTCAGAATTCGCCGTCCGCTCCGGAGGCATTCTTTCCAGTGCAGCGGCGCCCCCTTCCTGCTCAGCCTGCCATATGCCCCTCCGGCATACGAGACGGGAGGCCCTCCCATCTGCCCTCCAGTTTTGGGTCAGCCACAATTACCCGCCCAGCCGGCGCAGTGATAACTGCAGCCGCCATCTTCTTCTTTCCCATGGACTCCTCTTCCAGATCCTCACCCGAATTTCCAACCACTATCGACGGAGCTGGCAGGCAGGTCTGTCATCCGCTGCCGGGACCTGCCACGAAAAAGACAAAGTCACCACGTCGCACCCCAAACAACCTCGCCCCCAGAGCTTCGCCCGAAGTTTACCCTCCACCCGCTCCTTTAAACGAAGCAACGACCCCCCAAAAGCCTCCGACTTCCGAGGCGTTTTCTCGAGCTCCAACGGGTTCAGATCGGATAAGTCCCCCGGGGCTCCTGTCAGCACTTCTTTGGCCAAAGCTTCTGACGATATGGCTGATAAAGATGAAGCCCCGCCCCGTCCTGGATTAGATTCGCCCCGACCTCATTGCCAAGCAAACAAACCCGCGAACACCCGCGCCAAATGCAGCCAGCGCGCTGAAAATGGTGCCCGTGGTGGCGCGTGTTTAGCTGTCCGCCGGCGCCTCCTGGTTGCTTGTTCTTACTGCCATCTTTGGAGCCGGCCCCCTTTCTTTCGTTATCACTATCGGACGACCCTCGCGGGCCTCCGTTTTCCTTTGTCCTTGTTGTTCGCTATCGTTCAGACACCGGGCGGCCACAGACAAGACAGAGAGGGAGAAGAGAAGAAAAAACCGCGAACACCCGCGCCAACTACGGCCGACGCGTTGAAAACTGCGCCCGTGGTGGTGCGTGTTTAACTGCCCGCCGGCGCCTCCTGGTTGCCTGTATGTTCTTGCTACCACCTTGAGGACGGGGCGCCCCTTCTTTCGCTATCACTATCAGACAGCCCTCGCGGGCCTCCGTTTTATTCGCTATCACTTTCGGGAAGCCCTCGCGGGCCTCCGTCTTCCGTTGTCCTTCTTGTTCGCTATAGCTCAGTCAGACAAAAGGCCACGAACGGGAAGAAGAGGGAGAAGAGAAGAGAAAGCCGCGAACACCCGCGCCAGCTATGGCCGACGCGTTGAAAATGGTGCCCGTGGTCGTGTCTGTGTGTTCAACTGCCCGCCGGCGCCTCCTGGCTGCTTGTTCTTGCTACCATCTTGCGAACAAGGTCCCCCCTTTTCCGCTGTCTTTGCGGACGGTTCTCGCGGGCCTCCGTTTCCCTTTGCTCTTGTTGTCCGCTATAATTCAGACACGAGGCCACGAACAAAGCAAAGAGAGAGAAGAGAAGAAAAAAACCACGAACCAACACGACACCCGCGCCAGCTACAGCCGGCGCGTTGAAAATGGTGCCCGTGGTGGTGCGTATTTAACTGCCCGCCGGCGCCCCCTGGTTTCGTTCATTCTCGCGACCATCTTGGGGGCGAACGGGGCCCCCCTTTTTTCGCTATCACTAGCGCACAGCCTTCGCGGGCTCTCGTTTTTTCGCTCTCATTCTCAAGGGAACACCCCGGGCCCCACGCTTCTATCTTTGCACTAACGACAAAGACAGGCAGCCGCCTGCGCTTCTTTCTCTCTCTCTTCCCACCGATGAGGAGCACCCGCGGGCCCTCTCTCTTTTCCTCCTGTTCTCCCTCCCTCGCTTTTTCCGATATGACGAACACACAAGCGCAAAAGCTGCACGCCAAAAAACCAGAACCCACGAAAAGGGCCCCGCCCGCGCGTTGGCGTTTCATCTTTCCACTTTCCTGGCAGGCCTGCTCTCTGCTTTTGCTCCTTGCTGCCCGGTCTTCGTGTGCTTTTCGCCGCCTTTTTGGCCCTCCTTGTCCTTTGCTCTTCCTCCTTTTCCTGCTTGTTGTTTTCCTGTTTCCCTTTTTGGCCCCTTTCCCTGCGCTGCCTTCGCTTGTTCCTCGCCGCTTTTTCTTCTCCTCACCCTCCTACCCCTTTCACGCTTTCCGCAAGCAACAGCCCCGCACCTTGGCCCACCTTCTCACGCCTTTCAACACGCCCGACGCCTCCCAACTCGTGCGCCCCACGTTCCTGCCTCGCCCACAAGGACGCCACGTCTGAGCAGTGCGCTGGCCCAGCTTCTTGGCGCGTTTTTTTGCCCGCGGCTGCACTTGCCCCACTCTTCTGGCGTCCCTTCCGAAGAACCACACCAAGCCCGGCGCCGCAGGCCTGTGCCTTCGCGCCACTGCTGCCCTTGAGCCCACTCGCCACCGCCGCGACCGCTTGCCTCCACCCTGCCCCTTCAATCACCTCCGGCACTTTCCTGCAGTGCTTCCCCTGCTCCACCTTTTTCACCTGCGCGGGCGCCATTTTCTCCCCTAAGAATTTCAAAAATACCAAGCAAGGCCTTACGCTAAAAACTATTTAGGTTACTTCTACAAACCTAAAAAAACTCAACGAAAACTGAAAAAAAGCACGATGCATGCTGGTTGAAAAACTAATAAACGCAAAAGCGAAACTTCAAGGGCAGAAATGTCTCAACTTTTAACTTTGTCGCTATGTATCGGCTTCCGTCTACTTATTGAGCTGCTGCGCGCTTGTTGCAACGCCTTCAGGCTTTGGCCTTCGTGGTCTTCATCATTCTGCTGACGGTGATAGCGCTGGCATGGTGATGCTGGTGGCCTCAGTGGTTCTGTTGTGGTGGTCTTGTCGCTGATCTTCCTGCCTCATCATCGCAGGCACGTCATACGCCTCCCGCTAAAAAGATTTGCAGCACTGCCACACTTTCAAAGGAAGCCGGCGGCAGTGCTGCCGGCTCCCTCTTGTATTTTAGCCAGCGCGCTCCCGCTTCCCTTTGCCGCAACGCGGAGGGGAGTACGCGCCCTTCGGGCGCTCGTTTCACCTTGTGAAACCATTCACCCCCGCCCACGTCCCTAAAGTATCCTTTTCCCCTCCTTAACGTCTCCCGGGGCACCCCGGCCCGGGGAGTGCAATGCAATGCAACCAATTAGTACGCACAAAGTTCAGCGCAGACTGCCATAAGGGCAAAAAAAGGTGTATGATATTGGTCCAAATTTGAACTATCAGGAGAGCAACACAACTGCCGGCAGTGGTGGTAACATCAAACGTCTGGTCCTGAAGTAGAGGATTCTACTCCTGCACGCTTTATTGCTGACTGGAGTCATGATATAATTATAATTCTGCAGTTGCTGGAATAATTCCTCAGGACGTAATAAATTGCTCAAACATAATACGGCGTACCCCTTTCGTAATTGTTCATCATCATGCTACTCTTACTACTACATCCAGAGAGCATCAGCGTCAACGCCTTCTATTTCATGCTCTATTCAGAGCACATTCAAAATCGCGCCACACGCTCCGCCTTTAATGTATACACTGGAGGCGCCTTAAGGGTCCTCGAGGCCCGGGAATTTGTTCTGTTCGATATAATTCAATGACGTGGTAGTGGCTCTTCATAGTTTGGAGCTTATGACTATTTCTAGTACTAGCAGTGGTTACTTATAAACATATTTACTACAGCTAGTAGGCACAGTCGTAATAGTTGCAGTTCCTGCGCTCATTTTGTTCATGATCGTAGCGCTCAATATTAGTTTTCGACGTGTGTTAATTATTGCCCTCCATGAAATACTCAGACGTGAGTGTCGTGCCACTGTAGTTACAAAGTCTCAATCTTGTAGTTTGTCACATTTTGCTCGTCATTGTGGTCAACTACTTCAGCGTCGGGCTGGGTTAGGTTAGGCATGACTGGTCCACCAGGATCACTAGCAGACATATGTCGACGCTGGCTTTCTTAACTACTTGCTTCTAAGTGTAAATTTTCAATACAAGAGTAACACTCTAGAAGGCTGACAAATATAATAACTCTGGAGGCTAGACCGACATTTTGAACGCTGCAGATTTCAGACCTACATATACTCGTCTGACTGCTATTGCTATCATACAAGAACAGCACACATTTATAATATCACTAATACACCTAGTTCAGCAGTGTATTACTGGCTTGTGGATTCGTAGCTCTTGCTTATCATGTTTTACGTGAGTGACGAGTTCACCATAGTAGATGAGGATCTTCTAATCATGCGGCTCGTGGGCCTGTTTTCAAAAATTGTTCTATTTTTCATGTTGTTGAGTTGGTTATTTAATATGAAGATGCCAAAGGGTAGTCCTTTCTTGTCATCCTGCTTCACCCCATGAAGCTCACCATCAGCGTCTTGCTGAAGCCTCATCTTGGTGCCCAGTCCCCACCGGGGCACCATGACCATCAATAAGAATAAGGTCAGCTGTCGTAGTTCCAGTCGTTGCACCTTTGCTACTACTAAGACTGCTGCTGCTGCGATTATGGTGACCATCATCATCATCATCATCATCATCGCCGTGACTGATGGCCTCCGCCGTCTCCGCCGCTGTTGGATTAGCATCAGCACAATGATTCATCTCGGTCCCCTCATCTCGCGCGACCCCTTTCATCTACTTACCCTTCCTCTGTCTTCTTGTATCAACAACATCAATTGATTATGTCCATCAAAGGAAAAAGGCCTCCTCCATAATTTTTGGAAGCTGCTGCACTCCCAGTATCATCGACGTCGCCGTGGTAAACGCGACTCCTCTGCTGATCCTGAGCTGTACTTTCGAGTCTAGAAAATCTGGACGAGTTCTTGATCTTATAGAGGTGGACAATAGAAGAAGACTCAGACTCATCTACTTCATCACCTACGTCGTGGCCCTCTTCTATGTTCATTAGTTGATCAGCAGCACCCACATCCTGGCTTTCTACACTACCATAGCCGCGCTTCTTGTACATCCTGGCTCTCTGCGCAGCCACGTTCTTGTCCAGAGCGGGCATCTTCTTTGTCTTTTCAAATTCAATGTAGTTGAAGTTCTTAGCTGTTGATGGTGAGGCACGAGCTGTACTACTAGTTGCACTACTAGTTGTGCTACTAGTTGCACTACTAGAAGTTGTTGGTGTATTTCTTCTAGTTGTTGTTGAACTGGACGAGGTCGCGTTGTTATTGTTTGGCGGACGAACAGGGGCAGCTGCATCTTCTGATGTAGTAGAAGTTGCACTGAAGTAGACGGTGGATGTTGTGCTGAAGATGGTACTTTTCCTCTCGTCATCTACATCTTCAGCAGAATCTCTGTCATGTTGCTCATCTTCTCCATGATCAGCAGAAACAAGGCCCCCTCTACTTTGAGAAAATGCTCCACCTGAGGGCTGCAAACATTAGTACTAGAGCTCACCCTAATCCATCGTCCCGCAATGCATCCTAGGCGCCTTTTCCCCTGAAGAAGCCCCTTGGGGATGTTTCCGGAGATGGATAAAGGTGAGCCTTAAAAAAAGGCACTGCGTGTGCCAGATTTTGGCGGCAAGACTTCTCCTATCGTCATATGGAATTTTTCTGGAAGTTGTTGCCGAGATGATTTGTCAAGGCCGGCGTAGGCCATCTTATCTTCCCAAACCTTGTGCGATGTTGTTTAGAACTTGAGCGCGAGGACCTGCTCAGAGACAGAAGTGCTGGTCCGTCGTGGTCATCTTCTTAAACAAAGAAGTTAAACTATAGTTAACATATAAATATCAATAACTTCTACTGACATCGGGATCATTTACCCTTTCGTCTCTACCTGTGAGTTCATAACCTGAGATGATACGCAACTACAACCTAATCACTTACATGAAACGATAAAAGTTGCCCTATAATGATGAACTACTGACGGAGGGACTGCTGCAGTGAATATATGCACCAGGGCGGTGGCGTCCGCGCTCTCTCCTCCGCGGTGGTGACATGTAAGGACCCCCGGGGGCGAAGGCCTCAAAAGGCGGAGCCGGAGTTCCCTGGCGGCTTTCCGCGTGTACCCCACTGACAGGCGTCTCTTGGTGTAAATCAAGGAGGCGGTCAGTCCCCAGGCGAAGAAAGCCGCCGAAGGCAGCCACGGTCGCGAGGCCTGGCCCCTTTGGCGCTCATCCCCCCCAACAAGCTCCCCCAGTCGTGAGGAGCCCGCACGGATGCGGGAGGTTTGTCGGGTACATGCAACACGGCAAGGGGGTCCAGCTTTGCCACCTTTGCCAGGTCTGTCGGGTACATGCAACACGGCAAGGGGGTCCAGCCTTGCCCCCTTCGCCAGGTCTGTGGGGTGCATGCAACACGGCAAGGGCGTCCACCCTTGTCACCTTTGTCAGGTCTGTAGGGTACACGCAACACGACAAGGGGGCCCGGCCTTGCAACCTTTGCAACCTTCAGAAGCCCTCCACCCCCGGCTTTCCTTCGGTGCTTCAACGGCCTCAGGAATAGGGGCTCTCTAAGGTCCAGGCAAGAAGCGGGAAGGAGTCAGGGGCGGGCGCTTTGGACGCCTTCTCGCGCGACAGTCCCTCGAGAAAAATGGGCCAGGGGCTGGAGGCCGCCCCCTCAAAGTTTTAGACCGGGGGGCCATCCGTCCTGAGCCCTGGAACATATAAAAGTACTGAGACAAGGAGGAATCCATATCATATAATGAGCACGCTCCCCCTTACATATTGAGAGACTAAACTAACCATACCATTTAGCACCCTTTCGTCTCTAGATCATGTTAGGGCAATAACTATATATGTCCCAAGGCGCGGGGCGACGGCCCCCCCTAGCGGGAGGGGGCCGGGCGCCCTGGGCCCCTTTTTCAGGCGTCTGCCGGGGGGGAAGGCCTCAAAAAGGGAGCCCAGTGACCTCCCCCCCCGCTCCCTTCCAGCTGCCTGGCTGTTCCCTAGGAGCCCCCGACGGTGGTGGGAGGCTTCAAAAGAAACCCAGGGGACCGCCTGCGCCCCCGTCCAGGTGCCTGCCTGTGCCCTAAGTGCATCCGCTAGGCTTCGCCGCCGCAGCAGTGCACCCACCGGCGGCAGAAGACCCCCGAAGACGGCAAAGGGCGAGGGGCTGGACCCCTGAGCCGTGCCGCCTGTACCCTCCGGGCCCTTGGACGTCAGCGCGCTTGCTCTTGCGACCATGGCCGCCTCCGGCGGCCTTTTAGCCCGGAGGCCTCCCGCCTGCGAGGGTCAGCACAGGCCAAGAGGTCCCTTTGGAACACGCTGAGAGGCTCAAGGGGAGGCCCGCGCCAAGTTTTGGCGCCTTCTCCCACTAGAATCCGCGGAAAAGCGCGCGCGCCACCACAGACCAGACCACAGGGGGGAGGGAGGGGGCGTCCGGCCCTGAGTCATATATTACATTACTTAGTCCATCTTCAAATATGTAAAGTTGTCTGTGGAAATATGATGCATGACGATTCCCCACTGCCAAAGGCGTTTGCGCTGCTACCTGATGCGCCTCCATTCTATTCTGTGCGTCTTCCCTAACAAATAGGCATATAGCACCTACACGCAGGACGAATCGATGCGCCAAGATCCACGAAAGAGTAGGCACTTGTAAACCAACAACGAGAGCGAAGTGAGTAAACAGTAAGGGACTGAGAGCTCTGAAACTGAAGGAGAGACCTATAACTTACATCATCGATGGGTCGTGGCCTTAAGAAATGTGCACATTCTCTGTTTGGACCTGGCGTCCTTCTGGAAAGATTTTCTGCATCCCTTTGGGAATGCTCTTGGCAGTAAGCTGCTCGGCGACTCTCTGCACATTTGTATGGATTAAAGGTAGAAGATATTACACTCTCTAAGAAGATGAAGCAGACGAAACAGAAGTCAACATGGGTGGTTTTTCATTATCATCCTTCTGGCAGAGTTTTAGGAGGTCTTGGTCTGCCTAAAGAAAGACAGACATGGTCGCTTGGCTACTGTTGTAGCTTTTCATTATCCCTCTGGCTGAGTGAGTTTCCCTCCCTTAGTTTCTTCCTCCCAATTTCTTAGTTTCTTCCCCCCACCTTCTTAGTGTCTTCCGCCCACCTTCTTAGTGTCTTCCCCTCGCGTAGTTTCTTTCCCCTCTAACCTGTTTTAAGAATATATCACAGGATGAGCAGCTGCACACCCCACCCGCACCCACCAGCATAGTTCACATCTTCATGAGAACGAAGGGAATACTCAACATAGGACTACTCGGAGAGGATAGATGGAGATAAACTTCTATCTAACGGCACTCGTAGTACTCGGATAGTGGTTAATAGGATATTAAGATACGATAGGATAGGAATTAGTCCGCCGTCCACAGTTTGGCCTGCATTCTCGGGCGAACGTCCGCAGCCTCAGAGGGGCTACCAGTCATCAATTAACATCAATTAACTTGGAGACGATGGCGCACATTTAAACTACTTAGAAGCGGCCTTAAGTACGATGACCACAAGTGTAAGCTCCGCAGTCGATGGAATCCCCTGAAGTTGGGACTGTTGTCAAAATGCCAGTCCGCCAAGGATTAGAACACGCTCTAGACTAATGAAGCTGACGCTCTATCTTGTAGATCATGGCTCCATATCATCGTGTTGCGATCCTTTTTAGGATAGAACCGGAATTGGTTCGCCTCGGAGGGATGAGCGCTCACGACTAGGATCACCTAAGGAGCTGCATCACTAGACCAGGTATATTCTCGCTGCGCAGCCATTTATTTTGGTTCTTTTTTTAAGTGCCGCCAGTGCCAAGGCCTGGCAAATTCCCGTACACCCTGGCCGCCGCCTGGCCGTCAGCCGTGGGAGCCGTCGACACCCGCAGAGGAGCAGCCGCCAAGGATATCCGGCCCGCCGGCGCGCATGATCGCGACATCCGGCGGCCCAAAGGTCAGAGGCAACCAAGGGGCACCCCAGACGGGCACTTCCTTGGAAAAAACAACGCCGGCAAAATGGGGGCGCATTTTGCACGCCCTCAATTTTTGCGAGGGCCGAAACGGCCCCACCTAGTGTGGCCTACGGGGTGCCTTAAGGCGACACTTTTAGGGCAAAAGTGTCGCCAAATGGCCCGCCTTGTTTGGGGGGTCAAAGTGGGCCCTTTTTGTCCCCCTTTTTGAAGCCCCTCCCAGGCGCCTCCGGCCAGAGCCGCTTAAGGGCGGCGGCTCCTCGGGGAAAGCCTATAGAGTCCATATTTCGCCATCCCAGGGAAGGGGGCCCCGCTCAGCGGGTCCACAGAAAAACTAGCGGAATGACGACGCCGGCCTATAGAGGTCGGCGCGGCCTCCTTTTCCTTAGGCTAGCCAAAATAAACAAAAGAGAAGCCAGGCCGTGCAACGAGAAAAGTCCTGGTCTAAAATTACATAGAAGCTCTAGGAAAGCTAGCCCCTGCGTAACTTATGGTCTCTCTTGTAGATAGTTCCTTACTCAAATGTCAAAGACGACCTCCACCTCCTCCCAAGGAACATACTTAGTTGCAACCTACTTGATGTCAACTTCGCAGTTAAAAAAAGATCAAAAAAGCTAAATTGCACAGAAGAGATGGAGACAAAACTTCCTTACTTCTAAAAGCAGGGATACCACATAGCAACTCTTGAAATTCAGAAGGGCCACTACCTACCTCATTGGAGTCACAACTATGAAGATCGCTATGTATAGTACTTGACTCGTCTTATTCATCATTAGTAACAATGTATAGTACTTAACACGTGGTGGTCTAAGTCATCGCTATTATAGATACAATAAGAAGGGCTGCTTGCTCGTTGATGAATGTTGTTGGGGTTGCCTTAAACTGTTCGCTCCGGTTGTGATTGTGTCTCGGAAATGCGTGGGTCGAATTTACCACATTAGAGGTCGAGTCCGTCAGTTTACCAAATTCTTCAAAATTTAAGAAGTATCTATTAGGCATTCATCTCCCAAAATAAAGTTTAAGGAATGCTTTGAAGTGGTTAGGTTAGGATAGATTAGGCGTGCGCCTGGAGGGGTGCTGGTCCACCAGGATCACTAGCAGACCACAGCACGGCTGGAAGAAGTAGAGCCAAACACTACAATGCGAGACTTGTTCTTCCACAACCATGCGTTCTACTATTTGCAGCTCCCTTTCCTACTTGCTTCTAGAGTAGATTTGAGAAGCCTTGGGTTGGGGGGCCGACGGGGACTCCGCGCGGCCGCTGCCCTTCTTCAAATCCAATATAGCATCACGATGAATACTTACACCAGTTGACGTCCTGTAGCCTACTTGTGCTAGTACTTCCCGCAATTGCGTATTTTTGCTTCTACTAATAAGATCTATGCAAGTATTTGCCAACAAAGTCTTATCTTACCTAGTATAGCTCATCTAGCGAGTGTCTAACAAATATTAAGAGTATGAGTCTGAGTAACTAAGTAAGACAACTGCTCGCTATTTTCTTGGCTGTGCGTGTATAAAATGACGGCGACGATGATGATCGATGGTGCTGAATTAGTTAGTAACTATAGAAAGCCTGGGGCGCTCCAACATCATCCAGCCCGAGCGCCGTGCGCGAGGCCCATTTAGTCCGCGAGTGTTAGTTTGGTCGCGGTATGTCACGCCGTAACACGGGGAAGCGCGAGGTAAGGCCGAACTCACCCAAAGCAGTCGCGGCCAAGGGGGACCAAAAGGGCACAGCATCCGGGCCAAGGCAGCGAAAGAACTGCGTATCACTCAAAGGGCCAGCTTAGATCTGCAGCGAAAGAAACTGCTTCCGCAGTAGCGTCGGCGGGACTCACAAGGGCAGCCGCGTGACCCCATGGCGATGCGCTCTCCAGGCAAAGGATGCCCCTCAACAGAGGGCGACTTCGCGACCTCGTCGCAAAGAGTCAACTTGGGCAAGGCTTCTTACCTTTCTCCCAAGCTTGTCGCCCTATCAGAACAATGGCGGCGCCTCATACTACAGAAAGAAAGCGCGAGCCCATCTCTCTCGCGCCACGCAGTGGCATCATGTTGCTTAGCACCCCCTTGGCAGCACTCTGCCTCCCGTTGGTTACCCATTTAAAGAAGACAAGACGACGGCGCGAAGCCTTTGATTTTCAAAGATTGATAAAGGAGCCTGCGCGCAAGAGTAGTCAACTACTGAGGCCGGCCATGGTTCATGATGATCTCAATTAATGTCCGTAATTGTTGTCAATCAGCGTGCTGACGGCGTCCCTGTAGTTCGTTTGTTTGCGTGTTGCCTCTGGAGCATAAACCATATAGCACCTTTTGCCTCCATCCATGTACGCGCCCACTGTCTCACAAAGACGCCTAGTCCACGGAGCTCCACCCTGTAAGTGATGTTGTCGATTGTAGAAAAGCTACTACGCTGTAGAAGTTGCAGCGCGCATGCTGGACGATGGGTCGCTTGATGTACTCACATTTCTTGTTCTTGTAGTTGAGAGCCAGAGTAAATATGTTCCAGGGAGGGAGGCCCCCGTGAGACTTACGGAACGCCGCAGAGCTGTCCGTGACGCGTGACGCCCACCGCGTGACGCCGAGAGCTTCGGGGGGAGACGAGGCGCCTGGGCTCAATTTCAAGCGTGACGCAACACACAACTAATTCGCGCGATGTGCTTCGCGTGTGTGTCACGCGGCGACCGGCGCGTGGTCCGTGGATCTTTGAGCGATCTGGGGTGGGTTCTTTGATCGATCCGCGGACCTCTGATCGATCCGCGGGCCTTTGATCTATCCGCGGACTTTTGGTCGATCCGTGGATCTTTGATCGATCCACGGGATCTTGATCGATCCCCGGCCCCGTGGTCGGTCTTGGCCGATCTGTGGACCCATCTTTGCACGATACGTGAGTCCTTGGCTGATTCCTGGGTCTTTGGCCGATCCGTCCCGTGGGTCTTTGATCGATCCGCGGGTCTTTGATCCATCCGCGGGCTCTTGATGGATCCACCGGGGCTCCTTTGGCGATCCGTGCGTGGGTCACTGATCAGCCCCCGGGTCGCTGATCAATCCACAGATCACTGGCCGATCCGTGGGTCTTTGATCAATCCACGGATCGCAGACCAGTCGGCGGGTCTTTGATCAATCCGCGGATCCCTGAGCAATCCGCGGATCACTGAGCAGTCCCCGGGCCACTGATCAATCCCCGGGCCACTGATCAATCCCCGGATCACTGACCAATCCGCGGATCACTGACCACTCCGCGGATCACTGACCACTCCGCGGATCACTGACCACTCCGCGGATCACTGACCACTCTGCGGATCGCTGACCAATCTGCGGATGGGATCACTGACCAGTCCGCGGATCACTGACCAATCCACGGATCGCTGAGCAATCCACGGACTCCAGATCGATCTGCGGGTCACTGATCGATCCGTGGGTCGCGCGTGCCGCGTCAACATGATGGGTCATGCGTGACGCGTCGCGACATGCGTCGCGTCATGCGTCATGCGTCGCGTCATGCGTCAAGGGAGAGCAAGAGGATCACCGATATTTATAAGAGGGGGGCTACGCGGTGGGACTAATGTGGACAGCTCTGCGGCGTTCGGTCCACCTTACGGGAGGCCCCCCCCTGTGGCTGGATATGCGGCGGGCCACGCCAGAGGGGTCCAGCCTGGCCACCTTTGCCCGGTCTGTAGGGCTGGCCATATGCAGCACGCCAAGGGGGTGGGCCCCGCCTTGCCTCCTCTGCCAGCTCTGTCGGGTACCGCAACACGCCAGGGGGCGCCAGCCTTGCCATCTTTGCCAGGTCTGCTCTGTAGGCTACACGCAAGCGCAACACGACAGGCGGGCCCAGTCTTTGCCACCTTTGCCAGGTCTGCCGGGTACATGCAACAAGGCAGCGGGGCCCTGCCTTTGCCACCTTTTCCATGCAAGAAGCGGGAAGGGGTCAAAAGTGCCCACTTCTGACCCCTTCCCGCCCGGCAGCCCCTTGAAAAGAGGGGTCGGGGCGGGCAGGCACCCCCCTCAAAAAGTCAGATCGGGGGGGGGGGCCTCCGTAAGAGTCAGCGAACGCCCCCCGCGGATCGTCACGCGTCACGCCTCTAGCGTGACGCATATGAATCTCGGGGGGATTGGGTATTTTTTCGCCATGCGTGCTCTAGCGTGACGCATAGGAATCCCATGGGGCCTGGGTGCTTTTTGACGGTGTGCGCTCTAGCGTGACGCGTGGGAATCTCATCGGGGTCGGATGTCTTTTCCGCGTGCGTTCTCTAGTGTGACACATGGGAATCCAATGCAGATCAGGCGCCTTTTTGCCAGTGTGTAAGCGGGCAAAGGTTTTCCCTTGAGGGTCCTCATGATCGGAAAGACTTCAGCTGGGTGCCCTCTATTCAGATTGAGGGCCCTCCCTTGAAGGTCCTCACGATCGGAGGGACTTCATCTGGGAGCCCTCCCAGAGTGAGGGTTCCTTCTCCCTTGAAGGTCCTCTCTCATGATCGGAAGCGCTTCACCTGGGGGCCCTTTCAGAGTGAGGGTTCTCCCTTGAGGGTCCTCATGATCAGAAAGGCTTCAGCGGATTGTCCTCTATTCAGATTGAGGGCCCTCCCTTGAAGGTCCTCACGATCGGAAGGACTTCATCTGCGAGTCCTCTCAGAGTGTGGGTTCTTCCTTGAGGGTCCCCTCTCATGATCGGAAGGACTTCATCTGGGAGCCCTCTCAGAGGGAGGGCTCTCCCTGGAGGGTCTTCATGATCGGAAAGACTTCAGCTGGGTGCCCTCTATTCAGATTGAGGGCTCTCCCTTGAAGGTCCTCACGATCGGAAGGACTTCATCTGGGAGCCCTCTCAGAGTGAGGGTTCTCCCTTGACGGTCCTCTCTCATGATCAGAGGAGCTTCACCTGAGGGCCCTCGCAGAGTGAAGGCTCTCCCTTGAGGGTCCTCATGATCAGAAAGACTTCAGCTTGGTCGGCGCCCTCTATTCAGATTGAGGGCCTTCCCTTGAAGGTCCTCACGATCGGAGGGGCTTCATCTGGGAACCCTCTCAGAGTGAGGGTTCTCCCTTGAAGGTCCTCACTCATGATCAGAAGAGCTTCATCTGAGGGCCCTTTCCGAGTGAGGTTTCTCCCTTGAGGGTCCTCATGATCGGAAAGACTTCAGCTGAGTGCCCTCTATTCAGATTGAGGGCTCTCCCTTGAAGGTCCTCACGATCGGAGGGGCTTCATCTGCGAGCCCTCTCAGAGTGAGGGTTCTCCCTTGAGGGTCCCTCCTCTCTCATGATCGGAAAGACTTCATCTGGGAGCCCTCTCAGAGTGAGGGTTCTCCCTTGAGGGTCCTCTGAACCAATTAAGAGCACACAACTAAAACAACTAAAGTAAGTGGGCGAGTCCCTAATAAGCAACACGACCCAGAAAGGTGCGTATCTCACGTCTTGTAGAGTGTGGCTATTTCCGGCAAAAATATCCAATAGCAACAAATGTAGCGCAAAGGCATCTCCACAAGGTTTCTCGTTCGACAAATGTCGCAAATAAATGCACTGCCGGACTGCGACTGGGTTTACCAATACACAATCGACACAAGTGAGAAGCCAAACGCTATAGGCAGACGACTTGGTTACAACCTGAAATCTTGAAAGTCTTGATCAATACGAAAAGCGACGAGGATAAAATGCGTAGCCCTGTATATGTGCTCATGGATTGTGGCTGGGCACTCCAGTACACAATCAACCAAATGCGAAGCCAAACGATTCAAACAAATTTAGAGCCCCCCCGGCGGTTGCGTTTCACGTTTTAACTCCTACCCTAACTCGGATTAAACTCCTGGCACATGCTCGGGCTCGTTTCTGCTGTTAAGGGGGTCAGCTTTTAAGCCTAAAAAAAACCAGCCTGGTCGT